GGAATTAGGTGGATATTTCATAGTCAATGGCAATGAAAGGATTCTCAGATTGCTGATAATGGCTCGCAGGAATTATGTAAGTGTTCCAGTAACATAATTGCCTCCAGCCTCTCGCTATAGCTAGGTCGTCATTCAAAAAGCGGGGTCCAAGTTACACGGAATATGCTATCTTAATGCGCTGCGTACGGGATGATGAACACTCAGCGGTAAACATATGTGATACGCCACTTTAAGTATCCAAATTAGTCTATTCTTTAGTTTTTATCATATTGTATATCATCAGGGTCTTTCCTTTTTGTATTTTTAAGCCGGTAATACTTCATTGGGTTATGAATGGTGAACCGACGCTGGCATTTACGGTTGAAAACGAACAGTTGTTTGTTCCTATTTCAATTCTCCTGCGTGCTCTTATGGACAAAACTGAGCTTGAAATCTATGAAGATATTCGGCGTGGTGGTGGTGATTCTTTATCGCTTGAAGAGTATGTTCCACCCTCGGCTAGATCCCTTTATCTACTTTCTATGCTTAACTTTTCGTTCGCTTAGGCACGCAATGAGGATTTTAATGAGGTTACAGAAGGGTGATTATAATTGTCAATCTCGCGCTCTTTGCTACTTGGGAAAACTCTTCCGTCTCAAAATGCACCTACCAACTTCCTACACCGATTACGCTGCCGGCGAGCATCTAATGCGGTAAGATTAATTTTTTTTTATTGCATCATGCGAATGGGTTGAAGCCCTTGAATAGATTTTACCTCTTCTTTCAGAGAATACGTTGTAATTCATGTTGACAGTTTTGCGGACAAGTATCACATTCTTTGGTTCGTTGGCCATTTATTGCTGCACTCAAATTTTGTGTTGCCATTATTGGTTATGATAGACATTCTTTTAGCTACATGATACGCAAACTTCACGCTTTTATTTCGGGTGCGTGTTGTGCAGAGAGCAATGATAATCTTATGTTCCAGGAAGTATTGCTTCCGGGTACGACGTACGTCCAAATTCTTCGGGTGGGTTATTGTTTAGTTATCATCGTGTTAACCAGGGTATGTCACTGCTTAATGTCGTTTTTTACGTTACAGAACAGACTGATAACCTATTTACACACCGTCCGTGAGCATCTTAATTTACATTTGCGCAAAACGTCGAAACTTCTTGAAATAGGTTAGTACACAAAATTTGGGTTTGATGTTTTAACGTAAGCTATAACCACATAGTCTCGTTCAAGGAACTATTTCCACAGTCAATTAAGTAAATCACAATTGCCTTTAGCTTTATGCGTTTCTTTATTTCGTTCGTAGCCAACTTCCGGCAAGCATTGAATCGTAGCATATCGGAGGTAAGCAGTGGATTGAATCTTTTTATATCCACTGGCAATTTACCTGGCTCCTCACGTACGGTTCTGGGTCGACTATTGAATGGGCAGACTTCAGGTCTCTCAGTCCCAATCGACACGGTCAACTTTTTACGCTTTGCTGCGCAGTTTCGCGCCGTTCACCGAGGTGCAATGTTCAATGAAATGCGAACCACCTCGGTGCGGCGTCTCCTGCCCGAGGCCTGGGGCTTCATCTGCCCTGTTCACACTCCTGATGGCGCGCCATGTGGCCTTCTCAATCATCTTGCCGAGAGTACTGAGGTTTGGTGCTTATTTAACTTTCCTTTGGGCAACACGACCCTATGTGGTCTTGCGTGTCTAACTTCGTGTAGAATGTCATCTTATTATTAATGCTTTTTGCTTTAATAATCATTTCTGCCATGTTTCATGCTGCCTTTCGTTACCGATCTAGGCTGTGTGCGTGACTCCCAGTCAGGCACTAGTGAGCAAATTTGCGGCCTGGCTACTGGAACACAACCTACGACCGGTGGAGCTATCGCGTCAAATGACGGGCGTGAATGAACGTCGTGGTGTCTTCCCCGTCCTCCTGGATGGCCGTCTTGTTGGTTGGTCGCCCTCAAGCCTAGCCGCCCAGCGGTTGGCGCGAGAGCTGCGCTGTGCCAAACTGGATCCCAATTGTCCCCATGTTCCCACCACCTTGGAAATTTGTCTAGTGGTCCCTACTGACACTGGTAGCCAGTATCCCGGTCTTTTCCTCTTTGTTGGTGGTTCGCGCCTACTTCGACCTGTGAAGAGTCTCGTTCGGGTCGGCTCCAAGAACATCGCTGAAGCGGAGATCGAGCTGGTTGGCACCTTTGAGCAGCCATACATGGACATCGCGGTGACGGTCGAAGAACTTATGGAACGACCAGTCAGTGAGAGAATGCACTTCGAAGTCTCACCAGAGTCCATCTTCAGCTTCGTTGCCAGTCTCACACCATATCCCGACTTTAATCAGGTGGCTGAACATTAAGGACATGCGCTTACGTACACATCAAGGTGTACATAAGTACAGTCGTGTATTTGCGGGGCGTAGAATTCATACACTAAATGATTCTTTGTCCCTTTCTTAGTCTCCGCGTAATATGTACCAGTGTCAGATGGCCAAACAAACTATGGGTCACTCGTCTTACACCTGGAAGTACCGTTCGGATCCCAAAGCCTATCGTCTGCTCAATCCACAGAGCCCGCTGGTGCGCACTAAAACCTATACCAAATACGATGTAGATCATTATCCGCTTGGATTCAACGCCATTGTTGCTGTCATGTCCTACACCGTAAGCGTAGCATTACCTTATTTCACACAATTGTTATTATCACCGTCCATTTTCGACTTCCATTATAATTTTTGTACAAGCCTTTTCAACTACTTTCTGAGGTGAGTGCATGCTATCGTTTTTCATAGGGATATGATATGGAAGATGCTATGGTGATTAACAAAAGCTCCTACGAACGTGGCTTCGCAGACGCCTGTATTTACAAATCCGAAATTATAGATTTGGTCAATTTCTCCGCCAAAGGGAGAGCGAAAAAACAAGCTGATCATTACTTTGGTTTGTGTTTTTACTCTTTTTTCCACCTCTATGATTACACGTTATGTTAACAGGGCTTGCGGTTTTCCACCTGCAGGTGGATTGGTTGATCTTCCGCCAAATATTGATATTGATGGCTTCCCACCAATTGGAACACGGCTTATACCAGGAAAGAGCATTCTATTCGTTTACACACACAATGAGACTATGGAGATGACTGCTGTTCGCTATAAGGACGGGGAGCAAATCGCATACGTGGAAGCAGTATCTCTTAACGGAAGTTGGAGCAAGGCATGCTGCAAATTTTCGTATCGCTCTGACATCGCGTTGTTTAACGTGATTGGGGAATTTCGTGATAATTATTAGTACTTTAGACCTTTCAATAGTATTTTTGGCTTTACACTGAGTAAAGGAGTAATGAAAGAATTATTTTCCAATAACTGTCCTGTAGGCTTGTATAACGCTGCGTTTGCCACGGCGGCCGGACATCGGTGACAAATACAGTAGTCGCCATGGTCAGAAAGGTATTAATAGTATCCTCCTGCCTGCTGATGACATGCCCTGGACTGTGGAAAGTGGAATTGTGCCGGACCTCATATTCAATCCCCACGGCTTTCCCACGCGTATGACGATGGGCATGATGATCGAGTTCCTTGCTGGCAAATCGGCTGCTTTATCAGGTTGGCACAGCAATGTTACGTTCATGCATGCAGAGTTTTCGTCATGCAGAGAAATAGCCAATGCCTTGATCCTTATCGTGTACCGTTCAGGTGAGCGGGTTGATGCAACACCCTTCCAGTGGACTGAAGAAAATCCACCTTTTGAAAAGTACGCTGATCAGCTGAAGAATGCTGGCTTCAACTATTGGGGCACGGAAGCCATGATGTCAGGAGTTACTGGTCGTCTTCTGGAAGCTCATATATTCATTGGGGTTGTCTACTACCAGCGCCTGCGTCATATGGTAGCGGACAAATATCAGGTTCGTATCACTTCTGTCATTTTCACTATCCACGATAACTCGAGACCTCGGCTGAAAAGTCAGCCGAATGCACCCCAGGCTTGTGCGTTGAGTTAGAAGCCCAAAATTCAAAAATATTCAAGGACATAGTTCTGCTTATAATTTGTATGATAACAGTGATTTTGACTCGCTGTTTCATTCTTACCATACCTGATCAGATAAGGCCATTCTTCCTGTCGGCCTTGCTTATTTTAACATGAGCCCGTGCCGACTCCTTTTGTCAACTCAGTCTCCATACGAAAATGCTTCAAATGGTTATAGGTGAGAGCTGAGGGTCGATTTGATCCGGTGCTCCGCCAGCCCATAAAGGGACGCAAAGTTGGTGGAGGTGTTCGTCTCGGTGAAATGGAACGTGACTGTGTCCTCTCCCATGGACTTTCATTTACACTCCAGGATCGATTGCTGGGATCCAATTGCGACAAAGTGAAGGTTATTTGAGTCTATTTGGCTTTGATTAATTGTGCACTGCAAGTGGCCTATTTGTAGGAATCGTGCAGCCTCTCACGTCAAGGTGGTCATACGGTTGCTTAATTTATTACTGTGCGATTGGTGTTCCTAAGTAGTGTAATCATTGTGCCGTCAATACACGATGTAGGCAAATCCTATGTGCTGTTTATGCGACCCAATAACTTTCGATAACTATGAAACACTTCGATATTAACCTTCTCTCAAAGTGGGAGAACTGGTATTGACCTATAAAGCGATTCGAAACCCCTCGTTTGCAAATGGTTTTTCAAAGAGTCAGAAAAATTGGATGAGGGTTGAGAAGTTCCACCAATTTTGGCATTCGTGTACGGAGTGAAGGGGTGTAAGTTAGCCAGTGTGAACCATCGCTCAAAACTAAGAGATACTGTGCCAGGGTTGTTTATCTTTCGTAGAAGACGTATTACAAGTTTATGATTGTGGTGTCCCTACCTACAATTGTTATCTTTTCCTCTCAAGATGTTGATATGCTCAGGTTGCGGTGGTTTGATTCACGAAGACTTGATCACTGATGAAACTTTGAGCATCCAACAGCGAGGAAACAGTCTTATTAACAGATTGCGGTGGCGATGCCGCCTTTGCAATCAATCACCTCCTTCTAGTGCAGCGAACATTTTCGAGAATAAAATGCTCCTGGTCGATGTCCCAGCAGCTTTCCGCTACTTGACCTACGAACTTGCTTGTCTCAATGTTAATACACGGATCGAAGTGGAGCAGTTTACTTGAGACACTTTGTACACTAATGATTGGAATATACTCGTACCCATTTCCTACCAGTGAATTGGGTGTCCTTGGTACTTTCAGAAATTACGAGGGTTAAATCCAACTAAGCAGATCAGGTATTACCGCCGGTTGATCCTGCCCCATGCACTTAAAGCTGTTGACGGCAATTTCAATAAACATGTACTTGAAAAAATTTAAGTCGTTAAAAGTTACAAATCCTACGGCTGCTTGATTGGTCGAAAAGCTACTAAAGTCCTACGTAAATCATGTTCGGGTACAAAAAGGGGATCTGAGCTTATGAAATCAACGGAGAACGGCTTTCATCCTTAGCACACCCGCGTGGTCTGTGCTGCTCTCTTTTCGCCAAGCCAGGAGTTTAGTGCCTCGACCAAACAAGGTGGTGCAGGCGTTGGCCCTCGCAGGAGGCGGGTAGCACTGCCCTTCTGGAGAGGTCCCGTCCACAGTAAGGAGCAGCAATAAATTTTCGTGAGCTAAATACAAGGGCATGACAAATAAGCGCTAGTGCAGGGATTCGCGCGGTTCTAACAGAGTCATGAGAGCGTGATCATACTGGTAAGTGATTTCGTGATGTAAAAACGAAAGTGGCAGTATTTTGGCTTAATGGAGCGAATCACTTTGAAATCTCTTAGAACCTCTTTCAGGGTTGTTGGGATGACAAGCCATGTCGTGTCTTTTATCAGTACTTACTGGTCGTGTAATAGAAAAGGCGTTGGGGAGGGTCTTGTAGGCGAAAAAAGTCGACTCTCCGTCGGTTGAATTGGAGGAGTGAGTGGTGACAACAAGACGGAGCTCATCAACACTCCTGACCGAGGATCTGGGTGGGAGCTTCCGGAGTATCTCGGTGAGAATTTGGGCCTCAGTACCTAGTTTCTAAGAGCCGAAAAGTAAATAGTTGATGAGTAACGCATCGGTAGGTGGTAGTAAACTAAAAAATGATTTGATGGGAATGTAATAGCTTTGGGTAATTTAGTCATTGGCCCAGAAAACCTCAGGCGCAAGCATCCACCTTCTAAAGGCACCAACCAAGTCATCCCACCGATCTGTCGCATATAGCTCAAGGGCGAACGAGTTAGGAAAGGGAATCAGACCACAAGGTTGTAGAAGAGGAATCCTTACCTCCACTTTAATGACATCTTCCGGTTTGTCTTCTGCTTCACATGCGTTGTCTAGTAATTTACTCAAATCTGACCTATTATCATTTGCGCTGAGAGAGTCGTGTTCATTTATCACAGTTTTTATCTCTGCCAAGAAAAACTTCCCCACAAAGGAGTAAAGTTGTCGGAATTCAATGCGCTGGCAAAGCTGACGCAAATTCGCTTTGATTGTAGGAGAGGTTTCAGGGGGAAGTAGGTATTGGGATGATGCCATCGCCCAGAGTAAGTGTTCGTCTAGTCTGAGAAAAGCTTCCATGGCGTGGTCATCACCAGCACAAGCACGCAGAGATAGATCACGAAGTTGCAGGATAGAATCCAGGGCGTTGAGGATGTCAACAAACATGGCTCCGAGAGCAAGAGTAGTTTTATGGGAGTAGACACTGTGATAAAGACGCGTGCGTTGAGAAAAAATACGCAGAACATTTGAAGCCTCAGAGGATCTAAATGACATGTGCCAAGCGTCTCCAGAAGCGTGGTAGGCAGGGCGATAAAAACGAAGCATTCTCTCTACTTCAATCACACCCGAGCCCTGGCCCAGTCCTGCATGGAGGGAATCACGCATTATATAGTCCCACTTGTCAACATCATTGCCATTTAATGAATTCGAAACGATCTGTAAAACAAACAAAATATCCAAAACTGAACAAGAAAGCTTGGTACTTGTACCTATAGCAACATTCAGACGACCTGCTAAACCTTAGCCACTAAGTTTACTCGGGTCATATCGCAGAGCTCAGATAGGACTATCCCTCATTCCGTGTTTACTGGTGGGTTGACGTAAAGTAAATCCAGTTTTACGTTCACTTCGACATAGCCAACACCAAAGACGCATTAAACAATCAGGCAAATGGAACTCACCTCAAAAATAAATGTCTTCTCCCGCAGCCTCTCCTAACAGAATCAATGGATAGAGTAGGTTTAATATGAAATCAATCACATTTTAAGTTTACAGAACGAGACTACAAAAAGCTACTGAAGAAGTAAATTTATTCAACGATAAGTCCAACTTCTTGAAATGGATACAAGTTATAAGCACTGCCGCGATGCTCATTGCAAAAACGCTTCACGCTAATTTTATTCGTGGACAAGCCAAAATAATGGTAGGTTGAATTAAAAATATGGCCATGAGTGTGTGCAGGACATCTGCTGCTTCCAGATAAAAGTACAGATTATTACTCGGGCAAAGGAAGACGGTAGCATATGATCATAAATTAATGTTGGTGAAATTAAGGAGTGTTTAAAAGCGTATAATGTAATGAAGACAAAAAGTCTTCGCGTACCAAAGGGTACAGGAACGCACCACAAGTTCAGGGGTTGGATGGCCGCGAATCAGTGCGTATACAAGTTCAAGATCCACCCCACTGTCCTTTAGCAAATCCCGTAAAGGTTCGTCTTTCGCGACAATCCGCTCTGTTATCAAACAGCTCATATTTTCGTGCTGCAAGGTATTTTAAGGTGAAAGTAAATGAATAAATCGTCCACGTCCAAATATTTGTCAAATACTAGCAGAGATACATATCTCCATAGAAATAAACAATTTACATTTCAAAGAGACGATTAATTAGATTCTGCATAGTCATTGCGAACACGAACTACATAAAAAGTAAATGTCACAGTCGACGAAAGATAAAATATACAAACCCTGCATATGCGGTGATGTTGAATTTCAGAACATCAAACTCAGATTAACGCTAGTAGGTCTATAAAACTGAATTGCTAGACTTAGCAACAGCAAAAGCGCAACTCTAAATGGCGATTCGGGGGGCTTAAGTATAAAAAATACCAGACCTAGTCAAGACCACGACTCAAGTCGATAACTATTGCTTTCGTATAAATTTCACCACAATCGAGCGATCATGAAATCTTCCTTCGTATTTATACAAATGAGTGCAATAATTTGATGACTTACTACTTTTAGCAATGACTAACCTTAAATTTGTTGTAATCTGATCCTCCCTGCTTCAAAAACAGTTCCCATGTGTGAGACAGTGGACCATGTCCTATGAAAGGAAGTGCAAGGAAGCAATTATTACGAACTGGTCAACAAGAAAAAAGAGCACTAGCACAACAAACTACGTTCAGCTTAAACAGATTACTATAACATGTTTATGAATAAATCATTAACATTCTACAAGGCTTTTATCCAGAAAATAGCCCCCACCAATCGAAAACATGACTCTAAGTTAGAGAGTTGCCCATCCAGATAAATCATCCATCACCATCCTCATCATAACAATTAAATGGCGCCGCCACACCAATCTTTCGTTGCGACTTTAAAAACTAGTTATTTTATAAAAGCGTTTATCGGGCTGCGGATTTCCAAGGGAAGCATAGCAGCCGCCAAACCACTACTGATAGACGTCCATGTAAGGGCCACAGCTAAATCAAGCTATAGGTATCCCAATAACAAGGAACCGAAAACCCCAATTGGGAAAATACGGTATCTTTCTAAAAAGACAATGCTGAATATGAGCTTGTCCTAGGCATTATTTTGCCTTTTCCTTCTCTCCCATAAATATTGATCAAGAGTATGAAAAATTGATAACCACAAATGATTCACATTTGCTAGAATTTTGCATGACATGGCTATCCTAACTTTAAAAGATCGATCAAAAGACATGCACAAAGCACTGATCTTTAGAACTAGAATATGAATTAGGTTGAAGAGTAGCGCAACGACATGAATTCAGTATGGGAACACAAGTAGAAAAGCCCTCAAATTGAAGTTCTAATTAAGCAGGTGCGAATATATGGAAGCGTTCCACCAGAACGCATACTTGTCAGAAAGTTAAATGGATTTTACTCATAAAACAGAAAATTATCAAGATCCACAAAGAGGGGGATACTTAAGTGTGTAACGGAACACGGAACAAGAAACTTTTCTAAAGTAATTATGTCAGTTGTTTGCAAATCGTTATCTAGTATTAAAAGAGTACATCAGCTTCTGCCCTAGAAATTACTAAATATGAAAAAACTCGTACCCAGATCATGACACAAAGCAGCTATCAAAACGCTCATACGTTCACCAATGCTGAGGCGCACAGAAGCACACTCAGGATCAGCCTGTATAGCATCGACTAAACGCTTTGCAAGATGGTAAGTCCCAAGACTGTGTTCAAACCGCGTATGTGTACAATCAGGATAAACGTAGTTCACAATCCCAAGTTGATGTAGTCTTCTCAATCGCTGGAATTCTGGTGTATCGATGAAACGCAATATAATGGGTTCCACTTCTATGATTCCTTGAACAGAATCTTGGAAAATCTAAAGCACGGTATGCAAGTTCAAAAAAAATTAAAAGATTTGAAGGACAATAACTAGGATACTTTCTGATTATAATGCAAAATCAAACAATACATGCAACCTGCTACGACAAGGAACGCAAATAAACACAACAACATTATACCTTAGTTCGGCTTGAGCGAAACATAGCGAGGTAAAATCCCTATTCAACGCCACGGAAACACGATACGGAATAAAGTATGAAAGCCGGGCCCTTTAACCTCAATCTCATGTGCCAATATGATATTTTAAAACAAAATAACCATGAGTTTACTACAACTTGGAAGCCCTAGGAGAACTATGAAAATAATAAAAGGGATTTGCCTAAATATAAACTTTGACTTAGGACAACTATGAATCACTGATAATTAGCCATGGTTAATAACGTAAGCGGCATCATCACGCCCTAAAATATCTTCGGGATTTCCAGGTCAAACTGTAAACGGACCCCTTGACTGACATGAATGTAAAGGTGACACCAACATGGACCGCTTAAGCAAACTCAGTGGCATTTTCTTCCCTAAAATATGCAAAGTACTTATGGCAAATCTGCCTAATCTTTTAGTAAAAAGTTGGGCTAATGACCAGGATATCCCGCGACAAGTGCAGCGCATCTAACTGCAGTGCCCAGTAACCCCACTGCAGGCATTAATAAACTAAGGTCATGTCTATGAGAATGTAAGTCAGCGTTTTAAAAAACACAATAGCGAATCTGCAGATCCAGTCGCATAAATCGTATACATATTGGGTAGTTTGATCCATACCCTACTGGCGCATCCGGAGTTCCATCCTCCTTAGTAAACTATTGAAAAACGGGATTTGTGCCGTCTCCATAATGCTTGAGCCTAAAAGATGATCTAAAACGGGTCACCTCTTGTGCGATTAATAGATTCCGTATGATCTAACGGTAGAAGCAATCAAAAGAGCATGCAAAAGGCTTAATGAGGCCAATGCTTCTTAAATATTTGCCCTTACCAATTTGTTCTCTCTTCGATAATGTGCTATCCCCTATTCGAACCCTACAGTGGCAATAGAGACTCGAATGAAGTATTGCTTGCTCTCTTTACTGGCATTGTTTACGACTGGTGTCACCTGCATAGCTGGGAAAAGTGGCAATAGTAGACTTCACTTTCAACCATTTTCTTGGGAGCCATCGGCGACTCATTCAGTTTGGGCAGATGACCTTCATACCTTACGCTAAAATTTAGCATTCAACTACAGAAAGCAGGATATCTGTGCCTTTGGGTTGGATGCACTAGATGCTGAGAGGCTAGTCACGTCAGTGGTCGTCTATCCCGTCCGCATGTTAGTAGTATGTATTCTGTCGCCCCGCTGTGCCTTTTTATCATGCCCAGGCCAATGCGTTGTACTCCACCATGTTCTTTTACATGCCTAAGCTTGTTAAAACCTTAGGAATGAGTAGGAACTCTCTATTAATAGCTCGTTTATTTGCTAATTTATTCGGAATTAAACAAATTATTAGTGTAATACTCATGTTGTTTTAATGTGCCTTTCAGGGAGGAGGCAATCAGGAAATTCGAACCTTGTAATCGGATCGTCCTCTCCCTTACCCTGTGACTGCGGCTCCACTCCTTCTTGAATATTGTATTTTCCCTATCCATCTTGTCACCTTTAATAAAGATGTCCAAAGCAAATCAACCGGGCTTGTCTAGGAACGCTAGGAATTGGGAAGCGGAGACCGGGGAGCCTCGCTCCACATTAGTGTGCATAAATAGACTTTGCAGGTTATGGGGCAACAGAGCTTGAAGTTTTGTATCAGTTAATCATAAAATTTTGAAGTCTGAGAGATATATTTGCATTTTCCATTTTTGTCAAGTAAGTGCCTTTAAAGTCAAAATACCTTTTTTTCTCACAAGTCGGCTGCAGTTTAATATGCCGAAAGATCCATCCCAGATGTGACTCATTGTTTCTACTCCCAATTTTGCGACCCATTTTTATTTTATCAACCTGGTCGATTATTTATGCATGGTTCCTATTGGTTACGGTGGCGCTTTTCGTCATATACGGGGTGTTGTGGTGACTTTGCGCTAATTATGCAGTGAATTTTACTGCCTTTCAGAATAGGAAATACATCATAGCTAATTCTCTTAACTGTTTAGGCAAAGCAGCTCCTGCGAAAACCTCTGTACTATTCCTATTAATTTGTGTTTGACAGTAACTTTATATAAGTCATTTTGTAATGAAGTATTTGCTTTTGTGAGGAATTAAGAGCTCAGCATATTGTAGAGTCTTCTTTTTACTGAATTCTTACTAAGGTGGTCTTTACAGCTGTCGATTGGATTGGATTCCCAAAAATTGTATTCCCCACTAGTGTACATTGTGATATTCGGCTCATTATATTACAATATCCTGATTACTTTTTGTTTAGGAATCTGACATCTGCTTCTGCTTTGCATTTGAACGGATCTACCTGCTTTAAATTGTAGGATTTTTCTACAAATCTCTCGGTAGGCTTTTATCAAATGTGTAGGGCTTTCAATCTGGGCAAATCGACAACAAATTTTCATTTTTTAACTAGTACGTGCTGCCGATAGCAAGAAGTTTTGCTTGCCCCCTTTGTAGGCTCATTTCCCTTATTCTAATTGATTTCGTGGGTTTTTCCACTTTAGCATATGTTTGATTATCTCAATCTGCGTGTTATTTGATCACGTTCTCTTACCGATTTCTTTTGGTCAAAAGATGTATATGTACATCATTGTCTGCTATTTTCCTTGTAGGGTCATGTCAATTGTGTCCCTCCTCATAGGTCAGTGTGGAAATCAAGTTGGTTTGGAGTTTTTTAAAACCATTTATAATGATAATTATGATGGTTGCAATGGACAAGCGATCCGCTGGAACGATGAATTTGCAAATGAGTCAATGGAAACTTTTTTTAATGTGAAAGGCGAAGGTACTTATGGCTTGGTGCTAAGAAAGTGGATATCCGCTAGGTGTAAAGCCAGAGGCCAGATGTGTTCAGGTGGACATGGAGGAAAAGGTAATTCGACAGATAAACGCAGAAACAAGTGGTCTCAGTGCTTGGCGATATCCTCAAAACTCATTCTTTGCGCAAAGGGGTTCAGGTAAATATTGTTTTGTTTTCTGTTTCAGCTTTATTATCTAAATGTATGATTCAAAAGGAGAGAGTTTCGTTTATTGGGTTTTTTCAACCTTATTGTTATGCTTGTACCTCATGGTATAGCTGGGTTAATTTATCTGTTGGATTTTTGCACGTGTAGTTCTAGGTGAATTTAAATTACTTAAGCGGTTTTAAAATTTTCCTTTTTTAGGAAACAATTGGGCTTTGGGTTATCTTCTGAACGGCCCGTCATGCGTAGAGGTTGTTGACGACATTTTGGCGGCAGAACTAGAGAAATGTGATTCGGTTGATGGTCTTATAACTACAATGAGTCTCGCCGGTGGTACGGGATCTGGGGTTGGCACTTATCTCCTTCGGTAGGTTTCCTTGCTCTCTCGTCGCTACCTTGACTTATAATTTTCCCTGTCGGAGCAGATGTCTTGTCTAGTACTTGTAAACTCGAGAATAATTCCGCAAACACTTCACACTAAGGCAGTCCATTTTATGGTATCACTGTCTTTGGTATTGTTCCTCTGTAACCAAATAATGCCCATAATGTACTTTCTTGTATTTTGATACTTACATTTAGCTTCAGTACACCAACGATAGTTCCAACTCCTCAATCATCCCGCAACACTTTGTTTTAGGTCCTTTTTTGCAATTTTATAACCTTTCACGTGTAAGGTATTTACGATTGGCCAAGTTTTAGTCCTCGATGTCAACCCCCCAACTAAGGACTATGCCGACCGGATAAGTTTGTTTTATAACTGTTGGAATGAAACTGTTGTCTTCTGGTTAAAAATACATCTTGTAATGGTTCGTGCGAAGATAAACAGCGTTCTTTTCATTCGATTTATGTAAAATCACCTGGTAGACATCAATTTCTAATCTAACATCGACAGCTACCCCATTTTCACAGCAGTTAACTCAACCGTGCTGTTCACATTTGCTTTTAATCTAATCACTACCATTAAAATAACGTCTACAACGGACGAACTGGTAGATTTCGAGGAGTTTTCTTCTTTGGATTTCACGCGTTTAGCTTGATCGATGTGAAGATTGGAAATTCCTACGAAGGACTTGTGCTTCTAGCATTTAGTAAAGCTTTCGTAGCGTTCTAGTTATCGATATTGGTCTATAAAATGTGACTGCCTGAGCGTATGAGGTTAAGTGATTTAAGATTGGAGCTGAAGAACAGAGGCATCAACTAGACTTTCTGATGTACCGTTGAGGTATTCTGTCGAATATGATGAGTGGTTTTGCCAAAGCGTTGTAGTGAAGCTTAATTGCGCTGCAGCCACATAGGCGACATGTGTCCGAAGGTGCCGGTGCTGGCACAGCTGGTGCTGCCGTATCGACGAGGTGAAGTGGCGACCCAGGCCTACAACGCAGTGCTGAGTTTGGGTCACCTGCTATGCGCAAGCCCCGGTGAGGCGCCCTGTGGCCTCTTGCTCCACGAGAACGATCTCCTCCACCGCGCCTGTGCTAATCGCCTCATTCACCACTATCGTCATCAAACCCATAGATTCGTCGGTCCTCTCGACCAGGTGCCCCTTGTGGAACTTAATCGTCTCATGGCACATCTTCTCGGCGGTGTGCTTCAGGTCTCTCTACTCATCCCTTCATAATTTACAAAGCACACAGCTACGATTAAGGTGTGGAGAGAGTGGGTCATTGAAACTGTGCAATTGCAGTAGCTGCTTTGGGCGCGATCATTATCCTTGTACTTTGGTGATACATGTTCCATTTTCTACCCATTAATATCTCTTGAGAACCTTCAACTCAACAGTGTTACTGACAGCACACGCACCTTCTGAATTATCAAGTGACGGAAAGACTTATCTGTTCTTGTTGGTGTCTTAGAACAAGGGAGTGGTGCTTTTTTCTGTATAGCTACCTTGATGTTTTGCTATTAATTCCTTTGAAAGTTGTTTGAACTACATCCTCCGGGATTCATAGAGTTAGACCTTGCCAAGTTTGACCACTGGGGCTCTTGTTCTGCGGTTCTCATTTGAAGTCAAATGATTTTGAGAACCGTGGGCGATTTGTTGCGGGCTTAAATTATTTTTGCACAAAAAATGGATTTTATGCAGTTATTACAACTTCCTTAACAAATGCACACATGTTTGTTGAAAACCAATGCCAATAACTCCTAGCCAATCCTATTTGTACTTTAAATACAGCGAGACGCTTACTTCAGAGAGTATCATCCAAGTCGCCTTGTGGGAACGCTACCGCCGCAAAACACCTTTTCAACTTACAATTGTAAAATAACACAGGATTTTACTACTGGGTAGAACTAGTGAGCGTTTAAATGCATTGCTTGCATCCAGTTTCACGTTTATGCACAAATTTAGCAGTTAATGAATGTTTACGCAAGATTAATTTGCAATGGCGCAGGTAGATTGGTTGGTGATCGATTCAATATTGTATTTTTTGGTGATCTAGCCCTACATAGGGCCATCTCGTGGCTATACGCTATGTCGTCGTCGTTTGTCCCATCTTCTGTTTGATTTGGCTGGTCCCGCGGACTATCGGCTCTACCGGTTGCACTGCCTGCCGTATCATCCAAGCAGTGAGGCTAGACACTTCGCCACCGAGACCTGGCCACAGCTTTTGCGCCATACCAGGCAACTCCTCCTTACAGGAGCTTGCCTCGAGGACAGTGCGTGATTCCGCCGCCTTCATGGTTCTCCTTTCTTCCCCCACACACACCCTAGTCCTGATGATTTCTATGCCCATATTTCACACTAGAAATGAACTGGTGTGTCTCACTCGACAACCTGCGCGGCCACCGTCGACAGCCACTGCTGGCCTGTACAGGCGTGGCGCGCGGCACTGGAGCAGGTGAGGTATTGTGGTCGGAACTCACTGCGGGTCTTGACGTGGAGGGTGTCATGCGGCCCTGGCGAGTCAACGCGTCACTTCCAATGGGCGTGTGTACTCGGGCCTTCAACGGCCACCTCCGCGGTGTTTTCTTGGCTACTAACGGTGGTGGTTTGGTCGCGAAAGATGACCGCACAGACGGTGGGGCGAGTACCGATGTCTGTGCACCGCTCCGACTGCTCCGTTCTCGAGCCTGGCGTCTCTTTACCTCCTCCGCCTACCTCCACCAATACTCCCAGTTTGGTATGGAGGACCCTCGAGCCTCTCTCCTTGACGCCTTCGCCGTGGTTGAACAGACCATTTATTTGTATTCCCAACTTACCACTTCCTAAATACTTTGGCATCATTGTATTTAATGTTATTTGGAATTTTTTTAGGGTGGGGTTTTGATTTTATTTATACCTGACTTCTTTTTATTGAGCTATTATGAGCGCCAATGAAGTGGTCTAGCGGCTTTTGGAGTTGTAGATATAAACCAATTTAGGTTGGCAGACCAAATATTTTAGCATGCGAAAGTGTCGCATACAGTAAGGGGTACTTGTTGCTCCGGACATTGCCTATGTGCCATCAATCTTTTCATCGCTGTATTTCCATGAATAGAGGGCCTGATCCAACTTTCTCCAGCTCTTTTAAGTCACTTAGATCTCAATTACTTCACCGCTGTTGAACAAGCCAAGTGCGACTAAAAGCGACACAAATTCAGCTCTTATCGATGGGCAGCAGGTATCCGAGTAATTGACGTGATTACAGAGACTTCCTATGGAAGGTGATTTTGAAGTGGCATAGATTCTGGTACACATAAGATGAAGGGTGGTGGGGTGCCCTCTGCGTCGTTTTCAGATGGTCCTTAACATTTCTCATTGTTTTACTTACAATCACTATGGTTTTTACAAAATAAACTTCTAGCGCCGAAAATACGTAGACTTTCTGAGCCATAAGTGGAAAAAGTTAGCACGATGCTTTGGCCATAAAAAATCCTAATGCAGAATGAATAAACAGTGGAAAGAACAATTGTTTTGTGCCATAAAAAATGGCACAACTGACGGCAGAATCCATAGTCAGACGCTGAAACTGTTTGTCTTGAGGGGAAATACTGCTCTCTACTCGCCCAAACACAAACGACCAAGGTATAATGTTTTTTTGCACTATTCAGACATCCTTCGTGAATTGTTAACTGCACTTCATTTGGCACAGCAACTTGGCCAATTGTCTCCAGCCATATGAAGATTGATTGCGTGGTGGTTAAATGAGAATCATGGCAAATTGTCATGACGTTGTCGATGAGTGATACGTCTCGATAGGACACATCGCCGTTGAAGCGATTTCAGTTCCGTAGAATCGGAAGCGTTGAGGGCCGTAAAGGCTATTTTCGCTCTCATCTCTGATACCGCAATTTTTTTGCCACGTATTACTTACACTGAAATTTGGTAAGTTGTCATGACTTCCTCACCTCAAAATCGAGCCATTGCTAATCACGCAAATTGTTTTCCGGTTTGATGGGATTCGATTCTTCAGGGCCCAAATCGTGCATTCTTGCTTCCCACCTATACCGCCCTAGTTCGTACCGCAATCTCAAGGGATTCAACTTCAAATATGCAAGCAAGACTGCTCTCAAACACTGCCATCTGACAGGATAGTAATTGAGAGAAAGTGCCGTTGATCACGTGCAGGAGTTTTTTGCTGAAGATGATGTTTTAAACAATCATTGTGATTTTGAAGCTAAACAGACATGATGTTGTTGCTTCTTACGTGAATGTACTTGTAGTATTTACGTCACACTTATGACGGCTTCTAGTATACGTGATTTACTATATAGTGTTTTTCATTTTGAAAGCTAAAAGAGTATGATAGTTATTCGGACTGAAGTCCTCATAAAGCCAAATAAGGGTGACAGGTGATCCTATCCAGAGCTATGTTTATTTACTCGTCCTATCTCTTACCTAAAGCCAGCTTCCAAGGTCAAAGTAGCAACCAGTCGGGTTCCTTCCCCTACTTTCACTCCGATTTTCATTGGCCGCAGCACAGGACATGGGTAGACCCTTTCAGGCCACCGCACGAGCGCAGTATCGTAAAGGGCCGAAAAATGCCATACCATCGTTAACTGGTGCAATCCGATTTGCCGTAGCTTAAGCGCAGCGAGAATACCTTGACACGATCGTAAGAACGCCGACACTACTCGTTTGGCCGAACCGCGGGGCATGCATGTGTCGCCGCGATAAAACATATCCCGACAGTGAATGAGGTGAGCACTCCACAGTCATGGAGTCAGCGTGCATGAACAGTGTAATTTTTTTTCCAGTATCGTATTTGAAATTGTTAAGCCCATCTGTTAGATATGCACAATTATATGTTTTCATTTTCTCCGATAACCCAGCCTTGTTTGTTAGAGTTACAATTTTTTCTGGCTCCAAACAATCTACAGAGGGTAAGTTGGGTTCGCCATTATCTGCTTGTAGAAAAGCACTTGACCTGCGAAATACATTGATGCCGTCAAACAGAATACACCAAATCCTCGGTATAAATATGCGTAGCATGAAGAGAATTCTATGAAACGACTACTTTTTAATTTCAATTCACGACTAAAGTCTTAAGAAGTATCGTACGTTAGATGCTCACAATTACGTGGTGGTGTATAAGCACTACATGCGCTACTCCAGAATACCTTCGTAACAGTTGTTCAGACTATGACCAGGTGTCACGATTTCACCTGTGTTGACAAATGCGGCTTTGCTAATTGCTCCCAAGTTAATACACTGAGTCCTCGGGCAATTGTTTATGAATATGAGCCTCATCATGAAGGAACATAAAGCAAATCTTGACTAAACAGCCGCCTTCGATGTTAAAAGTAGTGATACTTCAAATTAATCCGTCCGATCTCGATGATTACTATTTCCCAAAAAGCGGTTTGATGTTCTCACTCTCAGTCGAAGCAGGCATAACCCGAGATCGCATTGCAAAGGTCGGACACGTAAAGTAAATCCGGACTAATAAAGTACCTTTAATTTGCCCCAACAAAAGGTACTTATGTGCCTACTTAGTTGAATACATATTTCTGAGTGTTTGGTAAGAACCTTAGTCTTGGTGCAAGAATCCGCACAAACAAGCTTAACATGATTTATTGGCACGAAAAGGTGCCACTGATTTCGTAAGATTACCGAATTGACAGAGGTATGCTTCTACGCCGTAGTCCACTACCGTTGGGGACTTTTTTCATGTAAATAGGAATACCCGAGGGGAGCCTGGGTGTTCGCTGGCCATTGGCGGTCAGAAAGTCATGCGTGGGTCGGCTGATGGAGGGCGAGGGCTTAGGTACTGAAGGAGTATGAGGGAACTTGGACTCACCGCCAACTTGAATGGCAGGGTGGCTCACCTTGATTGCGAAACCGGTTCGAGCGATCAGGGGTCTGGCGGGTTCTCTACTGGTCGTCACCGGGTCGGTTACTGGCAATAATCGCGGTGGATTCGATCTACTAATTTCATTTCGAAGAGGGAGCAGTTTACACAGATTGCTGTGCCTCTGGGGGATAGGTTTTGGTGGGATGAGGAATGATGGACGCCGGATAACATCGAGTTTTGTAGTGGTGAGGCTGATACAACTAGTCGCACGATTCAAAGCAGGCTCCTCGATTCTATCGTCGTCTTCGTTGTCAGAAACATCAAAGACGAGTTGGTAAGAGGCGGCGCGATGAAGATTTGTGAGAGAGGAGGAAGTAGTAGTTAAGTCCGATGTTGCAGAAGGCTGCTGGTCCCTTTCAACATGCTCACTGTTGCTACTGTGCTCTGGGGGCGATTCAGAGAGGGGAAAGAGAGGCTCGGTCAAATCAAGATCAACCTCAATATCGGGCGTCCGTACAAGGCACTCGATGACAGTGGCCTCTTCGGGGTTCTGTGGGATGAGGATCCCATTACTTCTTGATGGTGAAGACAGGGAATTGAGGAAGCAACGAGTAGACTTCTCCACGGCAGCTGCGTCGCCGTAGAGCATTCGCCCGATTCGACAGTCGCCTTCTATCATTACACTCTGGATCCAACCCACTGGTATCATGTGCTCCGAGAGTGAGAGGCACAGGCCATTTAAACAGACCTATGAAACATTATGAAGGAGGCGCAATGTATGCTATTCGTTGCTCGATTAAAGTGAATCGGTCAAGTTTGTTGGGTACTTTGTACGTTGGCAACATAGCAACAGGTTGACCACTTGAAGTTTGACGTTGTTAAAATACATCTATTTTGCATGCGGCTGCTAGCTTTTCCTTGTACGTGGGAATTCCTGTTATGCGCTTACTCTGTCGACTATTTCGGGAAGTCGCCAAAACTCCAAACTAATCACACTGAGCGCAACGAACTATTGTAATACAGGTTAAGTTGCAGCAATCTCATATAAACTTATTCAAATAAATACCATTGTATCTATTTTTCATAATAAAGGTGGCTAATTTATCCTAGCTTGCGTCCTACTTGCAAACCAACTTTTATGGGCATGAGTTGCGACTAGTTTTAAGGGTGAATATGTACACATATATGCTATTAGCATCACTAGGATGCTATGCAAAATACTTTTCACAATGAAACGAATTTTAGACGGTGAGTTAGTGAATTTATACGCCATACTGAAACCTTAGTCTCATTCTTCCAAGGCATTCTTCATGCTAAGAACTGCAGAAAGTGGGTAATCTATCATGAGAATATGAAAACTAATGCGCCTTGATCTAGTGGTAAAATAAAACCGGGTTTCAATCTAGTCCTTTAGATTAACGCTTGTGATATTATATCTGTGTTCAGATCTGGGCAGCCATTAACTAGTAGTGTCCACCTGGAGATAACATTTCCTGCGCTAGCAGTCGCTTCACAGTGCAATGCAAAGAGGCCAAAGTTGCCGTCTTTTAAACGTGAAGGCAAGGATCGAAGACATCGTGTGATCATGGGGAAATCCGCTTCAGTCGGGTTTTGTGAAGTCTTTCGTAATTTGAGTGGTTTGACAGATGCTTCGTGTGCTCAAGTAAAAAGTGCATCTAGAGAAAGGAAGGTACTTCTAAGGTTTGTTAGTTGGCAGTTTAGGCCCGTTTAGGACTACCTACTTCCACCGTGTGGGACTGAGCGGAAGATAAGAGAACTAACCTAAAGTGGGTAAATAATTTGGGAGAAAAATACACTTCATTAAAACTGCACTATTCATTCCACCTGCACGCCTTTTACTTTTAAAAGGATAGATGCAAAAAATTATGTGCGCAACGCACACTTGGCGCGCACATGTCAATTGCGCAGAGCCAAATGCAAGGTTGCACAAAAAACACGGAAAATAAGCTCTTATGGATTACTATGACAGGTGGGTTTGGTTGTCATCACTACGCGCCCCACGTGCAACGAAGGCGATCAATGGAGGAAGCTGATACGTCGGTGGTTTCCCTCTTTACCTGTCTCGGTGGGCGAAAACGAAGCAACCCACTAAAGCATTGGACAATAACCTCAACCCTCTTAGTGAAAAGTGGGTGCTTCTGTTGGGATGCGGGCAGTTACGTTGATTTTTGAAGTTTAGAGTCGTGCAAAATTTATTATTATTCTCCACTAGATCCCCTGCTCCATTTATTTCTGAATAGTACAGTTCCGGGGTAATTGTTTTTTTTTCTAACTAAGTGATTCCCGCCGAATACCGCATTGAATATTGCTCTGAATGTGAATTGCTTCCTATTAATCTTCATTTAACGTTGTGATGCCACATCATTACGCCTACAAGGTTCTGGCGCCTCATGCATTTACAAGCCTGTGAATGCATTCCGCTAGCCGTTAGCTGTATGTACTTGAACTGCAAAAGTCGTTCTTATTTACTTAAAATACATACATAACTACCGGAAATGTATTAGTAAAAGTCTCTTTAAACAAGTAAGACATGAAAGGGAAAGACTCCCTGTTACGAAAGCATGTATAAGCTCCCAGGGTATATTTATTTACTGTTTTCTGGGAAAAAGACACCACTGCTACTTGCTATTAAACTCTTCTTAAAGAGTGGAATTAAGTATTGAATTGTTTTTTGGAATATGTCAACGAATTCATTGTGAAGAGTTTTGCTAATATAAAGCAAAAGAGAGAGACTGAGCTCCACAACGCAGGGTATTTGTTCATTATTGGACGTAAATAAGAATTCTGCATGGCAGTTCAATATGGTCTACCTCAAAAAAGTCCTTTTTGACGTAGATTTTGCAGGTGAAGAGTTCGCCAGTGCAAAAACCGTTTCTGGCGGCGTTGAAGCCTGTGGCGTTAGAGCTTGTCTCGGGGGTGAAGCCACAAACTTCCCACTCGCCGCCAGTGTCTAGTGTTACCTCTAGGGGCGTTGTCTCGCTTACAGGTATCTGCACCGGGGTCTCTGACGTCACGGGGGATGGCGGCGAACACAGCGAAAGATCGGGGTCGAAAACTTGGAAGTCTGATACCAACTTCAATACAAACCTGCGCACAGAGAGAACAAAATGTGCCCCTACAAGCTAACTCCTTTCAATGGTAATTGGTCCCATTCTGCTTATACTTGATGCTCAAATTTTCTGGGCTTTGAAATAGGTGATGAGTTAACATCCACACTAGTCATATTTTACTATTTTTGGGTGAGAAAAGGGAATTTTCGCTTAAGTATCGGGTGGATGACCCCTTCTCTCATTCATCAATTGAATGAATCAAGGCATTTTAGGGCATAAGGTCAAGTTCATGAAGTGTCGGAATATACATGCAATCATTAAAGTCTGATCTCTTGCTTGGGACAACGTCTTGCACTTACGATGGTGAACGCTGAACCATGCGATCCCGCTCATGGTACAATTAGAACAATTAGAAGGGTGTATGTGCTATCAAGTGGGGGGGAGGGGGGGCTTCGAGGAATTTGGCGCTGTACCCTCTGAGCGTTCCAATGCAAGCCACTAAGAGGTGGATAGATCGTCTGAGAAAAGTCCTTTGGAAAATGTGGTCATTCTTTTTGATTTGAATTTGTGATATGGGCAAAAGAAACAAATAGTAATACTAAGGTGAAACTGTTTACAGAATAAAGAAATGCGACTAAATGCTTATTATTTTGATACCAGAAATAATTTTTATTTGGCTGAACCTATTCTAGTAGTGCTGCTTGTGCCTTGCTCTTATCCAGGGTTTGTCAAGAGGGTGTAGATGAATTTCGGTGAATGTTCTACGTATTAATTTTAACTTGAAAGGTTTGGTTAAAGTTAATCAAATCGTCAAACAACACTTGAGCAGTCGACAGTATCATTCTGAACCACCAAATGCAACCAAAACTTCATAAACAGTTATGAAGTTTAACTCTTTTGATCGCGTTGACTCCCCAAGGGACCTGTTGAGCAGAAGTAAGGGCTTTACGAGTTGAGCTATTGTGTGATACAACTCGGTTCAAATTTGGGGTAGTGCGACATGAAGGCTGTAATTAACGATGGGAAGTGAAGTAATACAATGAACATTCGATTGATGATGATGCGGACGCCTGGGTTTTCACCACAAAAGTGAGTCTTCCAAGTTATCCCCACAACTTACTTAAGGGATTGGAAAAAGACATTTCCACATTATCGAATGATAACAGGAGGTACAACATAAATGAAGGGGCCAAAGCACAGTGTCCTCCTACTAAACATATTAAGCGTATACAGCCTGAGTAAAACTATAATTCCACAATTAATGAATTTTGACACACAATGAACCTCTGCCCATTTGGATTCACAATTGTCGGGCTATTCCGTAGTGAATTAGGTTAGCCATTAGTTGATTTAGAAAACAGAGTAATGACGATTATATGCATGCATAAGGCAAAATACCTTGTCCTCCCAACTTCTCCAATGACAACTATGCTGTGACCCACGTCAAGAGGCGAAGGAAACTTGAAGGTAATTCCCATTCTTCTCTGTGAATAAAACGCTTTTGGCTTTAGCAAAGACAAAACGACGTAGATTGTGTCTGGTTAATGAGCCACACACTGTCTCATTAACTATCGCCTTTCCAGCGACATGTATCCCCGATGATTGTGCTTCTACAGAGTTGGTGCAAGTCGTGGCTGTGCAGAAATCACTAATCAGGTCGCCCGACCTCAACAACCAATGGGAATGCTTAAATAGATGAAGATGCGCGTCGATGGCACAGACTTGTAGGGCGCGCCACACTGTATACCACTTGGTGAAGCCTACCTACTGCACACAACATTCCATTGACTACAAATGTCACTGTCACAACTAGTGAATTCAAGGACGAAGGCGCTCAATGGCAAACACTTCTTCCTTTCGCAGCAGATTGCATCCACCCGATTTCACAAATTGTGTTCATCTTCGACGCATGGTTGGTTCGAGAAGCAAACAGAATGATTCCTTCACTTGAAGACCTTGAAATCCAGCCTCTCAAGTGGCATGAAGCAGATGGCCGACACTTCTCAAAAGCATATGCGCACACCTTTAAGTGGCATTAGCAATTCAGTCGCCATGGAAAGTGTGGTCGCGGAAACGACAAAAGTTCTCATACTGCCGATTCACAAAAAGGCAAACCGTAGAAAAGAAATACTGAGTTCAAGTGCACTTGCGAATCACTTCTCGAAGATAAACGGAGGCCTATCCTGGCCATGCAAATATGAAATAACCCCGACTAAACGAATTTGCGCTATCATTTATTGACAATCGCAATTTGCATTTTACCTGCCGTAGTATGAAGACCGCACCAGATAACCTGATAGAGCAAGCACTGGAGCAAAGGAGTAATTCCATTGTGTTTAAAGGAGCCAATCAGACCCACGTAGAGATGGAGTGTATTTTGAAATGCCACAGCTATCAAAAATTGCATGACGAGAATGTAAGTGCATGAGGAAAAGTATAGATGGATGGCAAGTCATTGAGATGATCGTTTACTTTCAAAAAATGCAGGGTAATAGGATTCAACGCAAGAGTCCAAGGCGTCCCTGAGACTGCAAGCAGCCTTGTCAAGAGTTTCAGTGACAGCTGGAACCTGAAAAGAAATAAAACGGTAAAAGGAAAGGAAACTACTTCAAACAATGAGAAAACGGGGAAAGAGAAGCAACATGGATCATCACTGAAGCCTTTGGCTACGGAATTTACGGCTTCAAGTCAAGTTATGGGCCAACCTAAAACGGTATTAATAGAGCGTTTTCTTCTTGAGGATTTTACCACCATCAGCGAAATAGAAAGGGCATTTGCAGAGTGAAACTAAAATGGGACAATTTCCTATGGAGGTAGTACATAAAATAGAGGAGAGTGTCCAGGTAATAAAATCTTAGTCCACCGGAAAATTAGTGACCATAGCCACAACCCGATGCAATACTATAAAGTCGGTAAAATAGTAATCCTCAACAAAGTCGTATAAGATAGGGACAGACACGGTAGCAACACCTTTCAGCTACAAGTCACGAAAATAACCTGACATTTACAGCCCTTCCTGTCGGGCATTTCCTCAGATGCACTAGATGCGTCTCTGCGGCGCCTTCAAAGCCTCTCGTGCAAAATCGCCTTAAGCAAGCAATCTTGACAGTGTTGACTGGGGGAGCACTAATCGCTGAGACTGACCGAAAGCCGTTTTATTGAGGGAAAGCAGCAACAAAACCGTTCAGCTCTGGGAGGGAAGGCCTTCGTCTGAGCAAGATGAGCTTGTGATGCATCCTAATGAATAAAACCCACCCCGAATTTCTTAGACCAGGCGCAGATGTCTGCAGTGAAGGCGTCAATATCGCGAATCCAGACCTCAATGGGGCTTTCCGCGAGCGTTTCCGAGGCCTCGAGGCACCGGCGAAGACGCGCGAGGCCGTGAAAGACGCCGCACTGGCCCTCCACATTGCTAATGCCCTCCACCAAGACATCTTCGGCTAATAGGCTCGAGGAGCACATGGGACAGTTGACAGAGGCAGTGAAGCAAAACGCCTCCGGATGACACAGAAGACTCAGCAAAATACGACACCCGGACTGAGAGGAAAAAATGCGTTAGTGCTCACGAAAAAGGCAATACATGGGACCCTCTACAGCAACTAGACGGCTAAGTAGGTTCGAATCTAATCTAGAGTCTACGCATAATCCGTCTTTCGGCATCAGAACTATGACAAATAAAAGGCCTGTTTAATTACGTCAAAATAAAAGGAGTTGTACAGCACATTGAGGTCATCCAACAGAAGGAAAATAGGGCTGTGGGCGAATGTCACCAGCCGTATTGATGTTGAAGTTGCTGAATGCAATCACAGGGGAAATTTGTGAAGTGCAGAACATACACACGTCATTAACGTCGTAATAGTTTGGACGAAATCTCTTATAGCTGCCCAAAAGTGACACATTCTTGGCCTACACATCATGCGGTTGCTCACCAAATAAAAACAACAAAAAGGTGCGTCTTCTGATGGAATACGGGTAGTGATACCTACAAGCGACGTGTTTTACTCGGATAGGCGAATTGATGTGCTGCCGATTTTATTTGTTGAAGCGATTTTAATGGAAATATGATATTTACGAGTCACGTATGGAAAATAATATTAACGTAGATATTTTGTAACTAGGTAAATGAGATGAGGTATAGCAAACTAATATAGTCGAAACCAAGTCAACAAGTAACCTTAACAAAGCCCTTTTGTAAAAGGTTGTTTTGACTTGTGGTAGTTGAACTTCAAGCATCAAAACACTGGATAACAAGAGGCACAATCGGGCCTGGACATGCGAAGGCTGGGTGCATGTACGCACGCACTATTGCGCCGGGTATACCACGTATGGTGATGTTGGTGGACAGAGGATGCAGGAAACAAAATGCTGCCGTGATTAATGCTGCAATCACTACAAAAACCGGGGTAAACGATGCGGTTTTTAAGCAAAAAGAGCTGCAAATATCTGACGGCTTGAACAAAGGATCGAAGAACACGCGAGCTTAACACAATCACCTTTTACACTAAAAAATTGCTGTGGTGAAACAGATTTAAATGCATTACATGAGCCTAACCTTTTAAAATACACCTGTCTTCGTTTGAGTGAGAGAATACGAAAAGACCTACTTCAAACTGTTCGTGGGTCCAAGTGGAAGGCTGCGCGTTGGTGGTGGATGGCGTCCAGGCACAGGCATCGCGAATTCGACGGAGCGGAGAGGAGGACGATTTGATGGTATTAATAGTGGTGGCTGAGCAGAGGGAGCAGGTCCAGCATCGGCTATGCAGAGAGACTGAATCGAGGCGTGGCAGGTGGCACTGTGGGTGAAAGGCGCGATGGCAGCTCGCACATAGCGCCAAAAGACCAGAAGAGTGACAGACCGTACAGCCGCTGCTGAGGAGTGCAGCGTCGACTGGCCCTCCACTGGCGTCCATGCCACCACTACCACCATCACGGCCAGTGCTTGGATCAATCGTGTCCACACTTTTCTGATACTGCATACCCGCGTCAGGCAACATCAGGAAGCATAAACACAGGAATGATAGCCTACCCCAGCATTCGCCTCAATTGTTTAAATCTATATATTGAGACACTTTGTTTCGCAAAATGTGGGCCTTATAAACAGGAACGAATGTGTTCAGAGTGGGAACTTTAATAAAAAAGCTAGGCTTTAAGAACAAAATCGAGAAATAGCCCATTCTTAGTCACTACATATTGGTTAGGATTTTCCAACGCAAATTGAAATGTACCTTTGCAATTTAAGTAACTGTTATGTTATATGGGCACAAACGGTATTAAAGGATTATAATTTGCAAAAAAACATCCAAATGAGGCATAAAAGGTAACTTAAATACCACCCAGTTGACAAAAAATCCACTAATAAATGCCTTCAAGGAAATTCATAACACGAATTATTTCCTTTGAATGATTTTGAAGAGTCCATACTTAATGAAATGAGAAAATAAGCACACCTCAGGAGGTCCTTTTGAAATCCAGTCATCAGCATCTTGACCAGAAGTCCAGCAGATAGACGATACGAGCTGAGCAAGTTCATCAGATGGTCGATTAGGGAGGAAAACAGCACGGGAGGTGGCAGATTTGCGCCAACCACTCACCGTCCGCACCTCGTCCCCATTCTCCTCGGCTGCTGCCGACGTCTCCACGCTGCTGTCTGCTGACACGATACTAACTTGCTTTGCCAAACCCTCTAACCGTTCTTCCAGACAGACTGCCAGTTGCACCAGACTTGCCGGATCCTTCTCCTCGTTGTCAACGAGGCAGTGCGACAAACGCAATGTATAGTCAATGCGCTCCTGTACGTAGAAGAGCAAACTAAACAACACTTCGCTTGTCTCTTTAAAAAAGTGCTTGGAGAAAATCTAAACGATCGTTTAGAAGTTAGTTTAGAGAAAAAAAAAACTAAGTTAAAGTTGATAAAGACTCCCATGGATAAAGAGAAATGATAATTAAAAAGTCCAAATTTATGAAAATGGTAGACACGACATTTCTGCATTGATATTTTACTAAATAGCAGGTAAACAAACCAGCAAGCTACGCATAACGTCATGAGCTTTGGCCAGTCTATCGATATGCGTCTGAGCGATCTTGTCAAGTTCGACATCAAGACTCTCCTTGTTTTGGTTTATGGCATGGAGAAGAACATCAAGAGAACGGCGAAGAGAGGCCTTCGCAGTATCAACACTGGCAAGGAGGGCGGTAGGAGCCCGCTTAGCTGTACCCAAGAGGGACTTCAAGTGTTCCATCTGCGCCTCAAGAGAGCGCATTGCAGCCAGTAGACCAGGACGAAGCAGCTCAGCCTTTTCCTTTACCCACCGGTGCCCACCGTGGTCACGGTGCACCGACAACTGGCAGTCACGACAGGTCAACACACCACAGGTCTCGCAAAACAACTCCAGTGATTCCCGTGGGTGGATCTCACACTTCAAACCTGATATGATGATACAAGGAGAGGAGCTACTGGGAAATTTTACTTATTAAAGGCTCAAAACACTAAATCAAGAATAAAATTGACAAGCAAAAGCACAGCAAATAGTTGTGAGTAGCACATTACATAAACTGGTGAATACAATAAATAAGCACTTGCAAGTGAAACGCTAAAAAAGATTCTGTCAACGAAATAGAGAATCTACAAGTGTCCAAATTGTAGGATAAAAGCGATATAACCACTTCAGAGTGCTAATTTGCTTGCCAAAGTTACGGCTGGAATACATGCCCAAATTGTGAACACTAAACTGAGTAAATACCTTTGTCTCCACAGTCCCCAACTATGTTTATGGTGTGCGACCTAAACGGTGGCATTCTATTATGACCCTTGATGCATTCGGTGCAAAGCCACTGATTGCATTGTTCGCAATGACCCTGTGAGATATTAGATTCTCCACCTTCGGAGCACCACACACAATTGGGGGTTTTGTTCTGAGAATTCATTTTGCATAGAGCCCCATTTGTAATCAGCTACACAAAAATCAATGAAATACGTGAACAAACCTTGCTGCTGGCTTTGTTGCATCTATTACAAATATATTTATCAGAAACTGCTACTTTATCAACACAATCATTACAGACAGTGTGCAGGCACTGTGAAAATAGTCTTGAGGCTTCTTGTGAACCACAAATACAACATTCAAAAAGTTGATGTGACGATTTTGATTCCTTCAGCTTCATAATAGCTACGCAACCTCACATCAACGGCACACCAAACCTGGCTAGACTACTGATGCGAGTAACCGAGCGACCCGGTATCATCTTCGTTAGTAGGGAAACTGTTCTGTGCCCATAGCATAAGCTTACAAAAAAGTGCTTCGTAATTTTCAAAAAAGTTGAAATCGAATGAACATTTACTGCTAGGCTTTGACCACCTGTGTCATCTGCACTTATAACTGGTACCTTAATTTCATGTGGTCTTTAATTGTATTGACCAAAATTCTGCTGTTTTCAGGGGAACGCAGTCAGTGCAGGCTAATTCGCCTGCTAATAGTTAAAGAAGGTTTGCTTGATTTTGCCCTCTTAGTCACATTCGTAAATTGTAAAAATGCGTTTGCAGGACGAATAAAACTTTCGCTTTGGTTTTGGCTTTCTTGGATTAAAATTTTGTGTGTTCTGTAGTTCTTACGACCGTGAACATCCTTATGAGGTATGTAGACCTTGGACCCTGTTATAATTAATAATTTGTCTTTCGTTCCTCATACGCGGTCTTACTGCAAACAGTTATGCCCAATGAGCGTTCGGTATTTAGTATAATAGTTTCTTCGAGTGGAGGAACCACAATAACGTGTTATGGACATTGACAGTCGACCCATCATATATTGTAATTATGGATTAGTAGGCGTCTAATTTCCTTTATTGTGCAGATTTGTCGACGGTTTCCTGTCTTTTCCTCAATAGAATATCTATTGCCGAATTGCTCCCATGATATCCATTACTATATTTGGGTTAGATAGATGCATTTGTCCCATTTTTTTAATGTCTAAATCTTGGCACTTTATCATCGCTGCTTCTAAATAAGCTGAAGTCTTAGTGCTGTTGGTATATGTGTTAGCTCTGCTATTGTTCTATACTAACGTTCTAATTCCGAAATTGCCTGATGCAGATTTAGTTATCCTTTTACAACAAAGTATTTTGTCCTCTCAATATAGGGAAAACATGGCTGCACTTCCTGTTGATTGCTTTTCGTTTCTATGACCTCACTTTTATTCGTTTACTCATGCCTCTCTTTGCTTTGACTTTCCAAACTTTACACATCGTTATTTTGGTTCACGCATTTTAGTCGACCACATTTTTGCCAAATTTTTAATTGATTTTCTGCTTTCCTGTTTTTACCTGTACAATTTGTAAGACATCATTTCCGTACGAGTCGTTAGATGGCATAACTGCCAATTTCAGTGCCAAGCTTCGAGCGTTCATCAAGCAGCACATATTTTCACTAAATTACACAGGACCATTAAAGTCTTTTCACAATCGTAGGCTTTAATTGCCCGTGGTAATTTAGACTGCTGTTCTAAAATTGAATATGCGTCAGTAGTTAACATCTTGACTGGATTTTGATGCCATTATTCAAATGGATAGTACTTGATAACGTTTAACACTGTAGATTATGGAGATGAAGCAGCAAAGTACCATGTCCAGGAGTTTCGTTCTTCTGGACTTGCAGCCCAGCCTGTTCAGTGGAGTCGTCATCCAGACCAGCCGTCTCAAAGCGTTCATGTCGACCCAAACTTTCTGCCATTACACCTACCAACCGATGTGAACAATGATTTAGGCAGCCAGTCAGCTTATCCTGCCATCTACATTTTCTTTTGTCCAAACGTAAATGTCTACTCATTCGGCATTTTTCTGTATTTTTTCCAAAATGTCTTTTTGCATAGGTTTGATTTTCCGTCCCCCACTTTGTCAAAGTCTTGCATCTTTGTTAAAACTAATATGTAAATTATTCTGCTAAAATCAAGATCCCTTAATCATTTACCTCACCAATGCTTTATAAAAATTCCTAGTCAGGATCGTCTACATCACGTTTTACTCACATTTTTGCGTCAAAATTCACTTCGGATTTGATATTTAGGATCCGCAGTACTATGCGAATCGTGGTAAGAAAACCTTTGGCAAATGGTTTGGTTTTTTATCATCAAATAAACTGAAAGAGTGGCTTATCATTACGATAACGGATAAATCAAAGAAGATATCTTCAAGGAATTCTGTGGCTACCCAATTAAAGCATGACTTCTCCATCGACTTTACCGATCGGTAAGTGAATTTTCCTACAAATTTCCATATTAATAGCTTGGCTTTCTTTCAGATTTTATAATGGAAAAGGTTGTACTTTAATTAAGGTTTGTCATCAAATTAACACTTGTAATAACTGATTAAATACTATTATACTACAATTTTAGAATCTGTAACTGTTTAAGTACGACTTCTTCGATTTCTGAAGAAAGGCATACTTGAATAAATAATTCAGGTTGAAGCAGACCCTTTAATGTAAATTTTGTTGCTTTGAAAGCCAATTATTGAACGTTCGATTTGTTACTGAATGTGGCCACTCGCAAATTTTATGTGATCAGATTTTGAGTATGTGTAATTTCTCCTCCAAAATGGAATTGAAGCATTGTGAGAAAACTGAATACTATTTTCTTTTAGCTTGCATGACCTTCCAAGTGACTATGAATCCTATCCAGGTACTTTGCAGGCACTGAATGTCAAACTTCGGAATGCTGTTATTCGTGTTTTCAACACCACCCTCGATGCAATTGATAATCGAGCGGAGAAGTTAGCGGCTAGCCGAAATGATGAAGATTGGGACTTCATGGATTATCTTCTTTGCATGGTACGATTAGTTCAGTTTACCCTTACGAATCGACGGTGTCTGTGTTTTTTCCCACATTCCCTGTCTAAATTTCCTTGCCTTCTACAATTTTGATTGTCGGTCAGGTAAATTGTGCCTCTATTTATTACTAACGTCATTAACCGCCACTAAAATTTCTTAGGAAACTAAGTATTTTATAGAAGTACTAACTTTATAATTTTTCTACTTCGTTAAATTTCACATCTTGCGGCAAGTTAGGATTCATTGTTACTATGTGGCTCGTGCCTATTGTTTATGGGGCATTCATGTTTGCTAGTACATTAATATTTATAACTTTGGCCACATATAAGTGTTTTTATTTAAAAACCGATTCAGTACAAAGCAATGTTTCTTTTTTGATCTCCACCTTCTCTGTCATCTCATAAAACTAATTCGCTGGTTGTTTTTTGTGTGGTGTGCCTATTTCTTTTGCGTTCTTTTCATTGCATCGGTATTACTCGAATTGGCTAAAAACTGGAATTGCATAGCCGACTAAGGAAGCAAATCAAATTTTGGAAGAACTTGGAATAAATGGAGGTACAGTGATTCTACACTAGTGTAGTGATGCAACTTTGTTGTGAGTCGCGAAAATCCTTCACGTCGGCTGCACTCACCACAGAGGCGCTCGAATCAGGTTCGCTTGTAGTATTTGCACTGTTTTGGATGGGCCCGCTTCAAAACCTCAGATAGTTTTCATGTGATTTGATTTGCGTTCGCTTTGGGGGTTTGCCCTCCATCGCTGCTCTTGATGTTGTTGCTGTCACTGGTGTTGTTTCAATTTGTTTCAAGTACGCTTCAAAGTCACTCCACCCTGGGCGAATACACCCAATGGACTGAAATGCCGCCTAAAGATGAAGTGAAACGTATCTATTCCTTTATCAGAAGGAGTTGCGCTGGTGTACAAAACAATCCTGCAGTAATATATTTGACTGTAGGGAGGTTTGAGGTTGAGGTGAAAGTGAATGCACCTGTGCTGGGACCAAATTCGCGAGAGTTAGGTCAAGTTCATAAATTACCAAGAAGAACACTTATTTATCTCAATGCACTGCATAACAGAGCACAATGCTTGCCTGGCTAGTGAGAGTATCTTTTCTGTTGCAGGAGGAAATTGCCTCTCTCTACAGCTGCATGAGCCTCTATGAGGAAGCCCTGGAGTGTATGGAGAAAGCGGAGAATTGCCTGTCCGTTGCGTTGGCCAACGCGGCTGGGAATGGTTTGTTCCTTGCATCTGTTGTAACGATCACCTTGTTTTATTTACCAGCCTGACCTCTTGTGTTGGTGAAGCAGGACAATTACTCCTTGAATTCATGCTCTGACTGGTGTATAAGTTGACATATGTTCACAAACCCTATGCAGTGACCAAGCAACGAACATTCATATTCAACTGAGGAATGTTCGCTTTCTAAATGTATAAGCTTCCGATGGACAAGTCCAGCAGTGATGACGCCTAAAAAATCTTAAATCTCAGCATACAGCTTAAGGTATAACCGTAATTTTGTGGCTGAGATGTGCCTCTTGCGCCTTATTTTGACACCTAAAATTAGTGTTCAATGATCATCTAGATAAGCTTGCTTAAGTAGCCAATCTAATGATGCGACTCTGGGATCATTCCGCACTTTAAGTAAGAATGCTCATGCCCTGACGATTGTTACTATCAACAGCCCTGTGGAATTAAATCGAGCAGCTTTTATACGAAGTTACTGGCACAATTTTCAACAGGCATAGCGCTAATGTGTCGAGTCGTCTATAAAACGTGGTCATTTTGTGTCAAGAGGTGTTGCGTCTACACCAAGTTTTTGCGAGGAAGTGACCTAATACGACTGAAAAACAAAAATTTCTACACCCTTGATGTCGTTATGGGCTCATTTTACTTGATGGATAAATAAATTTCCTCAGTGTTAACACATGCTACCTTTGCTGTTGAAGCGCTTGAGTTCAGTTGTTTCCCTTTTCAGGAGTCAATAGGTGGGTGCGAAACCTGCTCTCAAATAGTTATGAGAATCTGTTAGCCGATCCAACCATCGTCTCCACCTACGCCAGCCCCCAAAGAGTGGAGCGGGTGCGGCGACGCGAGGCCAACCTCTTCGAGCTGCGTGCCCACATTCTGACGCGCGAGTGCGCCCTTCTGCAGGCCCTCGACCGCATCACTGAGCTGCCAGCCCTCGCCGTCCGCAACATCCGCCTCTGTACCAAGGAGGTTCGCGACCTCAAGGCAAGTCCGTTCCCTCTTTCCCTCCTCCCTTGTCCTCCATTCTCCTCTCTAAAGAGAATCCTTGTTGAACATCCCTCAAACCTGCATAGACGGGTGCATGTACAAATTAAAATTGATACTGTTGCTGAATAGATGGGTGGATTATGGATGAACTAATTTTCTTTTATATTTCACTAATCCTTCTCCGAGAAAACTCCTGATTGTGTGTGAATTTAAATTCTCGGCTATTAGAATGCTAGAATAGTCTTCTTTCGTGAGGCTTTTAGTTGGACTTCTGACGTTTGGCGTACTTTGCTGTACTTACGCTACTGTTTTCTTGAAGCTATGTGAGGTGTTTTGTATTTAGGTATGCTTGTGTGATGATGCGCTAATTTTGAACATCGAGCATCGTCCAAGTTCCGTAATATGTCTTAACACTGGCGCCAATAATCTTACCTCTTCATGCCCTTTGTTGATTTTTTAGTGGTAGTGATAACCTGGAAGGCCATGTTAGGGTTTTTTTGCGCATGTGACAAAATTGATTTTCCAGCATTAACTAATCACAGATTGTTAATTACTAGTGTTAAAGAACATGTAAGCATAGTCATGTACCGATGTTTTTTGAGTGTTCTTTGTATTTTTGGTATGATTGCTGTTGTGTATTCCTATCTCTCCGCAAAAAGGCTAAAATGAACACAACAAATCTTAATTGGCTTTACATTCCTCTCATCAGGTGATGGTGCCGGCTCTCCAGCTATACTTTTGGACTTTTCTTTCTACCCTTCAAACGCTTGAGATATTTCGCCTCGGAACACCTTGTGTACCGAAGACCGAAGATTTCATACATCTTCGGCGCAAATTTTTGCATGCCAACAACCTGCTGCAGCACCCACTTTCCACTGCCACCACCCCTGCAGCTGCCAATTCAGCTATCGCTTTGAGTACAGACGAAGACTCTAATTGCCCTTCAAACGCGTCCGAGTTAAGTGTCTCGACTCTCATTTCGGCGCGTTTCAAAGCCATGGAGTCGTTGGATCTGCTGGAAGATGTATCCTTCCAGACCGAGGGCACATTTAACGTTCTTGCTCGGGCAGTTTTGGCATCCGTGGCGGCCGACGATCACGCCAGATCGGGTCGCACCAACTTGCAAAGCCAGGCCCTCGTCGGTACAAGTCAATGGACCGTTGATCTGTGGAGACGCGCCTGTGTTGCCTTGGCCCGTCTCGGCCGCTGCACGGATCTCTGGCCTGATCCGGCGCGTCGCACCCAGAATGCACGTTCTGACTCTCTACAGGACTCCATGATTCTCTCGATCATTGACTCGTTAAACAATTTTACTAGCCGCAACCGCAGCACCCCGGATTCTACGCAATTCAGTTTTGGAGGTTCCTTTGGCGCTCAGCTGTCCATCGCTTTCGTCTCACCAGAGTCTTTCCAGGAGGTCTATCGCAAATTTGTTGGCGTCTGCATTTTCTTCCAAAGTTGTTCGGGGGAAAAACGCAGCTCAAATTGCATGTCTCTGGAACTGGCTGATTTCTACCGGTGCGCCCTCTATTATCCATGGTGGGACGTGAAAATGCGTTTATTTTTACTTTTTAACTAGTTTTTGCACTTTTCCCATGGGTTTATATTATTTCGAATAGAATATATAAATAAAACCTTATATGACCAACTTTATTGTTATCAAATTTACCCTTAGTTAAGCAGTCATAAATACATCCACAGAAATACCAGTTTGAATGAATTCAAATGCTCTAGTGAGCTTTTATTGCATTACCTCATCCACAATATGACGTCTTCAGCTTTGCTGTTGCGACAGCTTACGACTACGTGCACGTTCCTATGACCCTCATTAGCTACTGTGTTAGCAGCCATGGAAGCTGCAACAACACACTTGACACCAGTCAAATGCGAAGTTTAACCAATTTAAAATTTTGTATCCGCCGTCTCGTCTGACCTTTCTATGTTATCTGCCTTTTTGTGCTTGAATTATCCCCAGTAGGTGCTAAAAAAAAAACAGTTATTGGGATCGAGAGTAGGATTTCACAAGAGGCGGTTGGTGATTCTGTGAAATGCGCATTGTGCTATATTTTACTTACCTGGGTTTCAGAGACGCTGGAAAGTTCTTAAAGGCGGAATCTCTGTACCACCGAGCAACGAAAATTTTTTTGAGAGAATCTTGGACGGAGCTTGCAACCTACTCTCTTCTGCAACAAGCCTTTTGTCAGCAGGTCCAATGGAGAACGGAGAATGTCGACACTATTGAGGCATCTGTTTTTAGACGGTTGGTTCTTTTATCTTCTGAAATACCGCTCGTGCAGTTTTAATACTACATAACATGTGGTCGGCCAATTTCTATTTTTAAACTTCTGGCATCAAAATAGTTTATAAATCTACCTGTTAGTCTATGCCGCCTTCTATACTTTGACAGGAAGTATGATCCTTACCCAGAGAATTCTAATGTAAATGGGTGAAAAATTATGCCATGTAGGTAAGAAATCTTTCCAATAAAATATTTCACGAAATTTTGGTCCATGATGGAGGCTTACAACTTCTGTACGAATCTCAGAAAGGCTGTTTAAAATTGATTATTTACTTCTACCTGTTTGCATATTATGTTGAAATTATCTTTATGGTGCTCCACGATTATTCTGATCTTACGTAGTCTAACAAGAGTCAGAAACGAAGCTGTTTTGGTACTCCTTTTTAGCCTCTGTGTTTCTTTTGAAACTTTATGGACTTTAATAAATCCATCATTTTCATAAAGCTATACTTAGTATATTCATGAATGCGCCTAGCTAATACTGTGAAGAAATTTATGATAATATTGTGAAGCGCAGACAAATACTCCGAGATGGGTGCTTTATTGGACATTGTCCGCAGATACGTGCAGACCGCCCTGATTCTCGCAATAACACCGACCAAGAGTCTGCATCAATGCTACGACCTGTTAAAGCGGCGCGGCTCCTACTTTGACAATCTCTTCGGAGAGGGTATAACAGCCGCAAGGGGTGCAGCGGCGGCGGAAGTGGCGATTTTGCCACCCTGGTGGCCGGATGACTGGTGGGCGCACACGCTGGAGACAGTGGCGGAGCACTACGCTCGCATCGCGCCTCCTCCGCCGCTTGTCGAAACGTTATCACTGCATCAGCCGCTGATGCCCCTCGCGGTGCGTTCCCTGTGGCCCCTCTTCCGCCTCCTCTCCGTCGATCTTGAGGAGGCCAATCCACACACTCACCGCCAGGTCATTCGCCTTCACCTTCGTCTCACTGGGGTTCGGCAGATGCTCCTGCGGTACGTGCCAACAGATCACCCCTTCTCCTAATTCTTCTCAATCATACATGACCGTACCTTAAATATGGGGCGAATATTATCTATGCATTGCATAGACCAAATTTTTACCTAAAATTTCTATTTTGCACTTGACAAACGCCTTTTTAAACAAAGTTGGCTGGCATTTTTGTTACTGATGTTTTTCCTACGTGATTTAGCTATACCTATCCTCATTTATCTAGAATATGATTACTGCTCTTTTCAAGTAAAACATTGCCTATTGTCGTGTTTAAGGAGTTGAATCATGCATGCCTGCACGAAATGTTGGAGGGTCACTATTATCCCAAAGCGTGTCCTTTTGACATTTTTTAGCGTCGTTCCCATTCCACACCCTTGCCTGAAGTCAAAAGATCACAATGAATCCCAATCAATTAACAGGTTAATTCTTCGTTTGTGTAATCCGAATTACATGGTTTACTCGATCCAACAGGTTTTTAAATGCCAAAAGTAGTATTAAACTCTGCCACTTGATTTCGGTTTTGGTGGGCAAATATGCACCAATTTTTCCAGGATGCATTATGAGTATTTACTGAACCATGAGGTTTATTTACCATAAGTTTTTTTTACCTACCAAAGCTTTCTCTTCAAATGCCAAGGATCCCTTGAATTTTCCAAATTTCCGGAATATAGCTTAAGTTATATTTCTCCATTTCCTCTGAGACCGGTGGGTACTTTTCCTGTACTTTTGCAATGTATGCACGCCGGCAAGGCAATGCTACCGTCCTTTTTAAAATTGCTCTTAAAATAGTGAAAGATATTCAGTGCTTAAAGTGAGTTTTCATGTTGCATGCCACGCCAATCGAAGGGAAAGGAGCTGAGATCAAATGTGACTAAATTCCCCTAACGCAATACAATCCCCCTAACTTTAAATTTACTCCAAAGGGACGTCGGATATCTAGGTGAATCCTTCCGGATCCCAGTTGAAGCATTTTAAACAGGTACACAAAGTAAGCCTAGTAATTTTTTTTAAATAAAAAAGGGTTTCGGTTGGGGCGCGGCCCACTACATCAGAGGATTGGAGCATGCCGCCGCTCTTGCGCGAAGTCGACAAGAAGCATGGAAGTGATCCAGTAAAATTTTTCAATGTCGACTTGTCTTCAGAAGGCGTCCGCGTTGGCATCATTAGCTCCACCGCTGACGCCAGCTCCGCAGCCTCGGCAGAATTTGGTGGTGGTGGGGACGGTGACAGCTCTATCTCATCCCCTTCTGTCGCTGTTGCTGCTACAACTCCTGCATTATTGAGTTCCAGCACCTCCAAGGAGTCCGTCATGCAAAGACTGTTCCGTAGGACAAGCGCAAAGTTCGTGCAGAAAACATTCTGAGCTTTGGTCAACTTTTCTACAATAGGTCCACTCTTATTCACTGTTTTCGAGCCATTGCTCGCTGAAGTGGGTGTAATTCATCATATTTCTATCGATCACATGCTCCTTAACTTGCATCACTGACTAGTTTGGTAAAGTTTTTAGTCAATAGCAAACATCCGCTTCCACTTCATGTCATTTCAACCATGTGTTAAGAAAATACAAATAACTTTGAAACACGGTTTTCCTGATTCTCTCCCTTACGTTGGTGTCTATATTTAATTTAGAGGGAGACCTGGTCGGATTTTGTTCAAAAGATCGAGTGACAACGCGCGCACTACAAACGGTCAGTCGGCTGGCGTCAAGCCCCCAAGACGTCCCACGTCGATTGACTTTCTCGGCTACCGAGGTCGTTTGAACACCCTAGACAGGGTGAATCCTTTGCCCTACGATTCGATTCTCGATGGTCTCACACTCTCCTCAGGTAAACGCGTCAATAAATTTTCCTTCACCAAATTTCGTACGTTTATGCTTCAGCTTTGTTGATGTAAATTCATCTTAAATATTTTGACTAAAAATATCTTTAACGAATTAACTAAAATGCATGTAGTAGCCCACAACGTATGATGACTGAACCGTACTGGCTTGACATATCAATGGATAACTCAATTTCTTTACTTTCTACACGAATTCTGCGTACTTCATTTTATCATTTTTGAATTCTCCTATGGCAGATTACGATCGCTTCGTTCCTAGCGCGACAGGAACCCCCGAAACTGTGTCGATGACGGAAGATTCTGTCTTCTCTGACAGTAGGGCTGCTCGACACCACAAAAAGGGCTTTAGTCTCTCCGACCTATCAAACTTCATTCACTCACTTAAAATATCGAAAAACGACTTCTCCTCAAGGAATCATGTCGACACAAACGGTACCCCTATGCCACCGGTCACAACGAAGGCCGTTGTAATTGAGAAGAATGATATCTTCTTCTACACACGAAACCACGCCACGAATCCGTTTCATTGTCGACTGCAAGAATCAACCAAAGAACCTATTGAAGACAAGGACAATGTGTTAGTATTTCAACCGGGCGATAACTATCTTATCATGGAGACAGCTGTAAGCGGCTATGCGTCCACCGCGCTCTTTTACTGATTTATTGTGAGTAAAAATATTTTATTGGCTATTTTTAGCATTACGGCTTCCATCTGCCGGGTGAGATTTCAATCGCTGTCTACAACGATTCTCAAAGTGCTGAAAACAATAGCCCCATATTCATATTCTCAAGCCCCATCAATCCTGAACAGCACGGATCCACTTGGTCCAACGAGACACTTTTGGAGCGTCTCCTTCCGAGGGTCGAGCAGATTGAAGCCATTCGAGTGTCTAAGGCGTACTCCTTCCCCGAACCGCCAAAAAAAGGTACGTTTTTCCTTTAATCTTATTGAATCTGCTATATTTCACTGTATGTTTTGTTTAATCTGAATGACGTATCATTTCTCAGCGTAGTAGCAAATGACAAGTCCCATCACTTTTGGTTGTTACATGGAGTTGGACTTCCTGATCGCATCAATGCCTACTACCGTAGTGTAAACTTCAAAACATTTCCTATTCACATACTCTCAATAGGTAAAGATTAATTAAACTTAAACGCTCTCTTAAAGCAGGAACTTGCGGGAAGGATAAATATACGATATGTGGAGTTGTAATGATTCGTACAAGTATACGATTATGCTTTAGATGTGTCGTATCTCTATAGCATTTCCTGTCTTCCGGGTGGGTCACCCAGAAGGAGACATCTACATCTCTCCTTACTTACTTACCTTACATTTATCATGCTATAGGCCGTGTAATAGGGCTATTTGTCGAACCATCATTAGAACTTATGGCCATCAAATAATCCTTTATAAACAGCTATGATTTCAAAAAGTACTATCTTTTGAACAATGTGGCTATTGTGCATGCTGGGTGTTGAAACATCGTGCTACTTTCACTTCATCATTAGGCTAGGATGAATGCTTATCTATAATCAAGAAATTTGTTGAATTTTGAAATAGACATAACGAAATTGATGTCGTTTTCAATCAAGCCAGTTAGAGAAAGTATTACACGAAAAGTACAATCGAAAGGCTGATAATTGCTTTGTGCTGCTGCAGCTTCAGCACTGGTGATGAATGACATGAGCCAGCCAGTATTTCTAACGGTGCGTGTTGGCGCCCTGTCGATCGAACGACAGGAGGGTGGCAGTGGCGTTGACAGTGCTATCGGCCTTCGTCTGCACCGCCATCCCCATGCCGGGGCACCACAGGAGGCGGCTTGGGGTCAGAACTACTCTATAGAGCCCTCCGAGAAAGGTGAAGTTGAGAAGACAGTGGCTTGGAGTGACCTCGGAGATCTCGTAGTTGCGCCAGGCGAAATACCTCCTCCCTCTCCCCTCCTCTACACCCCTGGCACCCGTCTCTGTCCTCGGTGCAGCTTCCTCCTCCGGCCGAAACCAAATGAACGGGTGTGATTCGTTTTCTTTCTATTTTTGCTTTGATTCTTCTCCCCCTTGGCTGTTTTTATCTCTCGTTGCCGCGCCAGTCGTAAATGAGGCAGGCAGTTAAGAAGAACGAGTTTTCAAGGGTATAAGCATGGGTGTCACACACACGGCGTGAAAACGTAGTATGAAATTGTGTTTAACTAAATCAATGACAGGCTGTGTGTCCTTCTAGGGTTTGATTCTTTTTAAGTTGACACTTTTAAAAATAACTCATTCATCATTTAATCTACTTTCTCTATTGCTAGTGTAGTTTCCGTGATCAAAGTATACCAGGCCTTATTTAGTAGAACGTCAAAGTGCACATCCGCTCATTCAGGATGCTGAACCCCTACAGAAGTGTGCTTTTGGACCCATACACCGAGGCTGTTGGTTCAAATTTTATTGCGTATATCTTGCTTTGTTCCATTTCAATATAATGGAACAAAGCAAGGCGCTTCATGATCTTTTTAGCTAATGCTATTATGAAAAAAGATTCACTAGTAAATTTTCAATCAAGTTGAAGACTACTCCTACCCGAAACACTTCCTCAGAACTATTTTAAAAGCTAATTAACATCATTACCTCTCACTAATGGCAAGTTTGACTCCGGAGCGATTTGAGTTCCACATGGTCTTTAGCAATAGCATGTCTGAATCGTTTACCGAGCTACGTCGAAACTTCGGAGCGCTCTTGTTTCTCAATTAAACTAAATCAATTCTGCCTCTCTGCTCATAATTGCACGAGGAGTTCGGCTGAAATCTCAACGTCGCTTTCTTTCTTCGTTACAGATTACTCTAATTCTGCCGACAGGGCGTCCCTACCCCATTAATCTAATACCCGTTGGAGCCTTGATTTTCAAAGCCAGAGTTTTCTCCTTTCAAAGCAAACAGTAAGTGACTGCTTCAAAAGATGGCTTTTCTTGTTGCCTATTTGATCAATTAGGGGTGTGCAAGGACGCATGGAAACAAGTTATTGTGTTACTGGATAAGTGGATTTGTGCAACTTCAATGGGGAAAATTCAGTTATTGGGTCTCTCTGTCTTCCAGTTTCGTAGTGCAATTGCAAGTGGAGGTGCGTGACACTACCTGGCCAGTGCTGGGTTCTGTCGACAATAAGGGCTCGCCTCATCTGAATCCTTTCTACTGCCAGGAGCGCATCACTTTCAAGTTATCCGCTCCCGAAATGGTCATCAAGTCCTTTAATGACGCCCCGTCGCAGCTACCACCGCAGTCGCAGCAGCCCCCTTCACTGCCACCGTCACTGCGGGGCTCCTTCGTGCCGGAGCCACAGCGCTCCATCAGTGTGGTCGAATTTGCGCCCCCTTCGCCTGCTGTTGCTGTCGCCGGCGCTTCCGCTGCACTACACCACTCTCTGCTGCCTCACTCTCGAGAAGTTGGCTACTCGGTGTTCTTCCCTCCAAAAGCAGCAGAAGGGACTGTCGAGTGGAACGCTTTCGCTTCCTTTGGTGCATCCGTCAATGGCGAATCTGGTTCGACGCAAGACTCCTCCTCCAATTCCCAGGATCCTATCCAGCTAATTGAACCTCTGGATTTGGAATGGGTAGTATATTTTACAGGCTGCTTACACAGCGCTATCTATTAGTCACTCCAAGTTACGAAGCAATAACCGATTTGGCCACCATAACTCACAAAGAGAAAGTTAAGCTGAATTGATGGCCCACTGAAATTTGGTCGGCAGTCATACGTGACTACTTAGGGTGGGTTATTAGCCACGAATGGGTTACAACAAGTTATCAATTAACGAATCAGTTTAACTTAAGCGACGGTTTGTTGCTAATTGCATCACTTTGTCTTGTGTTTTGCAGAGATGGCATTTATGATTTGTTTGCAGTTAGATTACTCTGCAGTTGGCCCACGCCATGCCTTACCTCCTCATGTCTGTTTTTAATAAATTTGGTACAGTTGCGGTAAAAACTATCGCAAATAGTTAAAACACATTTGTTTTTACGCCTGTCGTTTTCATACCGTCAGCAGGGCACTTATCAAGGTTACATCAACCTCTGTGGCTATGTAGCGAACTTCAAAATTTTAGTGTTCTACATAGGTCACTTGAAAATCTTTTGTAGAATTTAAGCTACTGGAAATGGTGGCACTTTGTTAGTAATTTATTATAATATTTGAGAAGCCTGTTTAATTAGTGAAATGCAATCAACGGAACACTAGCATCAGCTGAACGTTGCACAATAATATCAGTTAGCGCATCCATTCTCTCCGCTATTAGCAGCTCTCCCTCGAATGTTGAAAGGCGTGTCAGTTATCCGTCTTCTATCTGCACGTCGACGGTTGTTCGTCTGCATAAAAGTAGGTCAAAGCACTCCACTTCACCACTCATTTTTTTGACATCCTCAATGCATCTCAGTTGGAAAAAATATCTCATTGTACATGTGTCTTCGTGGGAAGCCCCAAAAAACCCTGTTGTGGTTCAGAAGCTTTTCAACATTAGCCACTTTTATTGTTCCTTTTCTTCAGATTGTTTCCTACGGTCGACCATTGACCGTTTCGTGGACTGTGCAAATGGACTACCTCAATCGTCTCTTGCGTCCCTTGCCGAAATCTGACAAGATTGGTGTTTTGGCCGATTTCACCTTCCTTGCTGGGACCAACTTCGATGAAGTCCGCCCTCGTCTACGCTATTCATGCAACCTCGTGGTAAGGGTCGATTCAAAAGTCAAGTACTTCTGAGAATGAGGGATAATGTCGCACTTTATAGATTGTTAACTGTCGAAAACACTGGGCAAAGCGTTGATGTTTTAATGGTCTTTATTGCTTATCCTCCGAAATTCGGGAGCATAACGCTTGGGCCTCCCTCTTAGTTGATATTCAAGTCATTCGCATTTCCGTTTAGCATTCCTTTTGTTATTTACGTTCCATGCAGCCGCATAAAATTTAAGGAAAAAATCCATCTAAGGGCTCCGTCGGCCAACGCGTAAGCGCCTCAGCACTTTTACCCACAGTACTGTAACATAGGTTCAGATATGTTAAATCACTGAATGTAATTAAAAGTTAACTTATGATCCCATCATTTGTCCTACCACTGTCACTATTTTAAATATTCTGCAATAACATGAAGAAGCAAATTTTCCCTTAGTGATACCATTTTTTCCAAGTGAACTAAATCTGATACACTATCGCTGTCTTGCCTTTCAGAAGAAACACTGAAAATAACGGGTACTGTATGCTCTCGCATCTAACACACATCTGCTGTTCAATTCGCTAACAGCCATAACTCCCTCTAATGAAATGCGTGCTTTACTTTTTCACGAGCAGAAAACATTTCTCTTCATTCCTTAAGGTGTGTTGAAAAATCACCGCATCAAAACGGATTTGGCGGAATTTTCGCCCGCAATAGCCAGAATCACCTGTGATAAAACCCACCCCCCACTCAAATGTATTCCACTGCCGACTGTGCTGTGATTTTTTTTCTCTCTCCAGGTGGGACGAAACACCCAAATAAACCAATGTGACCTCGTCCTTGCGTTTTTGAATTCAGGCTGGTTTAAGTGATTGATTCATTGAGACGTTCAGCCCAATCGTGCTTAGGAAATGACTTGCCCCTTCTCAAACTGAATATTAAGTTACTCAACGAAGCAATTCCTGCTCATGTGATAATGCGCGCACTAGGTCTTAAATGTTTTGTGGTAGCTAATTTGAGACGAATCGCGCCGACCCACCCAAGGGTTGGCATATAATGAACCCGAGTCACTTCAATTTTTTGTCATATTGAAGATTAATCTACACCCGCTTTACCGGGGATACCTGGCTCATGGAATTAGTTTTCATGCTAATGAATCAAATATGGAGTATCATAAGCACTGCTCTTGAGTAATTCATCATTTTGGCGACCAGTACTACCAATCACGTTAAGTGAGAACGCAAGAGTGCTACGAGAATGAACGATCAGCTCATACTAGGGAAATCAAAGGTGATCATGCCTATTGGCCTACATTTCCTTAAAAATATTCATAAGAAGATGATGTGTAGAAGGAGCACAAAAGCGCAGTGGGGAGGAAGGATAATCAAAACAGTTCTAGGGCTACGGTAGCGCTATCGTGGATAATAAAAAGCTTTTCAACACGGAAATTATCTAGTCGGTGGTGCGGGCGGGACTGGACCCATTGTGGCAGAGATGTCTCAAATCAGCCGAGTGCTGGATGCTCCAGATGGAGAGGGGGCGCATGTATGCCGGAGATCGGTAGCCCTTCTCCATTGTGTAGGCCTCAGGTGTTTGATATTGCAGGCCTAGGTTCTCGTAGACTGTTTTGTAGCAGGCACCGCCAAGGTCGAATCCATTGATCGGCATCCCCTTGAACCAGATAAGAGGGTTGTGATTTGGCAGCAAGTTTAACGGACTACCTCTCCGAGAAATTAGTAAATAAAAAACCCTAGAAAGATCAAAGGCTCTGATGGCATTATCTTCATTAGAAGAGGCGCGATTAGTTCCATAGTAATCCGATCTTGTTGTTGATCAATAGAAGCGATAATGGAGCACACATGCTTGAATGGCGCATTGAGCTCTATGGCTCAAAGCCGACTAGGACTAATCAGGCAATTGATGACATTAAACTAGGAGCACCACCAGTTTAAGACCGCCCTATTTACCTCTAGTATGAAAAGGGAGGCAAGGCAGTAGTTGGTGCCCACCCAAAACTCCTCAGCTTGGACGTTGGAAACCACTTTGCCATTCTTGCGGACTCCATTAATAGCACCCATTTCTCCATCGAGCACTGATCGCCAATTCTTACTGACAACCGAATCAATCGTGAGGGGGATTGTGTTTTCCGGTAGAATCTGCAAAACATGAGGCGCAATCAGCAGCTGTAGCTAAGATGCAGAAGTTGACAATTTTGAAGGGAATGTGATGGAACCTACTGCATCCGCAGGGGCTCCGCAAGTACGCAGCAGCCAGTGGCCGCAGATTTGATCGGCCATGATGGCGGGATTAGCCTTGCTATCATGCATGTCGTAGCGGTAAAAGCATCCTATAATACATGAGACAATCTAGTAGATTAGTAAATTCGCGATTTTGTCTAGGCCGCATCAGAAGCGGCCAAAAAAACGCCGATAAATTCGCTGCACTTGGAAAAAAGAAACTCTTCCACGCCTCGGCATGCGATTTTATAACTCCTCATGGAGGCTGTCTTGGCAGAAAAGAAGTTATATCAATGGGCGAGGTCTGAGTTGTGCAGTCTACACCATTTCTCCTGTACGCAATATTTCTGATGTCCAGAGGCAAAAACGTTTGCATTAGTAAGTCAAAGGGGCTAATGAAAAATTATGTTAACCCCAACCGCTGTAGTCCTCATAATTTTTGAAAGGCTAGGGAGTTCACTAAGCAATGGTAATAGTTTACAATCGGTGTTTGGTGTTTATGATTTGATCAGAATAAACACACGAAGTCGTGGCATTTGATTACTAATATTTATGTGGTAGACGATGATAAATAGCAAGACGGTAATTTACACAACGATTTACAGGGAGGGTAGTGTACGCTACCACCTAGGCTTGAACTTAAATACCGGAAACGGATAGTTCTATTTGCTAACTAGAAGAAGCCAAATTTAATGGTGATTACTTCAAATGTAATAACTCGATCAACGAGTTAAAACATTCATACACGCTTTTATTAAAAAATACTTGACAGGGTGATAATCCTGCTTGTTGATGTAGGTTCAAATAGCGATTTATTAGCCTCCAAAGCGAGGCCAGTGCCAGCACTATGCAGGTGGGCCTCATTTTTTTCTAATTCGGGCAATAAAAAAAGACTCGGCTAGGCATAAAAAGCATTGAGATAGTGTCAAATCTAGCGATGCTCTGTGGGTAATGTAATGCATGCACAACTCAAAGTCTTCAAATGTGGCAATCCAATCGTGAGCTGCTACTGTAAGTGATACTAGCACTTAACGTAGTGCACTAGAGATAGTACACAGAAGCCAAGTCCGTACCATTCCAAAGTTTCTCATAATAGTTGGTTTTCGCCTTGGATAAGAGTTCGCCGAATTTGTGCTCCTGCCCTGATAGAGTTTCGTTCTTGACAGGATTTTGTTCCTTCGAAAGGGTGTACGAAATCATATCCTTGGTCGCATAAAGCGCTGCAAGCCAAATGCTCCCAATATAAGCACTGTAAGGGCCAAAAGAGGAAAAAGTCAAACAACTGTCGAAATTTAGCATTGCAAGCTGCTCATTTTATGCCAATGAATAGAGCTCTCTGGCATGCAAAGGAGTCACCAAATATCCATAGTGTTGAAGCACAGATATCAATTCGTAAAGTTCCAACAATGAAATATGAATTTGTGCCTTATTACGACTGGGTTTTGAATTACTCTCACCCGAAAGTTACGAAGCGTAAGAGTTGGGAAGTTGAAAATGCTACTGAGGGGTAATATGGTCACATCCAATTTACGCGCAAATACAGGAGAAAAATTACTAACCCGAGGCCAACAGCCTTCCACATATCGTAAGTCTGATCTGGAAAGTTAGCGCTTTCAATTATTCCATCTTCGTCCTTATCCCATTTTTCAAGACAGCCTTCCATAATAGCCTTTAAAGAAAACGCACTCAAGTCACAATATCGTTACCAAAACCAAGTCAGTGTTTGTCAAAAAATACTTAAATGTAAAAAAGCAATAAGAAAGAAACAAATTTGAAAAATTTTCAATGTGCATTTCGCAACAGGACACTAAGAGAAAAGAGAGGTACCACAATGAGCGGGAGCATGTAGAACAGGTAGTCATCGTCGCCAGTGACCTTCCAGTCGCGCCAAGTCATAAGCACAAACTTGGGGTTGAGGTCCTTCCACTCGTCAGTAGCACGGAGAGTATAGGCGTTCACGCGGTACCATGGCTCATCTTCGGGGTCCCCGCAGTCATGAGGCACCGAGAGGGCGTAGCTGAGGATGCGATGTTTGTCATGAGTGCCCCTGAACACCGGCTTCATGGGAGAGCGGTCCTCGCTGGCAGTCATATCGGCCAGGTCGTAGTTGATTGCCAGCTGCAGCCTAGGCCAGAGTTTGAGGAGGGCCCATGAGGCGTTAAAGTGCACGTCGTACGTGTTGTACAAGCGGTATTCATGGCCTTGAGACATAACATCGACATACGATTTAGCGAAAGCAAAAGCCAAGCATGGTTTCCTTACCAAGATTTAGGTGTTATTTGAGGCTTCATAAGGCTACTTCGACAGGTTTTCTACTTGACACTGATTCAATGCCTTCCAGAACAACTTTAAAGGATTTAAAGTATTTCTGAAGTCCCAAAATAGTCAACTCCTTCTAACCACGATGAGCAAAAGCGCAATTTAACGCTTTAAGCCCAATACAATACTGTGCAGAAGTGTCAAAAAGCGTCGATCTCCGACAAAAGCAGCAAGGGAGGAAGAATGATATGAGGTACAAACCTTCGAGATAAGCAAAGAGTCCCATTTCGTTACCAAAGTTGACTCGGGCACGAATCAACTCGATTTCAGCAACGTCGGCGGGAGCATTGTCACCCGCGGCGGGGGCCTTGGTGGAGTAATAGGCAGGTCGACGGCAACGAACAGTGGGGTTGCGACGGCGCACATTCTCCAGCGGAGAGCACAGCTCCTCCGTACCACCAGTAACGCCGTTACTGCTGCTTGCCGCAGAGCCATCGCCCTCTGCTATAACTCCTGCTGATCCCTCCGCGGGTAGGGGGTCCAACCACACCGTACCTCCGTCGGCGATGTAGTATAGTTCATTGAAGAGAGCTGACTTGTACCAGGTCGGAAAACGACTATAAAGTCACCACCGTAAAATTGCACTCAGCAAATGCGGTCCATCAAATGGGCAGTACACTATTTGATTTTTAACTAACCACATATTCCCAATTTATACGAGAAACAAAAAATGCGTCAAGTAAAGATGGTGCCTTGTTTTAACAGCGGACCTAGATCAGGAGGGGAGATTGGTAGATCACACAAGTGCATTCCATTGCTTTAAAGTGAAAAAATAGTATTGTAGGGTGATATAAAGATTTTGACAATTACCTGTTACCTAAAGGCTTCTCTTAAAACCCCAATTACTTCATCTCAGTAAACATTCAAGTCCCTCCTACTATTGCAAACAATTTATCCTATCAATAAGGTTAACTCTGTAAGCATTAAGCAGTGCAAAATGAAAGGTTCGGATCTTTCTTACCTATCTTGAAGAATGGGGCTTTGCCATGATTCAATGGCCTCGTCCCAGAGATGTGCTCTCCTCGAAGCATAGATGAGAAGCTCGCTCGCCCCTCTGATGATGTCTTCGGAAAACCAGCGCACATAACGCCTACGATAAACAAAAACGCGACCACGGCGCAAGGTGGCGTGAATCTTGCATAAACCTTATTTACCTTAAGTGGTAAACACTTCATTTCCACTTGAACTTTTAAATTTATCGTTCCTACGAAAATTTGGTGAGTGCTAGATGGCAAACAACGCATTTTCTGAAGATTTGATCATTTTTGTGATTTTTTTATGGGTACAAAATACGCATCTAGTAAAATATCAGCACCGTGATGGCACTGCCCCCAAAATGTCAAAGCATTTGAGGGAAAAGTTAGAATTATCAAACTTCCAAAATCGTCCCATCACTACAAATGCTGGTACAAAAAGGGTTTACCAAACATAGTTGTGGAAACAACCAAGATGTCAAGGAAGTAAGCTAAAGGTCAAGTGGCTTGCGAGTCTGGCGCTGCAAGCTTTGCGCGTTACATTGTGGTGGGACAAACTATAAATTAGACAAATTGCTTCAAATGACCATAGCGGTAGCAAAGAAACTTAGAGGTTTTCACGAAAATACTACTTTGAGCACTGGCAACGTCGTACTAAGTATATGACATAAATGGACGTTGATATTTGCACTGACCAATTCAAATCATGACGATGTTGCCTATCATATCACTTTCAAATAGATCTAAAGACAACTTGAGTTCTGCTTTTAGTAAAACATTCGCAACGTGACCAAACCTAAAGTACTCTGGATATGTGTCAAGCAGTGGTGCTATGGAAACAAGGTTATCGAACCATCGGAAGACTCGTGATTAAGTGAAATTGTCAAATTACATCGTTTTTGCGCGTGTTTGTGCGTTCAAGTATCGCACAGCATGACGGCAAGGTGAAATGAGAGTGGATGCGTGCGTGTTGGCACAGACTTGCAGAGTAGTGCGCACCTCCTGTAAGCAACCAGGGCTGATCTGAAGTGCACCCGTGGCATGTGCCAGGTGAGGAAGAAGTCGCAGGCCTCCTGGCCGGGCACCAAGTCATCCTTACCTCCGGCAGCAGCAACCACCTTGAAAGAGGCACAAACTGCAACGCCGATCAGAGGATGGTTCTTGTCCTTCCTCTCCACGTAGTAGCCTGGAAGAAAATTTTGAGCAAAGCGCATTGACTAAGAAAACAATACCCGTGTACGTGCATGAATACACGTGGTCAAGCGGTCATGGTACGCATGCGTTGCCATTGCTAGCACACACACACAAGGGTCCCCTAGGTATGTAGAGAACACCCATCAAGGTAGACTACTAAACGGCCACTAAGTGAAGTGTGCTTTATTCAAAAGGTACCTTTGAATGCATTAAGCTAATAAAGTACGACAAATACGCGTTACTCTGTCCAGCTCATGCGCGTTACCTCAACATCCTCTCGAGTTTTTCATTGGATAAACTAAAAGCGATAAAAAGGGTTTCGGGGTTACGGTTCTAACGGATATATGGCCTCAATAGAAGCAAACTTGAAGCAACTACGCGGAAGAAAATCATTCCACCCAACTTCATAAAAGCCAGAACGAAAAATGTTAGCTTCGCTTGCATGTTCAGTACGAAGCAATATCTAAGAGACTGATAAAGATACAATAAGAGGATGCAATACCCGACAACTTGAACAAAGACGCATCTCACCAGTATTTTCGAAGGCCAGATGACCTTCCTGGCCCAAGTCAGTCCAAAGTTTGCTTGAACTGATGGCATCGTGAGCGGAGGCCATGCTGTGGGTCGTGATACCCCATGGAGACCGATACGACTCCTTACCAGTCGTCTTTTGCTTGCTGCTAGCGCTACCAGCACCTTTGCAGCCAAGAGTGAAACCCATACAACGCGAAACCTCCACCTGAAAAGCACAAGTCAATAAAAGTAAACCGGTTAAAGAGACTCAAAAATAACAAGGTGGTAAGCGTAGGGAAAAAGGTACCCCAATCTGAAAGGTGAATAAGCGTAAAATGTGACTGCCAAACCGTGGGATAATTCCACTTAGCGAAGGTAGTTGAACAAATGATGTGAATCTGGTCTCACATTGATTCGCTGTTGGTTCTTTTTTGTCAATCTACACTTGTTTCGGGAATCATTTTAGACTACATTTGCTTAATCTTACGGCATATTTAAGTAGACGTACTGGTGTGATCCAAACAATTTCCTTAGATAGAACGCTCACCTAGATAAGAGCATCATTCTACAATCGTCCTATTATGCGTAAAAAGTGACTCGATGCAACTCATAATGTTAAGGTGCCAGGTATGTCAATATTAGGCACCAAAGAACAGCATAATTCCTAACGATAGAAGCTCAATGGTGAGTGATTCTGTACATCGACCTTCAAAGAGAAGACTGTAAGTATTCGGTTGGAAAAAGTAGTCTCTCAGTTAGACCTCATTTGATAAATTATTTAGTACTGAGCAATAGGAACCGTGAACCATTAACTAGCAAATTTACTGTCCTAAATGAATACAAACATACTAATGTGCATATACCTAGGCAAAAACGGAATGCTGATTGTGTGCAATGGATGTAAATAAGTTCATGGTTTTCATCTGTAAATCACTAAAATGAAAATAAATCAATGGAGAAACTGAACAACATCTTGCACTGAAGTTATAATTTGAACGAACAAAATGTTAAAAGCAAGAGTTCAAACCTTGTCGGTTGATTTGGCTGCAACGCCGAAGCAGCAGGGCATGTCATCGATGAAAGTCTCCAGTAGACATCCGGAGAGTTGGTTATCGGAATCGTCAAATGGGAATGTGAACTCGTCATCTTTGTGCTTTCGCAAGTGTCCAATCTCTGCACACACGGCGCCCGCTGCGCCCACCTTTGGTGGGAGCGGTCGTTTGGGTGCTCTGGGACCCCGCCAGGTCATTGTAATGGATAGTTTGACGTCGCTTTCTGGATCAAAATTGAGGGCAGTCCAGTGAAAGACTCCAATTGGGAGACAACTATCTTTGTAGTCTTCAGGAATAACTGGAGAAACCTGCAAGTATTGTATACGTTGTTGTGAAAGCGTTTGCATGCCGATCATTCAGTTGCAAAATTACTTCATCAAAGACAAACTTGTTTGCATATCAGCAAGAGCTTCAATTCCGGGAATTCATAGACCGTCCACGAGCGCGGATAGAGGCCAATGAAGTTGCCCACCTGCGGCGACATTGACCACTTCCACGAATGAAGGCCTTGCACACCTTTAGCCGGCCCAGAAGTCGAAAGAACCTGATGATACACACAAGTTCCGTCTTTCCATACGGTGAGGATGAACTGCAATAGAAGAGATTTTAAAAGCAACGAGTACAGGCCATGGAACTTGACAGCTATTGGTGAAAAACTAAGACAATGAATCATTAAAAATACCTGATCAGCCACACCGACGTCATAATTAAAACGACCAGGTATAAGACTTGACCGACAAAATTCGCCTTTATAACCACGACCGATCGTACCGCACCCAATGCCCCCTAATGGAACGCCGTAGGTAGACGGTACAGTCAGAGGGTTAAGTATGTCTATCGGCAGTAAACGTTTCTTCCGGTATTCGGTTGGTATTTGGGATTTGATTATGTACCTGAAATATTTCCACCAATTTTGAACGTTCGAATGAAAAAATTAACATAATGTGTTAAGGTCTTAAAGAGGGTTCCCAAATGAATATTAGAAACCTGTTTACATAGAAGAATGTGTGCAATTAATAAGAGAGACGCATTAAAAGTACTGATCTTAAGCACAGGCTTAACATTTCTGACCATCACTGGGGGAGGACAACTACCAATGACCGAAGTTTTCGACATTACGATTGACTCGCAAACCAACAATTTATTATGCACAAACTTTTTCCATATCTAATTTGCAAGTTATAAGGACTGACAAGCAAAATATTGTAGAAATGAACTGGGTAGAATTGAATACCTAAGAAACCACAATGAGTGACTTGCCTTTAAATTAGAAGAATAAGATAACTTCTGAATAAATTAAGGATAGGTATGCTCTTACATTATCTACGTACCTGCAAAAGGGGGAACTAATGGACAATAACAAAAAAAATCTCAATGAGGACATGCGGTTTTGTTGGAAAGCTGCCAATACGTCAAATTCAAAAAGCAATACAAATCCTCTAAAGTTTACACAGTACCTTGGTATATCCGGAAGATTGGACATTAGAATGCCAAATCGGAGTTTATTCGGACCCGCGTTTTTCGGTGGGCACTCATCGAATCGTTTTCTCCACCCGTAAGTGGGAAGTAAATGGGTTTTTTCAGCATAAGAGATGGCACAAACCGACATCAAGTCGAGACAGACTAAAGGCACAACTTAAACGGTGCGGAGAATGTGGAACAAAAACTATGGATTAGGTGACTGTTGCAAACGAAGAATTATCTTACAAAAATGTGCTGCAAAACTTAAAAGGTGTATAGCCTATTTTTGAAGGCGGATTTCAAAAAAATATCCACTTTGTGCCACTGATCAGAGCAAGTACCTTCAGCTTAATAAAATATATTTGCTTGTTCATCACATGCGGTTGAAAATTAATAAGGTCACGACATCTCAAATTCGTCTGTCAAAGTTACCTAATTTGTGTTTCCTCATTTTTTTGCTTTGTATGGATCTGTTTGTGAGTGATGCCTCGAACATTTGTGCGTATCAAAGTGCCCATATTTAATCGCCGAGCCGAACAGATCACCCGAACATTACGCAACCACGTAATATAACTTGCTAATGTAGAATGCAAATTCTCGTGTAGTTCCAGATTAGTTCAAAAAGTGATCACACATTAACCTTCCTTCCTAATCATTATCTACTACATGTGTGCAGTATTTTCTTTGCTTCCACCATCGATATTCTCGATATTCGGCCTCTGGACCCATAAATCAGATTAATCAAAGCTTCTTGGGTTATAAGAGTATGCCCTCTACTTAAGGATCGATTGCCCCCATGCTCAGAAAACTAGTGCCAATACCGGCTTGCCGCCTAAAATGTACATTAAAACATTAATATATTGCGAGTCTACATCTGTTTATTTCACAAGTTTAAGTATTTGTTGCTCAATGATTATAACTCAGTGGATTGTCCCGCCTAGTCTGAACAAAACCATAACCTAACGTGAATCATTCTGCATCACTGCCTATTTCTCACAATCGCTCCGCTCCATTGCGTATCTAAATCAAAAGAACAGGTATTTGCAATTCTAGCTGTTGCAGACGTTGCAAAAAAAAATCATGCCGACACCTTATAAAATTGTTACGATTTATAACGGCCTACCTCATTTTAAAAAGATTGAATATTTTGTCAGACGATGAACGAGAAATTATTGGCATGACAAAGCACCCACGCAAATATGATGGTGGCACAAAGCTGAGTATGCAGTTAAGGGGTGCTATTTTATCAAAGCGTTTTAGAAGTTAGAACCTTGTATTGTACCGGCATGATTAATGTCGCACGTAATTGTCTCAGATGACCCCTTTTATCCATTTCATCCTGAGAATAACTGTAAAAGTTACGAGGTGATATATTAAAATACTAGAAGAAATTCACTTTTATCACATTCATTAAGGTAAGCCCTTTTGCGCTGATGCCACTTAGTACATGCTAATGGGATAGTAAGAAGACTATTTCCTCAAAACCAAAGATATTGCAGCTTCCCGAGACCTTCCTGAAGACCAAAGAAGATACAATGCTCGGGCAGAATATATATATATATATATATATATATATATATTCAGCACAGCGAAGGTGTTTGGGCTACTAGCATGGCCCCATGGCCAGCCAACCCAGCGAGGTACAAGAAGGCAAATTCAAAAGTTCAAAAGTGGCGTCTCACCAATACCGAGATATAGACTACCATCGTATTACAAAATTGCTAGGCCAAAACTTCATGGAAAATAGATTTTGCGTTTTAATGAAATGAGCAAGTGGTTGCCCCAAAACCAACTACATTACTAACGTGTTATCCTAAGTCGCAAAGAATTTCGAAGCTGTATTAATTTTAATCTAAATATAGTGCGTAGAATTAATCACTAAATAAGAACTACATTTAACCAAGTATCAAGGCATGGTGTCCCCAGTGAAAAGCAGATTTAAAATTATCATAATCTTGTAAGTTGTGTGTTTTCATGCCATCCGAACTCTGATGTTTTATTTTTTCCAAAATATATCTATTTCCCTCTTCAACGCATTAATTGAGCAATGAGTTCGCAACTGCTGAGTCAATTTTCCCGACGCATAAAATTTTTACGCTTAATATAAAAACTAGAGTTACCAAGCTCACCCGTCATTTCGAACTTTAGAGTTCCAAAAACTTCTCTGTTTAAAAAGGCACATGGTCTAGAGGCGGGTTCCCCAGTTTTTTCGGTCTGTGCTGAAGATGGTAGGGTTGTACCTGACTTCACTATCTTTTTAAGGGTGATGAAGAGATAAAGAAGAGGCGGACGTTTAGGAAGTACTTTTACCGTGGAGTTGATCTTGATCAGCTCTTGGATATGAGCGTGTAAGTTGGTATTCTTTCTCGGTGATTACCAGTGATCAATTGGCTGAACTTTACTCCGCGCGTAAACGACGTCGAATACGTCGAGGTCTCGGAACCAAGCACAAGACTCTTCTTCAAAAGTTGCGAAAGAGCAAGAAGAACTGTCCTATCGGGGAGAAACCGGCAGTTGTTAAAACTCACCTGCGCAACATGATCATTTTTCCCGAAATGGTTGGGTCCGTCGTTGGTATATACAATGGCAAGACGTTTAATCAAGTAGAGATCCGTCCAGAAATGATCGGTCATTACCTAGGTGAATTTTCAATCACCTATAAACCTGTAAAGCACGGTCGCCCTGGTATCGGTGCTACCCACAGCTCGAGATTCATTCCTCTTAAGTGATCTAAATGTACATTCTGTGGTTCGCACATAGTTCCTGTCTTGTGGTCTTGGTGGAATTATGATTTTGGTTAGTTTCCCAGCCCATTGAGTAGGTGAACCCGATTATATGGTGATTCGGTGTTTAGGGTTTGACTATTGTCTTGAGGTCCTTCATGTAGGGTGTATACTGTTCCAAGTGTCGTTTGGGCGCCTGTTGCGTGATTAGATGCGCCCAGCTTATGCCAGCGTCGAGCTCGCTGGCAGTGTGCATGTGCTCCTTAGGGTTCGAGGTAGGTTCTCGTTAAGTAAAGTGGGATCTCCGGGGGAACGCAGGGCCCAGTGTTGCCCTGGCAGCTCCGTTCCGTTTAGTGCTGCATGGAGACGCGTCGGGTTGGGTGCCTGTATGCAGTTGTTTCATGTGACGTATGCTTTGCGGAGTGGGTATAATTTCGTGATTTGGGTGGCATAGGCGCGAAGTTCGGGCCAGAACTCCGCGCTTCCGACATCAAAAAGAATGTTTTGGGATTTTCAGATCCCCTGAGATGTGCCTCCCTTAAGTTCCTTCGCGGTTTAAGTTGGACTGGTCGATTTTACTCCGCTCCCTCTGGTGAGCGAGCTTAACGCTCCTCCCACCTTTGAGGGAGGTAGTTTTGGCAAAGTTGAGAGCGAGCTTTCATTTGCTGAGTGTATGGCTGATTATTGGGGTGGGAAGGGCATAAGCAGAAAGGAATGACTCACGCGGCTGGATGTTCTCTGAGGGGAGCCCTTTGTTTCGGTCCCCTACATGGGGCGCCGTTTGCTGTTCATACAATTTTCTTGGAGCGGAACCTCGACTTTACTAGTTTGTAATGAGATCCTTTGTAGACTCAATTATTTGGCGCCATCAAGAACGGTTGGTTTTGCGTTGGTGGTATCATTTAGCGAACGATGTCTACGTGGATAAGAATCCCAAATTTGTCATATCACATTTAAACGTCACTGAAACCTTAATCAGTTGGTATTAAATCCTTAAAGGAGTGACCAGGTCTTTTACTATACAATGAGGCAACGAAAAATGACACCACACCTGGAAGGCGTGACAATCTCAATACTTAAGTTGTCTTTGACACAAGTATGAAAACACTTAGGGTGCGTAAACAAGTGACACTTCCTTATGTCCCTGTTAGCTGAATGAAACCCATCCGAGCTTCTAAGCAACTGGAGAGGGAGAGAATGGTGGAAACGAACAATTGATGGAAATTCCTAATCATTTTGGATAACCTCGTTAAAATGTCTCATTGCACACATTACCTTTGAGGCAAAGACTTTAAAAAACGTCTTTGTTTAAAATGCGGTCTTTGGAAAGCACCGCTCTGTCTCGGACGGCACAAAGTAGGTGAATTCCCGCAAGGAATTCTAAACATCCCGGAATCGTTAAACAGTGGGTAACTTTGAAAAACCTTGCCGACATAAAACTAGGTTTTCTCTGACGTAAATTAGTAAATTGTACAATCTCCGTTTGAGCTACTTGGAAAGTTAGTTGAACACATTGTCGCGTTAATCGATGGAGAAGGGTGAACGTGGGGAACTTTAAGCAGCGTACCTAATAAGGAACTGCGTAAAAATGTGTTGTCCGATTTAGTTGTACGCTGAACTCTACTGAATCCATGGCTACCATAAATTTTGCTGCCTTCTATTTGGCCCGCCATTGAGGATTTAGATCCATATACAAAATTAATTGACTCCTAGGATCTCATTTTTATCGCCGTCAAAACTGCTTGTCAAAGTGCCCAATCTTGACTTTAATATACTTGTAGCATCTGTGCCTACCAAATCGTACAATTCGTCTTAATGAATGGTGGAATAAATAGAATTTAACTAAATGTCGCTACTAGAAATGTAACCTTCTGCTTAGTATAAGACAATCATTGGCTAGGACAAACTAATCACATGCTGCTAAATTGTGTTTGGCAAGGTGTTTTGGGATCGGCTCTTTTAACTTTTAGTAATGCTGGACGTACTTTGGGCCTACGTGCTCTTTGGGCTTGCTATGGTCCCGATAACTGTGTACTTTAATCAGTTCCTCTTCTTCCTGTTTGCTTTCTATGTTTCGTAAGTACTTTGTGTATTTTCGTCACTGTACCTCGTATTTTTCGGTGCAAATAAGGTAATTTATTTTGTAACTGCTTAAGTTCTACTTTGTGCAGTAGTTCGCTTTCCCTGCACCTATTATCTTAGCAAAATATATTGCATCCTAGTAATTTGAACATAGGTGCTGACCTTTGATAGTAATAGTTCAATTACATTTAGCATTTAAAGCATTTATATGTGTTGTCCTCATATTGATGCCTTGGCACATGGAATCTTGTCTTTTTTTTAGGATGTATTTAGTACGTATTCGTTCTATGATTCACGCTCTTAATGTTATTAAATATGGAAGCGTTGGTGCCAGAAGTTATTTCCACACCAACTTGTCTTATTATGATTCCAGTGGTAAAATAGTAAAATTCTAGTTCTTTTTTACCTAAGGGTTCGTAAAATCTTCACTATCCAAATCACAACTTTCATATCAATACCTCTCAATCCAGAATTTATACTACACCTGTTGACATCTTTAGGCGTCTAGGTATCCTTTGTTAATGTCACTTTTTTGTCCAGGCCTTTAGGCTTGTATTTTATTCGCAAAGCAGTAAAAATGTGATGCGTTTTCAAAACTTGGGGTCATTTTAGGAAATGGAAAATATTCTGAAACTGAATGATTTTATACCATTGACAGTTCATGAAAATTTTGTGCATTACTGAGTGACTGTGCGTCTTGGTCATTGTTCCATCCCTTCATTTCAGGATGCGCAAATTTTACAAGAAAAGCGACGAGCCTCTTGAATACCTTCCAGGCGTATCCATTGTTAAACCTCTGATGGGCCTAGATCCGCTTTTGTCCGAGAACATCACTAGCCATTTGGAACTTCAGTATCCAAACGTGGGTTTTCGTTCCTTCATACTCTTCTGACACCGTTCTGTGAATCATAGAATTGTTTTATTCATTTCCGTGAAAAATTTTACATGTCACTTTTGTATGTATTGCTGCAGTGTAATACTGTTTTTTGTAGTTCGAAGTTATTTTCTGTGTAGAAGACCCCAATGACCCTGCCATTGAACTCGTCGAATCGCTATTTCGAAAGTATCCAAATGTTGATGCTCGTCTCATCATAGGTGGGTCTACATAGCCACACCACATCTGACTGCCCTAAACCACTTGTAAACTGCTTTTCTTTGGTTATTTCTCTAATTATTCACTTCAGTTTAGAACATCGAAATGCAGCGTTTGTTTATTTATGCCATCCAATCGCTTACTAATTCGGATATAATGAGCCTTGTGGTATAATATTTGTGCCACTAGCACTCCGTTTTCATGCTTCTTTAGGTGGTAACGGAAATATGATCAATCCAATGGTAAATAACTTCCTCCCTGGTTACGAATCAGCTAAATACGACCTTGTGTGGGTCAGCACAAGTCGAATAAAGGGTGAGTGAGTATTCTGACTTTTCATGTTCTCAGCTGACCTACAATAAGTCATATCTCGGGGCGTGTGGTAGCTATACTCGTTCTTTCAATCTTCGCCTAAATGTGCACCCTAGACATTCCAAAGTACAGTAAATAGAAAATGTTCTCTCGTAGAATGGATGCAAGACCGCTGCAAGATTCCCTTTATGTTTGAGCTGCGTTACTATGGAGAAAACAGGTGTTAAATGTTAATTTTCAGCCGCCCACCTTGCTCATCTTCCCAGAATAATGGTGACTGGTTACCGATGTGTCTATTACACATTTCTTTGCATTAGAGCGCACACCACAGGGGTTTTTGAAAGGCACGTTCCGATTAAGATTAATTGTTTCCTATGTGCTTTGGAAGTGTTTCCACTTAAATCAATTAAAAAGTGCTCTTATACATGCGCCATGACTATGACACTCACACCGTTAGGTCACTGTGCAAACTTCACTGGAGTTGACTAAAAAATTGCTGCAGCGTATTATCGGCTCAGGTGCAGTCCATATCGTGATACGCATGACAATTTCTTACACTTGTTTGTATAATATCTCCTTTGAGGTAAAATGTGTATTCACCCTATGACGAGCCCTTTTTCTTGCATTGATGTGCTAACTGAGGAGACTCGGTGGTCACTTTTTTCCGTTACTTCTCTTTTTAATCAGTCTTTTCTGAGTCCTGTTTAGTGATACACAATTTTTTTTGCACTAGCAAACACCGACATAATGGTCGACATGGTTCGCAAGTCTGAGGACCCTCGCGTTGCCCTCGTTCACCAACTACCCTTTTACTCTGATCAACGCGGCTTCATGAATGCCATCGAGAAGGTGAGCATCCACTCCCCTGGTTAGTCATGCCTTTGAATTTTCAATGCTTTAACGGGAATTCTGCGTAGCTAGATTAGTCTTTTGTATTGCCTAGCTTGCAAGCACATACTATAGGGTAACATGACGCAAGCATTTAAAATCATGCCTTAGTCGAGATCTTTGTCATATGCGTTAGATAATGATTGAGCTTAAAAGGTAGTTAATGTAGCAACTACCGTTTGTTAGTATGTACTAAATGTAACTCACGATTATGGTTACTTTTTTGATTTCTGACTTGTGTCATTCATTCTAAGAAAATTAAGTTCACTTTTTTTCTCTTTGCTTCAGGTGTTGTTTTTTAATAAGAAAACTTTGCTGTTGCGTTTTTAGTTTCGCATTGTTCGGTTTGCGCAACATTAAAAGAACTTGCTACTGTGTAATGTGTGTATCAGAGGCCTTTCCAAATGTGCTTTGGAAGACAACCCCTACTTGAAGTTGTTTTAACTCGCAAAATGTCTTTTGTTTGAACAATTACTGCAAGTATTCAATTTGTTAACTTTTATTTTTTCGAAAATAGGTGTGTTTTGGCTGCGCCCTAGGACGTAGTGCAATAGCTCTCAACCACATGGGCATGCTCTGCTTCACTGGAATGTCCTACATCGTTCGCAAGTCCATCCTCGACCGGTACGGTGGTTTTGCGCGCTTTGGAAAGTTCCTCGCAGAGGACTATTTTTGCTCCAAGGAGCTCTTTGAAAGGTAAGCATTTACCTTCCCGAGTAGTGTTTAACCTCTCTTGTATATAACATTGAAAAGGTATATTCTTTTCCCATTCTTAACATAAGTTATTTTTAATCACATGGTGTGGACTAAATTGACAATGATTCCTCTTTCCTTTGACTACTAAATGCTCTTCATTCAATGGAAAACCACTTAGCCCTGGTCTTTATTTTGCTGGAATAAAGTAGATTTGCCTGAATTTAAAGTTCTCCACAATATGATTATCAAATTAGATACATTTATTTGGTGCGTGATGAAAACGTAGTGCCTGCATCTGAGGCGGCTCACACGTGCCAGATCGGTTCTTAATATCACTCGTCACAAGTCTCATGCCTTCATCCAACTGACTTGTACCTTCCACTCTGCTCCACGGTCAAAACTTCGGCCGTACGAATCTCTCCGTTATGAAGCACTTTGCCAACGAATAGACCCCTTGAATTGCGTCAAAGTACTGCAACATTATCTAAATGCTTTACCCCAATGACCTACTGGCAATCTATGGTCTTACACCTCTACCATTCACTTCAACATTACAATATAAGCATAAAAATGTGCAATATTAAAAGTATTTAGTATTTATATTCTCCCTGCTTCGTGAGACCATGGTGCTGTGCCGTATTCTCTTCTTGGCTTCACCTCGTGGTCGTTATTTTGGTCCCTCATAGACGTGTGTGGGTGGAGGCTATTGTGCAATTTTATACCATGCAATCCTTTTCGTCTGATTTGTGTTTTTATGTTTCTTAAATTATATTCTACGTAGGCGTGAGATGTTTGCGCACTCTTCTTTCTCATGCATTGTTTTCGTCTTTACGTTTCTCAAGATTGCTTGGCAAATTGCAGTATTTTCGACCTTACGAAGCCGTGACTACTTCTCCTCAATTTACTTGTTTCTGTTGTTTTGTGGAAAGCCGTACTCCTGTGCACTGCCAACTCTGATGACGGCCTCTTGTGCGTGTATGAGCATCAATGAAAAACAACACTTTGATCTATGCACATCTGCCTAATTTAGGAAAATCGTGAGCACCATAATTTTCAGAGATGGATTATATGTTTGCTATCGCAAATGTAAAACTTGCAACCCCATTTGGTGGCAAAAACTCAGAGCTGAAATAAAATAAAGCACTCACTTCTGTAGGAAACTCATATTGGGTCTTGTAGCCTATCCCAATCGTCCTCAAAATATTCACGATCTTAGTTCATACATCAGTACGTTGCATTTGAGGTGGCTGCTTATTTCCCTTTATGTGTGTAGAGGACGAAAGAGCATGTCCCCCATATAAATGCTTGAAGCATGGTTTTATGAATGAATGGAAGGGGAGCACTCGTGAAGCCAAAGGCGACTCAAAAATTCTTTTCTCACTATGCAAGTGGCTACAAGATAGTGCTCTCGGCGTACCCCGCACAACAGAACGTAGCCAATGCAAGCATCAGTATCTACGTCACACGGATGGTGCGTTGGCTGCGGCTGCGTCTCAGTATGCTCACTATCGTGGCCGCCTTCTTCGAGCCCATGATTGAGTGTGTCAACCTGGGCTTCCTCATTGCCCTTTCCCTGAGGTACTTCTTCGACATCGCCATGATCACCACTATGACTGTGCATATCTCCCTCTGGATACTCCTCGATTACTTCCTCCTTCGATGCGTCCAGGTGAGGCTCTACCTTCCTCTACCTCTTCTTTAGGCCTCTCCGTAAAACGTCTGTTGGTCCTGTCACTAACCTGCTTCTTTTCGTTTCCTTCAATTTTTTGATGCCTGCGAGCAGGAGTTGTGGCTGACGTAATTCCACATTTATTAACGCTTGCACGCACCTACTCAATGCATTAATTTAGCAGCTTTTCGTGGCCCCTTAATCAAAATTTTCCTACTATTCTTCAACATCCAAATGGAGGTTGCCTTTCCATCCAGATACCTTTTTGAAATGTCAAAGCACGTCTGCAGTATGTTGCTAACGCCTTTTGCAAAAGGTTTGCGATTCACTTGGGGTAATTATACCGTTGTTCAATTTCCCACTAGACCAAAAAGCCTAATGTTCGCAATAACACCAAATTCAACCAAAAAAGCACCAATTCTTCTAACTGTGTACACTCTCTCAAGATCCCCTCTCCGTTACTGTCGCGATTGTAGGGAATTTTTTTGCTAAAAATCTTCGTTGTATCCATTTGCGGCGTTTTAGGCACTACTGCCATTGTTCTTTTTCAGTAGGAATATTAGTTTAAAAACGAGAATTTTATGCGAACGAAGCAGTTAGCAATTGGTAGATGCATTGTTGATGTTGAATATTGTAATTTTGGTATCAATGACTTTCACTCTGCCCTTGACTCCCGTGATTTTGTGAACTAAGTCATTGTGTCATTACGTGCTTCTAAGGGCCATTTTCGTGTGCTACTTGACCTCCATTTGAGAATCCCTCCTTCGCACTCCTGCGTTGCTGCTTGAATGAGGTGATATGCGTGCTACTTGGGTGGGTACGGGGATGCTGCGCCAGCACGTAATGCATTACTGGTAGCAGTCGTGCCACTCCACCTCCGTATCGATCGCTGCAGCGCTCTTTGTGTACCACCAGGTGGTAATGTGACGACGCGCAAGTCAATGTGCTGGTATCCAAATTGGAGGCTGGTGCTGACTTCATTTCTGTTTTATTTCTATTCGAGTCGCCAGCCCTCAAACCACGGCACCTGCGTCTTGTGTGTTACCAGACTAGTGCTTAGGTCAAATCGCCCGAAAATATGTGGAATCCAGGGTGTTTTTATGAATTCCAATGCAGGGCTTCAGCAAAGCAAAGACTTTTCCATTTTCGGCCTAAATAGAAATTTCTGAGAAATTTTCATGCATTTGACCCTCAGTGTTGCCCTCTGACACGAAACCTGCTTTTAGGGTGCTCAAAACAGTACCTTGTTGTCGTGATTGTTGATTCACATGCCTATTGGTGTTTGCGTTGTAATCTTTTAATTCCCGCAGAATTTAAGAAAAAGGCATGGCCAAAGTGAACCCCATATAAATATTTTATTTCGCTACGTGCTCATTTAATCCGTAACTGCCCTGTCACTCATAATCGCACAGACATAGTACTCCTGCAAGTTGATGTTTTTTCGATTATGTTTGACGGCTAATCCGTTGTATATTGCACAACACGTTAAAATAGTAAAACAAGATAGATTGGCTTCGGCCACTTTGACTGGGGGACCCGCACTTGTAATAAATCGGTCTTTTACTTTGGCGCAGTTGTCTTACCAGCACTACTGAAATTTACTTGCCCTCAAAATTGGTGTCAACCCCATATTCTTGATTTATTATTGCAAGAGATGCCGGTACCGCTTCAAACTTGTTTTCCACAGCATATGATCCATGTGGCCCGCTGTTAACGTCTTGTACCTTTTAGGTCACCTTTTTTTTTCGTTTCATATCTTAGTTCTCAAGATTGTGCATTAGTGTCAGATAAGCTTATTATTTTACTTCCCTCTTTCGGTTGGTAGGGTGGTCCGCTCCCCTTCTCCTTTGTGGCATTCATATTTGCCTGGTGGACACGGGAGCTGCTTACGTATGTCATCTACGTGAAGGCGGTGCTGCACCCGCGCACTGTGAAGTGGGGTGTCAACACGTACCACCTCTCGTTAGGTGGACACACGGAGCTCCTTCACAGCCCCAACGGCGGTGGAGGCAGCGCCAAGCGCACTAAATCGGTCGACCTCTCCCCCATCGCCTTTCATGAGGCCCCTCCGTCCGAGATCGGTCCGCTCAAGACGGCCGCCGCTGCCACCACGCCTCAGGAACACATCTGGCGCCACTTTACCCAGAACGGCTACATTCGTGGCTCTGCGGATCGCCAGCACCTTACTCTCATCTCGGACGCTTGACTAGTGCCCATTTCTGCCCTCTCTCCTGTGTTTATCATTTTACTTGTCTTTCTTCAACCCTTCACTCATATCTACCTAAAGATTTCCTGCTCTGTGAGCATAATTTGCTCACTCATACGTGTCTTCAAAAAATAAGCAAAGGTTTTACTCCCTCACTGAAACCGATATGTACAGCTACCTCCGATTTGTTATTTGCCTGTGTATTGCCTTTCTCTCCAATACCTCCAAATCTCCGCTGCTGATGATGCGTATCCACAGTAATAATTCGAATCTACCCAGCCTTCCTACCCCTTTGTTTTTGCAAGAAAATAACGAGAGCCAGTGCTATCCTATTAGCGGACGATGCCGATTCGTTTAAGGCTTTGCGTATGCTTTTCTTGTGTTAGAACTGGCTTTCTTACACTTTATGCCATCAAACAGCTAGGCGTCAGAGCAGCGCACCTTGACGCAGACGCTGGGCTGCCATGGAAATTGCGATACCGGCCAATGTGCCAACTACCCATGTGGCTGGTGAATTCTTTGACAAAGCTACCTGCGCAAGTTTGCAGTTGCTGACCATGGTTGTGGAAGGTGTTTTATGATCGGCGACATAGATGACTGGATTTGCGAGACCTCGCTTCGCGAAGTTTCCGCACCCTTCATTAAGAGCGTTTTATCGCTCACATGTTAGTTTAGTGCGTGACCCAAGGCCATCCAGCACAAACCATTGATATCTTTGCATCGTCCATATTTGCCAAGTGGGCACTTGAGTCGGAATCGATAAAGTGTTCGGGGGGGGGGGGGGGCTATCCTCCGCTCGAATAGAACGATTCCACCTTATTTGTTACTAAGGCGAAATGTACCAGATTAAAGAAAGACGGCAATATTTGCATCATCAGGACCTCTGAGGGAGTTTAAGTGGAAAGGGAATGAGTGCGGGAACAAGAAACTTTATTACTATGTTGTGGGGTCAGGAAAAGAGACGAGGCGGTAGGTTTTCCGGGGAGCAGCGACGGCGGCGAAGCCACGTGCCCACGCGGGCGCCACCTTTCCGTGAATTCGCCACTGACCGTACTCATCGGTGATGTAGTTCTCGAACACCACGTACTCCAGTACATCCACCGGACTCGATGGGTGGCCATAGAGCAGGCGACCAAACCGATCGTATATTGCGAGAATCTACAGTGTCACACAGATTAGGAGATGGCGATTATCGTCAGCATAATGTGCACGCCAGCACAAGTTGCAAACAACGGCCCACAGTTTACCAAAAATAGCAAGAATTTAAGGTTATCTGAGAAGTCATTTGAAGTGCTTTTCGTTAGGTTGATTGTGAGTTTATGAGCAAAATCATCACATTGACGTAGGTGTAGCACTTTGAGATTTAGTGAGAAATTCCATGCATATGTGATGGGAGACTGCCGATGAAGGTAACAAAGTGGGTATGCTCGGTACTACTTAAAATGTCATCAACAAAACCATTGCCTTGTGGGCCCACTTTATTAACATACCAGCGAAAGAAGCCGCTGCCCCGGATAACTTTATAAATCCAAAGCATGTAACAATGGAGTTTTTGAAGCAGTGCCAGAGCAACAACATTAGAGAGACTTGGTAATCTCGCTTCGTGGACCTAGACTTCACGCATTTGATCAAGTCCACAATCACTCATGCAAAAGACTACAACATTCAAGTGAATGGTTGTTTGTGCAGAAACTCATTCCAAATCCACTGAAGTACACAGCCGTATTTTTTAATCTAAAAAACTCGAGTTAGATATGAAAGGTAAGTCTTTAAAGGACTAGATGGTAAATGTTTCCTAACCACTAGCCGAAAATCACATGAACATGGCTGAATTAAAGACAAAAAAAATCCAAGTCCCATAATAAAAAACGATAGTGATGAGTAAAAGAATAAATTATATACTTCTTTGCAAGCAATGGCTCGAAGACATTGCAAAAAATAAAGCACCGAACGATAAAAAGGGGCACAAGACTCCTGAGGCCTAGGCTTCATCGCTCCTGCTTTAGTAATGCAGTTTGTTCAGTTTGCAGAATGGTTCGCTAGATGCATAGACGGCAGCAATGTGAGGATCGGCAACCCACATGGGGGGTTCAATGTCGGGTCGGCCAAAGGCTCGGTGGATCCGGCAATGGTCGGGCGGCAGCGGACGGGGAATGTCGATGGGCATGTGTTTGGCCCGTTCGCACTCTGAGTCGTAGTCGTAGAGGTAGGCAGGTGGGGAGTAGGGCACGGCTAGGGGCCACCGATAGTTGATGGGCGCGCTCGAACAGTTAGCCCAAATGTTATAGGGACGAGCTATGTGACGTGGAAACACCCCCACAGCAGGATCAGCCTCCATTGGATGAATCGGGTAGGCGGGAACGTAGCCATCTTCATAGCGACCTCTGTGACTGCCTGCCATCGTTTTAAGTTTACGTCCCTCCGGTGCACTGCCACCAATCCTAATGACAACTCCCCTCTGATCATGTGATACTTTAAATTGAACCACGTGACCCCTCCTATTGACCCGTCTCGTGTGCCTTGCAGCATTACCGCTACGGCACAGCAGTGTGATACCAAGATGAAAGCTCCAACACTGGAGGAAAAGAAGCGTTCTGCTGTTGGGTGCAAGATAGAACCAATAACTAGTGTGCGTTGATCTGGGCTTATGCAGGCTACAAGGGATAATTTACCCAGTAATAAAAGACCTGAATCAAGAATGAACTAGAGCAATTTACCAATTTACCCAACGTCTATTAAATGCTCGAAGCATAATCAACGCCCAATTGACACAGCATTAAAAATACGCATATGTTATCAGGGTTACTGAGACCGTTTTTCGGTAGACAATGGGCTCGAGTTTATCATAGCAATAGGGTGATGTTCGGGATGAAAGCATTAAATTCTCATTAAATCATAAACACTTCAGAATTTGGAAATTGCCCTATTTATTGGCTGGCACCCAAACAAGCCGTGCTTTATAAAAGCAAGAAACGAATCACAGCTCATCGGCTAGTATCCCGTATAAAGTGATAAAGGTTACGGTCCGATGAGCAAAGGTAAAGTAGGAATTGATTCTCGAAAAGCAGAACCAAAATCAATTCAACTGAAAAAAATTTAATTAATTGACCACCGAAACCCAAATAATTAGGAGCATATCAAAGGATGCAAAGAGGAATGCAAAGGATGCGCCTCAGCGATTGCATGATGTTTCGCGCTTTCCTTGAGGCGGAATTAATTTCGGACGAAGCTTACAACACCCATGACATCCACCAATTGCAACACGAGTGCAATCAAGGTACCAGGGCGCTGAGCCCGGTCGCTCGTTCCTCAAGTGGCAGCAGATAATGTTCCTACCGCACGTGTACCACTGGTGCTTTCGGCCCGATGGCACAGGCACGTCGGATGCATCATCACAACGTTGCACTTCTCGGACCCCGCACACCTCTGGCTCATCTTCGAGAAATGAAGGGATGCAATCTTCATTTGCATTAGCAGCACTCGTTCCAACAATTATGTTACCATGTATATTCTGAGGAAACAGCGGCGTCTGAGATGTGGAGGGATTAGTTAAGTTCAAATCCGAAATGCTTGGAAGATCTGCATCGCATTCTACATTATCGTGGCAAATCTGTGAGGAGGTTGGCTTAGGGCAGACGCCAGGGTCTTGTGAAGCAGACTTTTCTGTTAGACCCAAATCAGAAATATTGGGGAGGACTTTATCACTTTCAATATTGCAACGTGCCACATTCGGCGACATTGGCTTATTCGGTAAATTAGACAACTGAAATGTGAGCGGCTCCGATAGGCTTTCAAAAAGACTATGTAAAGGATCGTCAACCTTTTCATTTTGAAGTTTTGACGACGTTGTTGGGTCTACCGGTCTGCTATCAGTGGGAAGAATCTGCGATGTTGATAGACATAAACCGCCATTGCTGTGAAGAGCTTTAGGTTCTTCCATACATCCCTGTTTCACTTTTGACAACCCTACCATTCCCATTAGTCTGCTATCGGTGGCAGGAAGCTGTGAGGTTGATGGATCTGTCAAGTTTAAATCGGAAATACTAAGAAGGGCATCATCGACCTTCGCTTGGGACGACATTGTTAAACCCATATGATAATTAACACCGGCAGGATTTGCTTGAGCATCACAGGCGCCAGGGTCTCTTACAAATGGATCCATCGAAGAAGACGGAATACCCGAATTGTGAGGAAGAGCAGACGTGGGAGAACCAATCGATGAACCCTTGTTTTCAAAACTGAGACACGGGGTTACTCTGGCTTCGGAAATTACAAATGAAGAAATCGGGTCATTTTCACCCAATTGGAAGACTAGTTCAACGCGCTGACAGGAGGCAACAGATTGTTCGGTAATTAGTGTTTTTTTTTGTAATCCCCAATCTGATTGTCGTGCAAGATCCCGTCAGCCATTACACTCTGACCCAAGATATATCAATGTGCATTCAAATACGAACACCCGATCGATCGATGGTGGACAGAGGCAAATCACGTGACAAGGCTAGACAGGTCAAGTTCGACGACCAGTCTACCATTTAGTGTTAGGAATGAAGTCTGTAGAAAGCACCACACGTATTACTTAATGTTGGGTGCGCGCCATCATTTGAAAGTCAATAATGAAAAGTTTCCTACTTCGCATGGCAAGGCAATTCAACTGTTCCACCATGCATATGAAGGGAGCATATGTGAAAGGACTTTTGATCGCAAGCACAGAATGTCTCCAAGCCACACAAAAAAACAAGCGCTAGATCTTAAACACTAGGCAAAGACTATTGAAAGCTCTAAATCATATCAATAATGTAAGAGAAGGCATTACTGATGAGGCAATGTCTGCTTATGGAGGTGAAATAAAGGTTCGAATAGTCTCGACGCCATTAAAAGGGCCCTAGGGACGTAATTAAGAACATCAAAGTAAGATAAAACTTTTAATGAAAGCAAAATGTTCCCTTGGTGTTATGCTACCGCTATAAAATTGCTTTGACCTAAAACCACTTCCTTCCAACAAATTAGCTGATTTTATTGAGAGCCTTCAATCTTACGAGGACTTTTCCCCAATAAAAAAAACCTAGAAGCATACAAGTTTTGTTAATTTGATAAGTCTATATGGCAGAGCCTGCTCTCTACATTGCTAGTGCATAGACGAAGAGAAGACAGAGGTAAAGAGGACAGAAAATGGGTAGACGTGACCCACCTGCTGGGTGTGGAACCGGACGGTGACTTGGCCAAACATGTTGCCCCTGCCCATAGCCTCCTCAATTCGACAACTAACCACCCGCGGGGGCTCCAGGCTACCAGTGAATTTCCAATGTAGAGTTCGGAGTTTCAGACCTTCTGTCATCTCCTATAAAAGCAACGTACATGAGCAGCCCTAAAAGGCAATTTATTATGGCATGTACCGTAACGAAACTCCACAACCATTACGTGAAGCTGTATTTACGTAAGAGCACAAGCGCTTGATTTTAAAAAACAATGCGCCAGCTCAACACGAAAACCTCTTTTGATTGACTCACATAACTGAGGCGGATAAAGAAGACTTGTCAACCTTTTATGACTTGATAATCGACCCGCTGTGTTTCAAGGAAATCGGCTATTTTATCATGGCAGCTACGATCACAGAACCGACCAATACATAGAAGAATGACAAAAGTTTCGATGATAGTGCTGCCTGGCTATCGGCGCCACCAACGTTGAACAAAGCATCTTGAAGGTGTTTGGTAAAGTGAATAGTCAGGAAACAATTGATTGACACGTGGCTTTTCCCACCTCAATGACAAGGCTTTGATGACCAAAGAGGCTAACTTCGTTTAACGTGCACATTCACTCTTATGCTGTTGGGGGCATCAAAATCAAGTGCACCAGAAAGTAGACATCTATTAGCCGGAACAATAACCTCTCCACCCATTCATGTTGAGCAAATCTTCTCAAATTTAATAAATTTCAAAACAATTGGCATTTAAGACGTTGTTTTTTTTAATCATATGAAAATGTACTGCATCTGTAGATAACTGTTCATTAATTCGCTGAGCATGTGCTGAATCGGGGATGAAATGAAACTGACAATTTGGCTCGTTGAAGCTCCAACACCAGGACTGACCCTTTAGCGATCTTAAATACATTAATCTAGTATAACTTTTCGCGCAACAGCACAGGAACCCAAACTGCCATCTAAGAAGTTGTGAGCATTAAACCAACTTAGAAATTCATCAATCGAAGGGGAAATTGAAAACCCAATTTTGGTTTTAGAACACCCACCTGCCATAGGAAAAGGCAACATCCGCGAAGCAAAAATCACGTGCACAATATGGTGTAAAATAGAGGTGAATAAATGTATACTCACTACAAAGGCCTTTTCTGTCGTAAGCTCGAGGATTCGCTCTTGGTTGGCATAAAATCTAATGAAAGGACACTAGGTGAATAAATGCCATAAGCATAACAGCAATAAAGTGCTAAAACGCTAAAAACCAAATGAATTAATAAAAACCCAGCTATTATGAGTAAACGCATAGAGCTAGCGAGGGAGACCTCACAAAAGTGGCATTCATAAAGGTCAACTAATGCGATTCTATAACGAAACAAAACGAGATTAGTAGGGATCCTAGTTCGGGAGGATTGAGTTATTTTTGGCAAATCTAACCCTCTAGGAGCACCAACCGCAACAACATTGAATCTGGCACCGACACAAGCTAGGCATGGACACATGTGTGTACTTGTATAATGGCAGAGACACCAGACGCATATACATTAAGGACGTTTCGTGCAATAGGGTACAATTTCACGCGTTTCTTGAATTTGCTCAATTAAATTGCCACAGACGTAACTTTACCGAATTTGGAAAATCAACAGAAAAGAAGTGAAAATGGCGGTGACTGACATACTTGGGAAGAAGAGTGTGCACCTCTTTATAAATTGCGTCTGCTTCTAATGGAAAACTGGATGTGCTAAATGCTGGTTTGTGCTTCCTTATACGGAGAGCCGCTCTCGCAGTTTTGGCTTTCTTCACCACTGAATCCTTCGCATCTGCTATTACCTAAGAGTGAATGAAAGGCTTAAGAAAATGAAGCTACAATACCCCAGTAGAAAGGAGGGACGATTTTCCGTCACCTTCAGGAGGGACATATTCATCGAAAATACGACCTGTAAAGGCAAATCATCACTGAACCTACTCTACTGATGTATGTTAGTAATAATCCGTTGAATAAATAGTACCAGAATGCGTCAAATTAATGCGATGCTCTTGAAACAAGAGGGGAGGCATTAGACCGTTTCGACGCAAGTGTTCACGGATTTCCGATGAAGTAGCACGTTCAGTGCCACTTTTACCACCAATCGAAATGAGATCAGGGTCGAAGGGCTGCACCCACGGTTGCATCTGACGGATAAGACGAAATTTTGGAATCCATGGTTTATGTCGAATGAAGCGCACGGAGGTAAGCAAGATCTGATACGTACCGAGAAGAGCCATGTTGACCGCTGAAAATAAAATATACGCACCACGGCATTACCTTCATTTTCCATGTGCAATTGTTTTAATAGGTACGGAGAGATTTTAGCTGTATCTCAAAAATAAAAGGGAAAAAGTAAGGCATGTCCAAATTTTGCACAACCAGCAAAAATTTGAAGTTAACCAAAACCAAATATCTATGCAATGTCTCCAATAAAACACCCGCCTAAAGACCCATTTCTAAGGCAGTGCACGTCCGACTTCAACTTATGGTAAAGATAACATCTAAATTTAGACATCGCTTTATCAATTGTTATAGAATAATATCCACAGGAAGCCATATATAATGGGCATCATTACTAGAGGTATTAGTCTAAAACGCTGAGTCAGTAAAAACGATATTAACTTCGTTTCACAGTAGTCGGTCTTTCAAATAAAAAGCAGTAAAAAAGCGTATCTACGTAAAAATGGTCTAATCTCAAATACTTCGCAAAATTTGCAAGCAATTCGTTCAGAAAAGTAACGGATTAATTAAGACTTCTAAAACGCTCACGGCATGACTAATGACCGGTCATAGCGGCAAAAACTCATACAAAGGAAAAACTGTAAATTCATACACAAGAAAAAGTCAGGAGTGATACCAAATACAAAAATTCACGGCAACCAGAAATCCCCGGTGAATTCGGGAGATATACGTTTGAATAGTCTAAAACCCATTCGCCCAAAAAAAGATAACCCTGTAACGAAGACTTACAGCGGGAAATAAAATGATAGAGAAATCCTGGGACTAATAAACAGAGTGAAAGCATGAGATACTAAGCACTAAAGCCTTCAATCGAGGAAAATTTGGACGTACTAACACGAATGAGGCGGTATAATGACCAACAAATCACTCTTATCAAAGATACTAGTTAATATGAGCAGCATTTTAGCATAATATGAAATATTGCTTTTGGAAGCCTCAAAGAAGCGCAAATAGCTCAGAAACCTCTCACATTAGGCGGTGCAGTAACCAGCAAATGAAAACACACGATATTATTTGGGCTTTAAATGAGGAAAAACTAAGGTGCAGAATGCTCCTAAATCTATTTTTGAGAGAGAATTTAAAAAAACAAACAAGCAGTGCTTTATTGTTTTGGTCATGCAGTTCGCCATTTTCGTTTTAGCAGTAATAATATCTACTAAAAAACTAAGCGCCTTAGACAACCACAAAAATTTGCAGTCAAATGATTAGGTACTGGAAATTTTTACAGTTATAAGCCTTAAATGAACCTGTGAGACCTAAGACCTTTAGCAAAATTTTTACATTTTCGAATACCACATTTACGGCCTTATAGGCTAAGCTGCTTTGATCGTTCACTACAACAGTTGATTTTTTTGCAGAGAAACATTTCACCTTAATATTGGGTAAGGGCCAACATATTCTTTCGCACACCAGTAAAAAACTTAGTCAACCAGCTAACCCTGCACTTGTTCCGAGCAAACTTTTATGGCCTAAACGCTGTCTTTTTGAAATCCGGATGCTACCTCATAATTTGTGTACAAAATTGGTAAACTAATTGTCTTCATCTTTTAGCACGCATTTATACCCGTCGCGTTTCCCTTTATTCTGTATCAAACGAAATCCTGCCTCCGTAACATTTCGCAATATTCTGGGAGTCGTTTTATGATATTCTCGTAACCTAGCGGGGCTGCACTGATTTAAACGCTAGGTTAGCGGGCTGCCCCACTACGAATAGCACATGAGAATGGAAGACCAGGAGCTAGCCAGCGATGAAAATCTCGATAGGGCGTCTCCGGAACTCTGGCCCGATCAAAGTACAAGATCCCCTCAATTAATATCCCTGCAGGTGTTTCGGAATTTATATCAACAAGACAGCCAGATCTAAATATTCAGACGCCATCTAAATACAGGACGGACTTGGACAAAGAAGATCTGGAGTTGATACATGGTAAGTAAAACATCCACAATCACGCTTGAGATTTTGGGAGTTTGTCAACACAGCAGCTCATGGACAAAATTAAACATTTGCAAAATCTGGCTTACCAAGTTGGACTAGAAGAGTGTACGTATACTGTCGCGTAACTTATTCTATTTAGCCAAAGAAATGGCCCGTGGAAAATTCTTGAATATATTGGGGAAACGCTGAACCGCATTGGAACAATATTTTACGCTCTGTACACTATACAGCTGTTAAATACACACTTCGATTGTACCGACTCACCTCCACTTTGGCCTTCATCATTCCGTTTAGTACCTGATTGATTTGCTATCCTAAATATGTTCGTGTATATCCACATAGCTGACGTGATATGTATTAACTGATCATTTCACAAACGAATTGCTTTAGACCAATGGATGATAATCTTGCTAGGGATGCCGAGAATTTCCTTTCTACCTTCCAATCCTTTCGAGATAAAATCGTTGCAAATATATCCAATCTAACTGATAATGACGACTTTGTGAAAGGCATAAAGTGTGTAAACGCCGATCTAACCGAGAAGCGCATTGACAACATGATAGCTCTTCACCACGGCCAAGTAAGGTTCATCTACCTGTAGACGCGCTGCTTTAGGCTATGCAATTGATGGTTATTCGAGGGAATGAAAAAGTTCCTGTGGCAGTTCCGAATGGTAGTAAGGTCAACGATGTCTTTTCCGCTGTAGCAGATGCAATTAATGAGAGACTTGACAGAGAGGGAGAAGAATACAGAACGCACACTACACGCCTTGATAAGCACGACAAGGCGGCGATTGTGAGAGCCTTCTCTGTCACTTCGCCACCCAAGCGCTTGAACTGGCGAAGATTTTGGAGGACGCATTGCCTTATCTCGAACGAGGTAATATTGAAAGATAGAGATGTTCCGGTAAATAATGTTCCAGGGTTGGTGAATGGTGCTGTACTTCGCTTCGCCCGACGAAACAGGAAGAAGGGATGACTGTACATGGAAATCTTTATTTTCTTACACGGGTCGCTTCTGCTTCCAAAATGCGCGAACGTCGTCGTGGCCAGCTTTAGAGACGACCATGACCCGACGTTCTGGACATTCCCACAATAGATATCCATTACTCTAGAACATAAACATTGACGATTTTGTGCGTTAAGGGTCTGTGATACTTAATGCATAATTGTCTACATTTTCGCAAATTTTTGTAATTGAATTGCGTATTTGTTGACTTGCCTTTGCGAAATCACGAACCATCTCAAAGTCGGTATTTTTAGCAAACTGTTCATAAAGGCAACCCTCCTGGAAGAAAAGCCGGTCTCGTTCAAGCTCCCAGAGACGGATCTGATCCACAAGTGTCGGTGGTAGAATTGTTGGCTGTGTGACAAAAGCGTGAATGTGGGTCGATAAATAATTATCTAGATATAGCATCGCACAGGCGTTTTTAAGAATGCAGTCATGCTTACGTGTCTAAGCATATCTGGATGGGCATTGGAAATAAGGAATGATATGATCTACAATAGGAGATAGAATCGGCTTTAAGTCGTTCTTGAAAGAGGACGGCCATAATCCCATTCTGCAGTGAAGACGTTTGCTACGTGCATTTATGAGCAGTGTTTGTGGTTTTTAATTACGATTATTTCAGATGACTTCAAGCAAAGAAACAGGGATTATGGGAGAACTGAAAGCTAATCAAACGAACTTGATTGGCACTGATTCCTCTCAGCAGAGCCTCTCGAACGGAGTCTCGGGTGATGTCAGCTACCACCAAGTTAGGGTAGCGCACGCGAATTTTACTAAAAAGGCTCAATAAAGCTGTTTTGAGAAGTGAATCTAAAAGGTAGAATGAAAATCGGTTGTACCTGCGTAATTTTTGACAGGCGTGACAGTAATAACGCGAGAACAGGGAAATCGGCGTTTCCTATTCCTACATCATATTTTAATGTACTTCTAGTCTTGACGGCGACGAATGGAAGAGCATTTATCGCATAATTTCCAACTAGTCATTAACAACAGTATGGGTTAAACTAATACTACACCATAGGTGGGTGAACTCAACAACCACATGAGGATGTGCATTCTGGCGAAAAAGGCTCGATGAAAATGGTGCTCACCGGTATAGGCGTAAAGTCGAAAGTTTGTCTCAACAAGAATATAGCCGATATCCGATGTGTCTCCGGTACCAGTGCCACTGCCCCTAGAGCCACGCTGACTGACTCCAGTGGGAAGACGATTGGCCGAGAAGAGAGCATCAGGTTCTGCATCAACAGAGCCACGCAAAGAATTTAGGGCTGCCGGGGAGCCAAAAGCGAGACTCAGTGCTAAACGAGTCACGTAGAACCGAGGGGCAGTGCGTTTGCGTTGGTAAGCTAAACCCAGCTCTCGCATGTGCTGCAACAGATCTTGTTGTGTCTGTGACAGCATACTGATAGGATAACTCTATCACAAAAACTATTAATTTTGGGTACGAGAAAACATACCTTGCCAAATGAGAGGAAGCTCAACTGGAAAACAAAGTGAAGTGCCTCGATTATGTGCATCTGATTTCCCTATAGGCTGAATGAAATATTTGTAACCAAATACCTTAAGGTAATCAAAATAATGCAGCATAAATCTAAGAACTTGTGTTGGCCTGTCCATGAGGAGGAACTGAAATCCCCTTTGTGTAATACCCATTGAAAGGTCAGGACCTCCTCTACTGCGCTAGAATATCGAGGATTTGTCGTACCTTTTCATCAATCCAGACAGTAAAAGCACATCTCTGACACAGGTACCCACCTCAGCTGAGTCTGATCCGACCATGAAATGTAAAATAGACTAATCGCGGGTAGAAAGAAACAGCTAACTTACATCCCACCTTTCAGATGCATAGTTATCCAAGAATTCCGCATCCTTTGGATGCTTTTCCGCAGCAGTTGAACCAAAATCACTTAATAATTGAGGTCCTCTAAAAATTAGAAAAAAGGCCATTTACCCGCCAAAAAGTGACACTTTCATTGATTCTTGAAACTTTTTATTAAGCCTCCAGGATCCCCGAGCACTGTCACTGTCAATGCTGTGCCATACACACAAATCGGACAAATCTTTACAAGCCTGACTCAAAAGCCCCTGTGAACCTTTTGGAACCCATCCAGTGATTATTGATTTTGGTATTGCTTGTTCAAGAAAGAGCAACCGATGAACGATCTGTTTCGCGAGTTCTTCGAGCTCTCTAGTAATTGACAATCCGTGAACCATAGCCAAACCTAAATACAATGAGGCAAGTTGGTGGATGACTGTATAATTCATCTAAGTCATTTGCATCCAAGGTTTTTAGATAATCGAAAATACAAGCAGCGGATTCGGCCACCTTCTTAGCACACATTACCACTGTAATAATAATTGGCTTATTTGTACTTGGCTCTACAATTTCACGATATCAATATTTTTTATTTAGGATATTAAGGTCTTAAAACAATATGTTAGTTTACTTTGATGCATTTTTACTAAAATTCGTTCTCGTGAGTGATATTTTGTGTCTATTACAAGTGTTAAACTAGTCATTTCCTTAAAAGTACTTAGCTGCCTGTTGTGTAGGCCACGCGCATCAGGGCTGGTTCAGCCAGGGTGGGAAATAATTTGGAATTGTAATAGATTGTGCCGTGCAGTTCTCGACTTCCTTAGTTTCTCCCTATAACCCCCATTGTTATTTCAGCCTTTTAAATCACAGTCATTTGATTGTAAGTTAACGGTCTCTTGTTGTGCATGCACTAGTGATTATTCTCTTGCATTTCATATTAGGCACCACTAGCATTGCTTCGCTTCTTCTGACGCGTATTTGTTTAGGTACGCATGATAGTAGTGTTTCCGATGTAATATTTATGGTCTGCGACCCCGAGAACTTTCATATGGCACTGATGTTTACTTTTGCCTATTAAAATATGAATCCTCTGAAGACGCTCCCTATTTGGAGTTGCAAATTTGTTCTTGTTACAGAATCACAACATTTCCTTTTGGTCGCCATTTTGAGACCAGTCATACTGTTCCCTTCAGCCCATAGCTATGTCGGAGTTGCTAAATCTCGTCGAGTTCTTGCAGTAACTTAATTACTCTCAATGAGCCAATTTTATAGTGCGGGTTTGACTAGTCCTGATGGTTCTCTTCAGAAGGATGCGTTCAAAAAACTTAATAATGGCATTCGCTCACGACCACCAAAATGCTTTACTGATTCAGAAGGTAATGTGTCGAATTTCCCAATGTCGCTTCATCGATTTTGGTGTAGTGTTTTACGTGGTAGAGTTTTATGTCTCGCGTTTGATTTTATCCGACCCTGATTTAATCGGCATTATCCTTGACGGCATTCTTTGGTTAGCTGAGCAACAGCTGCTTGGTGCTGATTGTGCCGTAAAAATTTGCGGCGATGGATTATTTTCAAGCCTTCACATACCAAGCCTTCGAAAGAATGAGCGACGAGTTGCTTATCGGCTTCTCCTTGCTTTAATCTCGTGCGATCGCACACGGAGTGGCCTTATTTTGATGAAGTTGGAATTTGTTCGAGGTTTTATAGGCTCTCTGGAGGGAGAAAAAGACCCTGAGTGTCTTATGTTGGTGTTCTCCATGCATCCACTTGTCTTACAGCACTTCGAGCTAGCACATTTGGCCGAGGAACACTTTGACTGTATGGCAGCCTACTTCCCAGTGGATTACACACCGGTAAGAGAATTCGGTTGATTTGTTTCCTTTCGGTGTATGAACTGTTTGATATAGCGTCATTTTATGTGCAATGGTCTAAAAGGTCAGTCAGTGCTTTTTAGCGCTTTGTTCATAATTTAAATTTGATGCAAGTTTGTGTACCAACGTCAACATGAAGGTAGGGGTTTTTAACGCTGATCTTGCATCACGAAGACTAAATGAATGTCGTTTGTGTCCAGGATCTCGCTCCACGTTGTTCGCTCTCTGGCATCTCTACGTGGTAGCAATTTTTACGTAATCAACTGTTGGATCACCTTTAGGTAGTTGCGCTTCAATGTATTCAGTATAGAACATAGCAATAATTAGGCCGTTTCGCGTTCACGTTAACTATGCAGCCGCCAGGGAGCACCTCGGTGGTAAGTAGAGCGCGGCTGGCGGAACGGTTACGGACTTGCCTGTGGGCGGCACGACACCTCGATGGAGGCCTTTTGCTCCCGCTGCTCATCGAGAAGGCCACTGCGCGACGACCAGAGGCGCGCACCGACGCCCTTGGTCTCCTCGCCGACTGTTTGATCGGTACACTTCACGCAGCTTCTTTCCTCTCCGAATTTCTTCTTATCCTTCCACCGAAACAACGGGATCCCATTCCCACTGCTCACGTCACTGCTTACATTTTCGCCCTCTGCAATTTGGTCAGCCAGCTGGTAAGTGCTTGAATTTCCCTATCCATTAAATTTCTTCCCCGCCTGTTTTTCGAAGTGCACGCAATCATGCGAAACTTCCTTGACCTTTGGTATTATATTCACCTTTAAAGTGACAAGCAGCTTTTCGAATCCCATCGTAAGTTTCCACATACAAACTGCTATCACCCATTATGTCCCTCCTTTTGTATACGAATTGTGCATCCACATTAAATTTTCAGTTCTATATTTCTCATTTTTAGGCAACCGAATTGGATACTTCATGTGACACAGAAGACATCAGTCAGACGCTTTCCATCGTTGCTGGACTGGCATTGACGTATAGAGGCGGGGTTCGTAACGGTCTTTTGATTTGTCAGCATGTTCTACCCTGCATTTCCGAAATTTGTGCTTGAATGTACAAAAATGAAGACTTTGATAACAAAGCGAGGCCACATTCATCCATTCAGCCAGAAGAGATGGACTTTGTCGAGATACTACTGAAGTGCCTCTGGCCAGAAGAGCGAGCAGAGGAGGCGTCACCAGAGGTCGATGGGTGGTTTGCCATGGCTCCAGGTAGTGCACATGGGATTTCGAAGGTGGCGCCGCAAAATTTGTTTGCTGACTGTCTGCTCACGGGGGTTCTTGCAAGCCCCAGCGGTCCACTACTCGCTCGCCTCTTCCACCGACTCGCCGCACCGCTCCTTTGGCCTAAAGTTGACCCGTTGCCCACCGATGACTGCTTCTATCAAATTAAATTTGAAGAGGTGTGCCCCCACCTCTCGCGTGCTCTGTCTGTGTGTGTTAGTAAAAATAGCCAGTCGTTTTTTATAGATCATCATGTGGACACCTCACATCTTATTTCTAAACCGTCTTCTGTCGCACTTTTCTCGGTGCAAGAATCTATCGTTTGAAGGTATGTTACTTTTTCCATTTTGACACAACCACTACGGCAGGTTTTTCTCACCTTAATCATAAACATTTGCGGATTTACATATGGATATTTATCAAAAGTGTTATCTTTACTTTGTGAAAGCCCATACTTTTAATCCAGTATTCAGGGAGATGTCTTGAATATCCGTCCAAAAGTTACTTATTTACTAGTTTTACAGGAAATAACTTGCTCTTGCGGGTACGTTAGTTGAAAGGTCGGCAACATTTCGGTTTTCTGCATCTTAGGATGATAAATCCAAGCTGATTAAATTATCAGGATTGCTCACGTGATTTGTACTTTGAGTTAAAGAAGAGTTTATTATTTTTATTCATATAATCACGTAACCCTGTTACTGTTCTCAGATTTTAGTGCACATATGTTCTCTGCTCCTACGCAAATGCAGGGACTTTAAATGACCATCATTTGTAAACTTCTGGAATGTCATCCGTCTTTAGTCTTGACACGTTCGTTTCTATTACACATTTACATGCAGACCTTCAGACGAAGGAGGAAGATGTCCGCGCCATTGTATTCAACTTCTCGCATACCCTAAAACGGTCCTGCTGTGATCTTCGAATGTGTGACGGTGACAATCAACGTAGTCTAACTGAAATCGCCGCTTTCGGTCTACTTTGTAGATTGCTTTCACTCCTCAGGAACGACGACGAGGTGAGGAAGACGTTCTTGGAATTTTGTCCGCATGTTCTTGAACATATGGTATCCACTGAGGGGACGGAGACGCCACTATACGCTCTGAGGTAATATAATTGCTACGGTTTTTCGTAGAACTCTACATTATCATCTTTGTTCCCAATGGAATGGTCGATTAATGTATAAATAAATGTGTCTCATAAGCACTGAATTGAAAGGGCCTCTCGAGATTGCGCGTGATTGCTTGTCCGATTAAATTGTTTCGATAAATGGTCACGTCACCATTTTTGTAAAGTGGTGATATGCCCATTCAAAATACTAGGATTGTGCGCTTAATTCGGATTCATGTTTCAACCTCGTGAGATTCATAAATGACTATTTTAAAGTCCCACACATTTGTTTTCGTTTAGCAGTTAAAAGTTTTTTTGGAATCGCTGAGACACGGATCCTAAGGGAGAAGCATATTCTCATCACAAAATTCCTCTGTTCTAGAATGGAGCAACAGTGTTTGCTAGCCAAACTCGTGTCTCAGTTTTCATTGGGAGAAGACGGTCTTCTGCTTCTTCTCTTTAAGCTGCTTCAAGGTGAGGTTGCCTACGTGTTCCCTGAATTAATTCGTTGATTTTCTGTTTAATTTCCTTTCATTCCAAATATCCTGTTTTTCTGTTCTTCCAGCTATTGTGGCTCTGATGCTAGACATGCAAATTAACATCTGGTTTCCGCTTTTACAGGTGATTCATCTGTTGAACTTGAGGGTGTCGCCATAGAAGTACTTCAACGAGCCTCCTGCAATAGTGATGTTATTCTTAACAATCTTTTCACTCTTCTTTTTCAACGTTGTTCAGATCCAGTCAGCCTCACTCCCGGTTCGTAACCATGTTTATCCCGTCGGGAGCATTTTTACTTAAAATGTGTAAGTAGACTTGGTGTTTTACATATTTTAGTCCTCCAAATGGTCTCTGCAGTCCTCTTTGTAACAAAATCGCTTCAAAATAGTGACGAGAACAATTTGCTTCCATTTTTGGCACACATTCTGCAACACCGAATAAATGACATTTTTAACGTGGCAGAGCGTTTGATAGGGGAGTTGCCCAGAGAGGAGGCCAAATCCTGCTTACTAGATCTGCTTTCGTCGATACGTTTGGTTTCTTCAAGTCTTTCGGAAGTGTACGCTTTGTTTTTTATTGATTTTTGGCCAATAATCTGATATAAAATGTTTTAATTCATGAAACAGTTCAGCTTAACTAGTTAACCGTAAAGGTTTTCGTTATTTGCATTTGACCCTTACCTAGAAATGGGTAACAAAAAATATTCTTCAAATTGAATGCTACGCTCCAAACATGTCTAGTTTATGTCGACTAGCATCGGCATTGAATACTTGACCATATTTATATTTGGTGAGCTTGAGGCTAATGGTGCGAGAAATTTGTGTTTTCTTCCACAACCTCCTCTCGTTCGGGGATTCGCATTCAAGTCGTGTCTACTCACGGTGGTTAGTATCTGGACTTTTCTAAACAAGGGCATCACCATGCGTTCTCTAACTAAATGGTGATTTTACTGATTAAGTCACCGCCCAAAGGTGACTGAAGTGCTAAAGGTTCAACTGTCATAGCCTACGTTGTGTACAAACCGAGAGCGACATTTCATGAAATACCTGAATTTTGTATTTTACCTTGAACAATAATCACAGATGTATTGGGCCTATGGACCTAAGAAGAATTAAAACAAGCATAGATTTAATGCTATGGGATAATGTGACCATGAGACATCTTTATGTGTTATTGGCGCATATGCCGCGACCCCTTCTTGGTGTGCCGTTTAGTAGTGGCTTATGATATCACTGAAAAAGGCAATGGTGGCGCTTTGCGAAGCTATTGTGACAAAAATTGCACTCGTGAATCTAGAGGTTTCTGTATGTTTTTCAGTCTACCGACTCCCGATTTTTCATCGCAGATTTTAACCAACACCTCAAAAATTTCATTGGTAACCTTTTTATTGAAAAGCAATGTAAGCCATTATCTCAAAATTGTAAGAGCTTCTATATTTCTTGTCAATCACAATGTGCCATCAACGATAATCCTCACCCCTCTGTAGGCATCAGGTGGAAATCTTCACCTCCCTCGTGGAATTTGGAAAGACGCGTCAGGTTTGTCTTTTATGCCATTTGAAAACACAGTATTTCGTTCACCAATAAAACAATCTCTGCTGTAGCCTTCCAATTCGTACGCTGCCGTTCTCTTTGATTGCGAGATCATTTCAGCTCTTCGCCCGAAGGTGAGTTTCTTATCACTTTGCATCCTGATATTCAAACTTCCTCCGTTAGTTCTTCTTTCTTTTCTAGCTGCCAGACATACTGCTGAAGGAAATTGTCGATTTGTTATTCAATTTTTTCACTGTTTTCATTTCTAACCATCATTCTACCAATTCCTCTCTGCGAAGTATTGTCTTTAACGAATTGTGCGTCTGTTCTGCCACATTGATAAACAAATTTCCTGGCAGTGGTAAGATTGCTTGTTTGCTCCCTTGAAACATCTGCCACGATGCATAAGTTGAATAGTTGTTAGGGTGTTGTACTACTTCCAATCGTCTCTATAGTATCCGCTTTTCCATTACCAATTAAAGATACGACCTAGTAAGAACAGAGAAGATTGATCAAAGGTGTAGGATGCCTTTTTGTTTAATAGAGGGTGATTAGCTTTTTGTTTGTGGGCTTTTTCGTATTTACATTAACGGCCTTTGTTCATCCGGTGTGTGCTTTATGCATTCACCTTAAAATTCCAAACAGCCGTGCTTTAATGTAAGTAACTTAACTTTTTTTCTGATAAAGCTACACCTGTTTGAATAGTTTTAAATGTTGGAATTTTAATCACATGTTTACAGGATCATACGTCAAGGAGTCCCACTTTATCAATATTTTTTATTCAGGTGTGGCGGAGATTCTTGCGAAAGTCCTTAACTTGCTGTTGGCGCATATGGACGAGGGAGGGCGCGGTGCCTCCTTTGTCCCGACCTCGCGTTTCGTGGTACTCACTTTGCGAGGTCTCCTCGTCTCGCAGCTCAGTGCCACTGCTACAGCCCGAAAACGCCTATTGGAGCATCTCCTTGACATCCTCTTATCCACTAACGTACCCTGTCCGACGCAGGGCCTTCAACGCGCCTGCCTCCTCTGTTCCCTCCACCTCCTCTTACCCCTCCGCGAGGCTGCGGACGTTGATATCGGGCTAGAGACCGAGGTTGAGCTGGAGCCGCTGTGTCTGGACGAGGAGATCACTCACTGTCTGGTGAATCCGTTAGCCGTACAGAAGTGCTTCTGTCTTGTCGGTCTGCGCCTACGTACCGCTTGGCAGCTACTGAGGGAAGTCGCTGGTCCATCCTCTGAGCAGGCCTCCTTAGAAGGTGCACTACCGTTTCCGCCTATATTGTTAGCATCCACCGTTCTGTACAGATCCATGTCTTATCTCCTATTTGCTAAAATTTGTGATATTGTCCCTTCCCCAAAATTTGCACTCTTCTAGTTGCGTTCTACGGGTCACATTTCGACTAGTCAGGCTATTCCACTCGATGAGTCATTTAATTACTTCACTTTTTTATGCTTTGGACAGCCGGTGGGAGTACAATGTGTTTTCCGTGGTCTTGCTTCATCCTGAAGGCGAAAATCTCTCCATTAATGAATCGTCTATGTTGTTTAACTTCTAATGCAGCGTTTTGATGACGACCCGTCTTGAGTCAACTCTTTCTGGTCTTCTAAGCTCAGTTGTTCTCCTTCTGGAAAATCAATCTTTTTGAACTGTTGAAAGAATATCCCTAGCGTGTTTGACAGGATACAAGGGATAGTTTAAACTGGTCATGAATATCCTCTTTTATCAAATTGCCACAGCGCGGTTCTCGCGTTGTCTTACCTCTATCTCCTGTGAGCGCTGTTTACCATACAATTATTTTGCTTTTATGCAACCTTATTATCAAAGCCTTTCGCAGCAGCTATTTTCGACATCAGCAAGAAGGCGCATAAAGTCAAGCACATGTATGCGACTTCCACTTCGCACCCACTGCTATTTGTCAATAAAAATAAAGAGACAGTAGAGAGCGCACTCTTCAAAGCCTATTTTCAATTAAAAGTTATTTGTGTATGGATTCTGGAGAAGGTTTAATGGAATAATTGCTTAATTTGAGACGTTTTTTGCATTGCACTAATGCTGACTGCGTTTTCGTGGCAAGCAGCCCCCCCCCCCCAGCTATTTCTGGAGATGTTGAACCAACTTGTTGCTACAACAGCTGTTGGGTGTTTATATTTGCGTTTAATAAATTCACACCCCACTAACAGATCGAGATTTTTTTTGTCACTACTGCATTCAAAAGTCCCTTTAGTCGCCTCGGGCCCAAAAATGTTTGAACCGATTGTGGTGTCCCTTGGGATGTGTAAACATCATTGAACATTTTAGATCTTTTGAAATCTAGATGCCCCTCGCCTCCTCGATTTAGCAATCGAGATTGTATTTGCGCGATTTGAATTGGGTTTCGTCTTTCACCCCTTGCCAACTGACATGCATTCATCTTTGAAGGCAATTTGTTAGTTTTGCTCTCTTATAGACGAGACTTGGCTTATCAACCTCATTAAGTTATTTTTCGCCTGTGTGAAGCCATTTTTTGCCTCTTGGAGGTGCTCATTTCTTTCATACCGTGTATCCCAGTCTCGTGAACTCGAAATCACAGTAGTAACAAGTCTCAGCACTTTTCAGTCCCCCAGAATTAGTTTTTCACTACTTTTTTAAATCAGTTTCACCAACGTTGTTTCCAGTTCGAAAGTGCACCCACAGCGGCCTCAGCGACGGCTTCCTCTCCGTTCAACCCACATCGCTCCATCTATCCTGAGTTGCACTGTCTTATGACGTATCTGAGAGAATTTTTTCTTTAGCAATTGAACTTTAGATGAATACGATACCAGATGTTTGCATGCCTAAACGGCTGCAAGCCCTTACCTTTTTGGAAATGCTCGAGTGTCAGCCCATGCACTTTATTTTTATTCCTTAATAGAGCCATCCGGCAATGTTGAAGTTTTGATAGAATAGTATGACACGTCACTGAGGTTTCTTTTTTAATTTGAGAAGTTTACTGGTATGATAACTTTCGTAGGGCGCCCCTGAGTGACAGTTTCGTATGTTAATGCCTAGTTTAACTGGTGCCTTGTAGGGCATCTCATCCATGTCGGACCGAGATCAAGCTTAACTTTTGACGCCTTGCATTTGTAGTTCCCAATTCTTGTAAAACTATTTGTGGATTGTATTGCTGTACTATTTCCGATCACTACCTTATTTTACTCGTTTTATTGCAATGGGATGTCGCAAGTCAAGAAGTTTTAGGTCTGTGAACATAGACAGTAAAATTACTTTCTTGAGGTTAGGGAACTCGCGTCAGTGGCTTCATCTGTAGGTTTGTGATGAGTGTAACGTGGTTTCTCCCCTAAAACCCTCACCTGCGTTTCCGTCACACCATCTTTGTGTGATTTCGATAACTGTCACTTTTAAAGAGTTTGGGTATTTGCATTCGTATTTGCCAAAATTCCCAACCACTCCCTTTGCTTGCTGCTATTCTTTTTCCACTTTATCAGACGTTACAACTATTTTACGCGTTTCTATCCTACGGTTTCTTTTGAAAACAACAGCACTGCCTCTGCAGTTCTAGTGCGAAATTGTGGCCGGCATACGTTTGCAGTCCCGAAAAAAAGCGGAAGTTTGTTGCTACAAAAGATCTCTGTTTTTCTAAAATTAGCCGATGGATACTGTTTCTGGGACCTTTTAAATTAATGGATGGGGTGATTTTATTATGCTGTGGCCACTCCGCCATGGATACTTATTTGATTCGAGCAGATTTTACCTTGTTACAATTCTCCAAACTCTCAAAAGCCTTGGATCCAAACCAGCACCTATTTTGCCTAGACTGGGGCGAGAATGTCCACTTCATTTCTTTCAGAGGCCTTCCTTCATGGCTATCTACGATTGGCTTCACTCCTCCCCGACAATATCGTTGATGACTACGCCTCAAATGTAAGTGATGTCAGCAGTTACAATAATTTCGATAACATCTCTTTATTACTGCTGCTTTCCCAATCTGGTATGATAAGGTCTATCTCGCCAACAATAAAAAATTCGTAAATCCAGTCTATCTATAATAATATCATGTCTCTCCTAAAACTATGTACGACTATCAAACTTCACCGAAATCGGCCCAATGCCAGTAGTAGAGATATATTCCAGTTAAAAGCGATTTTATAGGTTTCGTGTTCTTTTGACATACCTTCGTGATGTGGCTGCATCCCTACCACAGCCTCCTCGCACTACTCTGACGTAATTAGGGGGCGGAATTTTGTAGTTTTTTTCCTTTTCGCCGCACTCATTCGTTTCCGAGTTCGGTAGCGTCATCCATGCCATAACATGTTCTTGATCAAACCAAAGACCCTCACCGGCTAACCCAACAGAGGTTACTAAATTGTAAGTTCAGCAATAATTCGATGTAATTTATCGGATTGTGTATATAGTCTCTTATATTATATTATCTTATTATCACCCCAATCTTGCTTCATATGATTGGGTTTATTTAAAGATGTGTTTTATGCGTGTTGGAAAACTAGAAGATGCAAAATGCAAGAGACTTTCGTCAGTAAATTTTGACAAACTGGAAGTATTATCTGCCACCATTACTTCGTCAGATTATTTACTTTGGTGCTGTACTAGGCCACCTTTTTAAAATAATTTTCGTACCTGGTTAAAATTTAATTGTGATTTGAGCATATGGGCTTCCAGCCCAGTTTATTTTAGCCTAAAACTCCTCTTCCATTTTCCTCTTATTTTTACAGCCCATAAAAAGCCCTGGATGCATTTTGAATGGCATCGGATGAGAAAAGCCAGATGGGTAGCAGCAACTTGAGTAGAATGCATTTGGTGGTTTATTTAACTGACCGAGCGTGCATGCATATTTTGGATTTTTCCTAGGCCTTGGAAGCGGCTGTGCTGGGCGTGATAGGTGATGCTCGACATGCGATGGGACAGCAGACGCAGGCACTGGGCCTTTTCGTCATCGCTCGACTGGCAGCTCATCGCCCTGCTCCCTCCATCCTTTCTTCCTCCTCGTTTTCCCTCCCCTCCTCCCCCGACGCCACCGACGATTTCCTCGAAAAGCTCCTCTGCCTACGAGTCACCTGTGCTTCTGCCGATTCCTCGGTGGGTAAACTCCCCTGATCTTTTACGTACACTGAAACCAGGCTGAGACAAGCGCTGATGTTGATAGTTACTGCTACTGTTGTGTTTTTTACAAGTATTGGGACTTGGTGCATATCGTAGCAAGCCTCGCATTTTGCGACTATCTTTACTGTGCACTCCTGCTATCTTCTCGGTTTACATAGCATGCTGAGGTTATTTACGTGGAGTGCTTTTCAAATTTGTAAGTCAATTTGTCATCACTGCCTCTCGTTTGATGTGCATCTTTGCAATAGAGCATCGTCCTTCAGGAGCGGATAAAGGGAACTCCAAAGTGGTTATCAATTATTATCGCCGGTTTGAGTGATGGCCTGTTTTGTAGGCGATGAAATTCGCTATACGGTGGCGTAAACTACTTTCCGATCGCTGCGTTTATGAGCCTCACAATTGCTTTCCCTCTCTAAGATGACGCAACTATCGCTTTTTTATCGACTTTTTTTGGTGAAAAAATTGTGAAATATAAACTCCTAATCTCCATAGAATGCCGCGGGAGGATTTTAAAAGGACGCTTGAAGTTCACTGTTCTAGTTGGTATTAGTCTTCCCAGGACAATATAATGCGTACTTCTGGAAGGATTTCTTGAAAACAACCTTAATATGTGCTCCGAAGATTGAAAGTGGGTGCCGTCAGAAGTACTAATTAAATTTTAACCGTTTTTTTATTAGGCCATCGTAGATCCTTTAACCACTCTGATATACCCTCATAGTTTCTTGCACTACAGCGATGGTTGTCTGGTAGTTATAAGGGTGTATGGTTCATGTGTAGTTGAAACGCCTGACCCGCTTTTTAACTTGATTGTGAGGTTATTCATCCACATCAGAACTAAGCTTCATCCCTTTTAGTCAACACATCTGTGTAACCGTTAACTGCATTCATCTAAACTAATAGAAATTGCAGCGCCTTACTCCACTGAATGTCGCCTTATTTTGAAGTTAATGCCTTGTAGAAATGTTCAAACACGCAAAGGAATTAATTCTTTTACCTCACTATTTAGTTGCGGACTGCTTCGAGTCTGCGCTTCAACTTGGCGCGTTGCCTGCGCTTCTTGGTGGATCTTCCACCTGCGGTGACGGCTCGCCATCGTGGCGCCATTCGGCGTCTGTTGGAGGACCTGCTTGACGACGATTGCCAATCTGTGCGGCTGGAGGCTGCTCGTGCACACAACGATTGGTGTCTCAAAGTCTGACCCGTCAACAACCATCCACCCTCCTCCAACTCCCATAATCACCCTCTTCGGTCTCTCCCGTCTTTTCCATTTTGAATAAGTGAACGATTTTTTGTAGCTATCGGTTGCCCTTTGAGAGTAGGTGGGACTCTTTTAGAGCATATACGTAGCCATATGGAATGAGCACTTGAAAAGCCTTGTGAGGAGGCTTTTCACTGAATAGCGGACCAGGGAAGTTTCTGAGACGCATGTAATGTGTAGGACGAAAGCTCGTGTGATGGTAACCATTTTACGTTGCTGGCAGGTTATGCAATGATGTACTACTGGAATCAACGCATAATTCACCCAACCTACTACACGAAAGTAAGTACAGACTCTGTTGTTGTGCCGTTCGTCTAGTCAGGTTATCGGTATGTTTGGAATCATTGGTAAGGTTCTATGTTTCGATGTGTAGCCGGCCTTCAGACAAATGCAAGCAATCTTGGAGGATGCTGAATTGCTATTTAGTGTTTTCGTATTGTTAAAATCAGTATCATCGAATTCAAGGACATCACGACAGGTACCCCAATTCCCTGTTTCTCTTACTGTAGTCAGTGGAAGAATGAAAAGTGCGGGGTTCAACTTGCAGAGCGCGTTTTGTATTTACAACCTTCGATAAAACAAGGAAAGCAGGGTAATGAAGCATCAACCACCCCCTTAGCGAGTAAGTCGTGGAGCGATTGCTAAGTAGATGCTAAATGTCGTAGTGGTGTGGAGGCGAGTGAATGGTGGCACGTCTGAGGTTTGATGTAATGTGATGCGAAGTGCGGTCGGCAGTACACAAAACAACGGACTGACAAGAGGTTCGTTCACTGAAAGACCATTTGAGGTTGGTTAGCTTGTTGACATCTTGGCTTTGTACACGATGGGAGAGGAGATGAAGGTAACGTGGCGGAGGATGGGCACGCCGCGCACCACTGCTTTCATTTAAACGGCGCATCGTGCAGACGGTTAATCAACCGTAAGAAAGTGGAAGGCCAAAACGTAACGGAGGAATAGAGGGGCCTATTTTCTTCAGTCACCCGAATCCCTGCTTTTCTTGCTCTCTCCAGATGTGCAAAGCTTAGGCACCTAAGGCGAAACGTCAAAATTGTGGTTAGGCATCGGCTTTTTAACTCCGTTCACTAACATGGAGAACTAACTGAGGTGAAAATATCTTTTGAGAGTTAGTGGCCACCAAACAACAAAAAATTTCTTTTATCAAAACTACGTTGTTCAGTTAATTGCCGCAGGAAGTGATGATAAGATCAACTAACTTGGGTTTGCACGACAGGGCGGCCAAAAGTGTATTCGTCTGCGCAGATGAAGTGCATGTAAAAGGCATGTAGACATAACAGAGAGTAGTGGTAATGGAGGGGGGTCGAGAGAGATATTCACAGACAATTGAGCAGATAGTATGCCCTAAGCAGATTCCTTCATCGACTCGGCAGCAGTGGTAACAATAGGTTGTGCGAAGGCGGAGGAGGAGGGTTCGGTGACCTCCTTTGATGATGGTGAGGTAACCTCCCCAAGGGTAATAGACTTCTCGGATGACGGGGCGGCCAGCGGTTCGGCCTCTGCGGAGGCGACCGGGGAGGAGGCATCCAAGTCCTCATCTTCCTCGTCCTCCTCATTGTCGTCCTCGCCGCCGGTACCCCCGCCACCGCTTTCCGAGACGATGAGCATCTCATAGGTGTCCGAAGCGTAGCGATCCCAGTCCGAAATATCCGTCAGGCCCTCTTCGATGGCCTACCATGACGAAATAGATTGCGGCGATCAGGGACACTGGATGACTCCAGCCTCTTTACGCTCTGACACCTGGTTAGCCTAAGTAATCATTAACTAGTCAACCTTAAAAATGCACACGATTAGAACTTTCCACGTGATGAATCGGCTATCCCAATTAATAGTACCAGGCGATTTAAAATAACATAACCGAAAATGGCTATTTCGAAGTTGATGGGGGTTTGAAAAATGAACGGTCACACGACAAGTATTTACGACAGTGGCGGAAGTTCTTTGCATTTCAAGCGCATTAAAAAAGATAATTGGCGAGTAAGAATTATGGTTCATTGCAAATAAGTGGATTGCGTTGGAATTAACGGAGAATTAGTGGTTTTCATTCAAAAGAAAAATCATATGGTAGGATGTTTTTAACATGCTTTCAAACTACTATTTAGTAACAATTTCACGATATGCCATTTGTTTTGAAATGAAAGGAATATGTTAAAATGAAAATGACAAGGAAGGCATGAGCGAACCCTCTCATGGGTATGTGGGCGAAAGCGCAAGACCAAATACATAGCATCGTTGTGCTTGATTTTGCCCAAATTTGAGTAGTGAAAATCCAAGTTTGGGCAAAATGGTCTCCGCTCATCATAATGGTACGGCGCTGGTCTAATGGAACTCTAAGACATGCTCATCCCTTTCCATTCCTGCAGATTGTGCGCCCAAAAAATATTGTCTCATTGTGACTTGATTGCCGTTGAGTATGCTGTGGTTCATTCAACGTCTTCATCCAAGTGGCTGTAATAATGATACGAACTTGGTCATTGATCTCTCTGTGTTCGTTAAAGCATATTTACAACCAGGGAGTACAGCAGAAGCAAGCGGGCTCCTACCTGAAGGTTGGAGAAGGGGTCCCGCTGTTCGTGTTGGAGGTACTTGGGAAGATTGAAGAAGGTGTCGAAGAAGACGGGACAGAGGTTGCACCTCTTAAGGTCAGAGAGACGGATCTTATCGGAGAGGGCGGGTCGAACCATATCGAGGCACTGGCAGAGGCAGTCCTCCAGTGTCGGTGGCTCAATGCCCATCTCCTCCATCCGTGCTGACTGCTCTGAGTAGAAGTATTCCAATTCGTACAGTGAGAGCACTCCGTCTCCGTCCAAATCCATGCATCTGAACCAGTATTCGATGCTGCCAGGAAGAGGAGAAATAAAAGTAATGGCCGCTAAAACTGCTTCTGTTACCATGTTCATACAACTGTTATGAGTTCTTCGTTAAGTTTTTTTAAGGATCTTAGATACTATTTGATGGACAATAGGAAGGTTAAAACAAAAAACCTGATTCAACCGCAAAATTGAAGTGGGATTAAAAATGCTGAAACCCACAGTCCAGCATAAAATGATTCTGGTAATTCAGTATGAAGAAAAACATCCATAATGCTGGCCAGTAATTTATTCATATAAGAATAAATTGAATCTATAAAGAGGCTTTTAATATGCGAACGCTGTCATGTTGCTTCCTGATAACAGGAGTTGACATAAAACGGACTGTTATTGAGGCAAGTTAGCGTGATATTGTGCCATGAGCATAATTTGGTACTGCAGCTACCAAAAATGCACTGGAAGCATAGTTCACTGACTCAGTGATACAGCTAAAATTTTTTCTTTAGAAACAATAACTCCCGTCCCTAGGCGGAACTACTCACACCTCAAGAATGACAAGATGACACCTGTCAGACTTTTGAAGAAGCTGTGTTGAGGTCAAAAGGGTGAGAAGAACAGGTAATCAAACCTTTTTATCATGAAAAGACTCGTAGAAAGAAGCTGTGAAATCCCATTAACATTTGTGGTTGAAGTGGAAGGAACGGGAGAGAGGGAGAGGCAAAAAAGACAAGGTGGAGTTCATGTGCATGCATACATCGAGTGCCAGACACGATAAAAAGTCAAAAAGATGAAATCAGTGACAAGAATCTATGGGATTTCCAACCGTCTGTACTGACCTGCGTAAAAGGGTTATTAGGCGATGTAGGTCGACTAAATGAGCTACTGATATGGTTGCAGTATGCGTCGAAATACCGTTGAAAGAAGATTGAAATGTTCCTGAGGCTATCTCACACAAAAAGCTCCACCTTTAAACATGGAAAGATGTGTCAATAAACTTCACTAATAACATTGTTCCCAATGGTTTTACAAAAATAAAAGCATGCTTTTCTGTTTCCATCACTAAACCGTTTTATGCATAGCCAATGTTAGAAATAGTGGAAATGGGCTTTCAACTTCCATAATATACTTACAGCGAAGTCACTTCGATACTATTAGCAAAAGGGATGAAGCGATGGAAACAAGCACAACAGCAACGCCACACCCATGAATATTAAATTAACATTCATTACCCTAAAAATGATTCTTCTTTAGCCCCCAATGCCATTGCTGACTAAAATTGAATTGGATGTAAATTTGTAGTACAAACAGAAGTTACTTAACCATTTGGTGGTCAGTACGATATTTAAAAACCACTAATCTTAATATTTTCATGTTTATATGTGGAACAGCAGACTGCAATTTGGGGAAAAAAACGGAAACTGCCCGTGGGAGGGACTCAATCAGAATCCAACAAGCATAGATGCGTTTTTTATGCAGGTACGGACTGTGCAACAGATCATGCCAATTTTCCAACCGTCTAAATTTTTTTCCTTTCGCAGAAGATTCAGGTATGTGGGTTGGAAAAAATGTAAGGCAAATGGCTTGCCATGTCAGGAAAGGAGAAAAGAAAAAAAATCAAGCCTACCCTGGAGGGGTGTGATGTCTCGAGGACAGACACTATAACGCCGAGCAGTGAGCTCACCTTCGTGGATGCCGTTTGTCCTCTTCTGCCAGAAGGAACCACACGAAGTCCGAGTAAGTCATTGTACCTTCCTTGAAGGAAGTCCCGCTAGAAGTACACAAGGTTGCCGAACATTTAATCTGTTACTGTTATTGTGGTCAACACTTCACCTGCTGCTTGTCAAAGAATCAAATGAATACTTATGTAATCTCTTCGCAAATTTGTTCTTTAAATCTAGTTAATAAATTCATTTATTTGTTTTTTTGCTAGGCATTTACCGATAAAACCATTCAATGCTTACAGCTGGAGCATTTTCTACAGTTGCCGCGAAACAATAACCAAAACATGAAATTTAGCATAGTTTACGGGTGTACGGAAACCATAGATTCCTAAGACGAAAAGGTTATCAATAGACCAGTAGGACTCGTCATTATGTCAATTAAAATTCGCCAGCATAGTAAATGAGTCCTCACCGTGTAACGGCACCGCTAAATATCCGATCAATCATACGCTCTGAGATAGCTGTAAGAGAAAAATGATTGTATGAGTGGCTAATTCAAAGTTGAATTCGTTTTCACCACAGAAATATTCTGAGTTGGTAAAAGAGAGGAAGTGTTCAAGGACTGTGCGAGAACTGAATGCTATATGAGGCGGTAAATGTTTAGATTAAAACACGTAATGGTAATTCATGGAGTATGCCAAGAGATGCCTACCATAGTTGTTATGCCTGGCGAGGTCGGCCTTGCTGATGATGAGATCGTGATTAGTGTCGAGTTCCCAGAACTTGCAGTAGATAACATAGAAGTGTTCGTAGGAGAAGTACTGCGTGACGAGGTTGATATCCTCTTCCGTCTCGAGGCTGGCGAGAACATCGAGGAAGTTGGAGCGTCGCAGCTCGCCTAGACTGATACGGCCCGACCAGGAGGTGTTGGCACAGAAGAAGATGCGCGACACCACCGTTGTCACATAGCGCGCATGGAACTCTGGGGCCGCTTGCAAGAAGGTCAAGCTAGGGTGCGTGTCCACCACGTCCTGAAGGATAAAACATCTCATATCACATTGCGTTCACATCCAACAAACCCATGATATCTATATTTAACGTTATTGAGTAACTTAGTGCTGAAAAGATCGAAAACCACCACCTGCACTTCCATTGGGGTACAAATCCCCATTACAACCATCATGAACATGGAAATACTTTTACTGTCACAATGTGGCACGCTTTACATATATATCAGCAAGCAGTATTGTGGTTAGTAAGTATATCCTCGCACAAAATGCATATAGAAACGAAATGGTAACGCATGTGACAAGTGGGAATGTGCGTATTGATGTACAAAACTGGCTGCAGAAACGTGCCCTTCAGAAGTCCGTGAAAAAAAAAAAAACCAATTATGACGCATGTCTGCTTATTTGAGCGCCACTGCCCACTTCGTGATCAAGTGCAAAACGAATTGCATATAACAATTCAAACAATTATTCCCAAGTTCTTAAATAAATACGCATTGAGTAAATCAAAAAGGCGATGGCGTAAACAAGCCCTTAAAGTGACCAAAGTTCAAAATTTAATCCGCAACCATCTGTCAAACATGGAGAAGAGGTTCTAAGGAGGCATTGTTAGCTGGCTCAAATTTCACCCCTCTCATCAAACACCTTATTGCAATCAGGCGGACTTCTGCGATTAAGCAACCAGTGGAAATAAACCTAACTTACTGTGGGACAGATATTAGCATGACTGAGATGGTTTACTCCACTGATAACCCATAAGTATACTTTTTACCGCGTATAAAAAAAATTTTCTCCTGACACAAATGCAGTTTATAAATATTAGGAATCAAATGGGCATCTTCGATGTACCACACAAAGCCTTTGTTGGTGGTGCTGATAACAATAGGGGAAATTTACCTGGAACTGTGAAATACGCAAAGTGTGGTACGTGTCAGGAGCCAGCGCAAAGCCACGATAGCGAAAAATACAGACTTTTGGAATACAATTGTGTTTGAACAGCCTCACAAAAAGGCACCGCACAACCTGATGGCGGTTGCGCTTAAAAGCACGTCAAATTCCACCTTATTATATTGGTAAACGTGTCTGTCTTTCAAAATACAGAGAACCCAAGCAAGAGAGTATCATTAATTTGTTTATAATATCACAGGTGAGCAAACAGTCGCTATGTTTACGCCGCAGACTTTAACGCAAAGCCTGAGAACCTCACCTAATTGGTAGTGACTAGAGTGATGAAATTGGAATGCGTACGATTGCATTGTGGTGTCAGTTTATCCAATAGTTGTGCCGGTGTCTCTCCTTTATGAATGTATATGGAAGGATTGCAGCAGCTAAATAAACAATCGCTTCTTAAAATTGCATTACTTCATCCTTGACAACACAATGCGAAAAATCAAGCAATGCATGAGTGGCTAGGATTAACTCAGAAGAATCGGCTCTCCAGTGCAGGGGATTGTTTTGTGAAGCGATATACATCGGAAAATGTATCAAACTTGAGGTTTGCCTCCGAGGGTTAAGCGTTATATTGTGATTGGAATGTGTTGAAAGTAGCGCAACAGTACATAAAATTCATCATGAAATTCGAACGATCAATGAATAAGGGATTGTCCAATGAAAATAAACGCATGTAGTGAGTGCCAAAGGGGAAAAATCTCATCCAGTCTGCTGATATTCCGTTTCACATTTATTATGCTACTGTTTGAAGGGAAAGAGTTTGGAAGCAATAGTCATGATGTACAGGGGGAAACGCCTTCAAGCCGTGCCAAGGAAAGTAGAGAGCAACATTTGCACATCATTCCTGAGTTTGAAGACGAAGGGCATAACTAGCAGTTAAAAGTGATAGTGGGACTCGCTGTGTACTCAACCACCGCTTCCGGCTTAGTGACTTACATTATTTACAGGACACTATTCTTACAAAAGGCAGAGGTTCAGATCAGAATTTTGTACACAAGATGCACAACAAAATATTCCCACTATGAATATTTGCAACACGTTTGGAAGTAATGAATGAGAGGAAGATAGAGATACGTGTGTTGTACACCAAGCAATAGCCATTGGATGATAAGTGTGTCGTATACAAAAATTGTGGAAAAAGCATCACAAACAGTAATGCTTAAGCAGGAGTGATTTCCATATACCCTTCCACTTTATTCCTACCCTCAAATGTAGGCTTTTGGAGCCCTCAATATGCGCAGGAAACATGTACGTAAACATGAGTGGGCTTAGCAAATATGCTGTACAGGGCTGCAGCGACGAAGGCAGGGTGAGGGGGCGAGGGGGCAAGGGGAAGGCAGTTGCCACCACAACAAATCGATGATGCACACGACTGGACGGAGCTGCGACACGTGTTCCTTAGGCCACGCACACAACGCAGCACAGCACAGCGCACAACGCTGTGGCACGGTGCGACACAAGAGATTGTAAACTAAGCTTAGGGGACGAGTGAAAAAGTCTCTGCCCTAGTCCCAGCTATAGATAGGGGTGTGCGGAGGGCAGTGACACTCCGAGGGGAAAAAATGCGTGCACAGGCAGATACAGCTTGCAGAAGAGGGTAGTCATAATAAGTAGCATGCCTGAAACCTGTGACTAAGATCGGTTTGAAATAACTAAATAGCGGTACGACAAATAAAAAAAACACTTACTTCTATGCTTGTGAGTGTGTATGTGTATTCGGAAAAAAAGGATTACTGTCATTTAATCCCTGCAGCTGCAGTGGCCCGACTTCCATAGCAGATTTTTGAGTTGCATCGTGCTAACACTACGGAGGCACTGATTTCACCAACATATGATTGATTAAAGTAAGTGCCAGAGTACATGAAGAAGTGTAGAGTATAGAGTACCAAAGTGGTCAGTTAAGGAAAGGAGATCATTTGGGGCATAGATCAGAACACTCACTTGGATTATCGGCCAGAAGTCATCAGGCACTAGGTACTGAGCTTTGCCTTTGGTCAGCAGGTAAATGAATTGAGATGCAGCATCAGGACAAGTCTCCAAGACCCTGAATGTGAAAACGACGCCGAAAAAGATTTAATTTTTACGCCCACTACATATGTGCGACAAATTGCTTAAAAGTGCATAATCACTCATTAGTGGCTGTTATGCATTTTTATGAAACAGTAACTTCTTATTAAAAAACAAACTAGCACACTTCGGAATGGATTTATGACATGACGAAGTGTGCAGCTTAAGAGGATGGGAAAAAATAGTTGATCGATTGTTTCCTATTGTAACGCAGAGGAAGTTGGAATACCTGGTTCAACAGAATGATATTGACTCACCGACGCCAAAGGGAGAGAATTGCAGTGACGGGTACGGCAGTGCTGTCGTTCTCGCCACCAGCAGCCTTAAAAAGTGCCCGTTTCCAGTAGAGCGGACAGCCACAAGCCTGAATACGAATATAGATAAGTAAAAAAAGGTAACAAAGTGAGTAATTACAAAGTCGCAGAATGCTGCTCAAACACCTCGCTGAGTTACGCAATCTTTCAGACATCATAGTAAGTAATTACTTCCGATAATCCCCATTGGCTTAACTCAAATTCCTCCAGTCAGTTAACTTTTTGTTAGTTTTGCCTGTCTCTTAGTAGTAGACACTCATAGAAACGCCTTTGAAAATTAGAAGACGAAAACTCTAGGAGAGAAATTATAACCCTTAGTGCACTAAGCAGTACTGGCAACCGGAGCGTCTGTGCAGCCTGCCAATGGAGAGACGAGAGTGGCGAAGGCCACTGACCCGCACATGTGCGTGCGCTCGTGAGGGTATCTGTTTACGATTCTTTCAAAAACGTCACGACAACGAATCGATCTCTAAGCCTGAGAAAATTTGGCACAGGGGCACGCGCACATACACAGGCCTTCAGGTGTTGATGCATGCTGCGTAGGTGGGCATGCATGCATGCGTGTCTGTGTGTGTGTCGAGAAAAATAGGCGCTGCATGCACACGCAGTAAGAAGTTGTGCCCTCTTCGTATGCAGTCAGATAGCATATGCATCCATTCTCTTGCACTGAGTCCTGTGGTGGAAAGAAATTTGCGGTAATACCTCAACTGCCATTACAATCACAACACTGCGACCACAGAGGACAGACTAGAACAGTGGCTTTGTTCTACATTCCTTTGGGAAAAATTAACGTACGCCTACAGATTGACACAGTCAAGGGTCAATAATAAGTACTTAGAGCTCCAATAAATTTTGCCCAGGGATCATCACATCTGAATTGCAAAATTTTTGAGCGACAGCCAACGCGCATAAGAACTGAAGCACATATTCTGAATGTACATCACACAATAAAATTGTTTTCGCATGGAGGAGACTAAATCACCCACCTTGGTGACAATGTTAAAGCGACTAAAGGGAATGAGAGATTCGACAGTGAGCATGGTAGGCGGTGTGTACTGCTCCTTTTTCTCATCCACTATGACCGTCGTGACCGTTGAAGTCTCCGGATTCTTGGTGTTGGTCTCCTCAGCTTCGTCATCATTCTTCTGAGTAGGCGCAGATGCCGCCAACCCCTCAAGAATACAGGCCTGTACTTTATCCATAGCAGAGCCCAGTTCCGTAAGGGAGAGAAGAGAACTCCCTATGGGGATGTAGAACTGCGGCACCCGCTTGCTCGGCTGTAGAGGCTTCAGCACTGGTCCTGTGGCATCCCCACTCGGAGTTTGTTTAAGTACCTTCTTAGCTACCTCTGGCATTTCAGTTCTCTTCTCTTCCTCCCCTTTTCTTTCCTTGAGGACAGATTCCTTGCTCTTGTCGTCTTCAAAGTGTGGCAAGACCGTGGAAACTGAAGAGGGGACTGTAGAAGTCTCATCCTTAGAAAGCACTGTCTCCTCTGTAGTGGTGTCCTTTCCGGCATCCTTGGTGAGGGTGAGTGAGGGAGAGGGAGTGATGGTGGTTCCTGGAGCCGTGGAATTAACTGCAGGACTTCCATTCGTACGTTCCACTTTTTCAGCCGGAATAACTGTGGGCGTCTAAAGCAAGCCGGAAAAATAATCTCTGGCATTCGTAGAGTCACAAAAATTGCACGTATTCGTTAATGTGAACTCAGAAATGAGTAAATTCGTCCTATTGAAAGTATCAACGAATAACCACTGAGACATGCGGGTAAGAAGGCTGCAAGGTTTTGTTTATTGCTCGTTGGTTGAGGTTGTAAAAACATGTTCAGTTCATATGCAAAGAGCAAACAAAGTGTATCAACTAATTATGGAAACTAATTCCTAAAAACCAGAAATATTGATCAAGAATGTACTGAGGTCTATTATCTTTGCAACGGATGTTACTGATAGGGTGACATTGGCAGATCTTGAAGGAAAAATGAAGTTGAATCTAATAAGACAATGAAAGAACTTAGTCAGAATTCCGCACATGAAGTAACTACTTGTCTCTCCACATATATCAGACGTATTGTTGACCCAATAAACACACATCATGAATTTGTGACGTGCCAAGCACCTCATTTTGTAGCCGCAACAATGTCCCACTTAGTTGTGCTGGTCGTTTAACCATTATCTATCCCTTGTGCATGCATGTAGAAGGCTTAACTACATTGTCATCAGAGCTGTCAAATCACCATGGAGTACAGATTCGACTAGCCATGGTCGCTGGAGGTTCTACATGGATCAATCCCGAGGCACATAACAGCCGAAGACGGTAGGCGACGCGAGCCTCATTTGCAAACTGCACAGCCACCAACCCACACCTATAATTACGTCAGTGTTGAGGTGGCGTATTTTCTGAAATGCAAAAATTCCTGCCTGGCTTAATCATGCTAGCTCGTGCATACGGCGTTCCATTTACCACAACAGCTAGCGCTTTCTTCAAAGCATCGGGCTATAGTCAAATGTTCCATCTCCTCCACCGGAAAGGATGCAATGTAAGTTATGCAATCGAGGGTAAATGCAGCCCGAAACAAATATACTGCAAACAGGCTCGAGGGGTAAGACCATTTTGCAACTTTATGAAATTAGTAAAAGGGGGAATGAAATGCAAAATAACTCATGATTTTCTCTTCATATCATATGCTTGTTTATGGCAAAAGGCCAGATGGAGTCATCACAAAAGGATTGCACAACTAAAGCTTCGTCGCTGTGAATTAGTAAGAGTTGATTTTGAAATAGCAAATACTAACTCATTGTTTTAAAAATATGGTGTGTATGCAAAAAGTTAAGGTGACCAGACTCTGTATGGGATAAATAAACCATTTATTTGACGCATCAATAAAGCACCCTCATACGTAAGGGGTTAAAGATGTCAGATAGAAGGTCTTCAATAATGCAGTCAACTAAAACCTACCGCCGTAGACGGTTTTGAAGGAATACAATTTCGATCAAACTGTTCAAGAGGAACAAACACCGTTGCGGTAGAAGAGAAGGGTGGTTACCGTATGATGTAGAACAAAAAAGGACAAAATGACTAAAGGACAGGTGGAAAATTTCCGTTCCTCTCTTAAAGTTCACCCACTGATGACCACGATTGCGTACGAGGTTGTGTCCTTTAAGCAAGGGTTAACATTAATTCAGGGCACACAAACACATAAATACTTCTAGTAGTTTAAGACAGAGTGGACGGTCCTAAAAGGTCAAAAACGCAATTATGAAGTTCCAATGCTCAAGAACGGTTTGAAGAGGCACGCCGATTTCTTTTCCTAATCTTTGGTGGATATAAAAATTCTCACTCCTGTTTACCAGTGGGATTACCCGTTTACTGACACAGCCTTACCATGCTTCTTCCATTAATCGCTAAAGATCGCTTTCGTAAAAAAGAACATTAATTCCCTTGAGAAAACCTCCGTTACGATACCCAACACTTTTATGAAAAGCAGAATGCACGAAGAACATGAAAAAAGGAATTTCCGTATTGCCTGGCATTTATAATTTACTATAGCATTAGAGGAACCGAGATGGAAAACATAAAAATTGAAAAATATTGTTCACTCAGGTAATAAATGGATAAAGGGATATTTGACCCCAAGCAACCTTCTATAATCTCGGGGACCAGCAACCATTTCTTTCATACACAGAACCTCTAATGATGGATCATCAAATCTGTACACGGTGGCAAGAAAAGTATACATACCAACGAGAATTGGTGTGTGGGTGGGCTTTACTTATGTAGCATTACCAGTCGCTCACACGGCGAGTGTGACCCATTGAAATCCACTTCATCACCAGATTCAAGAATGAGACACACGAAACAGTGCAATATGTTTAGCAGTCTTAACTACGTGTGAAACGGAGTGCTTCTACTGAATTCCAAAGACCACTGAACCACGAGCAGTGCCAATCATCACGTGGCCAACGCCTAAAATCTAGGGCAATAGCAAAAGCGTCCAGCAAACAGACAACGTCTCATGCATACTAGAGGAAGATCAAACCGACCTGGAAACTAGATTGCCTATTTCATCCTAGCAACTCACTTTTTCTGTCACTTTAGATACATTTTCGTTCGCCGGCTTAACCATAACAACATCCTCTTTTTCTGATGGTGATGGAGTTTCCTGTCGAGAAATCGAAACCTCATCTACTTCCGTTTGTACAAGAGTCTTGGCTGCAGAAATCGCCTCTTCAGCCGGCCCTGGTGCCCTTGGAGATGGAGTGAGCTCCTTATCCTCCGGGGGCTTCGGAAGTGGGGTGGTTTTCTGCTGCTTGAGCGAAGTTGCATTGCTAGGTGTAGAAGTACTATCATCGGGCAAGGCGGATTGAACATCAATAGGGACGCTGGGCGAGAAGGAGGCCTTGCTGTGGACAGTGGTTGGGAGAGGCAGATCGGGTAGTGCCCAGGGTTCAATCAGGGACGGGGGAGGAAACGGAACATCTGGACTTTTCGACAAGTCCGGAAATTTCTGCGACACCCGTGGCACTACCCCACCACTCAGTGCAGAAGAAATGCTGGAGACAGAGCCCCAAACATCTGTGTAGACCTCCTGGGCGGGGAGACACTTGCCCATGTGGACTCCGGCAGGACAAAATCGTGAGGTAGTGCCCTCTACGTTGGACTGGGTGGCGATGGCTGCTGTAGCAGCACTCGGCGTCATAGCCGCTCGGGGACACCGCTGGCAAGCATGGACTGTAGTCTGCCAGGATAAATCCACCGAACAGGCATGGAAAACGGGCGCCCGTGAGGCCATAACAAAACTCTGCACTCCATAACACACTGGCATTTTGTGATTCCGTGGTCCGATGGATTGATGACTGTTGAATACACTGCCAAGATATTTGCTGTTGGGGTTAGTAGCGGAGTTGTCTTGGTTTGCTTTCACCTTTAGGTGGGAGAGGTAATCCGAATTGGTGGCTAGGACAGATGGGACGCCACTGGAGGGGGGACTTCCAGGGCCGGTAGAAACATTACCACCGCCCCACCGTGTGCCGTATGGCGTGGCTCCGTCAATGAATACACGGGGATAAGATGCCAGGTTTACTAACTCTTATTCGGTACAGGTGATCGTAGCTGCGTTAAAGAAGTCGAGTGGGGAGTGAACGTGCTGTAATGAGGATTGCAGGTGGGCGTAGGCCAAGCATGCGTATACACGAACACTCGTATACGTCCTATACGTTGTCGTTCGTGTTTTTATTGTGGTGGTAACAATGGAGGTGGTGGTGGTGATGGTGGCAGTTATGGTAGTGGATGCAGTTGCGTCCAATTTGCCTGTGCGTGCGTGTGCGTTTTCCGTGCGCGTAGGTAACTACTGGAAGAAATGATAATTATCACTCTCCTCCTCCACTCATTCGCGTTCTCTGCCTCTCACCGCTGCTTACGTGTGGTACGCATGCAAGCGATTGTGCATTTGCGCGTAGAAGCAGCACACGCATGGCAGTAGCGGTGGTGCAATTGCCGCATACGTGCGTCTCCACTCATGCACCTGATTGGTCCGAAGGCAAACACACACAGGCAGCGCCAAAGCCGACAGCCAAGGAGGCGGCGACACAACAGTACTAACGGCAGCAACAACTATCGATCGTTCAGCGCACACATGCACGTGATTGGCTTATACGATGAAGGCACAGTCTGGTTGGAAACGCGCACGTGTATGTGCACTTATGCTGATCCCGAGACAGATGAGTAAGCTCCAAAAAAGGCACCAACAGCGAATTTTAGGCAGATGCCAATATGCACATAAGCTCAGTACACAACCGAGAGCGCACCGTGTTCTCATATGTCTGCGGTGATTTCTTCATCGTATTTATGCAGTTTTCATTCAATAAGAACTTGCCTATTTTTAGGGACCACTCATACTTGCGTCTCCTTTGTTCAGCTAAGAGGGTTTTGCTCCGTGAAATCGTTCTCAGTGATAGCACTTCTTGTGCAGTAACCTATTCGAAAAGCGCATCTCCGCCATTCCGCAAGGAATATGGAACGAATTAACGGAAATAGTGAGCCGATGTAGATCAGGAATGGATGAAATTATTTGTAAGCTGAATAGGGGACGAAAGCTACTCAGAAGTTACTGGTGGTTAAGTATCCAAGATGTTGATTGGGCTTCGAACATGAACACGGAAGTCGTGATAGTTGCTGGGGTTCTTCATTATTTCTAGCATTTGAGAGGCATCCCGACCCAAGTATATCAGACTTCTGGGTGTTTCGTCCTAATGAATGCTTGAATAAAGTATTTCTGTAAGCAAACCGAAAAAGTAAGAACAATTGTCTGAAAAAAATGAATTGTGGGCATTGGTAATCGTCAACATCCTTTGAAATAGTTTATCACAAAATGAGGGTAGTGATGACATTACGCAAACTTTGCCTTCTGTATTGTACCATCAATTTTAAACAGGAGATATTAAATCTTTAGGCTTATTGACCCAAACGAGTAGAACAAACTCATGAAGACAGTAGAACGAAATCCTCCTCCTCAATTCACCCAGTCAGTGGGGCAAATTAAACCCACATTCTACCGCTTATACCACTACCCAAAAAACAAGTAACTAAATTAAGATCGAGCATTTTCAGCGCAGTGTTTATATCACTGAACGATGTGTGATTATTTCGGACAGTACAATGCATGCTCTGCACATCAAGATCGGGTTGTCCTGATAAGGACTAAAATGGGCGTATTCTTCTAATATTAGGAGAAAATTGTCATATTTATTTGAGGAGAGGATCAAGATTACGACCCAGCTATGGAACGTCACAGCTGTTTCCTACTCAGACGGCCGCGTGTACAATTTCTACTTAAATTAAGTAGTAGATGTACCTCCAAGTAGTAGTCTAGCCAAAACAGGTCGTAAACAGTGTGCGCCGGAGCTCACATCCACCATTGTATATGCAACGTAGCTTCTAGGTTTCCTTAAAACGATAGGCCGAAAGAAGCATGAGAAGCTTATACGTACAGAACCATAACGATGAAGGTATTTTTATGTTTTGGAAGCTAAACAAGTTGAAAAAAGCAGAGCTTCCCCACGGAACGGTTTTGAAACTGTTAGCAATCATGAGCATACAAATATTCCTATTCCACATGACTTTTGGAAAGTTCGTCACTAAGAAAATACCATGAAAGGTGATCAGATCAAAGACTGGCAAAACACGGTTAACGTCAGAATTATTATCGGAACTTGGTGAGCTTGTCGAGCACATTCGTTTTGCCAAACACCACTCCCGGTATGATAGATTTATGGCAATCTGTGTACATAAATAGTAGACATCAAAAATGGACAGCCTCTGCATGAGAAGTTAATGAAGTGTGTGTATACGCACATCTGTGGTTAATTGGTTTCACACAAAAGGACGATGTCATAGTGGCTTTTGCTGGCAAATTTGGTGTCTTAATGCGCGCATTTTCCAAAAAGCTGACCATTACAAAGGCGGGATCGCGTAGACCATAAGAAATTGGCTACTCTTGCTTTAACACCCCAAGCTAACTGGAATGCTTATCAAGCAATACTCAAAGTACCCAGGTCAAAGTGCTTCAGCTAAAAGGAAGGGCTAGATGGCACATTTCAAGATCTGGAAGACGGTGATAGGACTGTGGTTGGATTAGTAAAAGTATCGATATCCGTATGTGCTTGCAAAAACATTTGAGTTGACTGAAAAATGACAGGGTTCTAAAAGGTTGTAGACTAAAGCAATGCACAAAATGTTTAATTGCCAAGTTAACACCCGTCGAATGAGATGTAACAAGTAAAAAACACCTCTGACTAACCGCACTTCCCAAAAGGTTACGATAGACGTAATTAATCAACACCAGTTCCATAATATAGAAACTGCATTGCACTGGGAGGAATAAAAATAGCCAGCTAAATACCAATCAAGGAATAAGCTTAAGTTCCCAATTTATGATAGACTTAAGTAAACACCGAAGAGTGAAAAAAGCACCCATCATTTCTAGTCGTAGTTTTTGAATAGTGGGAGCGAATTATGACTAGAAGAGGACGACTTTCAGAGCTTCGGTACAGTTTAGCCCGGCTCTAGAGCCCAGAATAAAGGAAAAAGTGTAGTAGATGTTAAATGTCTCAGGAAAAAAACAGAATGAAGTGGCCCAATCGCCGTCCACAAGCCCTGCTAAAGGCTTGATTTACTGATAAGTAGTGGATGGGAAATTGCACAAATGGGGGGTGTGCGTGTGGGAAAGAGCAAGTGGTGCCTTCATGTTCACATTGGCATAGTCAAGATATGAACAGACTTATTAAAGCATAATGTGAGGATGTGCTCGAAATCACATGGAATTTTCAACCAAAACTGCATCCTGTGAATACAAGATAAGTGCTTATTGCATTAGCAATTTATTTAAAGCTACTGTATTACTGCGGTGGGGCGTGTTTGAGTCTTTTCAAGTTGGTATTGCATGCATAAGTTATGTAAATAGACATGCAAAATGCGTTGTCTCTGTGCAGATGGAGTATTAAACGAAGTTTACACAACTTCTGGCAAAATTGCTTTTCATCCAAATATCTGAAAAAAACACGAAGCGAGAAACGACGAAGTGGTATGAACGCATATGACAAACGGTGTTCTTTGTGGAATGCCTTACAGTCGATCATTTACAAAGCTGTATTAGAATCTCTAGGACTATATTTACTGTTGCAATGACAATACTTTCGGAAAAATGCGAAGAAATACGGACGTAAGTGATACGTGAACGAGTAAAACTGAAAAGCTGTTGAGTTGTGAATAATAACAACATATAATTCGGTCGAAAGTTAGGGAAATGTTGCCAAAAATAGTCAAAAATGGTGAAAAGTGAGCCTTGAACATGCTTTATATTAGGAAAATACTCCGGAACTGAACAAATAGAAAATTTGTAGCTTTCAACTTTTTCTGTCGTAAGAATGCAAAAGTGGTGCTATTAAGGAACCATTTGCTGCCAATCATCTTAAGTTCGGTTATCAGAAAAACACTAGTGCAGAATTATAAACCCACATAACTTGATGGAAAGTGCTAGATCCTCGTAATGTCTTACTGTAGAAGGGAATTTAATCGAATGAAGATAGCAAACTGAGCGCTTTACAATGTCAGCCCACTGTGAGAACTGAAACTGGACTTTCAGACGTAGGAGCCAAAATTGTGTATTTCCGATTTGTAACGGGTTGGGATCCGGGTGAACAAGCGATGTGCGTATTTCAACGAAGGAATAAGCCCAAACCACAACGGGTGGTAGATGCCCCGCCTGGTAGATTCAACACCTTCAACAGCCACGATGCGTCAGTACACACGCGTGATTGGGCTCCTATCCCGATTACTAGCCACGCGCCGGAACATAGCAGGGCTTACTCCGGGCACTTGACCATGCTGCAACGCGTCCAAATGCAGGTTCCTATGGCCGACCTCCTTCTCCAACCGATCAGTAAATAATACTACCTATCTAATAGCGAAATCCACTCTTACTGTCCATTCTTCAAGGCGTACTCAATTGATCTACCCAAATGAAAGAACGACGTCTTGGAGCAGTTTAGGTCAGCACATTTCAACGATACTTGCAGAGAGTGAGGGACCGAAGCCGGTAGAGCTTAAAGGTACTCGTTTTAATGTGAGTATATTAGGCTAAGCACTATTTGAAAACCGTTCTGAGCTTGGAAGGATTTGGAAATGGTTGGAAAATTATGAAGTTGTCATAAATGTAGCCCAACGGTGGAAGGAGAACTCACGAGAAGACTGGCATAGGTGGCAAGGGTACAAATTCCACCAACGTTCATTCGCGTCAAGGGTGGAGAAGGCTCTAAGCGTGCGCCTTCGGACAAACACTACGCTCTTCACGCGTGCATGCGTGCGTACACACATGCGAATCTACGTTCGAACATGCATTGGAGAATGTATCTAACGATAGGTGAAGATAACACAAAACAATCAGATTGGTTGCATGACCTAACGACACGCACAGTATTGGCTCAACAGCGGTTTAGGTCCCTAACTTACCTTGATAATTCTGCAAATGGTTTTAGCACGACGGACTCGATCCACTCAGTGAGCAAGCAGTACATAAGATGAATCATCATCGCCTGATCTAACTGTAGGAAGTCAGTAGTAGCATTTACCTAGACTTTCGAGCGTTAATTAAATAGTAGATTTGAATTGAGCTGGCAGACAATTTTTATTATCAAGTAGCTCAAATGAGGACTTTTGAAAAAGCATTTTTGAGTAATCCGCTGAATCAGAGAATCTATCAATCACCTAATAAATAGTACCAGAGCTTAAGTAGGGGCTCCAAACTATGATAGTCATAGCCAACTTTAAAATAACGGCTTGGAAATGCTTCTAGGGTCAAGAAGGGGCGAGTGTTTAGAGTTAAGCATCGGAAGTTGCAACACACAAGAGATTCTCAGAAGTAGGAGTATTTTGCCATTATATTTGGTTTGTTTTATTAAAAAATGACTTCACCTATTGATTTTACGGCACTTCAAACTGAGACTGATTCCATTTAAAATAATTAACTGATATTTTTCTTCTTTAGGGTTAGGATTTTGTCAAACTTTATGGATAATAAACGCTGCAGATCAGCTAATTATGTAAAGAAATCATTTTAAACATTCCAAAAAATTACAAGTTTTGTAATATCCGTAAAAATCGGAGTCTTAAGGCCTAGACAGGAGTTCAGATATTTCATCGGACACTAGTTTCTAGGGTATACAGTAATGTGTTGGCTTTTTCCCCGTACACGGAGCACACACTGTAATAGAATGGGATTGCTGAATTAGAGACCGTTTTCCAGGGAGAGCTGTAGGATGCAGAAACACGGATATACGCGACTGCCGGCGACGCACCCTAGCACAGCCAAGTTTGTCACTGTACTATGCGGCAGCTTACACGCCGTCCGGTTGAATACACAAATATCACGCATGGTCGGTACAAATCAAGGTAGAGAGTGAAGGCACACAGTGTGGTGACATTTAGTAGTATGCGAAGGAATCAGCATGGTGGTCGTGTGCTGAATGATTTACAACCAGGCGTGATGATACACTTTTACCTGGGCTAACGAATTAGGCGTGGTAGGCTTAACTGAAGTGTTGAATCTTGGTCCACTAAATTATTCACCGTGAAAAGAAGGTGGCAATTTGTCCATGTTTTTACATTCACAAATGTAAAGAGGGGAATTTTTTTCAGTTTACGAATACCAAGTCTGGACTAGTGGGCGATGAGTCACTTCCAGGGAATGAGGAATGAAAGAAATAAATACAATTTTTTTCATTACTATAACCACAAGTTCACAATTGATCCTCTAGTTTTTACGCTATGAAAGAACCTCTGTTTCCGCGCATATATATGTATACGGTAATTAGGACGGCGTAATTAGTTCTGGTTATTTTGTTCAATGATACTTTATGACAGCATTAATGTGATCCCACCGATCTTGCTAAAATGTTTCATCATTAGGATCATAAGTATGCGTTTTTCACCTGAAGCAAAGTCCATTACTCTAGCCTTTACAGATGTGTCACGTCAAATGTGTTTGCTGATTTTCATATCAGGTAGATATTGTAAACGACTAAAAATAAAGTAGCAGCACATTTATTACACCTTTGTGGTGAAAACCACCTAACTTGTCCAGACAAGTATGATAACAATAGAGCTACCGAAAAGTTAGTAGACAGGAATAAATGACCCAAACGTTAGGATTTTCGAAAGTTAGTCTTATCACAGCGCGTTATACAATGATTCAAGAGTCTGTGAAAGTGCTGGTGCCTATAGCCATTAATTCACTTATCCTTTGCTGCCTCAACTTAGTAAGAAACAAGTCAGAAGTTCGGAGAAAAGTAATTAATGATCAATCATCACAGAGTTACGAGGAAGTAAAAATGGTTTCATAAAACCTTAGAATCTTCAAATTGAAACTTCAAACATGACCCATAGACGTAAGCATAATTAAAACTGAGCATACATTATAATTGGGCTCCAGGATAGTCTACTAAGTTCTGAATAACTGACACCCGAATATGACTGGGCAAACTGACGGCACAGCCTCCAAAGAAGTCTGAGTTGGAAAAGTGAAACACCCCACCATAGATGTTATGCAGAGCGGTGAAAATCGTAAACCGTTAAAAGTACACATTCTAATTACTATTCGAGGCTAAATTAGGATATGAATCTACATAAGACGTGACAATCCACTGCCACAAAACAAGTCACTGTCCATTGGTGCATTGACTTCAATGTTTCCAAATCAAATTTAAGAAAATGATACTTTTCTAAAATAAGGCAATTTGTTACATTACATGCAGCCGACACACATCAGCCTTAACAAAACGGAATGATTTCTTAAAAAGTGTAAATTCATAGACCCCATTTAACGAAACAAACTGCCCGAATTTAAAAAAAAATGTCGCACGAGACAAGTAAGTACTTTCCTTTGCTTTGCATACCGCTGCTGATGACGGTGAGAGATTCTACTACGAAATTTCCACCCACTTTCAGCGATACAATAATTTTATTCCGCTATTCGTACCGTATCCATCCCTGCATGAAAATGCATGTGTTATTGACGTTTGGGTGTAAACCAATTAGGAGCCCTGTTTTAATAGAAATCGACACTTCATGCACCCCACACAACGATCCCACAGTTTCCGACTTAACTGCTTTTTTGCATTTTTCTGCACGCATAGCAAAGCAGGTTAGACGATAGTCCAAAAAATTCATCGTAACGCTAAGACCATGAGATTCACCTTTTTCTAATGTGAAACATTCTGATGCTTAAAAAATCAAAATAAGGTGACGCCAAAGTAATCAAAAGCCTTTTTTCAGGTGGGTGAACATACAATTTCATGAGAAACGGAGCTCGAAAAGAGATGAAGTAGGCTGGTACCTTTCTAATCTTAATAGGCTTGCACAACAACAAACCATAATTCGTATATGGAAATCCGAGGAGATTCCAGAAGGATTAAAATTGAGGTCCAAAATCTGAAACCTGAAATTTACACATTCCATAGGGCTATAAATAAGTGTATCTCCTAGAATGTCAATTTTTCGGAATCTATTACAATCTACTACTCGTTACCAAACCTCTTTCACTGTCGGAATTCCACAGATAGGTGGACTAATCAAATAGAAAAACGCAGAAATGAAGATATTTGGTACACCTATTTAATGATATGTACCACATTTCGATTACATGTCCATACGTCGATTGGATACTGCAGAATTTGAGAGCATTCGGATCAGGAGTGTTGGGAAAAAATTGCAAGAGGCAAATGAACCCGGAATAATTGGTGAACTATAGGACGACTTCTGCTTTAAATCCTATCGATATTAATTAACATAATAATGTTCACAAAACCCAGGATTAAGGATTCTAACAGATTTCTGGACCATAATCCACCCTCTTTAAACATGCCACAAATAAAACAATGTACGCAAATGTCATGAAAAAGAAACCAGCTACATAAGTTCAGATAGACCTTTAATCAGAGGAAAGCAATCAAAAGGGAGGAGTGGAGCGACGATTTAGAGAATCAAAATGAAATGGTAAACGTTTCTTAAATAGCCTTGAATCCAAAATGGTATTGAAGAATACCTGAGCAGAATTAAGCACTAGAAACAAAATCAAGTCAATTCATTCAAGGGCGACACAGCACTTTATTGTTCTGAAGAAGTCAAGTTCGAATAGACAAAGAAAAATGGCTTGAAAAGTTGCGCAAATAAAATGTCGACCACCTTTCCACCAAAGCAAAGGAATGCAATCTTATGTCTTGGCGCACCACTAATTAAGGCGACGCTAACTCGTTCATATTCAGCGATGTGGAAGGCATCGAGGGTGGCTCAACCGGGTGGAATTGGTGCCTTGTCACCAGACTGGTCCAGATGTGTATGAGGAGGGTGATTTGGACGACGAGTAGTGGCAGTAAGGGTATTCCAATGAGCAATGAATATCCAGAGGCCACGTGACCAGTAACAATGGCCCAGTAGACGACAGTTTGTAGGGCAAGAAATTGATAATTCCTAGGCGGAAGATGAAAGACTACCGCCATGTTATGCGAACAGCGAGGCTGCCGCAAGCAATCGGGGCAGCAAATGCACGATGCTCCAACTTTGTGTGCACGCATGCACGTTCCTGCATGCATGCCACGCCCATTGCCCATGCTCATTGGCTCGCACATGAACGCCCAGCCAATGGCGGTGCAAAAGAATAATCAAGCCATCATGTAATTGGCCAATCGATCATCAGGCACGCCGTGTCGCGACAACGTGAGGCTGCTCAATCGAGGGGTGTAGAACGAGGCCGACAAAACAGCGAATCGCATCTGGAATGAGTTATTTTAAATTTGGGCAGAGAGCGCAAGCATGCCCACAAGCACAGGAGCACAATGCCATGCTACACATAAGACGAGGAAAAATAGCGAGCGCAGCAAGAGTGGGGCGAATTCCGTCCAGAACCAAGGCACTAGTAGACTCAAAAACACATTCATTAAATGTATGAAAAAGTGTGCAGTAAGATGTGCGCAGCGAATGAGCCACTTATTCATCGTTCATACTGCGAGTCTTACCACACCAAATCATGCATTTGAACGACAAGATTGAGATGGTTGCCTATGCTGTTAAGTCATCAAGATCAAAATGCTTAATGTACTAAGGCAATGGTAGACACATGAAGATAAAATCCAGCATCACTGCCCACCACTCCTAAAACAAAAGCGTAGGGTAACCAGAGCCCAATCAGGGAGGTAGGAGGAAGAAGTAGTAAATCATAATTGTTTGCGAAGATTTATCCGTGTGACAGCCACATATTTGTTGCATGAATAGCAGATGGAATGAATGGGAAGGCAAAAGTAAGCGTTAGTACGCTCTTTTTCCCAGTCAAACATACCGAAACGTAGAGGTAACGACGTTCATAGTGAACGAAACTAACCTGATTTTGTCGACAGTGGGCCGGCAATAAGTAAACATTCCAAAGCCACCTAAGATGTGCATATTTTCAAACAGTCTGGAGCAATCAGGTTCCTCTTGGGGTGGGACCATTTGGGTCACACAAACCAGTTTAGGCGTAAAACGAGGTCAGAACGAATCTAGGACACCTGCAAGGTGGTGAAGCAGAGGTAGCAACAACTAGAACATACGCCACGTTGTCGTTGTGATTGTCGGTTGAATACTCAGCTAGCTAGACAATGCCCGATTAAAAGTAAATCTTGGTCAGCCAGAAGCATATCCAGAAAGAAGTGAGTAAACTGGATTCATATCTGAGGCGCGAGAATCGTCGGTAAAGGGGGGGGGGGGTAGGGGGTCGAGGTGCCATATAACTCCGAGGCAAATAAGTCAGGCATCCCTTTTAGAGAGATTATGGGTAAAATACTAAGTGGTAGGGAAGTGGAATGTTTTTTAAAAAGAAGCAAGCGAACCATTGTGCAGTAAAATTTTATTTTATCCATTAATTAATTGCAACAGTAGACTGATAAACAATGTTTGCAGAAACAGATTTCATCCGTAGCGTGGCAGGTGATGTAAATCGAAAAGTTAAGATTAGGAGCTTCTGGCGGAATAAGTGGATCGTGAGAGATAAATAGACCAAAATCAAGACTAAATGGGTCTTGTAGTGATAAGCTAAAGCAGAGTAGAGGTAGACCAGCAGCACAAATAATAATAGGCTTGCGTCTTAGCTGTCGAAGCAACTGGAGCAGTAAAGACCACCTAGCCAATGAGGCATGCAGGAACAAATTCCGATAGATGGACAAATCTTGAACATTTGGTTAAAACAGACCGAACATCTAAGTTTATAAATAGGGGAAGCGGTGTCCGCAGTTCACCTGAGCTTATGAGGAATAGGTTTTGTTCAAGAAGAAACCTATTTCACAAAAAAAGAACCAGAAAAGATGATGGCAGCCATAGTCTGGATTAAGTACAAAGTACTTCCACAACCACCTTTTCCGCAACGAAAAATAAGAAAAAAGAAACATAGAATTTACAGTATGAAGAGAAAATACTAGGAAGACTAGAGTGACAGCAGTTATCTAAAACCACTTTCTGATTCACTCAATCAAGTATTATAGAAGTATTGCAAAGATCCGATTAGGATATTATTCTAAAAGATACATTTATTAAATCTTTGTGATGTGCGAATACTTAGAGGATAAAAGTAGAACCATCTACCATCCGTTAAGTAGTAGTGAATATGCTAAAATTAAGGTCAGTTTGACTCAAAACAAAATAGAAGTTCGAAGGAAATAAATAAAAAAGCAGAAGCTGCATTCAAGGAATATCGTAATATGAAAAAATATAGGTCAGAACAAGTGAACTTGGATTCTCGTGTTTGACATAGAGATGTAACAAACTGGAGCAGAAAAAAGGATAGAAAACCAGACTGGCGAAGGGGAAGACGCACCGCAAATTTTGTAGAGCAGGGAAGAGGAGATCGTCGAGGAGATTGGGGTTGACGATCATGAAGATTGCGGTGGGTGGTGGGGAAGTGCGGAGGTGTGAGTGGTCGTGGAGAGACACAAGGTGAGCAAAGGGAGGAACTTGGGTGCCAGGCCTCCGACGAATGAGAGGATTGCGCGAAAGGACTTGGCACAACAATACGGCGAACGGCTCGACTAGCCTCTAATCGATCGTTGGACTTGAGAAACACAAGACTCTGCTTCAAGCCAACCTGGGTGACCTCATCTGTCAACCAGCGAATGAAGAGTTCATCCATCTTCATTTTTAGAATTGGTACGAACGCCATATTGTCAACGGCTCTGCACAAATTAACAGACAATTTAGAAGGGGTATTTAGCACTTTAAAGAATGCTGACATAATCAAGCATCACCCAAGAGTACTAAAACATTGAATTAAAAGAGCGCTTTTATAGGAATAATAATAAGGTAAACATGGAAGTTCTACTTATACACGATAGGTACAAGACCTACAATTACAATTATGGTAATTAGATTTACTAACACTAAAATTGCATCCATTAGAAAATTACGACTTCATTACTGCTTATGAGACGGCACAAAACAATTCAACAGACGTTTTCAGCAAAAGGTAATTAGGGTAAAATCAGCGACTAAGGGCATCGGAAACTAAACACTTGGTTTTGTTTAAGAGAATTAGGAATCAGTGTATCATCAGGATGGTGAACAAATGTTACTTCTAAAAGTTAACCAAACACACTCAGCGAAAGCCAATTTGAAGAATAAATAATAAAGTGAGAATGAATAAGGAATGGAATATAAACATCAAACTCTACGACGTTAAAAGGTGAAGAAAATCAGGGAAAACAACAAGCACACAAGACCCTATTAAGGCAAAAACACTGAGTACAAAAATAATCACATTGAATCAACAAGTAACTGAACACTTACCACAAATATCAAATGAAGTGAAGCAAATGTGATGAAATGAGAGAACGGATTCAACTCCGCAGTTTTCTAAGATGTCATTGGATAATTAGGGCAATATAATGACTTCTATCCTACTGATTGGGTGGTTTGTGCAAAGCGGTATTTGGTTGCTGAAGCACTCAATATTGCAAAAGTACCTTAAAATAAAAAGAATGATTTTGCATCTTTCGGAAGAATAAGATTAAAACAGCAAAAATGTATTTGATTGCGCAAAAAAACAGGCGAAAATCTAAGTAACTTTAGTATTTGTTAAATGCCATAAGTCCGATTTTTTATAGCGGCGAATTCATAGGCTGTGCCAAAGGTAGTGTATCGTGTCGAGACGCCCTGAAGACGAAGGAAGACACCATACTCGGACAGATTATACATTCAGCGCAGTGAATGTGTCTGGGCTATTTGTATGGCCCGAAAGGCCAGCCCACGCAGCGAGGTACAAAAGGGCTAATTCAAAGTACACAAGTGTCGCCTCACCAATACCGAGGGATAAACCAGTATCATATTACAGTAGAGCCTCCCAAGGTCAATTATGCAAAAGAGGTTATATTATTAGCAGTTACCTTTGGGTTCAGCACCCGGAATCCGGGACTTAATTGACATTGTTCTCGTTTTCTGAGTTTTCCGTACAGAAAACGACAACAGACCAAAACGCCTATTAAGTGCACATTCTCTAGCACTTTGCGCACCGAGTCTTTCTCGAAGTCATGACAATCGAAAGTAGGATGGGCGTGCATGCAGTAAGGTACAGATGAACTAGTCGTTAGCCTGGCTTGAAGGCCATGCTGAGAAGTAGAGTTGTAACCTGTAGTCGCTTAAGGTCCTTGCTCAGGTAAGCTCGCAGTTAAACAAAAGATAGAACACTGCATTAGTTGTATTTAGTGATTCGGCACCTTGTCTGTGCGTTCTTCTGTAAAAGCTCTTGTGCTTCCTCGGGTTACACTTTTGCTTCCATTGACTAACCAGCAACTTGCACTTTACCGATGCACGTTTCCCCCTTCTACCATAGTTTATTGCGATCCCAGTAACGACGGAAGTCGGTGCGCGTACCATCGAATCTCCCTTCGTATATTAATTACCGAAAAAATTCTTGAAGAAGGCAGTTAGTGCAAGCTAGTGGCAGTGTTGTAGTGACATGTAAAATACCAGGGATTTGAATCTGGAAAATACTGCAATTGCCTATCAGGAGTTTCCTACTGTTTTAAAGTTTTCTTATTATTATATGCGGGCCAGTTACGTTTAGAAAACACTGTGCTTTGATTTGAGAGTTTCGGTTCTGCTACTATCCTAGTCTAGACATCCCTTAGCCGCTAGACTTTCTTTAAGTAAAATTTTTATTTGAACTGTGAATTGAGCATGCAATGCATTTGATATGTCGAATCGTCTATTCTCCACCAGCACAAAGCCAATGAGCTACTTCCTCTTAAAATATTAACATGGAAGACGGAACTAGAAGTGGAATTATCGAACTCGATCACTGTAGTCTAACACAGCCGCCCTCTTTAAAGTAGTTTAATAACAATTTTTGCCGACTTGTGGGAGGTTAAATGCAGTATTCTGCGAGTTCTCTGAAGATGAAGGAATGCATAATGTAGGGGAAGACTATGTGATATGGATCGACAGAAGGACTAGGTGGCTAGTGGCGTTGTTCGGAGGGTGGATTACTCAGCAAAGGCACATTGACGGAGCCCTAAGTTTGCCGTTACCACAACCGGCAGTTTAACAGGCAATTAAAACATTCCATAGCTCTTCTTTTTAGCGCCGTGCTCGATACGCTCGTTGGGCAGCCTCGTGCATCAGTCATCAAAACATAGTCGGTGCTATAAGGGAAGCATCCACAATCCAACCGCTGCAGTCATCAAAGTTACGCTCAACTAAGAGGATTTTTGACTGCATCGTCATTGACACATTTCCGTAATCCTATGGAATATAGCATTTAGCCCTGTTTGTGAACTGTATTAGGAGACAGGAATGTGCTGGCCAACTCGTATGTTCGTCACCAGTCGTAAGAACACTTACCTAAAAGCAGAGTTATTAAATAAATGATAGCCTTTAAAATGGTTTCAAGGGGATGAGGATCCGTGTCTATTCCTCCTTACCACTTTGTTCACGCCTCCGAACTGTCTAGCTATATGCACCTGAGTTCTGTATAGCTAGTAGAGAAATGGCAATACCTCGTGTTCACATAAGTGATACCTTCATACAGGCACAGTAGACAGCTCCATAATAATTTTTTAAAGCTGTTTAACGGTTAATGTAGCATTCCTGTAGAACATGAGAGTGGGGTAGATGAAGAAGATAGACGTCATTTTCAATTCTTCTGCAAGAAATAGCCAGAGGTTCTCCCATCTGCCAAATATGCGTTTTCCTACCGAATTCAAGTCTAGAGTTAAAGAGTATCAATAGAAGTAGTTGCCATTTAAAATTAGGATTTAACTGCTACCAATGTAGCAATTCGACAAGCACCTGCAGTCTACTGCAGATATAATTATTAAACGGAACATGTTTTACTGACCAATATGAGGATCTAGGAGCTGCTGGCATGACTAAGAAGGTGAGCAAATCGAAAAATTATGGTAGATCAGTTCTAAGCCGCCTGTTGCCAAAACCGGAAGTTAAGCAAACTGTCAAAGTAATACAAAATCATTACCAAACTGATTTCCTAACATAGTGTAATACGATGATGGTTTACCCCTCGGTATTGGTGAGGCGCCACTTTTGGACTTTTGAATTAGCCCCCCTGTACCACGCTGCGTGGGCTGGCCTTTGGGCTATGCCAGTAGCCCAGACACTTTCTCTGTGCTTAATATATATTATGCCCTAGTATTGTGTCTTCTTTCGTCTTCAGGAAAGTTTTGGGACGCTACATAGAGCTTGACATAGAGAAGGGTCTATCACGCTAGTAAAATGGCCTTTACATTAATATGGCTTTTCGCGAAATAATTTTTGACATACGGGTGCGTCATGCCAGAACACATATTTCACAGAGCAGAATTTGTCAGATTTTTTGCATATTATAGCATAGGATGACTATCCAGAAAATAAATATTTAGCTTCTCAGTGCATATTTTAAAATCTGAAAACTGCTCGTTAAAAAAAGTAATATTAGGTGTTTTGCTAAAATTTTTTCCACAAACTATTTCAGGGGCTCAAAGAAAAAAGATGTATCAAGATACTCCCACTATAATTTGTTTACTTATACCAAATGCCCTGCAGGCGCGTTCTATGGACAATGTTGGAAATTATTTTAATTCGTTGGCTGTGGTGTCTCGCCTGTTGGTTGTTTAACTTTTTGTTATTGTGCTTTCCAGTGTGAGGACTGAATGCATGAGTGTGGGAAGTAGACGTATTTAATTATTTAAATTTGGAAGATTGTTATGTATGTGGTCAGATCTTATCTTATTCATCTCGAAAGTTTCCACGAACATATTTCCATTGTCAGCGTATATCATTTTAGTCTATTGCGGGTTTTCGGCCGAGGTTGTGTTGTTGTCGTCGATTGTCTCTGGTTTAGTCAAATTGCTCTGCCACTTAAGGGTTTTCTTACTCTTATTTATTTTGTGGGAATTTGGATACACCATTGTTTAAACTTACTACAAACTGGGCATTTAATCCGTTCCACGACTCACCTTATGATTTCTTCTCTCAGAATGAATATTTGAGCCCTCACAGTTTCCTTTTTATTACGCTTGTTTTTTTTCCACTTTAGAGGTGAATAAAATTTCGGTTTTCGTTCAAGAACGTGAAGTCGTAGTAATCAAGATGCCTGTAAAAGATCTAGTCAGTCAAGGTGATTATCAAAACGAAGACGCCATGGACGTAGAGCCTAACACGAATGTGAATAAGGCGGCCGATCCTGCTCATCCACCCTTACAATCTCCTATTGACCATGGACATGTAATTTGCGATTAAATATTTGTCTGTTTGTGCATATTGTCTTGTTGTTAAGGAATATGTTTCAAAATTGGTTTCTGCGTTTAGCTTACATGTTTTCCACGCTAATTTAGCCGAAATCAAACGTAGCTGACCCCCAAATAGAAGAATTGAGTATTGATGAAGAAGATCCAGCTCGACCATCGGGAACGATAGACTATACGTTTAATGACATTGAGGACCCTCGTGTAGGTTACATTCTTCTTTTTGGTTACTTTAAACCTTTCATTATCAATTAAAATTTATAATGGCCAGCACTTACGCTCTCATTCCTTCCTTTTTCAATTCTCTAGAGGATTTTACCTAATTTTGTATGATATTCACTTCTGCTTAAATTATTAATGTTGGGAGGGTATGTACCTCAAAGGCGTGATTTTGGAAAAGTAATTTAACATTTCCAATCTGATGGCACTGCCTGTTGTGAATGTCAAGGTTTATTTCAGGCTTGAGTTTTTCATGTGTTTGTGTTTTCAGAGCTTTGACCTGAAAAAGGAACTTCGGGTGAGTCCGCGTTATCAGACTCCCTTTTTCACATTGCGGTATCAGTTATTGCGAAAAGCGTATCAGCATCTAGTCATTTTCATGTGGAATCTAATCTAGGTAAAGTGAAGGAATGTTGAAATGGGATTTTGATAGGCTATTTGCAATAGTTTGTGAATCTATTTTAGACCAACTGTTACCTGTCGGAGTGTTAGCTAAATCAGGCAGTGGGGCTGCGCTTTATTCGACATTCACTATATTGTTGTTTGCTTACCTTTAGCCAGGTATATTGAGCTACTATCTTGGGTTCCAGTTTTCCTCTCCTCTTTCAGCTGCTTAGCGATCCAGTGACAATTCGTTGTTTACCTTGGAGGATTCTACTTGTTTTTACCCCTGCTTGCCAGCGTTCAACAATGGGCATGTTTCTTCAATGCAACGACAATAGTCCCACGGCTAATTGGACTTGTGGCGCTCGTGCCACACTTGAAGTGCTATCGCAAACCAAGCGCCTTAGTAAGACGCACTCTATCATGCACTCGTTTGCTGCAAAAGAGAATGATTGGGGTTACCAGTCTTTCATTTCATATGAAGAACTTTTTAATCCCGAGAATGGGTACGTGGTAAACAAAAAATTGCATGCACGCATACAAGTAGAGGCGGACGCACCACATGGAACCGAGTGGGACTCAAAAAAGTTCACCGGTTTTGTCGGTTTGAAGAACCAAGGCGCCACGTGCTACTTAAACTCGGTGCTCCAGGCACTATACTGCACCAATGCTCTGCGCAAAGCGGTCTTCCAAATGCCCACTGAGAGTGACGAAATATCCACCAGTGTGCCGCTTGCACTGCAACGAACTTTCTTTGACCTTCAGTGCTCCGTTAAGGCTGTTGTAACGGAGAAACTCACCCGAAGCTTTGGCTGGACTACTTGGGACTCCTTTATGCAGCATGACGCGCAAGAACTTTGTCGTGTTTTGTTAGACAACATGGAGTGCAAGATGAAGGGAACTGATGTGGAAGCAATAATCCCAAAACTGTTTTGTGGCAAAATGATCTCATACATTCGTTGTAAAGACGTGGACTATGAGTCGAAGCGAGAGGAGCAGTTCTACGACATTCAACTGAAGGTGAAAGGGAATTGTAATGTCCATGATGCTTTCAAGGAATACGTGCAGGTGGAGACTTTAGATTCAGATAATAAATATGATGCCGGAACGTTTGGCTTGCAAGATGCGGAGAAGGGAATCAAATTTTTGCGATTTCCACCAGTTCTTTATCTACAGTTAATGCGATTCCAATATGATTTTCAATCAGGCACAAATGTCAAGATCAACGATCGTTTCGAGTTCCCGTATGACTTAGATCTAAGTGACTACCTCGTTCAAGATCCGGAGAAGGTGGAGGAGGAACCCAGGTACACAAAGTACTTTCTACAAGCGGTTCTGGTGCATTCTGGAGACCATCATGGAGGGCACTATGTGGTCTACATTAACCCTCGTGGTGATAATAAGTGGTACCAGTTTGACGATGATGTTGTAAGCAGCTGCAGGCCAAAAGATGCTATTGAAATGGTTAGTATTTTGACTTTAGATGCATGCCTGATGTTCGGAAAAGTCTCATTTGCCTCATATTTTTCTCGTGTTGGTGGGTACGGTATTCTGATGTGTTTTCAGAGAATTCTGCGGTTTCAGTAAAATGAAACAGTCTCCTGACCTAATTTTTATCTCTCCTAAATACATTGAAATCTGTTGTCGCCTTTTCTCCATCGGATAAGTTTTCATGTTGGGTTTTATATTTGCTTTTCATGATGTTTGGCATTGTTCGACTTCACAAAAATTGAACTTTATAAGCCACTATACTAAATCAAGGTTTTTCCGTTGCAAGATTTGATATTTTACTCAATCACTCAGTCACCGGGATGACCGCGATAGATTTGTTAAACAAGCACATTTGCGTGGGTTTTGTAATTGTCAAATGTTGGTTTTAATTTATTAATCATTGTCCTGTTCTTTAGAATTACGGAAACAGCGATGATCCTCTGTTTCGCGCTTCCTCAAATGCCTACATGTTGGTATACATAGCATGCGACGCCCGGGAAGAGGTTCTATGCCCCGTGACCGATGATATGATTCCCTTTAGTCTCTCAAATCGGTTCCGTGAGGAACACAGTGTTGAAGAGAAGGAACGGCGTGTAAAGGATCATGCTCATGAATTTGCGACTGTTAACGTTCTTCTTGATGAGGATTTTTATGGGTTTGAGGTCAGTTTTCAAACCCCTACAGTTTTTGAGAATTTACCAGTTTGCTACCTGATGTCTTCGGCGATTTTAACTCAAGCTATAAGTACTTTTAATGCATACTACTGTTTAATTGTAGCCTTCTCAGAAGATGCAGTGCTGTCGCACATAATTTTGCTTTCTATTGGTGTTTGCTACCATTTTACTACTGCTTTTGGAACCTGTTCGGTCTTCTAATAATCTCAAGGGTTGGTTGTTTTATCTCTTTTCTGTGCAAGTGTAATGTAAAATCATCTATAATGCGTCACCTTTCCCAAAACAAAGCCATGCATACCGTCTATCTTATCGTTGACGTGGGTACTGATGATGGTGCTCCCGAAGCTTTAAAATTACATGGTATTGACCTTTGATGGGTAATTTTTCATGTTTTTATATGTTTCGCAATTTGATGTGCCGTCTCAACTCTGACTCGTTTTTCACGTAGTATGTGCAACCCTCCTTTTGTTCGCTCTCGTCTGGGCAGTGAACTCAATTTGCTGAGACAGACGTCTCAAGAGCTCGTTTGAAAACTTGGTAGTGATTTTCTCACTATCACTAGGCTGTTAATTATGTTCCATATCGTAACACCTGAATCAAGGTGTTTTTCCAAGGTGATAGTACATTTTCAGTCACAGATTTTTAAATTTCATATTAAGGGTCCTGAACTCCTTCGAATCAACGAGGTTCCAATTCGTTCGCTTCGAATTCACCGACGGGAGTTAGATGAGTGCAAGTTGAATGAGGCCATTGCAAGCTTTCTTCAATGGCCGCTTCAGAAAATCAGCCTGTGGCGTGCGATCTGTCAGTAAGTTTTATTCGCAGTATCACCTGCTGTGATTGAATCGGCAGATGTATTTTAATCCATTTAGGTCAGTTCTCTAAAGGTATAGATACTCGTGAACACTATAGATACCCACATGTGTTATCTCCACTTTGATTTGGTTATCGTGGTTGAAATTGCGGATTAATTACATCTTTCATAGAAAATCGACATGTGCAGTGGAGTTTAGTCGCAATATAACCACGGACTTCCCCTCGGATAGTGTGCTGACGCTCTGGGCCCGGCGTCGAGAGCAAGCGGTTTGGGTCGGTAGCCCTACTTCTGATTGTAGTCTGTGCTTCTTCAAGTACTTCGATTCTAATCTCTGCACTCTTTGCTACTGCGGTCATGCCGATTTGCCCACCTCCGCTTCAGTTGAGGCTCTGCCTGCCCTTCTGAACAAGCGCGTGGGCCTCCCGCCCACTACACCACTCATCTTTTACCATCAGGACAACGCTCGTCTACCCAAGCCAGTGGATCTCACCACGCTTTCACGCAAACTTAAGCATGGGGAAATTATCTATTTCCACGTGTGTTCCCACTACTTCGCTCATACTTCCTCTTTGTAAACCTAAAAATATGCCAATATTTGTATGCGCCTTTGAATTGGAAACAAATTCCGTTTAGTCTCAGCCACGTGTGTTTCGGTCTTCACACTGACACTGTCATTGTCCCTTTAAAGGTTGACACCAGTCAAGCAAAGGATCCTAGCCTTGCAGGCCAAATGTTACACCCAAACTCCCCTGCAGACATCAGCATGGAGACGGCTGTTGTTGACAATAACCATAGCCAATGGCGTCATGATCTTCCGAATGTGAGTCTACATCTTCGCAAGGTTGCCATCAATGGTCATTTGCCAGGTGAACCTCAGAAGTCTCTGCCTTTGCATGAGGCCTTTGTTCATTACTTCCTATCTTCTTCTATGATGGTGAGTGGTACTTCTAACTTTTTAACTGCCTTTAATGTTAGAAACTTGCTTTTTTACGAGATAAGTTATCCATGGGTTACTGAATTGTTAGTAAGGATAAATTGGAAGAAACAGCGGTTCGACAAGTGCTAGTGGAGTGTGTGCACTCGCATATTTATATTTACTAACATTATCGTTTCTACAAGGTGGACATCTTGCTAGTGGATAAATTGCGCAAGTCAGATCCCGGCATTCTAATTCGGGTATCACCTGAGCTGTCGTACTGGAGATTTGCGGAGCTCGCCGCCGGCTACCTCTCAGGACGACCAGATCACCTACAGTTCTTCCCCTCGCACCCTACCCCAACATCTGGCAGTGGCGTCAGCGCATCTGTAAACAAGACTGCTAACGTTCCCACACAAGACCTTCATGTCAATGCGGTTAATCCGTCTCCCCTATCCAACGACTTGGGCAATGGGAATAGCTTTTCACCGAGTGGTGGCGCATCTCTGATCTCCGAACAGTCACGCGCTGCCAAGGCCTCAGGTTCGTTCTCTGCTCTCGCTATTCAATTGTGGGTGTTTTATTCTTGAATGAAAGTTCTGCAGTAAAGGTGTTCGACTTTGCTTTGTTCCTTTCCGCGTGCATTTTCTGCAAACCAAAACTTTTTTGCGGGGGTAGGACCATGATCTCACTCCTTGAATTGAGCAGTCTGATAAATGTAATTTCTTTCATAGGTTTTTCCTGCGCTTCGGCCAATTTGATTGGGGCTCTGGCTTCAGCTGCCCATCAAGGTCTTGTACGCGAACCGCCTGGTCCACCGGTTCCATCAGCGACAACTGCGACCCTCCGTGGCTTTCTTTCGCTCCCCTCTACCGTCTCCGTTATCACAGTTCAATGCACTGCTGCTGCCAGTGTGGCATCTCAAGATCGTCCCCCTCTTTGTGTGTCACGCTATTCTAGTATCCCCAGGGTTACCCCATCTCCCTTCAGCAACCATAACTTACATGTGCCGGCCCCCCGCCGGGTCTACTATGCGCACACGGCTCTGCCAGTGAGCCGGTTGGAGTGCTTGAAGCAAATCCAAGTGGCCTTTTTTGGCCCTAAACTCACTGACCGTCTGGACTTGGGGCTCTCTGTTCCTAGCAGTGGAGCCGTGGCAGACATTCTGGCCGAAGTTCGGTCACATGTCACTCTGAGCGGATCCGGAAAGCTTCGTCTCATGGAGATCCGATGGAACCGAATCGCCCAGATCTACGATGAGAACTATCCTCTGGAGAAGATAGACGATGCTATGATGGTGCTTCAAAGTGATATCAATGAAAATCTGCGAAACGGATTGAGAGTGGAGGAGGTGCCACAAGATGAGGAAAATTTGCAGCAAGACGATTTAGTGATCAATGCTGCCCACTTCAATAAGGTTTTGAATGAGACGTTTGGTGTACCGTTTACCGTGAGGTTGCGAAATGGTGAGTCGTACAGTGATGTGAAGAAGCGAATTCGTGAACGTCTCGATGTTGTAAATGACAAGGAATTCGACGCTTGGAACTTTGCTCTTGTCTTCCGTAACAAGTTCATCGCTATTCCAGACGAGAATAGTGTAATGGTGGATACAATTGCTCTCACTCGAGATACTTGTCCAGGTCCGAAGCCCTGGCTTGGTGTGGAGCACGAACCGCCGAAGCGGCCGCGTTACGCACCAAGCGAAAAATCCATCAAGATTCACAACTGATAGTGGGAGAGAATCATCTCTTTTCTACATATTCTCACCCCCCGGCCTATTCATTTGCCCTCCCACTCGTGTGTTTATTTGTTGACACCCATGAGATTTTTGCTGGATAAAATATTCCTTGTAAGTGTTAAGGAACACAATTGTATTATCCGCATGTAGTTGCAAATTCGTGGAATCCCTTGCCAGTGTCAGCATATGCAACTCTGCATCTTTTACTGCATCCCACTTCACTGCTGCCACTAACACGAATCGGACGCTTACATTAAGTGAGAACGATGAGGGCATTGCTGTGATTGACTTCCGCACAGCATCCTTGGGCGACAAGAATCTGAATGCATTTCATTTTGCCTATTGACTTGCCAACTGGCTTGTGGTTGTCCTAGCCGGGGGTTCTGTGGGGTCGTGCTTGCACTCACCGGGTTGATTTCGCACGTGGCTCTAGGTGGGACTTATGAATTCCCACTCGCAATCTTGCCCTGAAAAGGGTCGGGGAGGGTGCGTTGGGACCGTTTAGGAGTGATGCGGAGCGCCAAGCTTAAGTGGGCTTTGCGTGATAGTTTTTGTTTCCTAGGAAAGTGGGGTTTTTGACGCTGTCAAGGCATGCTATGATTATTTGCTAATTAAATCATCAAAAAAGGCGTAACGGTATCTGGAATTATGTTGAAAAGGGGGTAATAACGGGATTAGACTAATATACGACGTTGTTCAAGGCTTATTTTTTTGAGCAAAAGGACCGAACTGGACGATAATGATAGTAGCTGCAAAGACTATAATTTAAAAAAAGACCAACACAGGCATAAAGTAAGCCACAAAAGAAAATTAAACAGAACACTGCAAATGTAATCGCACAACTTTCCAGATGTCGTTATTTAGTAAGGCAATTAATATTTTGAGGTTAATTTAAAATTAGCCAATCACTCGCTGTCACCTGGCATAACCGGTCATTTTAACTAATGTTGTGGACGCGGTTTTCTGGTCTTGCGTGCGTAATTCTCTTGGCGATTGGCCTAGTCCATTGTGGAGATAGTGGTGCAGATGCGTCTATAGATGGCGAAGGTTTAGTTAAATCTGCGGGTCAGAAGTTGAACAAGGTTACCCCAATTTTAGAGCGTCATTTGTAGATTGTTTTCGAAGCTCCGAATACGCCGGAAGACGCTATACTAGCGTTATACTTCACATCTCCCGATGATATGGAGAAGTAAAGCTCTGTTTCAACTGTTCAACTCTTAGAATGGTCCTTTCAACCGCTGCGAAGGAAGGTGTTGATGCTGCGATTTCCAAATACGAAGGAAAATGGTCTATTGAAGTTCCTGCAACTAGCGCCATCGAAAACGACTATTCCCTCGTTTTGAAATCAGAAGGCAAACATCATGCTATCGCAATAGATTTGGGACGCGAGTTCAATTTCGATAAGGATGAGTTCGTCGTTCAATACGAAGTGAAATTTATGAATAAGCAAACCTGTGGCGGTGCATACATTAAACTGTTATCTGCCTCCCCAAACCTTAATCTGGTAGAGAGTTTTTCGTTTTTTTTTACGCTCTAGAGTGCATTTCATGATAAAACACCTTACACCATAATGTTTGGACCGGACAAATGTGGAATGGACTCAAAGGTATACATTTTGTTATTTACTACTTGTAGCTTCACTTTATATTCCGTCATAAGAATCCTAAAACTATGGAAATTCAAGAAAAACATATGGACAAACCGACTGCAACACTGGAGTCCCTTTTTACGGATGGAAAGACGCACCTATTTACTTTTGGTAATCTTCTTTTCTAAAAGTGAGTTATTTATAGTCACTCGATCCGACAACTCCTTTGAGGTGTATGTGGACCAGTCTCTGATGAAATCTGGGAACCTTCTTAGTGATTTTACGTAAGTTTGTATTTACTCCTATTTCTTCTCACGTGTTCTAATGTTTTGTGATCCCATAGGCCTCCTGTGAATCCACCAACCGAAATCATTGATCTGAATGACAAAAAACCGGAAACATGGGATGAACGGGAAAAAATTCCTGATCCTGATGCCAAGAAACCGGATGACTGGGATGAGTCAGCTCCGCAATTCGTTATAGATGAAGATGCCACTATGCCTGAGGGTTGGCTCGTGGACACACCAAAACTGATTTCTGATCCCAAGGCGGAAAGACCATCTGATTGGAATACCGAGACAGATGGTGAATGGGAGGCGCCCATGATCGATAATCCTGATTGTCAGTCTGCTCCTGGATGTGGACCGTGGGAGAAACCAAAGAAGTTGAATCCGAATTACAAAGGTAAATGGTCTCCTCCTATGATCTCCAATCCCAAATTTGACGGGATTTGGAAGCCCAAAAAAATCCCGAACCCTGACTACTTCGAGGATAAACATCCCTTCCGGATGACACCCATTGTAAGTAGCCTTTTACATCTGGTCGTGTGTGTGGTAACGCAAGGTCAATTAATCTACTGGTCTCTTGTCAGCGCGCGCTTGGTTTGGAACTCTGGTCTATGACAGCAGATATTGCGTTTGACAATTTCTACATAGGAACTTCGAAAAAGGGTGCTGATAAATTTGCTGCTGAGACTTGGGTCCTTAAGCAGAAGGCTGAGGAGCAATCAAGGGTCGATGGGGTTGGTTTTTAGTTCCTGTCGTTTTTTTCGCTGATGTCATCATTTACTCGATTCTCTAAGTCATCTTTTATTACTTTAATTGCGTCATGGATTCAATTATTTAGGCTGTGATTAAGCATTGTCAAACCTGGCTAAATAAATTGATCATTGATGCAAAGACATTTGTTCGTATCGCAGGCACTTTTTGATTTTCTCTACTTGTGTACCACAAGAAAGTCTAAAGCATTGAGGTTATATTTACGCTCTGTAGAGAAGTGTGTTTGATGCCGCTGTCGAAATGGTTTCTGGAAAACCGTGGCATGTGACAGCAGGCATTGCCGGTGGTTTCCTTGTCCTGGCTCTCTTCTTCTACTGCTGTTGTCGCTCATCTGCTGCAAAAGGTGGTGCCTATTACAAGAAGACTGATGAGCCCGTCCCTGACAGCAATCCAGAAGAATCAGACGCAGCTGGCGGCATGGAGGCTGATGCTGAGAGGAGCGGAAGTGATATCGATAAGGGCGAAGCGGAGGAAGAAGAAGATGGTAGTGATGCGGAGGAAGAGGAGGAAGTAAGATCAGTTATTCCGTTTTTGTTATATTCTTTTTCATTAACAGAAACGCTGCACGCCTTTTTTTGTTGCCTTGCATATGAAATGAGATCGTATTTTGCTATTTTATTCCCGTGTACTTGTTCACTTCACACATTCAATTAGATTTACTCTAGGAGCTTAAAAATAAATTTACTGGAATTCCATACAGCGTGTGCGTTTTCCATTTCAGCCCAGTCCCTCGGCCACTCGTCAAAGAACCCGCAAGGAGTAGATCTTCGGTCTCCAAACCACTGATGCAACCGTGCGCTCGTATTTGTGCATTGTAGTCTCCTTGTGTACAGTTGTTCATCTCACTCCTTAGCGTCGCTACTTTCCTTCCGTTATCCTCTTGATGTTTGTAACATTTCCTCTAACTCAACCTCACAAATCCTTTCTTCAGTCATCACTGCCCTTTTCACTTCTGTTTGCCCCTAATATCATTTGTGTTTACTGATCCCATTAGGGTTGGGGTTTACATCGGAAATACAATTTACCTCATGCTGCCACTTTATTTGTGTAGACGCCGATCCTTGATCTCGGATATGGGAAGGTTTCCTGAACTGCTGTTATGGGATTTGATGAATTTTATTTCGGTATTCAAGCGTTTTATCGTTTGTAAGTTTTCGTGTTATTTGCGTGCTGCTCAAGCCTGGGTCGTTGTGGCTCTGTGCCGACATTGTTACGCCCCGCCTGGGTGCATTCGTTCAACGTGAACTTTCAGAAATCTGTGGTTGACTCACGAGGTCAAAGGTGCAATTAAGGTCTTAATCAAATTGGCTCACGCGCGATTAGACCGCTTTTGCCGCAGACTCACAGTGGGGACTCGTGGTTGACTAGGTCCAATTTAGTAGTCGGTCCAGCATGCAGGTCGCGTCTCCTCATGTAGATGTTTTGAGGGAGCAAAACCAATGTCATCGCTTCAGATTTGCCCTCAAACGTCTGGTCAAGATCTGTGAGCACTAGCTCGTACTTGGTGGCTGCTTCGCATTGTCGATATTCAAAAGCCGGTAAGGATATGCTTCTTATCATAAATTACAGTCTGTAGATTTTCGATCGTTTAAGTCCTTCGATCCTCAGGTTAGTACTTTGCCACGCCTCAGGCACTTTGGATGTTCAAGACCAATCAGCTTACACATAGGTCCGGGTAGAGGACTAAGTACCACTGCCTCTATCACCTAGTTAAGTGACTAAAAGTAAAATTTTATTAACTGTTTTGCAGACCCTGTCTTCTATAGTATAAATTTTCGGTTTAGGTCGTATTCTACTGACTGAATCATTTTCAGGAAATGTTACATGAATGTGCATAACATTGCCTGATTTTGAGAGGCATCCCAACTCTATCTAAGAAATTCATTAATACAGCTTTACCGAAGGTTCTAGGCATCCGTATGTATGTTTCATTTTTCAGATCCGCATCCTGAGATCTTGATAAACATCGTAGTTGGGCGCATTTTATGCTTTGTGGGGTTTTGTTTTTTGTTCCGTTTCTTTACGCCCTGTTGACCACCGTAATGTCTAGTCGCGCTCAAATTACCGAGGTGTTGAGTGGAGATTTGCCAGATTGCTGATACCATGGTACATGAGGTTCGATGCAACTAATAAATTTGATACCTGGTGTAATTATCACACTGATGTTGATCTAATTGGTGCTAACTTAAAGACCTCAGAATAATGGAAAACTTTCAGTCAATTCACTGTGTAGGCTGACAGCACCTTCCCTCCTAGTCAAGCCTTATTAATACTTCAAGCGATCCTAGATTAGTGATGAAATTGGAGTTAAGTTTGTCAGCGCCAAGCCTGAGAGGTCTTGCTCGCCTGCCAGCCAGTGTTCGATGAATATCTGGAAATATGGCTCTTGCGTAAAACGCTTACTTCAAAGTAATTCCTGTGGTAGCCAAAAGTCGGGTAGTCATAGCAATTCGAAGGCACGTCACGGCATCCATCGAGACACGGGAAAAAAGGCGTGTGTGGCATTCCAACGAGCACATACACACACACACACTCATGGATGAGGGGAGTGAGGCGCACTTTGTGAGATTTTTCAGGTTACTCCACAGCAAAATCCAAGGCGGTGATTAGTATGTGCTTAGCCGTCAATTCGTAGCATGGTGTTAAAAAAAGTGGACAACTTATTGATGACAGAAGGGGCTTGAGACCCGTGGGAATAGCATCGGAAGGGTCTTACGCAGAGATCACTGTAAATTACTCAAAGTAATTATTGTGCATTTTGTGTTGTTGTCTCTCTTCCCTTTGTTCCCCCTCAAGTTTGATATTCTTACTTGGATCAGTTGTCATGACGTTCCCACCATGTCACAATTTCTCTTGTTTGGACGCACGCACGTGGGTCGAACGTGATCGACACGACCACGCATGTAGTTGGGCTTGTACGCAGTATTAGCAGCCAGTCGAGAGGGTCTGATCTATGGACGACTCACGCATTGCTAGATGGTGAAAGCATAGGCACAAGTAAAGCACAAGACAAACCCACATACCATACAAGTATATCCCCACACCCGCATTCTTACCTGTAATACAAGCTTCATCTCACACGAACACGGCATAAGATGGGCACGCCTAGAGTAGACTGTTTTCCACCAAGGGATGTTCGTTGTTTGAGCTGGTTGGGCCCCTTTTCTCATCCTTGGAACTACTGACCGGGGCTCGCTTCCCTAATAGTGCTGTCACTGCCACTTTCCTGTGAGATCGGTCACTCACCTGACGACACAGGACAAGTTGAACAAATAAAGTTCCTTACTTTACTCGTTTTGCTATCCGGTTCCGTGTTCTACCCCCCTTGTGCATTTCAAATAGTGGGAGTAAGTTGTTGCTTTTGAACCAAACAATCCCACAAGTAGCAGCTATCATCATCGCTTAAGTGCTTTAAATACAATTTGATTTTTTTTCCACCCATGCAAGTCCTCCCACTCGTAGAAGCAAACACATATTTTTAAGAGAAAGAAATAGGCTCAACTCTCACAACCGCTTAGTTCAGTTAAATCTTTTTCATTTGCTTAATATTACCCTCGAATATTGGCGTGTTTTAAATCTTGGTTTAATGAGTCAGGGAGCATACAGGTGACGGTACATTGATCGGACACTTGGCTAGCGCTTGAACCTCGTATCCTACCTCAAACTATTTATTCAGCTCCCACGCATGTGGCAAAATAACTTGTGCAACTATGCATTCTACCTCTAACAACGAGTGAGGCTTTACGAAATCGCCACTGAGGTTGGGAGTACTTGTGCAAAAAGCCACATCACAAGTTTTCATGCGTCCCGGCTGTGCCCTCAACCATGACAACAAGTTGGAACTATTGGGACTGGCGAATGACCCATACAGCTGAGTGACTGAAACCAGTGTCAGGGGGACCAGACAGTTGGCCATATTTGGTCATGCTGTCGTGCATTCAGATCAATGGTTTATCAAGCTATTAAGCCCTAACTAAAGTGCCAATCCCAAAAGCACTTGTGCTTTTCCCTTCCATTGTCGGACCTCACGGAAAAACTACCTTTAACGACAATACAGTAGTTAATGTGAATATCGACCTGATAAAATCGTAGCTTATTTTAGGATTCTTCGTTCCTTATGCAAAAAAAAGCATAATCTCGTGATATTCTACCTCGATTGGTGGCTTTTGACATCGGTGAGTCTGATGATTGAATATGCTCTCAGCATCGGTAAATGTGTGAGGTAAATTATCAGACTATTTGGTAATTGTATAATGGTGGCTTAGAGCTCGGTTTTGTGATCTTTAGTAGAAATGAAAGTGTGAGGGTATAAAGTCCTTCAGCCAAAATGAAGAATTTATTAAATAAAATGTTCGAAACTTTGAACTTGTAAAAGAGTACACTTGGACCACTTCGCCGACATCTAGAGCCCGTTAAGAGGAAGAGGAATCATACAACCTTTGTTTCTTAGAGCAAAATTTATTTATTTACTTAACCTTGCAGTAAACTTTGACTTTGATGTGCTATCCAGCAAAATCCGTATTTTCAATAGATGTAGCTGAAGCCAAATTTAAAGTAGTTTTGCAGTGATCCATTTCCTGCACAATTATGAGTGGTTGAATTGTGTGGCATGCTTTCTCTCGGTGACTCTTGATGTAGCGTCTCGGAACCTCCCTGAAGACGAAAGAAGACATGATACTCGGGCAGAATATATATATTCGGTTTGAAGAAGGTACTAGGGCTACTGGCATGGCCCGAAGGCCAGCCCACCCAGCGTGGTACAATGACCAATTCAAAGAGTCGCTCCTCACCAAAACAGAGATTTAACCAACCATCGTATTACACTTGATGCGGGAACTTCACTTGTCTTAATCTGGATGAAACTCAAGTGCAAATTATTATTCACAACCGAATTTGACGAAAATATTGGTTCCCTAAAAGACGGGGCCTCTAAAAAAGTAGAGTTTTCAAACATCCTTCGACTTGTGCCTCGGTGCATCTTCTATGCTGCTGTAACTTCAGAGGACAAATCCAAGTAACAAGCTTTGTTAGTTTATTAGACATCAGAACTATGGTAATACAAGTCCCGCCTTTTTATTGGACTATTTGTTATCATTTGAAATTCATTAAAAAATATCGGCATTTCAAATGCACTACAGTGCGATTGACCCACTTAAAGCGAAGAGATATTACCTCTAATTCTATCGAAACGTTGGACTGCTACGAATAACACCCTTGTCATTCCAAAGCGGTGGATTTTGGAGCGTACGTGCTGCTTTCACTAGTGTGGCATCACCCATGTAAGTGTCATTTCTGATAGTTCGATTGTAAAACGTGTTTACTTGATAACATACCCTTTAGATGAGAAGCTTTCGGTGAACGCGATTCTCGTGACGGAAGCGTCGTCGAATAATTCTCGAGACGGAAGCGCGTTCCGAACGTGCACATCCCTGACCTCTGTCCTCTCAAAATATTACCAGTAACAACGCCTTCACTCAGCCAGCTCACTTGTTACAGGGGGTGAACGTCGAAGAATAGATAAGTGCTGAGTTCTTTACGTTGGTGATGGAGGAGATCACCACTTGATGGCTCAAATTCAAAATCGTAGGTGATCTATTTTTCCTCGTTGGTGGAAGAATAACCTGACAATAAGATGCCCGTTTTTACCAGCTTTTAATTGCGCGTAACCTCTTCCTTTCCATAGGACTCGCTCACCACTTTGACAACAGAGTATTCCGTCCGTTTTACTGCTCGCCGTCCTTAGGTAAAAATACAAAAAGGTTCTGTACAAGAACCAATAACACTTTCATAGAACAATTAGATACCGCTAGTTTATGCTAGCAATACCTGGAGCTTGCACGTACGCAGCACCCATCCCGGAAGTGGAATAATATGAGTTTTGTGTGGGATTGAGCTCAATTTATTGGTTCACATGTCAATTTATTTAACACGCAGTGACATAAAGGGGAAAGAAAGTAAATCTAAGGCAGGCATCAACGTTTGAAATTAGCTGCCTGCCACCAGTTTACACCTTTTGTAAAAGTCCGAACTTCTTTCTTGTGAGCTAGTACCTTCTCTTCACGTGAACACTCTCAGAGCATTAATGCCATTTAAAACGTTTAGATTCTCGTTGGGCTAGAATGTTTAATACCCAAAAGAAGACGGCTTCAGGAAACTACCGGTGAAAATTGATGTTAGTTAAGGCTGAAATGGTCTTGTTCTTCCGCTACAGTCATCAATGATAGGTATTTTGAGGCTGGGGGTAGTTTCAAAGGCCACGGCATAAAATATGTGACGCACTTGCATTAATTATCTACAATTCGACAGCCAAAAAGCAACTAATTGTGCCCGAAAATGAAGGGACTTCTAACCGCTAATTTTATGCAGGGGTGACTACGGCTAAATATATCGTCGACCTGTTAGTTTGTATTGATGGACGCTTTTATATAAGGTTTTCGTAGATGAAATCAAAATTTCCCAAGCCTTAAAAAATTTTCAGACGAATTTGAATTTAAATGAACGCCTTGACTTGGCATATGCCTGAAATTACTTTGTTTACTTGAGGCGAAGTGGGTTTTTCAAGTAGATTGAAATTCAGTATCCTCATGCACTAATGACCTCAGCGTAAGCCTTAGTAGCCAATGAAATCTGAAAGGTATATTTGATTGCCGACTTGCGGCCAATCGCTGAGAGAAGTTCGTATCACACTTCAAAAATCCTAGCGCTAAAATTTGGATTAATTTTGGGTATGGTGTGTATCTTGTTTTTACAAGGCTTAGCTATTTTGCACAAACCTTTTTTGTAAATTTATTGGTGACTTTTACGTCGCTTTTTTTTGAACCACTGTCGTGATCGCTGTCGCGAGAGCTTTGTTCGCACCCTTACATTATACAAATCTATTATGTGGGGTCAAGAATGACCTCAAGTGTTCCTATTGCCAACAATAACAACTCCACCACTTCGGCGCCTGTTGAGGGTAACGCCCTTGAATCTAGTAGTGATGTTTTTCTGTACTTAGACATGACTAATGTGTCAGAGACGCTCCATTGTCCCCAGCGGAAAACTCCTCCCCATGCGATATCATTTTCCAGAGTATGGTATACACTAATGCTGATTTGTTTAAGGATGACCTATTAAAAATCAAGGAGTCAAAAAAATCCCAGCAGGAACTCGACGAGAAATTCATTCTAACTAACTCAAAGGTTCTTTTCAAAATTTTGAAACCAGAATGCAAAGTGTTGGAGCGACAATCAAGTAAATGATTTAAGGATTTTGTTACCAGCCTAGAATCGCATGATCATAATGGTATCATTCTTGGTCCGCAAAAACGTTCTTGGAATGCCGGTTGCCACGTGTCGCAGACCAAACGTTCATCACAAGATTCTTCCTTTTGCAAAGGACAGAGAAGTTTTCAGGAAAATAGATTTTTCCGCGGTGATTTTAAACGCGACTTTAAAGGATCTGAACGGAATCCTGGTCGGTCTAATACCACTAGTGGTTCCGGATTTACTCGTGGTGCTGCGTATGAAAAGGAAAGTGCCACCCCTAAGACTCACCCACTTGAGTCCCTTAAAGAAATCGAGAAGGAACCAGAGTGGTTTACTGAAGGCCCTGAAACCATAAACGATACTGTTGAACTTGGTTTGGTTATCGAGGACGGCGATATCAAAACTGATAAACCACCAGAAGATAGGGAGCCTGATGGTTCTCAGCTGAATCCTTCCGAAGTTGACAGCGCAATTCTGTCTCTGGACAGGGACAATCTCCCATCGCACTTGTCCACAATTTCTCCAAACTTGAACGAAGCGGATTTCTTGAAGTTTCTTGATCTTCCTAAGAATGACAGTGTTGGCAGTCAACTTAGCCATTTTCTTGCAGGGCCGAATTCGAATGCTTCAACTGCAAGTACAATCTCTGGAAACCACGTATCTGGTAGTATGCGTCGCTTTTTAACACCGCTTCAGATAAATCATCCTCTAGATTGCTTAAACTCATTGCAAGCTCAAACGATGTACCAGTCCCACGGGATCAAACCCCTCTCGTTCCATCGTCTCAGCCATCGAGTAAGGCCACTTGCTTTTTAAACTCTTTTAGCGGCGGAGCTCGAATCGGTTTTAAGGGCTTTGGTTATAGGAAATTCAACTACTTCTTTTAAATCACTGGAAGGTGAGTTTCTATTAACTTTCCACGGCAATACGTCGGTAGATTGCTTTGAAAAATCTGGAATTTTTGGCGGTACTAAAATCGAATAACTTAAGAATAATGTTTCATCTGTGCTCAAACCTAGTTTTCATTAATGAATCTAGTTCCTAACGTATCCTCGAAGTCATCTCTTTTGACTTACGTTCCGACCGTGGAGGAGATTGAGGCTGCTGCATTCTATGAGAATGGTAGAATTGCCCCCAAACCTGCGCTAACGCAGTCTGTCTTGCTTGATCAATTAATGCCTCCGTGGAGTCTTAAGCAACAGTCCCGGCCCGTATCTTCCAGTTTTGGTGATTTCATGTACCCTGCTCCTTCTGGTCGTGATTTACTAGAGCAACGGGAGAGTTCGGTATGGATCTTTGCTTTAAGGTTGCATTACCTTCCAATGCCTATTATGTTTTGCTAGTTTTTTTCCAGTCAGCTACTAGAAATTACGCTACATTCGAAGCTAGTTTCCGACTTTGAAATTCATATCGACAAACATATTGAAAACTCTGTTTGTAAATTGTGGTAAATTTTCGAACCAAAAACTTGCACTTCAAGTAGGATAGTAGGTTTGTTTGCCTAGTTGCTTTTAATATTTTAGCTTTCGGATACTGGATCACCACTTCCACCTGGTTTGGAAATTCATCCAGAGCGAAAAGTGACCAATTGGAACGGGCCATTTTTCCGCGACACGTTGATTGGTCCCTCTGGTGGTCCTTCCTCATCGCCGAGGGGACCCACCCAATTTCTTAACCGTCAAGTAAACGCATCCTTGAGGCTACTACCGAACGACCCAGCCATCGCTTTTCAGTACACTCAGCGCAGACCCCTTGTCAAGGGTCTCTCCGTAGTGGACCCCACGATGTCCCAAAGCCAACAGAGGTCATATCCCATTCATCAGTCACCCTACTTTTCACCCAATTTCCATCCTGGAATGCCAGCATCGGCCTTTCATTCGAGTATGTTTATTCTCATTGATTGTGTTTTTTACAGTTCATTTATTACTTAAATTAACACTCGCTATCGGTCTGCATTACTTTCCAACCTAGCTGAGGGACCTATTGACTTTGCAACTTCTACAAGCAAGGTTTAATGTTGGCAAATAATTATTTTAATTTCCATTGCATTTTGACATGGGTTTGTATGAGCTCTGCTAATGGTTGGTGAAGTTGTTCAATTGCCATCAATTCTCATTTGATAGTGCATGTAGAAACTTGCGATGCATTATCCTTTCCACCGTATCCGTGATTTTATTGGCGGAAGTCCATTGGCCATGCCATATGATTCATGGTCATAAAGTATGACCTCTAGGATCGGTTCCATTGCAAGTAGCTTGTCGCTCTCTCATGTATGCGGTTGGTACAGTCATAGTTCACCCATAGAGCAGATGTTGAATTTATAGCACTTGCTGCAATTACTATTACTTTAGGTAATTCAAGACGTCATTTCTTGATAAAACTACTGTCAATTCATTGTACCAATCAACTACATCAAACGTCTTGACTCAGAATACGTCGAAGCGTATTCACTACGTCCGTTTCGTTTTACCCATGCGCCTGCAGTATTTTTTAAAGCAATCAAACAAGTGGCTTGATATTTAAATTGTGTTAACACTCACTATGCTCCATATCTAAACGGTCAACGAACTCGTTCAGCTAACGTTAACTAAGATAATGTATTCGAACATTTAGTTACGATTTTCTACTCATATATTCACATCGACGCTTATTCCCTCTAAGCATTTGTCAGTATCAGTCGTGACTGCTAATTTTTCCGAGTTGTCCCCGTCAATCGAACAGTTGTGATTGGATGAGTTTGTAGCTGCATGCGTAGGCTTGACGACCGCCTTATGATGAGTAGTATTTTGGTGGGTTACGTCCTTTCACAATGCTTCTTTTATCGTGAACGACTTTCCTTGTTGATGAGGTTTTACTACTGCACAATTTTCTTACTGTGCCCGCTTCATTGACTATACGTTATCTTTAAACTATCGAAGCTTAAAATAATCTGTTATCATTGCTTATCGTCCGACCGCCTTTTTAAGTTACCCCATGAATGTACCATTGGCTTTTGTACGCGTTTTTGCTTCAAAATCATGCGTCCTAAATGCTTAAAGCGTCTGAACTATCTCTAGAAACCGACGAGTACTCAACCTCACGGGATTACTAGCGGACTCATCAGGTTGACTGATTGCATATTGCTGAAATAATTTCCCCTCACTTAGGTCCAAGCATGGAGGCTACCCTATTACAGTTAAAAGGCTCCGCCGTTGCCCACCAAAATCCCATTACCCCGCCCAACTCCCTTTTCGCATCAAATGCAACAATCGGCGGTGGCAGCGGCAACCGTCTTGAGCAACTTCTCCTCTCTGCATCGGCTGCGGCAGCCTCCACTATGTCTCCCAACGCTCTCTACCCCCAGCCCAGGCTGAGACAGAATGGCTCCGCACCAAATCTCCTACCACCGACATGGCAGGCGGCCGCCGCGTCACCACCCTCTGCGGTTGACTTACTCCGATCTAGCGTTGCTGGGGTCAGTGGCATTAATGGCCCCCTTCCTTCTCCTGGTTTGGAGTTGGCAAATCTATACAGAAAGGGCTCTTAGACCGCCTCGCCCTTCCTTTATTCCTTAAGTTCAGGTTCTCCCCTCGTACCCTAGTCCCCTTGTTTGTTCTTGTTCTTTGCGAGGGCAGACGACCACCAACTTGTCTGAGCTTTCTCAGTAAAAGTCAATCGTCATACCATTTACGCGTTTGGTACTTTGTTTTCAGTATCATCGAGCACCGTCAGTATCTAGGGTTATTTTTTTCAATGGAAATTTGTAGAACCTGGTTTTTTGAATGTACAGTAAGGGTTGGATCTCGGACAAGAGGTACTCTTGAGGTAGCTGAAATTTTCCGAGTTTTCCGCGAATATTGGTTTTGGTCTCCAACCTTTCCCGCAAGCTGATACTGATTCGTCCAAATTCCTGGTTTTAAATCAACATGCGATACCATTTTGCAATAAGGTCTTAAGTAACGGCAAATATCCGTTAGTTCTCTGCGCTACCTTGGCCCGTCCTAGTGATAGTGCACAACGTCGATGCCTCTCAAGGATTTGGGTGGTTAAGGCATTATTGGTGCTAAATACTGAGAAGTTCTGAAGACTTTGAAACACTAAATTGGTAGGGTAATCAGACTTCCATTAAGCATTTTGAGGTTTTTAGACAATTTGACTAAACGCAACTGTTTCACAGCAAACACGTTCCCGAGCACCACATTACTTGTCCGTAAAAATAACGTTAATGAGTTTTTGGGAGGGATGGTAATTGGTAATGTGCGAGTCTGTAACACAGGGATCGAAGCGACCCATGCTAAATTGGTGCGAGCGAATTAAATTCTGACCCTACCTGGAGCTTATGGGAAAGGAAATGCTTTCAAAATCGCTTCGGGGAAGGTTTTTCAATGCCAGTTGCTTTTAATTCAGTAATTTGGCCGTTTTTTTGGTCTGTAATGGAATTACTTTCAAAGAGACGCATATTTTCAGCAGTTGGTAAAAGTATTTGGGGTCACATTCTCTTGAATTGACTATCGGCGGTGTTCCCTTTACTCACCAAAATTAGTAAACATCCTCAAAGTTCTTTTCCTAGGTGCTTGTGGGTGATTGGAGCTTTAAAATTGAAAACCTTTACAATTATCTAGTCGTCAGAACTTCTTAAGATATATAGTGTGCTTATCGGGATATATATCATACCACCAACTAATGCGAATGATGATTGTTAAACACGTAATTCGGGTCACTGTGATGGATAGGCGCTAACACTGCAACCCGCCGCCAATTTTGTGAAACCGTAATTTAAAAGGTTGGGTTGTTCTACTTGAAAGAAATGCCCGAATTCACTACCTACCTATTACGCACCCGAACTAGTCCGCAAGACCAAAGTAGTTCTGGTTGCAGTAAACTCCTCTTTATTTAAACCAGGTTATGGTTAGCAATGCAACGGCGCACAGTACGCGGCCAGCTAGTCGCGGAAAGCGAGTACACGTATACAGACCATGGCGTTTACTGAAGAGCCGCACCTCCCTTCGGAATTATAGACTGAGAATCACCAACTTACTGCACAAAGTGGGGGGCTCAGTACTTCGGTTGCTTAAACCTAGTGCGCACAGCCACAACAACCTAGACTAACCGTATCTTTAGACACACCATGAACTGAATAAATGCACACCTTTAATTATTCTATCTAAACGGATGAAGAGATAAAAAAGAAAGAAGGAAAAGGGAAAGACGAGGAAAAACCTTCAATCTGTGCAGCTGGAGGTTGTCGATAGCGTACGTTGTCGAAGAGAGTTGCAATCGCGATTCGCGTCAGAAGTGCGTTGACTGCTCGAAATAGTAGGGGTGACAGCGGATAGAGAAATGCTTCCCCTGTCTTCTACATTCTCCTCATCGTCGGCCGCCTCACTGGCCTCTGAAGGCTGAAGGAGAGAAAGGCGAATGCCCGCGATACCCTTCTTTGACATGTCCACCGAGCCACGCTTAATGCGACGACTGCGTCCAGAGTGGTCTTTGCGGTACTGAGAGAGAAAAATAACGTTAAAAGCTCCATAAAATAACGGAGCGCAAATACTATTCTAAGGGTCTGAGAGAGTCTCACCTGACACATATTGGCAAAGTCGACGACGTAGAAGTGGCCTGCGATGAAGACTTCACACCGAGGCAGGGACTGGGCGTAGGCAGCTTCTATTTCAACTGCTGTTCTTTCGTCATATTGCCACCAACCGTTGTGGCCCTCATAGTACCACATAAATTCCAAAGGCGGGCGTTCTAAACGAATATCGCTACATGTCAAAATATATTAAAGGGGCTACGTGGGAAGCAAATTAGCCTGACAGCAACAAAAATTCATTCAGAGTTAATAATTATATGACAACCTAGCGATCAACTAAAGCAATATATTGGATTTCAGGTTTCGTTTGCATGACATTAGTATGGTTTGGAATCTTTGTAGTACTAGACGATTCCCCTATAATAAACCCGTGTTCAAGACTAATCTAGAATGGAGACTGATAGTGCCTCTCAAAAGCTATCATAAGGACCAGTATTGTTTCTAAAAAAATATGTGAAATAAGTTGCGTAAAGACTCCGAAGTGCGCAAAAGACTTCTTGCTATTTACTTTCAATTTTGCCGACATAGTTTTACCATGACTAAAGAATTATAAAAACGCGATTCTATTACTATCTGTGGAATCACATAAATGTTAGCCGGCTTCTATAATACGCGGACAAAACAATTACATTGCCCCAATAGAGAAGCAATATTCTGAAAATGTAGTCAGGTCACAAAATCAGTCTGTGAAATCAAAAGAGGCACTAACTATAATAATGCACTAAAGATTACTCATACCCGTCTCGCCAGAATCACCCAGATTGCGAATAATATTTGGATTTTCAAAAAAAATCATACTGAAGGCCCTACGACACAGAGGGCAACGGCGCCGATGAGATGCGGAGCCTTTTATGCAGAGATAACAAAATACATGGCCACATGGAATTTCCACGGGTTGAAGAAGGGGCTGGAGACAAATGGGACAACCACCCGAATCGCCCCCCGCCATTATAAAGCAGTGACGTTTGCTCTTAAAGCGCGGCTTTTATCCACCCTGACCTTGAGGATCTCGTATTGTAAAATTGGGCCTTTGCTTATTAATTAACTTAATTATCCCTTTTTGAAACTCATATTAATATTAGTGAATTGCTAGGTTTTTACACCCTCCCAATTTGCTTATGCTTGCACAGATGAGGCTTTTAATTGACGTCACTTTTGTCGGGGCGGTGCCCTGGTAGACTGTTCCTTAGTCATGTATGAGCCTTATGCGCCAGAAAGCTTGTCACGTCGAATGGATGAAGTACTGGTTATGGAAGGTAATACCTGGCTTTTCTTGTGGCATCGGTGAAAATTTTTACCGCTAGCGTCGGAAAAAAACGCGTTTTTTCCGAATTCTTGAGTAGTTGTGATTTTGGCGGCTCTCCTCACGAGGACATCATACTGGAAAAACTAGGCATTCTTTCTCAGTGCATGTCCAAATTAAGAGGTTATGAGATCAAGCCACAAAGGTATTGAAGTTTATCGGTTTTACCCCCAATAAGTCTTCGTCAAGTCTCTACGTTATTCAAAAGCAGTTTAGCAAACCAGATTCATATATCTAGCCGCCTTAAATGTATGGTTCAAGACTTAGAAGCGCTACTTCCTCGCTTGAATTCTGTTTGCGAGTCGATGAAAAGGTAAGTTTGTTCTGTTTATCTGTACTGGATACTTGGTGCTCCCTGAATGCTGCTTTTTATTCCCTCGTGCATCATCGCTTAGGTCTTACTAGCTAAGTGGCTTCATAAGGCCTAGCGTTTAAGGGCGTCTAACGTGTTTTGGATGTCGTTTTAAGGATATCCGAGTTGCCACAGTTACTCGGGGAAGTGAAGACTGCTGACATGAAGATCCTCTCGGATGCCGTCGAAAGCTTCATTTCTGTCCCATCAGTATATTGTCTAGCCTTTTGATGACATTGCTCTATTAGTTATCGGCAAATACGGTCACTTCTACACTACCTGAATTCTACGACCCCTTAAATATTGAGAAGCTTAGGTTGGATGCGTCCCTGCTTCGTGCACAAGTAGGACAATTGGAAGAGAAGCTTAGCTATTTCGGAAGTCTTGATATGGTATGATAAACCTTTGACTTGTTTATCATTTATCTGATAGGATCCGGAGGTCGCTGCAAGCGATGTAATCAATACGGAAGCCGATCTTTTACAGATGCAAAAGGGCAATGACCTGGCTCATGGCCTTTCGGGTTGGAAATAGAGGAAAACTGCTTAATGCATTGTGTAGTAGAATTCCGCAACTTGTTGCCATTACGCAACTGCCATACCATCCTTTTACGCCAACCCATGCGTCCCTATCACCCCCTTAGTACAATTAGTCCAGTTCTTGGTCGCTCTTTGGAAAATACAGCTAGATTTACTAACTTGGTTCTTATGAAGTGGTAGCCCGTGAACTCTGAAGGCTGTTAAATGTTGATAGATGGTTAAATTAACCTGGTAAATCGGAAAAATCGTGCTTGCGAATCGCTAAAGCCATCCCTACCTAACCGAGGCTGGGTACCTATGCGAATTGATGAATTTGATATTGGAATTTGCAATTTGGGTAAATTAACGCAGTGTACCTTATGGGATAAATCTAGCTGTTCAGTTCATTGATGTAATTGCCCTACTTTTTACTCAGTATAGCGCTTGTGTTGACGAAAGAGTGAATGTCAGTTTTGTGGGTGAACGTTCCGTTCTTGTCCAGTCGCACGCTTTCCGGCAGACTTTTTGCGCTGGTTGAGGGGAAGAACACCTCCCTTTGGCATTTGTGCCTTAAGAAACGTGCAGAAAAAACTTTTCTGGGAATAGTGCATGTATATGGGGTCGGATAACCGGTGGATTAGGGTAAATTTATAATGTCGGCCATTGTGCACGATTAAGGGTGTCAGAAGATTTCCTCGAATGCACAGTCAGTAGTTGTTGCTGCTTGTGTATTCGCATGGATAGTGAAAGCAAAGTAGCCACCTCACTAAGGAGATGGCAGAACATGTAATTATATTGGCACTCCGAAATTTAGGATCCCAGCTCAGATTTTGTTCAACTTCATTCCTTCAAGTAAAATGCGTCTTTGGCACTATTGATAACCTGCAAAAGCCACAAGAACTAATTAGCGTATTTTAACAGAACCAATGATATTCGAAAACTCAGGCATTTTCCGGGAAGAAGGTACAGTGTAGGGCATTGATGTAAAACAAGTTAGAAGTTCACGAATCGGCGCAGTAGTTTACCGAAGATGGGTTAAGATACACTCGAGGAGACCATTTCTGGATTCTCACTGGTTGCGAGCACGTCGAGATTTGATTGCAGTCCCTCCTCCGAGAGAAGTGGAAGTGATTTCAACTGCAGGCAGTAAAGGATACCTCCAAACTACTGGAAAATCACGAGGTAACCTTAGGATCTGCTCTTGAATGATAGAAAGAGTCCACAAACGCCGGTTACTTAAGGCCATAGCCAAAGATGAAGTAACACACCTCGTAAACCCATGGCGATTGAAGAAGTTATTGTCATTTGTGGTGAAGCTCGCTACAACGGCTACGCTAGGACTTGTAAAATGCGTGCAAAAACTTTGTGCACACGCATTTGTGAGACAAAGATGCGTCAGACCACCAATACGGTACTCTACATTGTTCTCTCTACTATTTCTTGTTAACTTAACCGTCTCCAGCGTATCAGTTGGGCATGATGTGACTTGAGCTTGTCCACTTTACAAACCAACTCTAACTACGGATGTATAAAATCAAACATGAGGAAAACAGAGGAGAAATGCGAAGCTATTGTGGCTTACCTGAGAAATGTACTCCAGGGTGTCAAGGTGCACCTGATGGCGAATCTTGTCGTCGTCAGTTTTGCCAGCGCCTCCCGCCTGCTGCGTCCCGCCGACTGCACGTGCCACTCGTAGACGCCTCAGACTGTCCTCAATCTTTCGCACTGATGTCATCAGCTCCGACGTTTGGGTGTGGTACCTGAGACAGACAGGTGTGCATTATCACATCATTTGCCACTCTAAATGGCTTCAGATTAAGAAGTGTCAAGGCTTGCATATTTGTGGTTTGAAGCACGATTCGTTCAAAGAGCTCGACGACTTGGGAGCGCAGAAAAGGCAAAGGTTCGACCTGAGGTTTACTGAGGATGCCAGACTGCAGAACTTGGGCGAGATCAGTGAGTTGCTTCAAAATCCTCGGCATAAATGCAGAGGGTGTAGAAGGCCAATTCCGATTTGTGCGACGATACTGCCGCGGCAGATCCTGTATCTGCTTGATCAGAGCTTGCATTTTTTCCTGCAAATGTGCTAGTTGATAGTAAAACACAGTTGTCTCCTTCACAAAAGGGTAGCAAAGTGGCACTCACCTCGAACACACGGCAAATTTCCGACTTAATAGCGATCAATGCAGAATTGATACGTTCGGAGGAGTCTTTAATGCACTGCTCCAGCCAATCGGGCAGAGGATTGGCTTGCCGAAGGTCCATTGCCGACAGGATCAAGTTCACCAAGTTACCCTCGTCAATCCACTTCAAAAAGAAACTGCCATCGAAAAAGACCAGCAGCAGTGGCTCTATGCCCGAGATTCCTGCCTGAAATCGAGGGCAAGCTTCTGCAGGTTCCAATATGAAATAATTCTGTCCTAGATATAGTTCAAGTTTATCTACATTGTTGTTGATACTTGCTGGTTTGAGCAAGGAACAGAGGGAGCCTCGGCCTACTATAGTCGAAAGCCTACACTAATCAAGGTTTAAGGATAAGTTAATTTTAAAAATAAGAGGTAGGGTACACACTTTTTCGGGGGAGTTGATGGTCTGGTTGAGAGCTTTTTCACCAATGAGGTAACTATAAGCATTGATGAGTTGAAGAGTAAGTTTCCAAAATCGGTGTCGTAGGGAGTCCAAGTAGACATCCTCGGACCAACAACGCCTCATCTGCCGCATCACAGTCGCTGTCACGGCTAGTGCATAGCCTAGTGAGTAGAGTCAAAGAGGTAACAGATCGTGACTAAATTAGGCTGCGGTATCTTTAAGTTAACATCACAAAAACATTTACTTTATTGGGGAAAACACCGCTGTGATTGTGAATGTGTGGGTCGGCACGCCCACGTAATGGCCCAAACCCACCTAGGATCTCGCATGAATGCATTTATCAAGGGGATCAAAAAGTTTATTTGCTTAAGGTGTTAATTTGCATTTTGTGGAACTTTGCCTACCTGGTGGCCCTGTTTTAGCCTCCTTGAAAACATCTTTTGAACAGTCAGAAATAATTTCGTTGCATTCTTGATACCTACACGAATAAGCGGCAAATTTTCCGATTAAATGGTTGGAGTACACATGAAGTGACAATAAGCAACCGGCGACCTACCGGAGTTGGAAGTAAACACTGAGGCTCCATTTGTTGAGGAAGGATGTGTAGACAGCCTTCTCCCTCAGTTTCACCACCTGCTTAGTGGATTCGGCTCGGTCTTCCACGAGGTCCAAAAACTCCATACCGATCTTGTACAACTACGTTCCAAAAAAGTGTGGACCATTAGAGCGAGGTCCAAAACTATCTCAAAGATGTCTAGCTTTTGTTAGAGGTGCTCGCGATTTCAAAATGCGTTCCTGTTTCTATTTTCTGGAAATTTCCACTTCCATAGCTTAATTCCGTGCATTCTAGAAAGTCGCGCCCTCTGTTCCTCCTGATCAGGAGATATGACATGAGCCCAAGGTCACTTTGAGCAGTCTCCACTGTCGAGCTGTCAAGGCCATGCGTGTTATCCGCACCCTCTTTTACCTGCCCATACGCGTCGCTAATAAAAACGCTTGTACCATAGTCCCGTTTATTAATTCTCTGTATGGGAGCTCGAAGAGATCCGAATCGCGCACGTAAACCCCGGCTCACAATACTTTTATAGTCTTGGGAAAGATTGAAGGGTGGCGTACAGAGTTAAAAGTGCGAATTTCCAACATTCAATCAGGGAGAAAACATTTCCGGGGATGAAAAGATAAGTGGATGGGAGGATCTGTCTACGAATGGGATTTGACAGATCAGTTGTAATTTGTTATAAAAAGAAACAATGATAAACTGACTTTATGAAACTTGTCCGGATTGCCAGCGGAGAAAATATCAGGAAGTTGGTTAAAGAGGACATCCACAGTTTCTGGGAAAAAGCCGTCCATAATCACGTCGAAGTCACTCAACGGTTCGTAGCTTTAAGGGCATAAAAGCCATTAGTAGGTACGTCTCATAAAAGGTTCTTGTTGGGCATTTATACAACACAACCCATTTCAGGTAAGATCTCACAATGCACCGTGAGCTAAGCAGAGGGCATAGATGAAAGTACTCTCGAAGATGAGTCTACTCACTGCGCTTATCACACTCAACTTGACATTGACGATGGGACTTAAGCTCTAGAAGGCAATAAATTGGGCTGGAACGACGACCCATGCACCCACAAAAGATAAAGATAAGAAAGGAAGGATACAGCCATTTCGTACGTAAGACAGGAGCTAATGGTAATGGTACGATGGCCGATACAAAAGATGAGATAAAAAGTAACTAAAAGTCATACAAAAGAATAATTTTTTTGTCAAGCTATCAATTTGAGGGAAAATTACTGATTGAGAACAGTGAGGAAGGCACACAGCAGCATCTACTTTTCTCCAATGGAGACCGGTCCTTAAGGAAAGGGAGGGGTACCTCTTGTGTAGTCGCTTGAAGACGAGAGTTTGAAAAAGAGAAAGCTCTTTGTCTAGGAGGGCGACGGCCTCAGCAAACATTCGCCGCAGGGTCGAGGCCGCAGCATCTGCGTCAGCGCCGCTAGCCGACAGTTCCGGACAGGGTAAGAATATCTGTCGTGAGAACAAACATGATAAGAAGTGTAGGTGAATTCCACTGCAATTTTGCGGAATTCTCGGATATAATTTAAACAATGATTGGTGAAAAAGAATGCATCACGTCCCAATGAAAACGGTTGCAGCTTGTAGTCTACCTTGGAGAGCTGAGAGTGGAGACAGTGTTTGCGGTAGAGGTCGATAGCATTGGTTAGCTTATCAATAGAGACGTAGGTGGAAAGGATCTGCCGCAGCACTAAGGAGGCCTTCTTAGAGGTTTTTGGGTGTAACTGACCGCTAGATTGTGCTTCGTGACAGAGATTGAGACCGCAGCGAAGGCGACCCTCCAGCTGGTCCTGTAGGCTGGTTGTTATCAGGTGGATCCTCTAGGTTGAAAAATCACAAAAGGCATGCGTGCATTAGTAAAAAAAACCCCAACATGTGACAACAACTACGTCTAATAGTTCAACGTTCTCTTTCGAGCTGAAAAAGGACAACAACTAGGTCAAACGTAACTAAGTTTAACCCAGGGGTACGGTGAGATATTATGCTGTGAGTGAAAGAAAGGCACAATAATCACAGAACAGTCTCAGGGCAAAATACACAAGTCGTTATGCGGGGAAAGTGGAGGGCCTAACGAGCCTAAGAACGCATCCACAGAAATGAGTACAATTGCACCGTGTACAGCCATTCACTTACGTATGGAGGCGTAGAAACGTTTCTCCATTGGCATATGATAAATGAGAGTCAGATTGACCAGTTAGAAGAGGAACAAAACCGCCCTGGAGGCGGGCTGGCAAGCACAGACGCGCGCTCTTGGGGGTGTAGGCATGCACACTCCCGAACAAATCCGGATGCCCACTGCGCAACGCCACAACAGCGTACACAGGGACAAATGAACGTGGTACTATCGTTATTTGTCGTGCTAAGAGTAATTGCATAGGCGGAATAGAAACAGCTTCTCAAAAAGTGATGAAGTAGCTTAAAAAGCTCCTAGTGAGCGACTTTAGTGTAGGTGTTGGCTAAGCGCGCAGTGCCTGATTGAATGAACGAAATTATTCTTGAAAATATTAGCGTGTGAATAGTCACTACTGAAATTGTTGTAAATGGAAGTGAAGTACGTGTAGGAGTTATTAATTTTCGTGTTGATCCGCATTTCCAGAAATGCACACATAAACGGATGAAGTTTACAATAGGTGAACTCGTAAATGGATTGTTGAGAAAATCCACGGGAAAGCAGAATGCCGTGGTTTGGTGTAGAAGCTGTAAATTTAATTCCGTTTTGTGATAAACACCCATTACGTATTGCATATAAACTTGTTTCGCGGTAGCAGCGTCAACCAATAGAAAGCTAACAGCAATTAAGTATAGCAAGAAACGAGAGACAACGCCTCACCGGCTTAAGATCTTCCACGAAGGGATGGTTGACACACTTTTTCACAAAGTGTTGCAGTTTTGTATATTCCTGTGCCACACGATCAATTTGTTGTTCCTCGTGAAATCTAGGAAAAATTCAGCGGACAGATGCCATCACCAAAGTTGGGTGGTACATGAAGCTGAACAGGGTGCTGTAGCGAACCCTATCTAACGTCGTAATTCACCCCACTATACGATTGGGTAAATAGAGAAAGAAACCTACGTCTTGTCTGCGGGGGAAGAGTCACCAGTAGTTAGGAGGTGGAAGTCCTCGCCAGATTGAATTGTGGGGGAGAGCCAACGCTCCAATCGACTGGTGCAGGTTGCCACGGTAATGAGGCTGTTGATCAACTCCTTCAGTGATGCAAAAAACGAATGAATCATATTAGAGTGAAAGTTGGAAGAAATGAGGCTAATTGAGATTTACCTAATTGTTAAAGCCTTATTTTTGAAAGCAGGGGAAATCGCAGTAAAATTAGACCAGGCTTCTATAAAACAGGGTGCATTCACCTAATCAAAATAAGGATTTAAGGAACTCTCTAAAAAGACCAAGTTTTACCAACTAGAAAGGTCACTGGTCTTAGCAATAAAGAGCAGTCGAAAAGGCATAAAATCTGTTGCAAAAATAAAGCACTTTGTAAAGGTGGAGGGGAGTGGAGAAGACTAAAACTAGTGAAAAGACCTACGTAATAAACAATCAAAATTAGATCCGTGGCCATCGTCTACTTTTGCAATGACTGAAATTACTTCAAATAGGGGATTTCAAGGATTGTACGAATTGATTAAAAGAACACGATTTTAGTAAAATTTAATGTGAGCTAGATGTTACCTTTTTTTCACGCAGTCTCTTCCGTTCTTCCAAGCTGAATTCAAACTCCTTTCTCGTTTCTTGGATCTCTGAAAGAACGTTCTACGGCAAAGGGAGATGGTAAGGTCATGGAAATAGGTAGCCAATAACCACTTCTGTGCGCCGAAAATACTGGGTACAGAGAGAATGGCGAAGGGGCAAGTTCGAACTATTAAAGGGTTAGAGGGAATGAGGAAAGGTAGGTGACTCACAGAGACGCGTTCTCTCGTGGCCATCAGTGGGTCCTCAAGGCTTTTAATGATTTTGTCCAGTCCAACAAGGTTGGTAGAGAGGCTGACAAAGTCAGCACAGTCACGATTTATCAGCTCAACGAGACTATTCTTCAAAATGTTGAAGTACTGCAGAAGGCTGTCGTGAAGGTTTTGGAGAGAGATACCCATCTTGAGGCGATCCAGTATAAAGGCATCTTCGTCGAAATCATCCTACATGTTACAACCAAAATAAATCTTCATGACATTCGTAATTATGCTTTCTGTAAGCATGGAACCCAACATTTCATCTCCCTTAAAAGCACAATTTTTAAAGCCACCATCCTCCTTCCTCGATTGACATTAGGCTGCTATCAGAAGTGTAGGACTGCGCTACTTTTTGAGACTGTAAAATAACCACTCGCACAACCTCCTGGTCATTCGCAGCTCTTCCACTTAGTAATATCGTTCCCACGAATCATGCGGTTGGGCTATTTCGCATTTTTAAGTTAAACTACCAACATCGCCCTAATTGTGTGATTGCCAATGAGCACGAGGAATATGGGAAATAACTGTGAGATGCTACAGGTACCAAGCATAGCGAGATCTGCCCCTGCTGAACACGAATCCAAAAGCAATAGCACCCAAAGTAAGCAACATTCTCTATCTCACTTTTATTTGAACCAGATGCATCTCAGCGGTTATTTTTCCCTTATGGCCGATCATTTTGCATCGAGGGTAAGCAAATGAACTGTCTGAATGCCATTTCTTGCATGCATTGCATACTTGCGTGAAAATACTTCTGCCACTGTCGAAGGCGAAGCCCCAGTGATCACTTGGCTCAGGTAATTTGTTTGGTGTTGATCAATGGTGGGGCGGATTTGAGTTCACACCCGAAGGCCAAGGACTATGAAGGCTAAACTTCCTCCTAGGACATGAGGTCCACCCATTTTTACATCAGTCACGTATTTGTGCTAAAGTGAATACCTAATCGAGATACGTTATGATACCCAAAACACCGAAATGAGTGTACACCTAGCAGCAATGATTTTCATCATCCTGTCGCGAAAAGCTGCAGGATAAACATGCTCGAGAGCATTCCATTGAAAAGCCAATGAGAATAATCGAACTTCGAAACAGCTGTGCTGAAGATTCCCACTCAAAATGAGAAGCCTTATCACGTTTGCGGATCAATTTCATTGGCTCTCGACCAATAGTACGTCGAATCAAATACTGTCCTAGCGGAAATAGGTACGTTTGCTATTTGCTCACCTGTACAGTGCGACCTGATAAACCAAATAATCAGGACGCCTAAATCTAGCTTAAACGAATTTATGAACAATGTAACCAATTGGGAATGAAGGCAATTGTTTGCTCACGTTTAGGAATCCTCGCCTATCGAAGCAGAACTCCAGGCCCGAAGGTGCAATCCCCAAGGTAGACTCTAACGCATCGTTAGCCAACTCCTCCTAAAAACAAGTAAGAGACGGCGTACTACCTCGACGAGTACGTGATCACTGCGAGGAACAGCACCTGTTTCGTTAAAAAAACATATTAATAATTTATATGCACATATATATAGTTAGACAAAATGCAATTGGACATTTGACAAATATCAGTAGAGGGGACAGACTGCAGTAGTGCAGGCAACAACACAATGTACAATACGTATCAATATGAACGTAAGTAGTGTTGAAATATTAAAAGGCGGCCAGATGGCAATAGTTGTAGTGGGAAAGGGGATATTTACAAAATGCTAAGAGAGGATAACGATAGGCGGGTCCTAGCGCTTGCGACGGCACTGTCGTTTGTGTTCCTTGTGCCAGTGCGTCTGTTGGCAGTTGATGGAGCAGTAGGAAGTGTTCCAACAGCAGTGGTAGATGGCTTCCTTAAGGCAGTTGCGGCACCACTGACGTCGCTTGGCCTGCACCAGGGCGTCATTGAAACGCGCCTCTGCAGCGTCAAGGGTCTCGCGAGCAAGAGTACGCTCGCGCTCCACCGCGGCAGCGAGAGCGGCGGAGTGCTCGGCGGAGAGGCGTGCCTCCAGCTCCCCTAGTGCCCGCTGCTGCTCTGCGATCGCCTGCCGACGCACAGTCTCCAAGTTCTCCTTACATCGGGCACAACTGCGTTGCTGGGGCTCTTGGACCTCATCGTCCCCCATCGCCTACAAACAGCCAGTCAACAAGCAAATAGCTACCAACACCGGCTTTACATAACACCACCGTTTCTGAACACCCAGATCTTTCTAATGCAAGGGCCGCTTAATAAACTTCATATATTATTTGAAATATCGAAACACCAGTCCAATGATAAAGCAGGTTTTCACACAAAAGTGGATAAGAACGTAAGTGTACATTTCTATAAAAAAATCAAGGAGCTAGTAAGCAGCCACGAAAAGTATGCCCAGTAAATATCACAAAACCTAAGCATTCCACTTATACAGGTCAATTATACATATGTAGAAACAGTTTCTCCATTATGATCGCGTCCACCTTGTCGTTCATTAATTTAAGTGTTTTATAAAAAGCCATCACAACAAATCAATCCACACTTGACCAATCTGTCACTAGATACAAATTGACAAATTAAAAGTTTATTTTTTCAAGCAAGACAGTCGGGTGAGCTGATGTAAGAGGTCCAAAATCTCACATATGAGACGCACCTGAACCTGTTTGTTTGATAGTTTTCGAGGCGAAACTCCACCCGGATGCATTGATGAAGCGGTGGAAGAATGTGGTGGAGATTCAATTTTAATATCAGAACCGGCAGCAACTGCAGCTGCTGCCAGCCTCTTATTCGGTGGTAGGTGCGATCTCGGTACAGAACCCAGCCCACTGCTGCGTCCAGCCATCTCAAGGGCAGTGAATCCCGACTTGCTAAGCTGTTGCTGTGAAAGAGAAGGGGAACTAGACATAGACCCGATCTCCACCCTGCTGCCGCTAAGAGATGGTGCAACAGCCGTCTGTGTGGTTCCGACGACAGCTACCGACGACGACGTGGAGATTGGCGGAGCGAAGGGTGGACGTCGCAGAAGGAGGTGTCTGCGGTCGCCTGAAGCGTCCGAGGAGTTGCCTGATTCGGATGTGGATGTGGGGCTAGCACTCGAAGACGTCTTGTGACGCTTCACTTGCGTTTGCTCTAGAGGAGTCGCTTGAGGTCGACGAGACGGGAAAGTAGTTGAACAGCGATCGGTCAACTCCGAGTCCGACTCTGAATGTGCGTTAGATTTCGCTTTCTTACGAGAGGAGGAGGGGGTCTTCCGACTGCTGCCACCACGCACACCAGAGAATGGGGGACGACCACGAGGACGTCGAGCTAAGGTACTCTGATTAAGAAACAGTCTTAAGTAAGCAATACAGCCCACGAAGGACATTGAAGTGGTCCATAATACTTATGGTCTGTTGTGTGGTGCGTTTACACCAATATTAATTCACTCTAAGGTCGAAGTTGACGAAAAGACAAAGTGCCTTTAAAGTTCAGGGATATAAATACCCAATCGTGTAAACACATTGATGCTAAAGTAGCCAGTCAGAGAATACTCAAAAGTAGTAAACTACTTACAAGAGAGGTGTGCCGAGGTAAGCTATTGTTGTTTGACATATAACTACTTTGTGGAGAGTCCAATGCAGCTTTCGATGTCAAATGACCTACAGTAAAAGGTGTGAAAAATACGCAGTTGATCAAACCCATTTGCAGTAACTCAATTTACATTGGATGGAATTGGCTGTCCGAATTTAAAACGGGAAAAGAAAATTACCGTTTGTTCGCTTCTTTGAGGCGCCACCCCGCTGACTGTATTTTTTACTGTGAGGAGACCATGACGATCCAGTCAGCTGCAAAGATAGTGAGCAGGACATGTGATATTATGACTACTAATAATGCAATTTTTCATATTCTTACCCTGAAGTACGCAAATATTTTGTGCACTTTCAACATAAAAAACTACTTTGATTGGTACAGCTGTTTTCCTGGAAGATAATTCACGAGAAAAATTAGTCCTTCTCCCTCCTAGAATAAATGCGCAGTGACGAAAAATCCCAAACTTTACGTGAAGAAAAAAACTTGCTTTTTCGTCATTCGAATCAGATTCTGCTGAGGTTGTTGTACTCGCGGGCCGATTTTTCTTTTTACTCGAGGTGCTAAGACTGTTTGGCATCTTGTAGTTTTCGCCATCTGAAACCGAGTGTGAGAGTGAAGAAAGCGAAGCAGAAGAGGAAGTTTTTCGCTTGCGTTTCTTCATTCCGCTACCGCGTGGACGACCTCTCCCTCTCCGCTGAGGATTTACCGAAGTATCCATCACGGAGTCACCAAAGGCGCTGCTACGTTTTTTGCTGAAGGCAGCAGCAACAGCTGCCTTAGTCTCCGCCAGAGCAGAAAGCGCTGCTGCCGCCACCGGAGAGGTAGTCTCAGTGCTGAAACGTTGTTTTGCGGATGCAGTCAGTTTAGAGTTTGCACTGATGGCTTTAGAGGTAGGAGTCCTTCCAGTTTTTTGTCGCCGATAATCGCCACCACGATTATTTGAACTGCGACGGTGAGTGTCGCTGCTGAAACGACCGCTCGAGTGTTGTGACGGAGACGATATTGAGGAATGAGAAGAGGCGCAGGAACTTCCTTCACTGGAAGCCAAATTTTTCCTGCTGCAAAAACAAATTTGAGAAAATCACTTCGTGAAGTTATTGTTGAGCTGCCAAAGTCAATAAGTCATATGCAGCCTAGAGCGCACACATAGCCCGACAGTCATGATCTGGGAAGGTCTGTACCACATAGCAGGTGGGGACTGGAGAGACGACTACGTAGCAGTAAGATACAACGTCACAGCGCACACATGTAGCCATACTTGCGCTTAGGACTCGGGTGGTTTGCAAAACTGAGATGCGGCGATAAGTAACGCTGAACCCACATTTGAGCCCCAGCACTGCTCTCAGCTCGGGCTGGAAAGCAAGTATTTTCGGACGTTCACGGGCACACACGTCCCCCAGACACCAAAACAGACAAGTGGGGAAGCGGGCGGACAGACTCATGCGTGTACGTAAGGCAAGCGTGGCACGCACGTGCGCACGCCTGAGCGGGAGAATTGACCATCCCCGTGGCTGCAATCGTTCGTGCAATCCAACCAAACATATTGTCCAGTGTTAGACATACGAGTGCAACGATTAGCTTCCTAGGCGCGGCACTGTTAGGCCAAGAAAGTGTTCATAACGGTGAGTTGTACTTACCTGTGGTGCTTAACCTTAGCATATTCCAAATAGGTAATCAAGAAACTAGTTGAGATAGAACTGCTTTGGGTATTCATATTTACCATGGAAAATCAACGTTCAAAGATTGAGATAACCAAGTAGATAACTGATCTTCAATTTGATGTAGTACATATGCAATTTCATGTGAACAAAATGGCTATGAAAATTTAGATTGGCACCACGCTTGAACTGACAGTTCTCTCACTTGCGTTTGCCGGCCGCACACGATCAAATCTCAATGAGGAATGTCGACAACGAGCGGATGACTCCGCTGATGATAGAGGTCCCGAGATATATTCATTTTTTTGCAAAATTAACTATAATCATAAAACTGATGGCAATCTCGAAAGAATTCTTTGTTGAAAATACAGAACTCTGTCTGACTAGGACGATGGATAGCATAATAAATGAATGTTCTAAATGCAAAATTAATCCTCAAAGTGAATTTTTCATTACAAATTACTCACGCTCTTTTCTTTGTCGACTTCAGTTTTGCTGAGTTTGCCGTGGCAGAGGAACGTGGACTGTTAGAGAGAGACACTGCCGCGTGTCGACGAGGACGAATGTAAATTTCGTCAGTGTAATCATCATCTGAAGGAGGCATATCAGACTCGCCAGAGGAGTGAGAGTAGTATCCGGAGTTGAGGTTGGCCTGCAACTTCCGCACCTCATTCCAGGCCCGTTCAATAAGAGAGGTGGGAACGTTATGAGCGCCAGCCAAAGCTCGTCGATGGAAGGCTGGATCGATCTCGGGAAGTACGAATGGAGCCGTATGGGTCTTTTTCACAAAGGCCCGTTCATGGGTACCGCCAAAGAAACGAATCTGCCGACAAAAAGAGGTTAGCAATTGGACTGAGAGCGGCTTCAACACATTCTCATTCTATCAAAGTACTGTAATGCGGAACCGTAAACAATTGCAATAATGTCACCTATGGACATCCATATCACCTACTTTAGTATTAACCAAACGTATGGTCCTCACAGAGAGGATAAACTAACTATTCATGTGGAACACAGGTTAAGGGAACCCACCCAGAGAATGGATAGAGGAACGGGAGGACAGCTTAGAGCATAAAAAGGTCTTAATTGAAGCCACCAGAGCGGAATGCAAACAGGACCTCAGCAACAATCACACATGCATCGTAGTTACAAACGTCTATTCCGAATTTTACTAAGCGGTGGCTTCACTGTAGCTTTGAGAACTGGAATTTTGGACGCCAGCACATCCGATAAGGTGCTAAGGTCCCCTTAAATTACTCATTTGAATGGCTGTCTGAAAGTTGTTTTCAATTTTTCCGTCAAGATGCATAAATAAAAGTTGAGGTATACATTAAAAACCACCAATTTCAACTTATGTAAAGATCTCATTTCAATATTCACAAAAGATGACGCCACTCAAGCATGATTCTCATTACGACAAAGCACACTATGAGAGTTACACTATGTCCTTAGATGTTATAGGGAGCACTTAAGAAGTGATGCCTTCCATATTGTATTATTACTGAGTAGTAGATAAGATAGTTGTGCGCGAAAAACAGACCTCATATCCATCATCCCTTTCCAAGAGAATTTTTGCTGGCCAGTAACAATGCCGAATACTTGCGTTGTCAAATAAGCCAGCACCGGCAGCAGAACGATTGCACGCACATATGAATTCATGAGGAGGTTTGCAGGGCTTCGTAATCCAATCACCCACGCGGGCTTTCGCGTTTATATAACAGTCCGTACAGAGCTGAATTTCTGTTATCTCATTATTAACAGAACGAAGCAGAAATCTGGCTTCATCCGCATCATTACTAAATGGACCAAAGAGAAGACAAACGTCGTGAACAAGAAGTTCGACATCCATAGCAAAGAACTCCAACGCAGTATAGCGCCCGTCTTTTATCTTCCGTTGAAGCAGATCCATGTCCACATATTTGTACACGATGTATTCATTTTTGTCGATGTCACCAGGATATCCTATTTGATTGAAATGCTTCCAGGAAGGTTGCTTACGCAAGTTGTGTGTGGCAAATTCAAGCAGTTTTCGAATCTGTTTACGAGAAAATTCACACTTCGGCCTTGATTCACAAACAGGACAGGTAAAGTCACTCGCGTCATCATCTAAAGGACCCGGAGAGCGCATATTGCGTGGGTGAGGGGTCGGATGCTGGTCATCATTCACACAATCAGAGTGGAAGGCACGAAAGCAATCGCTACAATGTAACATTTCACCCGGTTTGTGACACCGAAAACAGTACCAATCATGATGTTGTCGGGGACACTGATGGTGGAAGTCAGGCAGGCGATAACTGTCGCAACCTTTCCCAGAACAACTGTTAACTTTTACGATAAGTCCGTCACCCTCAATTTCGGTTAACAAAAGTCTGATGCTGTCGTCCTGCATATCAAGCACCTTTCGGAGAGGCCGTATTAATTTATCCACTGGGACAGACTGCTTCTGGCCTCTATTCGACTCTAGAATCTTCCATACCTCACAAACTTTTTGAGGGTCTGCATGACGAAAAATCCCAGCTCTACCAAACGGCATTTTTAGGCATTGCCAAATACCAAGAATACGCCAGATGTTAAAAGGATGATAAATAAAATCGACACACAAACTCAACGAGCAAATGGAGGACCGGCAATAAATTAGTTTAAACAAGGCAAGGAAATGTTTGGCCCAAATTTGTGAAACACCAAAAGTTATGTTCAAACATCCTTTAAAATGGCGTTAGGAATTAAAAAGCTTTAAGCGTAAAGCTGAATAAAGCCTACGTTTGATTAGGATACCATAACAAAATAAAACAAATGCAGTTTTTTTCGTTTAATGCAGCACTTCAAGTCGTCTTAAATTAGTAAGAAGTTATTAGTAACGTTATAAAAGCCTATTCTACTGATGTACAGTAAAACCGAGGCTGCTGGCATGACCCGGAATCCATGCCGCTGAACAGAAGTGCGATCTAGAGGGACTCAAGTGCTTGCATAAAAACAGAGTTGAACAAACCGCCAAGGCATCACATAGCTCCCTCTTCTTCAGATCGTTGCTCCTGGTGTTTCCCCGATCAGCCTTTTTCGTCAACTATTACAGCACTTTCAGCGCTAACCAGCCCCACCAGTCATTTAATCTGGGTGTGACTGGGGAGATATTTCATCTCAACGTCCCCAATACATCTTGGCAATTTCACTAGATCTATATTTTGTCTTATATGAAGACTGCATTGGGGAAGGGGCGAGTGCACTCTTGTCATACTGCTTTAGACCGGATGATGCTCTACAGCAGGGACATCTCGTATTTTCTTCGACAGTTGTAAGATCATTGTCCTAGAATCAGAGTCATATGATGAAAGACAAGGTTAGGACTAGTTTCATAGGAGCGAAGGTTTGCGTGCATTCATTCCTTATACTTTGCTCCCACTTCGGCACTGCTCTGCCATTTAGCTTCAGGGGTTCTATTCACCCAGTGGAGGGTGGAGGTATAGCGTGTTCACACAATTGACGTCTTCATATGGGTACCGTAGACATCACCGTAACAAACTTTTCCAAATAGTATCCTTTCGTTCCTGCACAATGCGGGGCTAGAATAGTTGCCGAAGGTAGGTATCATTTTCAACCCTTTTGCAAGGAGTCTTCACAGATTCGTCCATCAACACAGAGCATCCGTCTTCTGGCGCCTTGAAAGTTTGCATTCAGAACTAGAAATCGGGGCAGCTGTCCTCAAAGCATAAGTTTACTAGCCATTGCCAGCAATGTGGCAACCCGACTCTTTCCTGAAGTCGTAAGAAGGCATAACAGTATGGCAGGAGATGCATTACTGACGTTTGGAGAAGCCGGGGCTACTAGAACAAGCCGGAGGTCATACTATCAGGCGGAAGTACATTCTGTGGATAATTGAGTGCCCGAGTAGTCAAACGCCAAGTTGGGCAATCTATCAAATTATTACATTAATATAAAGTTAATTCCTAAACGACCACCCTAAAACAGTGTGATTATCTAAATTGTAAGAGAAAGTCTGGAACTTTGTGCTTCTACTGCAGGTTAGAAGTCATAGACTGTAGTTCTACCCCCGTTTATCTTATTTGATTGCATTCAGTTTTAATCTTTTAGTTCCCTCAGGAAACTTGTGTGGTGTTCCGAATCCCCACCGGGTTCGTAGCTGTAAAGCAGTCTGGAAGGATACGGTAATAGCCTACAGCGGGTTGGAGGGCTATTAGCGTGGCCCGAAGTTCATGCTGTCGCGCAGAAGTACAACTTTCAAAGATTGAAGTGCTCACACATTCAAACCCACAAAGATTCTCGACCTTTGAGATTTTGTACTCATAACTCGGTTGGCAATTCCTAGATTTTAACTCGTTTAAGTGCGTGTCGGACATACTTCCCTACCTTGCATTTTCGGTACTAATGGAATCCTCGAAATGGTGTCACAGAACATATTACAGGACTCACCCGAAACACTAAAGTAACCTGCTCCAGAGACATGCCAGTCTTTTCTCTGCCGTTACGTAGCATACCCACCCCAACTTTCTGGAGGATGGAATATAACCTCTGGCAAATCCAAATGATGTCGGTTTCATGTATCTGCCTTAAACAGTTTGCCAGAATGTATTAATGCTCCTGTGATGACAAATTACTCGGATTAGGAACACACTAACTTTGCTACTCTAGTCTGACAATTTTAAGGACCTAAACACAAAAAGTAAGATCCATTAGTGCCCCTAAAATAATGACGCCGCACCTCAGTTAGGGAAGTATCCCACCCACCATGTTCTCGTGATAAGAGGAACATTGTGAATTAAAATCGGGAAAAACTATATTTATATAGTGTGGGCGCGCAGGGGAACGAAGATGCAGGCATCACCATCGTTGTCGTCAATATTATCATGGCCATCATCAACGGCCACATTACTATTTTACAAAGATAATATTGTTAATAATGAGGGTGTTAGATAAAAGCATGCAAAATTAAAGCGATGGCGTAACGGCGCTTATACTTTGTCACCAGGGCAGACGTGAGCTCGAGGGATCCGAAGACGGTGGCGCCGGGTGCACGGCGAAGGGCGAGGCAAAGGGGCCTCCAAACGCGCCCTTGTTGCCGTAAAAACTCATGAAGGACGCTAACATTGCCTCCATGAAAGTGGAGGAGGGCGCGGTGGGAGCGGAGAGCTGTGGCGCTGAGGCTGGGGATGACTTCCCCATTGGGATGTGCGACACAAAGGGTGGGCTCTGACTGCTCGAAGCGCCTGATCCTGGTGGCGATGCGGAGCCCAAGAACCCGCCGACCACTCGGCTTTGTTGGGAGTTGATAAAAGCCGCAAGCACCTGAGGAGGAGGCACACAGCCCGGTGGGAAAATACTCGGTGGGAGAGGAGAAGATGGCATGAATGCATGCGCAGAACTGGGAAACGATCGCGGTACTACCGAGGGCGCTGCGTTTATTGGTGGCGGTTGGGCGTTGCTCGCGTCCAAAATACAGATCCGAAGACGCCGTTCTGGCCACCGAAAAACTAGAGGGAGAACAACTTCATCGGGATACTGTAGAATTAAAAATTGGCGCTCAAGTTGTCCAAGGAAATCTTTTGGAAGGTAAATCTGTAGCCAGGGCCCGCGAGAAACGAAGGGTACGTCAGGTGAGACCATAGCACCCGTGACGCCGGGTGGGACGAGAGTGATGGCGTGCTCGGGGGAGTTGGCATTGAGGAAGGTGAAATGTCGGCCATGTTTGAGGCGGTCACAAATGGCCAGTGGGAGAAGTTCACCAGCCTCAATGGAAAAGTGCACATCAAGACAGTCAATGGCGCGCGAGGGGTGCATTTCCAGACTGGTAGGGGAGAGAGAGAGGTGAGCCAGAGGGGTGCAGGGAGCAGAGTCACCACACCCACCAACACCGCCACCAATCGATGAGCCGGGAGTGCCAGGCAGAGAGGAGGAGCCGCCCCCACCGCATCCGCCACCTGAGGCCATAAAACATCCTGGATTTGAGATGCTCCCAGTGGTAGTTCTTCGAAGACGCATTCCAGTGAGAAGATCCAACGGAGATGCTGATGAGTTGAGTGCGGTGTTGGTGGAGGCTACACCATTGCGGAAGGTATTGGCACCCTCCCTTTTCTCACCTGTAAAAACGCACTATGACGATTTATTGTGAATGCTTATCGTCCGAAGACTAGAAGTGTAGTGAGCATCCCCATATGAGGCTCAGCTCCTGTTCTATCTTCACATTAGAAAAGCTGCACCACTCTTATAGTTAGACGTATTGCAAGAAATCAATTAAATGAAAAGGGCAAGAATATATGAACTGCAAAATTATCAGTTAGTGTTTTTGTTTTAAAAAGGATCATAACATAATAGCTTATCAACTCAAAAAACATGAACTTCAGGCCAAGAAACTTAATGGGTTCACCAAACTTGCACTGACACCAATTGGAAGCAAAGAATGTGTGAATGAATTTACCATTTAAGTCAATTATAGTAAAGTTTTTCGCAGAGGTGAAGCTCAAAAAATGAAGGGTGAGGGAGATGCTGGAGAGAGAAGGAAGGAAAGGGGACGAAGATGGAAGGAACGAACAAAAGTACTTCTGTGTAACAAAAGAAGGGTCTAATATCTGTCAATTGTTGACTTTGCATGCATGAGCTACGGAGCTGTCGTCGCAACTGCTGCACCCTTTATGAATTCTGCATTTGGCATTTATGGGTGTGAACCATTGTGCACATTTAACTTTTCGTCTCGCGCAGCCTAAAATAAACCGGTAGATAATAGCAGGCCAAATTTTGCCTTGAGGAATGGGAGAGAAAAAATAATTAGCAATAATACAGTACAATCTTTGACATCCTAGCTCTGAATCAGGCGATTTCGAGTCAATAACTTGTAATGATCACAATGGTGCATGACTTTTGGGAAGAACATTATTTCGGTGAGACGAAGTACGTTCCTACAATTTGGGAGATAAAGTGATAGCTCAAAATACAATTAGGAAATATATGCTTTAATAGAACGTCGTTGGAGGTCCAGACGCGGGCAGAAAGACAACACGTGGAAAGGATGCTGTCTGATCAGTACCACAAAGTTGGAGTGTGGCTGTGTGGGCGGGCAGCCGGGAAGGGGAGGGGAGAGGGAGAAGCACGGCGGGCTATGGGTGATAAACTCGAGCACTCACAGAAAGCCCAATATTTGTGGGACGAGGGGAGAAGGGTAGTAAATAACCAATTGTGAGAGAGGAAGTGGCATAGCGGCCAGAGGGAGAAGAAGGCGCAAAAACAAGCTTCGCATGCAGGAAACTACCCTGAGAATTTTTGGCGGCAATAAAACGCGAAAAATTGCCATTGTGACAGGACAGGTATTGTTCAATACAACATAATTGTTATAAAACACAAACTCAATGCTTTTGGTTTAGGTTTTGCATCAAGTGCGGATCATAGGGAACCCAAACATTCCTCAATTTACGGCAGAGGTAGTGTTAGGCTAAACGACGTAGACAATCACAGTGGATGTTTTCAAAGGTAAATTACAAAATTGTTATGGACGATTGAAGAAACGGGCTTGAAGTGGATGCCTAACCCACATTTGTGATAGGAGATAGAGGCAACAGCGCAACAATACTAACTAGTGGGATTGCAAAAAAATCCTTGCCTGCGGACGCCGCCTGATGTTGTTGGCTTTCCTCAGCGGTAGTACTTCCCATCCCCATGTCGGGAATTTCCGTCACCGGTAACGTTGACTCGTTCTTTGCCGTTTTTGCCTTCGGAGGATCATTTGAACATACTGAACCATCGCCCACAACGTCGACGATTACCTATGCGAAGAAAAACAGGTTAGTTTCAGTCAACTTGAGAGCACTGCCGTTACACTTTTTTTTGCAAATTAATGTCAAGTACAGGCACCACCTATCAAATAACTGGCAACACCCCTTACAAGAATAAAAAAATGCATTCTTCTAAAATCATTATTACTAATGGAAGGATGGCTGTGTATCTAACCCTTGGAAGTTGCCAAGTAAAGGCGTTGCAAAGAAACTAACATCTTCGTCCGCCTTAATGCTGGCAGGTATATGTGTGACGACGGAAGAGGGAGCTTTGTGCAGAGTGGTGACAGAACCACTGTCATCGGTCTCCATGGCGACGGCGCAATTTCTCTGAGAGGCAACGGCGGTGGTAGCAGCAGTGGCCTCGGTCTCACCGGGCAGCAGTTCAGCAAGTTGAAGGGGATCAATGGCGGCCCAGGCAAAGAACTGCGTGGTCACTCCGGAGAGGTTGGAGCCCTCGCGACGCATGCGCTCATTAATGTAATCGGCCAAACCGGGCTCCAGCTCGAAGATGCTCTGCTCCCGCCACAGGTCCGTCACTAGCAGGCCACCGCCGGTGGTACCCTGCTGTCGCAAAATATCTGCCACCTGACCGCCTGTCCAGCGCTGTACTAGACGCAACTCCTCATCACACAGACCCACAATCTAGTATGAAGAAGGAAAGAACGGTCAAATAAAATTCGACCACCCGTTGCACCTCATTACAACCCATCTCACTTTGTTGCGGCAAAGCTCTTGAGGAACCGCGTTTGCGCAACGGTGAGCGCACCTACCTTGGAAAGGGACCATTCAAACACTGCACCAGCCGCATTGCAAAAATTGTTTGCAGAGGAACTCGAATCGCTATGCTATGACTTGAATAGCTAATATGAATTCAAAGGAAGCTCTTTAGGGACTGAAGAAGTTGAACCATTTTGCATTTTCCGTTCCGCAAAATGCGCATAGCTAACCATAAACACCTCAGATGGCACTAAAGAAAACCCAGAAAGTATATGTACGTTCAAAGGCGAATTCATATGAAAATACGTGGCATTTCAGAGTGTAAGCATGCTTTTTGGATAAAGTATTGAAATCACATAAAAATGCCCCGCCCTACAGTACAGCGTTACGTACAAGTCGATTGGCTGTTAAATATATGAAAAAATGGGGTAGTTATTGGATCTAGCTCCTTACTAAGGAAAACTGATCAAAGGCTTCGGAATATTACTTATGGGCTGAATTCCATGTATAAAGTAATTTTATTAAAACTTCAATGCCGGTCCAGTAACAATGAAATATCGCGGCAAATCTTGGGCCATACAGGATTGTAGTGCAACATAAGCCCACCTAAAATTGAACTGGTGAGCAATCCAATGAGAGGAACAGATACGGAAGGCACCCTACATTCAATACGAAGAATACCAACACAGTAAGCGCTTATAATCGTATCCACTGAGATTTCCGCAATATTTTGGCATGTTACAGCAATTGAAACAGGCTTGTTTTACCGATGTTGCGGATATTCATCAAGGCGACTTCACTGACCACAAATGGACCAAAGTAAATCAAAAGGAGTAACCGCTACAGGCGAGTAATGACCCACTGTCCGAACGAGAGATATCAAGGGGATATGAAGAAAAGGGATTGGTCAACGATTAAGGAGCACACCTGCAGAACGGTAGCAGAGGCAGCAGTAGCTCTGGTAGGGGGAGGTCTTGTGCGTACCCGCTGTGAGCCCAACCGTGCTTACAGAAGGTGGAGCACACACACACACACACACACACAATCTGGGGTGGCCTTAGCATCGTGTGTGTGCTTACAAAGCTGAATGGCTACACGCACACTACCAACTCGCCTAGCTATCTAGTCGTGTGGATGGATGGGTGGGCGGGTAGCTGGTTGGATAAATGAATGAGCAGAGGGGTGAGAGATGAGGTGGTAGGGCTGAATGAGGACCACCAGGTATGAGACTAAGTTCGCTTTTGTCTCATGATAAAGAATAGAAAAATTAATTGTAGTTCTGATTTACTTATAGTTAATTGTGCCATGACTACGTTAAATGATAGGATTCCATGAAGTCAGCCCCGACAGAAATCCTCTAAGTAGTTGCCATTTCGCCAAGTTAAGTACGTTTTCAAAAGTACGACGGGAATAATTAACGCCTCCAAATAATATTTCATGAGATCAGAGTATAAATTGGGAGCGGACTTTAAAATTCTTCAGGATTGACACCTCTTGGATCATGAAATAGCATCATACCTCTAGCAAACACCACATTATTAAAAAAAAAGAATAAGATCAACGCCTTTGCAATGTGGGACAAAGTACACATTTTCCACCACGTTTGAAAATAGAACTTCATTAGACTCGAGAGTTGAGGGAATACTGGCTCGGGGTGATGAATAGCTCACCATTTGAGACTTGAAATGGGCACCAAAGATATTTGACACTTACATAAGTAGTAGGAATAAAACACTAAATGCTGGTATTCATTCTTTGGGTTGTGTAATTAGGACATCACAAACCATACTATCATCAACGGTAAGTAATACAACAGAAAACGGTTTAAACTATGTAATCCCTAGGCCAAACCCAAAATTACTGCATTACGCATTGGCTTTAATATTTAATGTTTTTCTGCATTAAGTGAACCACTCCTGAGGAAATATTAGAATTCAACATCAAACCATTCCTTTTCATGAAGCAAAGCGATTAGATTTTACTAAAACAGTCATCTCGATGAATTCACAATGCGAAAAGGTGATTAGTCACATCTTTAAAAATGCAGCAAGATGAGATCTCTGTCCCAGTGTTTAAAAGCCAAAATTCATGTGACAGTTTGGTATTATGAAACCCGGAACGTCATAGTGGGTTGCCACTGTAGCATGCAATGGTTAAGACGTTGTTGTCAAAACAGAAGGAAACGGAAGATAGCGTCCAAAAAGCCTCACTCTCGAGGGAAATCGCAACATTAAAGAGGGTGACAATGACGATTCTTTTTCAAAAGAAATCGTAGCGGAACTAGATGCCTACCTGAGCGCTCGCATCTTAGTTGGATGGGGCCTAATGAAGGTAGGCAAAGTAGTGGTATCATTGCTGCTACTGATGCAACTGTTATTGAGACCAAAAAACGAACAGCAACAGTTATGAAAGCAAGGAACGAGCTGATAAACGATGTAAGCAGAGAAGTGCGCAAAATTCCAACAAAAATGGGGGCTGACACCCATCAACCAACCTCACTAGGTATTTTACGACAACGGCGCCTGTAAATATGTTTCAAGCATCACTAGCAAATCCTTCAATATCGAAGCGGTATTCTGTGTTCTCAAGCAGTCACATCACCAGAAGGTGTTGAATTAAGCATCGGTGCTTCTGATGGGTGAAGCAATATGTTCCGAGTACCTGGCTTTGAAAATGGAGTAAGAAAGCTAAAAATCAACACTACAACCGAATGGAAAGGACACCTTGTTGTGGCCACTTAGGCTAAAATTCACCAGGTGGACTTGACGTGCTCAAAAGAATATGGTTGAATAATGAAGACATAGAGAAATTAGAGTACAATTTTCTGTGGGGATGATTATGCTACTCGGTTTTAATCAAGATGTGAGGAAAACACATTTGCTCTTGTAGGAATTCAGTCGTATGCAAAGAATTACCCATGACTTCAAAAATAAACGAAATTATTGTGCAGACTAACACCACGGGCAGAGCAAGAAATTATACCAGGAGCAATTGTGACAGGCTATACTTTCATTTCAGCCTAATGGTAAGACGGATGAAGGACCTTAAAAACTTATTCGAGTCACTGCGATTAGTAGTGGTGAGAATGGCGCCAGAATATATTATTTAGTAATCCCTACCGGTAGAGCTCTATTCTTATTCAGCACCACCAGAATGAGAGCTGTTTTTAGAGAGAAAAAAATGAACCAAATAATCCAACCATTAAGACCCTGCACCACCAATCAATCGAAGCGTAGAGCGCCGATTGAGGCCAACTCAGAGGAAAGTTACATGCGACACTAAGGTCGCTGACATCATGTTTTCCTTTTGCTCCGCCTACAGGGCCAGGAACTCAACTGTGCATGGTGGTCTGTACTCATTGGCCACCGCTTGGGTTACAAAAGGGGAAAGGGGGAAGGTGCGACTGGCCAAAGAAGGGAGGAGTTTGGATAGGTAGGATGCCTAAGGAGATTATTTGATTACCCAAAGCTATGAGTACCCACCGCAGCGGCGAGTGCATGCATCATCCGGGTGGTCTAGCTGAGCTTTCTTCGAGGTGAACAAGAAAGCGGTGGGGGAAAGCATGTGTGGGTACACGCGAGCAAGCAAGCGACTTTTTCAGCCTCACGACGTCGCGGTAGATCGCGACAGCGGCGGCGGGCAGACGAAGAGCTCTTTTAATAGGCTCCTTTTGCCCTCCACTCTTCCATTACCATTGCCGCCGCCGCGATTGTGCGCATAATCAAAGTGCTCATCGCACAAGATGGAGGGCGTTCCGCTCCGAAGCGCGTTTGGAGAGAAGGGAGGTTGTAAAAGAGCAATACAATTGGGTGTGGCGTGCCTGTGCCCTCTACGTCGAACAGGTGCCTCGACTCTCATACGCCATCTTCTATATGACAGTAATAATGACGTCTACATTCCAGCGCCATTTTCGCCTTGACAGAACGATACAAAGTTTGCCAGTTGAATAACAAGTTTTTGAGACATGTGGGCAATAAAGGCCCTTGTCTTATGAAACACGATTCAAAGGAGCCGGATAGATTGGATGTGCCATTTTTCATGGTCAAATTTTCAGATATTTACGACTGTGACCATTTTCATCAGAACGAGGCCTAGACCGCTTACATGGACGGTCAATTTACAGTAAAAATATGGATAGAAAAGTTAGAAAGAATGATTAGGGGCAACATCCTTGGAAGTTAGAGGCCAAAATGGTTACAAATCGTAAGTGTCGGTCTACATTGCTACATCCCACGAGTTGTTATACTATCAAATTTGACTGCTGGATGAGTGAAATCTTTCCTACTGAGGGGACCGATAGAAAAGTAAAAAAGCAGCCACTGGGAGTTCGACCGCGATTTTTGCAGTTCACCTGCTACTGAGCATCACTATTCCGATTCAATTAGGGTGCAAAAAGCAGTCAAACAGCACTTTAGAGATTCCACACAGGCCTTTGTTTTCTCCCTAAGCGTACATACACCGCTACCACCCATGGGGGTAGAAAAAGTTGATTGAGACCAACCCACCTAGAGAGCCATTTTTTAACAAACAATTTGGGATGACTATTAAACAACCCAGGAAATTAACTGCGTTGCCCCACCCCATCCCATCAAACCCAACCCAACCCTGCTTGGTCTAGGCCAGCCAGCAGTCAGTCTTCATCGGAATCAGCCTCGAGGGCCACCCACAGGCATGCGCAGGCACGATGATTGAAGGCAGCGTGAGAGAGACCTTGAGCACAAGTTGAACGGGGGTGACGACCACCCACTTACCCACACTCAAACACACGGACAGTCAGACAGGCAGGCACTGTCGCCGCTACTCCATCCGCCACCAGCGCTGTTGCTGCCGCTGTTTTTCCCGGACTCGGAACCGGCAGCACCAGTAGGTGCGCTGGCTCCTTCAAGGTATGGCGTGCTGAGATTCACAAGTGGAAACACAGTACGTGTATTGGCGGTATGTGGGTGAACAACTTGTACGGGAGGACCACTAGAGCTGTTTGTAGCGGTTAGCAGCAGCAGTAGTCCGCCTATCCATGTGCTTCAGTTGGAGAAAATTTTCATGATTGAGTCCCAAGACCATCAGCCCTTCACCCCCGTATACATACATATTCACGCAACGCATGGCCGGAAGTCGATGCTTTTGACTAACAGTAATAGGTAATGGAGGACGCAGCGTCCCATCCCTTCCAATTTTCCTGACACGAAGCCCAGTAACAGCAGCAGCAAAAAAAACCAGTATATATGCCACGACAACCGGTGGGCGATTGCGCGCGTGTATGTAAAGGGTATGTGGTGGCTTGCAGGGCAGCTCAGATGGGCAGGTAGAAGTGTGCACACACACAAGAGAGGGCCACACACGAGGGTGGGTGCATACAAATGGGACCACCATGGACGCCATCGCGGGTAGGTGGGTTCACCGCGGAAAGAGAGCAAGAGCGCTACAAAACTGCGACAGAACTCGAACCTACCGATCTAGGCGGAGTGGATGAATTCCCCCCCTACCGGTGCTCAAGTCCGAATGCAGCAGGATCGGCAATTTGTTCGCTTCAGCACATCAGCAAGTGTAAAGGTTCACAACTGACTTCTTATTAAACATTTGCAGCCATTACAATTCGAACTGGTATGGAATATATATGAAACTGAGTGAAAATAATACACCTTCACCAATGCTGCACGAAGTGGAAACTATGGGCACTTCAAACCTTGGTGCCATGTTCAGCTAGACAATGGATTGACGATAGGCGTTCCTGACTGAATGCAGGTAACGCTATACCTCAATCAAGCATTACGTCAATTGTCACTGCGTCTAAAACCTGCTTGTTTATGAAAAAAAAGTGGTAATAACTGGAATTATGAACAGTGAACAGTAGATGAATGTCACCGAACAGAACTTTAACCAAATTTTCTGGTACAAAAAAACAATCTTCTTCAAATGAGTTTACAAGACAACCCCATTTAATAATTTCAATGAAGTGATGTGCAATTTCAAATAATAACTCAAGGCATACGAGAATCATACAAACGATATTTCATTCCATTTGTCACACTAAAAGCTTTATTGCCATTAATACCTATCTTCTGAAAAAGACACCGGATTGGGATCGGCTTATTGATGCAATTGGTTCAGGAAGCGCGGTCTGGTACAATTCAAATGGGCAATATTGACCCCATTAAAGAGTTCTTGGGTTCAAAAACATGCATATTAGACGGGTGAAGACATCGAATTCTGGATGCATACGTGCGAGGCGCAACGACGTCAGCCCGTATTCCTCAACCCAAGCCAGGAGGCTCAGTTTGATGTTGTTGATTTTAATGGGAAACCCGGTAGTTCTTGAACAACACTTTCTGGTGAAGATATCAAAGGACCTAGCAAATATCAAATGAAAGTAGGCATAATGGCAGGTTTTGGGTGCACGTAAAGGTCAGGAGTCCAACATTTTCTGGTGCAATCGCACTAATAGCAAGTGCGCCTTAAAATCACGTTTTATTGGGAGCGGTTTTACCAAAAAGAATAACACTCAGCTTATGAAATCGAGAACGTAAAAGTTGCTAATCATTTTGAAACATAAGTTGCACCAAATAATTCCGATTATGTTCAATACATACGTCTTCCTTTTAAGGCCTATCAAGTAGAAATAAACCTCATCCACAGCGCTTTTCCACTTAAAAAAATTCGAGCGTCAGAACTCAAATGTATACATATGAACAGTCCTAAGAGTAGTTATCAATAGCGGGGCCAGTAGTTAAGTAAGTGACCAGCAGATTCATACATTCTTGTGGTGATAAAGAAGCTGTCTTGAATGGCCTCAGAAGCAGGCACACTCAGGGCAAATTGAGCAGCTGGCAAAGCATAGGACGAGGAGTCATCGCTCTTACATAAATTTAGAGGTACCATAAACAAGCCGGTGAAATCAGCCTGTGAGACAACATCTCAAAGTGGTAGCCTCTTTAAATATGTACGAGGCTCTAGAGAACACTTCAAGTTTCCCCTAAAAGAGATTTCCGTTTGAGGGGAAACGCTAGACAGGAAGGAAGAGTGACAACATGATGAGTGTAGACCTACGTTCAGAAAATCGGTAGTCTGAAACCAAGGCCTTGGAAAATTTTCCCACTCACTTAGACGTCTCGAACAAAAGCGTCGTTTTGTGTCAAAATCTGCAAACGTTTTTTACTTTTTTAAACCGTGTGCATGTGAATAAGAAAAGCGCAACAGGCACTATTGTTTAATGACAGGATATAGTTCATTAGAAAGCATAATAACGGATTTTACACACGCAGCACAAAGCTGCAAAGGGCACTAAAATGGGAACATTGGGAACACGTAGTGTGGATTACCACATCGACAAAAGCATGCCTAAAATGCGTGAAGAAAAAACCAAAGTAAAATGTAGAAACCCAAAACAACTAAAGTGCGCTATGCCGTCAGAACACCGAAGAAATTGATAAAAGACCAAGGTACTACCATGATGACACTACTACGAAATCAACCAAAAGTACTACCCATAAGAAGGAATTGGTGATAAAACAGCGCTAACCTGATGCACACCTTCCAGACCATCATCAATGCCACACACAATGAAAACAAATTACCGAGACAACGGTAAATAAACTAAGATCAGTGCTTTTAAGACGCTATTCTGGCAGTAGATGTCTCATAATTTCTTTGCATCTGCAAATTCGAGTGCGGATCATAGATTATGAGGATGAAAAGGGACTATCAAGGGGATTTTGTTATGTTTTGACATTTCATACAGGATGTCTGAACACAAATTTCAAAGAAAAATATAATTTGATGAGGGAATATTCTGTAAAAATGGGAAGTTTTGAGTAGAGAACCGAATGAGGTTAACGGAATGATTAACGGCATAAATGCTCTGCCATCAGTGGCGTAGAAAACGCCAAAAATGTCATCAGGGGGAGGCGTCAGAGGAAGGCAACGACAGAACCGTAAGGGGAGAGACATAAAATCCAAGCCGAGCAATAAATTTTTTTCGAAAAACCCTAATTTACTCCAAAAAAAGTCGCCCGAACACGCATTTGACCCCAAGATGACACGCACTGATAAGCGCGGCCTAAAACCCTCTTGTTGGGGGTAGAACAAATTAACCTCTTGCAGTCGTAAAAGTCCAGACCCAGCAACCGTACCAAAGCCAAACGAGGTGAGCAGCTGCTGCAGCCTGTCACTTGCCAAGGACCTACCTTCCATTCTTTTTTCAAACCAACGCGGTCCGATTCCAAAGACACTTTTAGCACTGCTTTTTAACACAAAGAACGTGCTAGGTAGAAAAGTAGAAGGGGATTTGATACAATGGATTATGCATATATATATATATATAACTGGGGTGCACAACGAAAAGCAGCGGCCGATAGTCGATAGAAAACTCGCATACACAAACGATGACTCATCAGAGTCGGCCACGAAGACAATGCCACATTCACACACTGCGAGAGCTAGAAACACCAACTGCGATGAAAAGAGCGAGGTGTCGAATTATCAGGCACTGCAAATACTCACTTGGAGGAAGCAGACCCAGCCGTAGGGCGTGTTAATTTTTGCCAACTGAGGGTCATCTACCAACAGCATGTGTCGGATCCTGGAGACCTCGAGCGCAGGGACTGCGGTAGGTGGTGTCGCCGCCTTCTGCTGTTTGTTCTGCATGCGCCTGGAATACTCTGCCTGAGCTGCGGATACTGCGGCAGCAAGGGCGGATGAATAAGTGGCCGGGTCTATAGGTTCTCCACCCTGATTAGTTGTCTGTGCCGCTATCAAGGAGGCCGCTGCTGCTACCGCTGCCATAGCCACTGATTGCTGCTGCTGTTGGGCCATTGAGGATTTGGGCGGCTGAGGAGCAGAAGAGCCGGGAATGTCGTTGGCAGAAGCAGAGGGAAGCTGGTCGAGGGGACAGTGCCAAGGGATGTGATCCCCAGGCAGCAGCTGAGCCTGCGAGCGAAAGACATAGCGCGCTAGACTCTGCAGTAGGTGCGCAGGCCATGTCGGTGGACTCTTCTCCCCAGGCTCCCGACGAAGGCGAAAGGTTAATTCAAAACCGAAACCACTAGGACCGTCCGCTGAGGTGGAACAACTAGCAAAATGTAGCATACATACATACATAGAAGCCCAATAACTTTCGAATAGAATATTGTTGAAAATCATTAGCCCACGAACAATTGATCGCTTATTATTTCGGTGGTATCTTAAACCACTTAGGTGCTTCAAAATTTCAATGGCATTTCAAGTAAGAAAACAGCGAGTCGTAAGTACAACAAAATCGCTAAGAGGATCAGGTGTATAACTGTGGGCCTTAAAAAAATCAGTTTGCATCTGTCTCTGAAGCTGATAGTAAAGGAACATCTTATCACAGAATGAGTGACACTTATCACCCTAATTAAAAAACTTGACGCAATGAGTAGGTGCTTAAAAACGACGTTACGCGCATCTGCCCTATCCCGTCATCATCAGGCACATCCCATGAATTAAGATATTTTCATGAAACAAAACCTCAAAAATTGGCATCAATCACTAAAAAAAACTAGGAAACGCATAAAAGTGCCACCTAAAAGAAGTTTCTGGGTCCTGGAATTATCAGCAACACAAGTACCCAAGAAAAGAAGAATCACATTCGGCTAGGCTAAAAAATCGGTTGGCAGAACCTTGGTAGATATCCCGACGTTTTCCACACAGGCGATCATGGAAATGAGCGCATGCAGAATGTGTGAGATATTTAGATAATTAAGAGAGCAATGAGAACATCCTCAAAAGCCAGAGGGAAATGGCAAACCCAGTTCAACCAAACTCCTGGTTCACACACAATAGGCATATTCCATAAATCAGGGGTAAAAAATTCAATCTTCTAAGGAATGCCTAACATTCGTAGAAGCAGAACCGTTCTGATTTCCATGCTAGTGTTCAGCATTTACACGACAAAAGAAAACATGGTTTTCTCTGGACTCGAATCCAAGAAAAAGTCATATGAGTTGGACTAGAAATATCAAATGACGAAAATAGTATTAAAGTGCTACAAAAATATTCCGCAAAGTGAACAAGAAGGTTTAGCTGTGCCTTGTATGGCTGAGGAGAGTCCTTTGGCATCGACGGCTTTCCTTTGGTGTCAAGTACTTCGCGGTGAGTTTCCCAGTTGCCGGGCCTGAAGAATAGTCGATAGCCTGCGACAAAGAGCATCTGATATGGCGCAGATGCGAAAAAAAGTGATGAAAGGCAGCTGAAAGACAGTGCGAAAGGAACGTCAGCCGATACGCGTGCACATACACGCGCAGTCTTGCGCAGGCATTAGTAGAGGAGAGGGAGGAGGAAAGGTGCTACGATGGGTGGGACGAAAACCTGTCCAACTGACCAACTGGCTGGCCGACCGCTTGGGCAAGTATGCCGACACCTCTACATTCATTGCTGATGGGCAAAATCTGAGTCATACACACAGGCACATGGTACAACTTCGCATTCCTCCATCATTGATGGGAAAATCTTCCGGGCGGTTCACTTCGTGTATGTAGAACAGATAGACAATATTCATACCAAAATGACAAATTGGTTGGTACAGTTTCTAGGCCCCCCACCTGCAGAAAGCGACCACACGTTACTAACAGATACGCGGTGCACTACTACAACCTGGCAACAATGGCCATTGGTGCTCCGTCAGTAAATCAGAGGCAAGAGGCAAAGGTGTGCCGCATACCTGAGCAAGGGCCAAACAATGATAAAGCAAAGAGTGGACGTAACGACATGAAGTCCCCAAAAGCACGTCGAAATAATGGATTAAACCAATTTATGGTGGTAATGATTAACACTAGTATCACATAGGAAAGTGGGCTGGAAGTAAAAACCACCGTGGTGGGGCGAAGAGATTGGTGGAGAACACTACTGCGTAAGACGACTTGAACTACTGTGTGTGGCCAGTCGACTGCACAAGAAAACGGAAATCTAAAGTGTTCTGAGCCAAATTTTTCACGCAGTTTTTGGTTACTGAATAAACAATAATAAAGGACAATTGGTTGGGGGGGGGGGGTTAAACGTCTGAAAGTAACCAATTTACTAACAAAGAATAGGTGATTTTGGCAGTGGTAACAGAAAACATGAGATGTGGTTCGAAGGATAGAATCAAGTCATTTGTCGCCATACGTGGGTTAAATGAATCGCATGAAAGTGCTGCGAGATCAAGTAACCGAGATGAAGCGCACACGCGATCACCTTGATTGACTGTGCACAATGCGCCTAATCGGCAAATCCAATCGTCAACCACAGTTCCAACTACGTCGTGCATAAAGGAGACGTCTATAGGCGTACCTTATCATTTCGCTAGCACGGGATGCAGCGGCACTCGAGATTCCTTGAATTCTTGGAAGTCACAAAGGAATCCAAAACGCCGCTTGAGGCAACAGTCAAGAATAATCTCATTATTAGAATAAGCAAATCCCATCGTATTACAACAAGCATACTTCATATTTCTAGATTTCATATTATCAGCGGTAAATGTTATTGGAAAATACATATTAGTGGGCCACTTATAATTCAGAGGGGAGTGATAAGGTAGATGATGTATAAAAAAAGGAATGCACTAAAAGTTTAATAGTGGTAGAGCGACAGATGAGAGACAAACGAAACATTGCCAAGCCTTTATTGACCAATTATATGACAAAAAACGTTACTGAGTAAAGGGACAATGAAGACGCTGCCGAAAGCTACTTTTAAGTGACACACAGGTAACCCGAGTGAGAGATAAACCCTCGTTCACAAGCACGATGTTAAAACGGGTTCAAATTAATTAAAAAACACAAGAAACTTACTTGTGCAACCTTGCGTCTCCATAAAGATCAGAGAGACCATTGGTTACATAGTGCCAGTGAGGTGGACTACGAGCTTCAGCTAAACCAGGATTGGAAAACATGTAGATGTAGTCTAGGGGGTCCGGACCTCCCATCCAAAACTTCCGTAGAGCTGTAACCTGGAGAGGACTCGGTTGATCGGGGTAGAGGCGATAGCAGGCCCGATAGATAGCTTGCAACCCGAGACCCATGTCAGCAGCAGCCGGTGTGTGTGGGCTACCGATGGCACTGTCTACGGGACGAGGGGGCGGCCGACCACTTTTGACCGACATTATCTCCACAGGACTCAATTCTCAGTGTAAGGCAGAGCGCACGTATGCCAAAAAGGAAATGTACCGAGCCTGCGAGCCATGTCGGCCTAAACAAACCAATTGAAACTGTACATAACTGTGATTGGTTAGGGGTGGCAGACCGAAACGGATGATGGAAAACAGGTGACCAATGAAAAGGGAGCATTAGTATCCAGCTCAGCATGCTTCAGCCAATTAAAAAACTAGGGAATGAAAGGGGCTATGAAGACAATTGTTCCGTTCGTAAAGCAAATTGTCGACTAATAAAATATAAGTAGAAAACTTGTGTAAAGTACAAAACGCAAAACCTAAAGTTTATTCCTCATGGGAGTAACCCTCTGGCACTAGGGTCCCATTATTCCTTTAAATAGCATACGGAACTGCAGAGACTCAACTGTAACACGGTTTCCTACATCCAATACAAAGACTAACTCACCGATGATTACATTAACAAAATTAGCAAAATTATGAAACATGGATTTGCACTTCCCCATGAGGAGCCTGGAGCACTAAGACTCGTCAGGTGGATGTAATTACTAGGACCACTATTGATGAAGAATCAACCTAATAGCGGGTCAAAACAAAAAATGTGACCTATAATAGAGCTGTTGTTAAAAGATGTAGCACGGCCTCATCAAAGGTTAAAACGAGGGATTCTAAGTGTTCAGAAAATCGTCGAAAAATAACACTGGGGGGTTAAAAGTGGTAGGTCATGCATCAAAGGAGAGCCTAGTGGGTTCACGGTCACTACCTAAAGTAGGCTACATAAAAATTATTTGTGAGGCGTCGCGATAAAGCTGCCCCAACACATCGTTGACGACGAAAGTTAGTCAATCCCACACAAGAAACCAGAACAGTAGTCTCGACACTACTTTCGCCAAGGCACCCCGAGAGAATTGACCTTGGGAATAAGACTTCAATCAAACTCACAACCTGTGAAGCATGGATTTACTGGAGGCATAAATACAAGGCGGGACCCTAATTACTTAACAGTTCTAGGACTACACAAACACTTTTGAAGGAGTTTACCATTTTTCGCTACAATACACTAGGAGTAATTCTTATCTATAGCCTCAAGCTATTTTGAAAATGACAACGAGGTAGACATTGATAGGTTATGCTAACAGTCCGTTGTGTACAAATCATTACGTTGCCACTGATGCAGAAAATACCCACAAAGTCCTAAATGGAAAGCGCATATAAGAACACAATCTCCACACTTTTGTAAATGCGAACCAGTCGACACCAAACATACTGTATTGTTCATTCAAAACACACTGCATGGGCTGAATACAAACGGTGAACAAACGAGACAGCCACGTCGCTCAACTGTTACTGCGCACCGGAGCCAGGCAAGGGAGGCCTGGCGCAGTTCACACATTGTTTAGGGGTTTTCATCATGCAGAGCACGACACACTAGGATCAATCACTGTGTGGGACGCTGGGTATCACAAATCCATTCGTTTGCACGGAGAAGTAAAGTTGAGTTAGTAACACCATTAATCTGAGTCTCAGTTGATGGTGATTAAACTTTCCAGTCTTAAAGCGCAAAGCTGCAAACCAAATTCCAAGAAGCAGATTCCTTTTTACAAAGACAACCACGATTATCTCTTCCCGAAAAGGAACTGGACCAGTAACTTACTGAGTTGATACATTGCCAAAAAGTGAAAAAAAAACGTTGAAACAAGACCTGAAACCCCATAAGTCCCGGACTCCGGAAACTTACTAGCACAACCCTCTAAATAGTTAAGAGCAAAGTCATATTCAAGTGGGTTGTAAAAGTACAGTACAACTAAAGTCTAGCTTTTGTTTCGGAGAATGACATCCAATTAATTTGAAGTGATAAATAGTCCAATTTCTCCTCGAATACATGAATAGGTGACTACTTTCGAACAGCAAATTACTCCCATATGGCCCAAATGAATTAAAAATCTGGTTATTCAGGGATGGAGAATATCATATCACGTCTTGCTTTCATCCATTGTGCACTTCAAACCACGAACACTCGTCCAGGGGTCGAAAAAGCTATTTTCCAACACAAAAGATGACACGTGCATACATTCACTTCGGTAAAAGAGAACATGCAGAAAAATAAAGCGGCGTGGATGAGTTTTCGAGAATATGTATATTTGCTTCTTCGAAGTTCAACACCAATGAAATGATATCACGCGCACGCCCAAGGAGAAAAGGCGCATCTCAGTCAACTTCGTCGACATGCATAGCATTTGAAGAGGAGGAGGACTGTCCGGGGCCAGTCGCACCATTGCCATCCAAAAGGTCGCCATCATCTCCGAGCATTCGCACAAGGTTTGACAGAATCCCACTAAAGGGGTCGTTCTGGCGCTGGGCTCCAAAATAAACTTGACTGATCTTCTCAATGTACTCAGTGTAACTGGGGTCGCGCATGAGTTGAGGGCGATATTGAGCACAGAGAAATGCAAAAATATCATAAGTATGTTTTCTCTCTATAGCAAGCATCAACAGCCATACGAAATTGAGCAGAGGAAAGTGAATAAAAGGCGGTCCGGCTTCGAGCCTAGGATGATGGCGAGTGTATGTGTGGAAAGTAAGAGCAGCCAGTGAAGTTTTCTTCACGCAAAGAAACTGAAGCACAGCCTGAGCCACGAAAAGGTCTATTTCAGAGACAAGACCGTAGCGCTGGTGCATCTCAATGAGGAAACATCCCACCTTATAACCATCCCCAGCTAGCATGATACGACTTCGAGCTTGAGGCAAGGCGCCTTCTACAAAGAGCTGTCGACCAAGGAATTCATTAAAAGCACACAAAATGCCTTCGTTCTTCGAGAAAAGTGAGAGGCACTTTGAAATAAACTTGCCCCGATCCACGCAAGATGACGGCATAGCAGACACAAATTTGCACAAATCACGCAAATTGGCATCCGTAATCTCACGATTGCTCTTGATAAGAACGTCTACATAGAGGCAAGCCAAGTCACTGCCGCTCTCCCATTGGTGATTTTCAAGGAAGAAGTTGACACCTTTTAATAGACATTCAAGTGATTCAGTGTAATTTTTTCGTAATGAACACCGAAAATACACAGTTTTATAGAGCTGATGCGCCTCATAAAATCGTTTTTCCTCTTGAGCAGTCTGTATTCGTTGATAGAGTTTCGAATTCATCGGAGTAGCTTCCTAACTGAAATAGGGAAAAGAAACTTCGTGACCCCTGAAAAGTTTGGTCGTGCCGAAGCATGATTTTAAACCAGGATAAAACAAATAACCCGAGAGTAGGCCTGTACCTAAATAAATAAGTATTGTAATAAGAGTAAGTGGGAAAGAAACGATCACTTTGTATTCCTCAAAAAATTGGTAAAAATGGGTCAAGTACAGATAAAATAACAAAAGTTTACCAACCGATCAACACGTGTGAAGCCCACCAGACATTTTTTGACCAGAAAACTATTGAAACGTGAATAAATGCTAGTGTGGTTGTAAATGTACAAAATCGGGAAGTGAATGAACAGAGTAAATTGAAAGCGAAGTATCGGACAAACGAGCTTACTTAAGTACAATTCAGAGATATACAACATAATAGGAAACTGTATTAGCTAGGTTTAGGGAAAGGTTCACAAGCAACAGACAAGTTCATGAATAACTAGCGATATAACTTAGGTTAAATAAAACACTCGTACCTAAAAATAACACCAGATTATTTTGAATGGAGGGATTTGACGCACTGTGATCGATAGAAAGACACATGTTCTAAGATGATTTAGGCAATTCCTACCGAATAAAATACGGAGTCATTAAGCGAATAAAAAATTAAGCACTGATGCCTCAAAACTCTATTGGATGACCATTATCGGGGACGAAGTTAGACATTAGGAAAAATACGCACACTGCCTTAGGAATACGAAGAAGAACAATAAGGAAACATTATCCATCATACAATACGCAGGCCAAACCCCGATGGGCTCTAGAACATACCACTAGATAACAAAAAGCCACAAGGGCGGAAAGGTACAGCGAAATATATTATAGGCTGATTTGCTCTCAAGGTACCTGAAAGCAAAATTGTAGTTGCTACGCAAAGTCTAGATATTCTTTGAAAAATATCCAATACCTGCGCCTGTAATTTTCACTTATGTCCATTCTTGCCTAGTGAATCTAACCTAGGATTATTTATATTATTTATATTATTGTGTTTGACAAAACATGGGTATGCTCTTGGAATTACAGCCCACAGTTGTATTTGAATTTTCATGGCGTTAACCAAATTTTGCTCGTTTTTGTTGTTTTGCTGCTTTTTGATTTTGCTTTTGCTGCGCACTTGTGTGATCTTCCATTTAAGAACAGATGTTACTTATGAAATCTATTTTTCGCTAGCTTTGCATATTCTGTCATTACCTACATCCAGTTGTCGACATGTAGACCTCGTGTTTAACTAAATTCATTGACCCCAGGGTTTTCCAGTCTGCTTGCTGGTAGTTTTGCGCTAGTGTTTTTGATGTGGTTTTGCAGGTTTTTCGCAGTCAAGCTATGTATGACGTACCCCTGCCTGCACGATATTTAGTATCACGAAACTTAGGGCGCTTTTTGATTAGAAATCCCTGTCGTGTAGCTACTTACTTGGCACTGCACTCTGAGTCGATGAATTCCTTTCGTTAATCGGGGTGAGAACTCATGAATCTCGTTTACTGAAACCAACTGATTCTGAGCACATAAGTATGGACCTCTGTTAATTTTTGGTGATTTACGAAATCTTGGTGCCATTTGAGTCGTGCATGCCTCATTTATAGTCCACTCCTGTAAATTTACCAGTATATTGTTGTCCCTATTGCCTGTCATTATTTACACCTTATTATAGTGCATAAATACTGGCCTGTAGAGGTGGATGCTCAATTTTGCGAATTCTATGCTACTTACGCTATTTTAGATTCATGCCAAGATACGGACAATTAGTGATAGGGCCTGCGGGATGTGGTAAGTCGACGTACTGCGCCACCATTCAGAGGCACTGCGAAACTGTTCGACGACCCTGTCGAGTGGTCAACCTTGATCCTGCAGCTGAATATTTCGGGTACATTCCGTCGGCCGACATTCGCGACCTCATCCAAGTAGAACACGCAATCAACGTTGCACAATTTGTGGGAAAGCTGATGCATTGCATCTTCTCCTCATTTATAGGTCGATGATACAATGCAAGATGACGAACTCGGTCTGGGACCTAACGGTGGCCTCATTTTCTGCATGGAGTACCTTTGTCAGAATCTCAACTGGCTTGATGAAGCCCTTGGTGAAGACGAGTTGGATTACATCCTCTTTGACTGTCCGGGCCAGATAGAGCTGTACTCTCACCTCTCAGTTTTTCCCCGATTGGTGGAGTATCTCTGTCAGAAGTGGGACTTTCACATCGTTAGCGTGTTCATACTCGATGCTCGCTTTCTCGTGGATGGATCTCACTTCCTCTCGGGTATTCTCTCTGCCCTTTCTGCAATGGTGTGTCTCGGAACGCCCCACGTCAATGTCATGACAAAACTGGATATGCTGTCTGAAAATAAGCAAAAACTGGTTAGTTCCCGATATCTCCAGCCAGAATTGGACGAACTCTGCGAGACATCGGGTGACGAGGAAATCGATGGGAAGGCTGCATCTCCTCGCAAGTATTCTCGCCTTACACGGATTTTGGCTGGTGTAGTGGAGCGCTACAGCCTTGTCCAATTTCAGCCTCTTAATAGAGACAAGGAGGAGACAATCGAGGATCTTCTTTTCCAAATAGACCAGTGTCTTCAATATGGCGAAGACAATGAACCCATGAATCGGTTCTTCGATCAGACAGAGCGGGACCTGGCTGGTGATGAAACTGACAATGTAGACGATGTCTAATGTACTAACTCAGATAAGAGTAAACTTTATGTAAACGTATTTGTCTTTTCAACCCACTTTTTTGATGGGCACGCGTATTAACATTCGTTTTCTAGTTCTTTTTTACCCAAAGGCATTGCATGTGAGTGGGCAGCTGAGCAGCAGATACGTTATTGTTCCAGCTGGTATTGTGGCGGTGACTGGTGTTCTCTATATCATGGAGCTCATGTTGAAACAATTACCACAATTACTGGACAGACACGAACGGTTGGAGGGTCTAAACCTCTTTCTGGAAACGCTCGCTCATGCCTTCACGGGCGCGGTTTTTTGGATCATTTCCTCGATTGAGCTACCTGAGCCAAAATCGCTTCGATTCATGATTGAATCGACGTTTTTATCTGCATTAATTGCCATTGTTGTGGATATTGACCATTTCATTGCCGCTGGCAGTCTCTCCATAAAAGTGAGTGCACCCTTTATCTTATGTATGCATCGTATCTGCTCGTTAGATGATTGCTGAACTGGGGAAAACGACATTGCAAAAATGGTTGCAGGCTTTTAATATAACTCTGGTCCGGTTGAGTGTAAATAAGTCAGTCTGTTATTCTCAAGATCGGTAGGTGTGAAATAAAATTTAATCCTACGCAAATGCTTTTTGAGTTGTTAGGGCAATAACTACTGAAAATGGGAGGGCCTCATAATCAATCACTTCTAGGGTTGACCTCTATGTAATCCACTTGACTTTCGTTAAGGCCGCCCAATCCCTTCCCGAACGTCCATTTCTCCACTGGTCGGGCTGTCTTGTAGTTTTGGCGGTGGTGCTATTAGTTGGCAGTTCTATAATTCAGCATCATTGGTTCGCCGCTCCTTGCCTAGGGAGGCAAACTGTGGATGGTGGCTGGATCACTCTGGTAGCCTGGAGCTCGCATCAGCTTCGCGACTCCTTGCGACGCGGTCTTTGGTTGTGGCCCCCTCCCCGCTTCCTCCTTTCCCCACCTGGTCATATCCATACCCCACCCCTCCCTCTGCTCCTCACCTATCCGCTAGCCCTAGCCACCGTTCTTACTCTGCTTCACATCGCTCCACTCAAACTGCTTGATTGCGCCACTTTCTCATCGTATTTTTCGTTTCGTGAAAAAATCAAAGTATCTATTGTCTAATAAGAGTTATCTTTACAATTCTCCTCTCGTAGCATGATTGTGTTTCGTTTTTTGTGTGTAGATGTACGAAACCTGTTCTCTTTTGCGCGCGTATGATTTTGCTGCTTATATTACTAACCCAGATAGAGGATTGTTGTAAATCGGAAGGGGATTAACAAGCTCTATATGGACATTCGTATAGGCAGTAATGCCTATCATCGGCCATGACTTCTGTTAACTGGGTTTTACACTGGTTTTTTTTGAAAATACTAAACGTAATAAGAAATGTTTGATCACTATCGCTTGATTGGACGAATTTGAAAATTACTTTGTCTTCGTTTTTAAAGCGAATTAGATTCTGAGTCAGGTTCTAGGCTGTCGATTGAAATGCTCCTGATGTTGACAGTTAAACTACACGGAGGAATGTTGTCTATCATTGAACTAATCACAATCGTGTGCTTCACCGAATACTGACCTCATGAGTAGCATATAAGAATTCAGTCTATCACTAAACAGTATTTAAAAATTAAGGAAATGGTAGTTTCCGCTATCGCATAAATAATAAGACTTCAACTGGGTACGTGATTTTAAGTAGTTCTGAAACTGCATCGTTGTTATATTTGTTTACAGTATGGACTCACCGTAACAACGAATTGCATGTTTGAGTGCTCCAGTTTTGATGGATATTGTATTGCAACAAAATTTGATGAAGGCATTCATTGGATGGATTCAGGCTTAGCCGATGTCAGTGTGCCAACGCTTACCCATGCTCTGTCGACTGACTCTTGGCAGTTATTGGTTTGCCAACTCTTCCTACTTAATTGTGCATTAGTGGAAAATATTTTTAAAAAGCTGCTTCTTTCCCTCAGCGCTTGTGTCAAGGCTAAATCGGCCTGAGCTGACTAGATTAATTGGTTTGGGGTGTACACCACAACGTCTTAGTAGTAATACTTTTATTTTTAAGGTGGTACTGTTTAGCACTTGACTGCATACGCGTTAACAAATCCATCCACTTTTGCTTTCGATCTTTGCAGATATAACTACCTTGTAATGAACCTCCCTACAAGTGCTCGTCTTCTGCGCGCCACTACAGTCGAATGTTTCATACGCTACAAGGGAAGCAGTTCCCAGGTTGGTGGCCTATGAGCACTTTTTGATGATTTTTGGTGGTGAGGTTTAGGTTGAATCACCCTTATTGACTGCATTTCCAACATCTATTCTTATTTAAATAAGTCGTGTTTACTGGTATTACGCATAGAATCAGACATTCATTAAATCCTTGTTTTCTCAGTTTATCTACTCGTTTCAAGCGGCTTTTATTAGAAGCAAAATAGTTCAAAAAATAATGAGGATGTTCATTAAATAGCCATTCTCGTGGTGCATAAGTAAATTAAATTCAGCCTAATTTTGACTTTACCTAAAACCGTTGTGCGCACAGCACAGTGAGATATTTTGGATTTATTAACAAAGAAAGGCTTTCTCAGGCCAAGTCATTGGGCTTCTCAACAGTGCCTCATTTATTGGCTTTATCGCTTTTTTCTGAGAAAAGTGTCATCTATATGACTACGTCTCTTTTTGATGTTATAGCACGTTTTGTTTCTGTTGCCGGGATTTGTAACCAACTTCTTGCCTTAGGCACCCCTAGAACTAAACTAAAGTGAGGCTTTAGGCCGCTGTTTCTGAATTCTTAAAAGGAGTCACATTGCGATTTCAAACCATCACAATGCATTGTTATACTTGGATGAATATTCGTCCCAGGGTATTGTGAATTAATTCCATTCCACGCACATTACACGAATGTGGCTATTACGAACTGTGCATCACATGAATGTCTATGTGTGGAGTGAAGGGAGGCCGACAGGCGCCTATGTTACGCCCCACCAAAAAGGGAAGTGAACGCGGGACGATATTGAAACACTTTCCTGCCACGTATTCTTTACCTTATGTGACTTTGACGCGTGGTGTGTGTGTTCTGTCTGGAAAGCGCTTTAAAAGCACTGCAAAACTGAGGGACACGTTTCTTCATCCTTGTCGTGCCGCCTTCTACCCCCTTTTTTCACTTACCTCATTTTGTCATGACCGAAATCACAAGATTGTCACTTTCCATTCAGTCTAAATGCACAGCAAAACTCTCATTTTTCAACCTTTGTGGTTACGAAAATGGCCAGTGCGTTCCATTTCCTATGTTAAATGTGTCCTCTTATCATAATTTACGGGTGGAGTCGATCGTACTTAGTAGAGCATGTGATTGACGATTATTATTAAGCGATTTTTCAATATATTTCATTGGTAAACATACATCCGCACTACTTTACAGTGGTCTCATATGCTCTCTATTGCCCGAGGTTTCTTAGGTGTCATGAAAATGGGGGTCATTAAAAATATTAGATTTTTGAGCAGATTGCAGTTACGGGGGTTAGAATCTGTCAAAATTCCTCTCCTACCTGTTTTATTGTAGTTTGGGATTCCTGTCTAAACTTATTTTAAATGAATTTAAAGTGCGTGACACGACAGTTAATAACTATCACGTAGGGTCCTTCATCACAAGTAGTTACACATGTAAATCCGCTAGCGTTCGTACATATTCCGTTGTACAGATTTTTGTAAAACCGTATCAACATCCCAAGCTTTGATGTCTCTAAAAATGACCAGAAAGACCAGCATGGACTCCTACAAATTGTGACGAATTAGAATAATTTGAATTCGACTATTGATATCCGTGCTAACAATGCTTCCCCACACGTGCCAGACCAATCGTCTGAGAGGTAGTGGCTAATGGTCCTTCTGGTAGATGAGTTAAAATCAGGAGTAATTGGACAAATCTACACCTTTATGTTATTCTACTTCATTCAAAGTTATTCATCTTTGTTGCAGGGTTTTGTCACTTTTTAATTCATGCAAAGTTTATCTTTGTAAAAGGATTTTAGAACTTACAATGATCGAAGTTATACATATACATACATACAACGTACATATATACAAACATGGGCGTTACGGGACTGCATTTACTTGAAGGAATTACGCTGTTAACATCGTGCGTTGGTTCGTTAATTGTTTGAAAGGTACTTGATCTTAGATGCACCGTAAAGATTGGTTGTGCAGATTTGTGAACGAATTTGATGAGGTTGATTATTTAGAGGCTTCAATCCGTTGATCTCTGTCTGGTAAGTAATGCGATGCAGACTCTAACAATCCTGTTAAATAGCTTAAACTCGTTCGACAACCACTCTACTTACCATTTTGTCTATCGGTCGGGACATGTGGTCGTCCTGCGTGAGAATAGCCTTTAATGGTACACTACTTAGTCTTCTTTTTGATACACTATCGTCAGCAAGGTGGTCCAAACGACAAATATTTTTAGCACCAACTCCATTGCAAAAATGACGTCCAATACATTTGCTTTGAAAATATACTTCAAATTTTGAAAAGTTTACAAAGTAAACAATTATTTTGGATTTTCAATGGGCCCAATAACCTGAGTAGAATAATGGCAATGTCGACTTATGCCTGATTAATTTAAAGTTGAGCTGGTGTTTCCTTGTCAAGAGCATTTTTGAAATTATTTTAATATCAAGAAGTTACCGTGCATGAAGGATAAAGTTAGAGGTAGCACTTTTTAGAGATTTTCCATCATATTATCTTGGTCTTTTGCAAAGTGTCGTCAAAAAACACCCATGAAATATATCAAATTTAAGCAAATTTTTGGTTGCATGCGTTTTTCTTGGACAAGAATGCATGACAGAGAAGGCAGGAATTTGGTGCATTAGCGCCATTTGCCTTGAACCCTGTACTTTAGATTTAGGCGTCAGGTCTCTGAGTGCTCTTAGTATACTCATGTATTTCACTTTTATGACCTAGCTTTTACTTTGAATGTATTTTGAGTGCCCCTTGTTGTAACGAAGCTTCTAATAAGCTAAAAACTTTGAAGAGTACAGTTACTTTAGTTCTAAAATTATACTTGCGATTCTCCATCCCTAGTAAGGGCACCTGTCTAACTAACATCATTTACTCGAGTTCATCGGTAAGGTGTTGTCGAATTTATGCTTGGGATTCTGGGGATCCTTTATGGTGAATGAGTTGTGTTGAAGGCTTGGAGTCCCCGTAAAATGCACTTTGCTTCATAAATGCTATGTGTCGTCATTGATGGATTTTATGAAGGATTTAGCAAATAGAGTGCGAGTCGTAACTTCACTGCGTCATTCACAGACGTCCATGTCGAAAAATACGTGTCGTATTGAGGGACGAAGTTGGTTCCAGGGTAGTCATCTCAGCTCGGCTTGGAAGTGACATATGGCTATGCATTCCTCTAAGCATTAAAAATAATCTGGAGATTGCATTTTCGCTAAAGGGATCCCTTTTATCAAAAACCTCATTTTCATTGCATGTGGCACTTTTCAGGCGTCAGTCAACCGAAATACAGTGCAACTTCTGTTTTCACTTTCACCAGACTGACAAGCGGTGGTATGATTTGGCCAGTGACGCGTTATCATCGTCCCCATTACAACGCGTTTGGAATTTTAAATAAATTTCTATAATACATACATGAAGTGTACATTAGATCTCATTTTGCATTAGGCTCACATCATTCATTCCCTCGCTTGTAGTGATATCAAACTTCTCCGAATCCCCGTCTTTTTATGTAATTCACTTTGCCAGTGTCTCCGCGTAGCATACAATTGTAAGCTTTACTGCTGTACTCTGCCTGGTGCTTTGAAACTGATGGTGTTTTGCATCGGTTACTTATGTTAGGCTGAGATAATAGCACCGTCTTACGATGATGCGGGGGTAATAAATCTCCCTGGGATCTTATTATGCAATCTCCTACCACCTTTGGAATCAATCAAGTTCCTCTAATGTTCAAACACATCTGTGTATTTCAATTCCCAGATAGCGCGCACCCACTATTACAGATATCGTGTTTCAAACTCGCTAGGGAATAATGTTTGGAATTGTTTAGACAGTACTCGATCCACATTGCACATTTCTTGCCTAAATAAATACATGGTTTTAAAAATGCGCCTACGGATCGCCGGTTTTAACGAAGTGTGTGCAAATCCAAAAGTGGAATATTAAGACCTTCCTTGGTGGATGCTTTTCGACTCATTTGTAAGAGATATGGCCTTATTTGTCTGATTTCAATAGTGGTGGCTGGAGCGACAGCATCGAGACCCGTACGTGCGACGGGCGCGAGTGCAATCCTATCGCTGTCGCAGCGCCTTCAAGTTGCTGCAGATGAACGAGGCGGTGGGCACCGGTGGGCTGATCAGGCCGGGTGCGGTGGTGGTGGACTGTGGTGCGGCACCGGGCTCATGGACCCAGGTGGCAGTGGAACTGGCCTCACCTGGCGGAACCGTGGTGGCCCTCGACCTGCTTGACTTTGAGCCCGTGCCAGGAGCGCACTGCCTGTCCCACCTCGATCTTCGCCAGACGGCTCAAGTCATTCGCCATGTGCGCAAAGTCCTCGGTGCCGATCACTGCGTTGACGTTGTCCTCAGCGACATTGCACCCCCCGCCTCCGGATTGGGAGACCTGGATCATCCCAACCTCATCCATCTCGTCCACTGTGTTCTTCAGGTGAGCGATTGAGATATTTTTGGATTCCTCATCGGTCTTTCTCTAAATTCTAGGTTAAAGACTGTCGTGGTATCCACGTTTGAGCTTTTTGCATTGTTGGGACGGGAAAAACTAGTGGTTTTTAAACAAGTATATTCCAAAAACACACTTTTATGTTAGCAACGTGAGCTGCCAATGTACCAGTGTAAGTAGCTGAAGATCTATTTAAATGGTTTCCTGTATGTGATCTAGATGTGTAAATCCTTCGGGAATGACTTGCATTGGATCAACATCAACTATGCTATAGGCTTGTTTTCACTCCCGCATTTCGCTGAGACATTGTGATTGATATAGGTTGCTGAATGTAAGGTCATACCCCTAATGCCTACGGTAGCAAGTGTAAGAAGGTGCCTTCACTATGGTTATTTTATCCCTGGAGGAGATCACGTTTTTTGCTGCGTCCTTTAAGTGCCCGTGTTATTTGTAAAACTGTCATCCTCCCACTTTGAATGGGACGCGTTCCTCTAATTTCCGCTTTTCCTTTTGGTCGAATCGAAAACAATGCTGGTGTTACTGTCACTTAAATTTAGGATGCCCCCCCCCCCCCCCCCAGCTCTCTTTATGCGAGCTGTCTTCATCGTAATCGTAATCTCTCAGCAGCGTTATCTAGTGGATGGATGTTGTGTAGGTATGTCCATGTTGTTTGCTTCGCCTAGTCGAATACGATTCCATTTGCGAGTTTACACGTCGAAGGTGCATTGCGAGTACTAGAGAATATGCGCTCTGGTTCTGAATAGCAGTGATAAATCAGTACAGGCGGTTAGTGTTACCTTGATCCAGCGTAACCAGCTAGTGATGTTGGAGCTACAATTTTGGAACATAGATGTACTGTTTATATGAATTTTTTCATTTTTTTATTGTCCGAAACTATTCGGTCCTTTTGTAGAGTCCATTAAATAAACGTTACCAAGATCCTAGCTTTTCAGTCTAATGGGGAATGAGTTTGCTTAGTGTTTACAAAAAGCTATTTCAGCGTGTCTACATAAAGTTGCGAGAGCCACTGTTTGATTGTGAATAATAACACACGATAATGCGTAGCCACCCTCATCTGTTAATGAGTTCTTGTGCCGTTACCCAGGTTTTTCAGGTACGCAATCATTTGTTCTGTCGGGAAATTTCACAGTCTACACAATCTTAATTCAATTTACATCGGAAATGGATCAGTGAAACACAGTTTTGATTACATTAAAAAATTATAATAATAATTCCTCGCCGTTGCTGTGCCATTAAATACACTTCTTAATAGGCGAAACACGGCTTAAAGTATTTTTACAAAGTGGCTCAAAAACCGCAACCAACTTTTGTTTCTGTCATCACTGACTCAAATAAGTGACTACTGAATAAAAAAATTTGTCGAAAAATTGGATATCATGATTGTGGAGCACAAAAGCGGTTGAAAAACATGAATCTAAAGTAACCTTTTTTGCGAGTGAATGCAGACGATGCTGTGAGAATCTATGCTAGATACCTACAGAATACCTTTTGATTGGAAGAACACGCAGCAATCCTTAGCAATTCATGGTACTTTATATGCTACTTTTGAAGGAATTCCGCCATAAAAAGTTTAGAAAATTGAGCAAAATTTCAGCAGAGGTTTGGCTAAGAAGAAGTGAAATAAGTTTTGATGGGTACTAATATAACATTAGTTTAAATAAGTTATTTTCGACTTCCATCTGCTGTTTGTAGCACTTGATTTTCAGACTTCTAAAGTAGCAATCACAACCATAATAAGGGCTTAGAAACATTTTCATCGGTACTCATTGTGGATATCACAGTATGAGGCAAGCGCCTTTGGCAAACACGACATGAGGCTGGAATTTTTTTCAGTTAGCTTTGCATATCTCGCGGCCTGGCGCGAGCCTCCTTGTGAAGCTGTGGAGCTGCCCTGAGGTGGCGGAGTTCATGAGTCTCCTTGAGTGCTTTTACCGCGGCCCCTGGGACTCCGTCGGCGGGTCTTCTGTTTCCCCTGCAGTGCGCATTCTCAAACCCGACGCTAGTCGCAAGAACTCCGCCGAGATCTACGTCTGTGCACGAGGGCTCTCTCTTTCACCGCCCCATAAGTAGTCCTTCTCCAACTCCAAATATATTTCCAGTAATGCAAAAGCCCGTGTACTGCGGCCTTCACTTTTGACTTTTGTAAATAATACCGCTTAGTTTTAGAGGCACTTTAACTGCCCTATCTGCTCCTGGTTGTGCAGCATTATTTGCCTTCCCATAACTTGGACTCGAACAAGGCATCGTTTATTAAAACCTTGATATTTGTCAAAGTTAACTTTAAAGTTTACCACATGTGTCAATGGTGGTTAAGAGACTGTTACTTTACGGACTTTCGGTTTGTCTTATCTGTGCCGTCTTTTGATGTCCACTTTTAGACATTAAGTTAAAATTTTTTAGACCACTTTGATATAGCTTTTTTTAATATTGGGAGTGGAAGTTAAGTTTTACCCTGCCCCATGGTGGCGTAGGGGAAAGGATAGTAAATCCATAATCATGGTTAAAATGGGGAAAATTCTTTTTAATAGCCCGTCGGCTTTTAGTTTGAGATGCTGAAAATGTTATTTCTGATATGAAAACAGGTGCTTCCCAGAAGTTGGTTAGATTTTCTGGTGGAGCATGAGTATCGATAGCAGCATATTCCCATTATCTGACAAAAATACCTATATATTACTTAGTTAAAACTTTCAGATGCTATTTAGTCGTGTAGTTGACCCATGCTTTTCTAACAAAGGATCTTTGCCTTTATAGGAAAATGATCCTACTTTTCGGAAGCATCTTATTAAAATTTGATGGATTTTGTGGCCTTGAAATGAAATTAGTTCAAAGCATATAAATTGAGGAGTTGAGTTCTTAAGGGTACCAAATGAATGATTGCAAGCGACTTTTTAGACTGCAAATGTCTACCTTGCAAAACCATTGTTTAGTTGACCAAACGACTTGGGAAATTGATCTCCCCTATGTCTCGGTTTGGTGCATTCTATTTACTTTGATAGTACTGCCTCATGAACACTTCAATTGCAATACCTCTGACTGAAACACTAAATACGCGTCAAATGTCTGTGTAGATGTTCTTTTACTGGTGATTGAATGATAATCTAATACCTTCTCTAGAGAAAAGGAAAAAAATAACTTGTGAACCGCGAATAAAAGTTCCAAGATTACAATTTAGTTATACAAGGCAAAAAATGTGTAGATTTGTTTGTAGCAATTCGCTGATTAGTGTGAGACTCCTTTAACACCATTTTTAAATCAAAGTACATTTGTGTGGCTACCTTTTAAAGTCTTAAAGATCCGCTAGTTCTTCAAAACAGGCCTTAGGGTCCTATCAAAGTGTCTTATTAGGATGAACTTAGGTTGTAAAATTAGGAGGAGTGGGTGCACAGTTTACAAAACAGATTTACCTTTTTTCACATAAAATGCGACTATCATTTAGCAGGCTGCGATCTTGAACTTGCTAGTGCGAAATAATTATGTCTGAATGTCCGAATTCTGAATAAGTGCTTGAATCCACGAAAGGCATAAACCGTCTACGCTCTGGCATCCAATCTCTAAGGGATGCCATTCATAAATGAGCAAAGTGGTTTCGATGTGCACAACACATCGGATCTTGAAGACCATATATTTATGTCATATCTATACTGAAATCCTTTTGCAAATTTTACAGGATACATAGTCGTAGGTATCATCTCTCATATTGAAGTCAATTAATTGTTCCAATTTAAGCCGTAATTTTTATCTTTTAGTAGAAAATATTCCACATATCATTTATGCTTGTTAACTTTGCTATTTTTAATCCAGCTGACTACACACCTAAAAAAAGGTTAAGAAGAGCTCATAAATGCGCAAACGTGAAATAGTAGGCTTGTACTCTCTTATCTCGTTAAATTAATTGTGCACGGTGTTTTGTCATCATTCAGCAATGTACCCCCTCTTTTTCATCACTGGTGCAAGATGCGATTACCGAGGCTTAATCTCCCAACCGTTGCAGCTGTGCATAATTCGGATTGTGATAACCGTTTTTCTTCGAGTTGCACAGAAGACAGCAGTGTGTTATCTTCATGAAAACCACCTCTTACAATTCACCTCTCACTTTTATGCACTTCTATTATTAAGCTTTATACTATGGATATACTTCAATCTTTAATTGTATTATGTTTGAATGCATGTTAGGACTGAATATCCAACTTCGATGCATACATCTGACACTGACTGTTTACAGATTACGCTTAAACTAAAAAGTATAGCATTATTTACTCTCTGGTGGCGCACAGTGGGCCAGACAAAGGTTGAAGTGGCATGTTTCACGATTTACTTATTCTCACGTAAAAGGGACTTGAAGTAGCAATAAATAGGACCATAGAGAAGCAGTAAGCAATGCTGGCACGGTGAATGATCTTGCCATGATTAACGCAAGCACCCATTGTGAGCAATCACGCGGAAGTGAGAAAATAATGAGGCAAAGTAGGAGGAGGAGAACGGTTGATGGCGCGAGCGAGAAGCGAATGGCCCTAGGAGGTGGGCGGTTTGTAAGGTAGAGCCACGCGCTTCTGCTGCCGCGTCACAGGAGGGGAGTACCGGCGGGGAACCCGGAGATCACCAGTCTCATACCGGTTGTAGTTAGCTTCGTCGTCATCCTCGCCGCCGCCACCGTTACTCTCGTCTTCGTCGTTGAGTAGCGAGACCATCGGCAGTTTATACGCTCCGCTAACGCCGCTGCTTGTTAAACAGCTGACTGTAAACCAAGTCAGAAATGTACATTAAGTATCATCACTCGTATGCAGAATAAGTGAAATTCTATCATCCGTATCTCCCTCATGAAACTTGACGCCAAATTGGTGAGCAGTGCGAAACAAAAGGATCTCAATAGTACTGTAAAAGTGCATCTGAGTAAGATTTTCGTGAAAAGTTAGCATTTTACTGTGTATACGACTTTACGCCTACCATGACTTGGGACTTAAAGCGTACAGGTGTGCTACTTAACGATGTGTCTATATGTATGTGATGGGTTGGGATTTGTTCCTAGACCTTACAACATTCGTCGTGACAATAAAATGAAACCCATTAGCGTGTCTGCTCACAAGACCCTAAATAGACAATAAATGTGGAAGCAAATGATTCAAGGATAAGATAGTCATAAAAGTGTCACGATGCAGCACTGGAATAGTTTAAGACGAAACATTGCGTTATTTTCAGGTTTTGTCAAAATATTACCTGGGAATCGTTGGGAAGGGCTTGATGTAATGATTATGACAGTAAAGATTCAAAAAATTGACGTGAAGTAATTGTGATAGACACTAGCGTTATATACAAATGTGTCATTGTAGGAAATATTACTTCTTGAATGTCGAAACATCAATAGTATTTTTTAATCCACTCATCAGTCGAGACACTTAATTGTAAAAAAAAACAAAATCATTTTCCATTCCTTTGACGAATAGTTCTAAAATTGAAGTCTTCTTTGCAACAATTGGAATTCACTATAAATGGAGTCACATGTACTTTTGAGCAATAATAAATCCAGACATTTTAATAGCTACTCGTTGTTCAAACAAAAGCGGGCTGACGGTGTCGTCGTATTTGATACTCTCTATGTCAACGTTGCCGTGAGGATGGATTTTCTTTACGGCTTCAACCAACAGTCGGCGCCTGCTCAAGTTTGCGGACTGCTTACTGGCCATGAAGAGAATTGGACAGCTTGAAGAATGGGAATTAAATAACTATTTACCTTATTACTCTTCCTAGCACTCGTATCATGTTACCTTACCCTTCATTAGGTGCAGCTCGTACGACAGTCTATTTACTGTTATTTCTTGTACCTTCCCAGAAAAAATATAGCATGCGCATTTTTAGCACATTTAGTTGGTGGTAAATTTGATATTTACAACTCAGTTTATTTTGAGTATATGCTTATGAAATAAATCAAAACCGCTACTTATTTGAGACGGCTGATTTTTCCGGTCAGTAAAATGCGTCTAAAGCAGGAATTCCGCATTTTTAGATGATTTTTTAAAAGATTCTAAGGGAACAATCATAAGACACACTCACTGCCCATAAGTGATCAACATTTTTCTAATATTTTTAGTCTTCAGCTTTGCATGGATTCAATACTTGAATCCAGATACATTCTCTTTTATATTCAACAAATGACTTCTCACATTTATCTAAAATCGCAGAAGCAAAATACATGAGATTAAAGAACACAAAGTGTGCCTGAGTGAAGCCCTAATATGAGACCTATGTGAAGACCAGGCATTGTCGTTCTTTACTCTTGAGAAGATTTATCCAGATAATTGTTGGCCGGTCCACGAACAAGACGTGTTGCAACGTTTTGTGATTACGTAGTTTCATAAACCGGCACAAAATGGTGGAGGAGTAAACGAAAGCTACAATGTACTAGTGAGTTTGTTTTTTAACTGAATTTGCAAATTGTTACCAAATACAGAGGAGTCGACCTGGAAACACAAAATAAATCAAAATACTTAATTATCTATCGGTTTTTTATTTCCAGTGAATCTGTCTTAATCACAAATAGACAACGAATAAAAGTTATTGTTACCTCAAATGCACTGGTGCGATAATGATTTTACCTAGGAGCGTCAATACCCATACAAGCATGGATGATCTAGAAAGTGCGAAAAAAATAATCATCCAAACATGTAAGTTAACATTGAATTATTTGATTGCAAACATGGAATGATATGATGTTGATCTCGATTGCTGAGAAGTATTAAGCTATTTTTTAAGGTAGGGGGTCAATTCTTTGATTTACTTGCAGGTATACCCGTAAAACGGGCATGTCGGGTTTGCGAAAATGAGCATCTCGTAGAGGCTTGCCGATTTGAACCTATGATCGATGACCTATTCCTCAGTGTGTGGCTCGATGGGCAGGTTTTGTGCTCTCCACTGCTGCATCTAGGCAAAAACAACCATAAATGCTTATTTGCTTATTACTTTACAGAGGGGAAGTAGGCAATTGGCAGGACTTATTCGCAGTCTTACTTTAAACTAGTAAATTATAAAAATGTCCTCTATCTCTTCAGATGCCCACTAAAGTAAAAAGACTAGTGTGTAAATTTTGCTTATCCTAACATTTAGGCCATGCATTCCCGACCAAGTCAAACAAACTTTTATGCACCGAACCTCATTGTTTTAGTCCATGGTTTCAGTTGAATGTATTTTTAATATTTTTGGCGGATTCGTAAGCACGATTTAAAAACTGGAGCTCAAAAAAAGTTTGTTATGACGTTTTTATCTATGAATAGAATTTACCCCACTGTACCCTATTATGAAACCTCTTTTTTAATAGGGTTCAGTCTTTGTCTGAGAAATTTAAACTGAATGCACTCATTATTTCCTTCGTTAGTGTTTCACACTTTGAAACCTGGCGACACAGTTGGCTGAAATGTACCATGAAATTCCGAGGCCAGTTTCTGCTTTCGTGTACTGTGATGAGAAGGGCAGTGCACAGGTGGCCTCTTTGGCTGATGTGCACAAATGGGGACAAATAAAAGCACACACACCTTAGCGCTTACGATATCTTGTAGTTTCTGATTCTTTTAAAAAAAGGAAACTGCTATGCAGAAAATTGTCCTGTTTTAACCCTAATTCCAAATAAAGGAAATTACGGTTTTCCATAGAAGACCAAAGAAAGCATGTTGTCAATGACATGATAATAAGTAATTTTAACAGCACTTTTATTTTGGAAAATCTTTGGGAATAGAAAATTGAACTTCCTTTATCCTTGACACTCATAAAGGGGCCTAGGAAGACACCACAACAGTGGATAAGCACGGCGCCCAAAACAGTGGCATCATCCAAGCACTTGAAAAGCACGTATTTCAGAAATTAAAAAGCGTTAGACCAAAATCACCATTGACTACAAGTTACGGCTACTCTCACGAGCATGTTGACTCCAAAGCTTTCACCGAACAAAACCAGGCGTGTTAGTCGGTTTTAAATTAAGAAATCCGATCTATTAAGCTTCAGCAGTTATTTCTACATTCATTGATATCGCCTGAATCATGACCGACTCGAGTAGACTTTGAGTTTCCAAGCTGTAATCTAACTCAGATTCTGTAGGTCAACACTTTGTGCGATTCAAAAAACTCTCAAATGGGAGTTCTGTCGCCTTAATTAAGATAGTGGTGCATAGGACAACTAGACAAAACGGTCTTTTTCTCAACGGAGTTACCGTTTCTTGGAGGGGGTTAAAATGCATAAGAAAGCAATAATTAATTCTAACTGGGCGCATCGTTTGCATCCACAACGTAAACTCAATCTGAGTTTTACTGAGAGTGTCCTCACATATATTCAGGCTAAAGCACACAAGGTCTAGAACATAAAAAAGGCTGAGCTTGCTTGAGCATTAATATTCAGTTTACTTTAAAAAATGCGTAAAGAGGTGCAAAATTCTATGCTTACTAGTCAGCATAAAAGTGTAATTCTGAAATTGTTTTAGCGGCTGTGATAGATTGTACTTTCAATTGCATGACCCCGTAAAATGTCTTCGAGATGGCGAAAAATCTTAGTTGGGCATTTGAAGATCATAAGAGTAGACCAATTAATGCAGATTTTCTAATATTCCCCCTTCGTTTTAGCCGAGGAATTTCCTATCTTCATTGAGCTTAGTTTTCTTCCTGAATGTGCTACACCCGCCTATTGCCCCTAGAAGAATCTCATGGTTCATTGCAAAATGTTTAACATAAAAAAAAGTAGTGAATTCTTCAGAGTGATATGATGGGTGAAGTTTTACGGTGTCATTGGTAAGGAACTGTATACGGAGAGTGTTACTAGGCTTAGGTTATGGGATACCGCTTTCTCACCCAGGAGAGCTATTAATAAGCTAACGATACAAACATTTGTTTCTTTTACAAATAGTTCATTTCTTAAGGCATAGAGGTAGATTAAGATCAAATGCTCATTATTCACGGCTTAAGGGGAAACAATGTTTTTACTACTCCATTAAATACTACCGAACAACGAGAAATCTATTCGGATCCCATCTTAGATGCAGTTTATTGCGTAAAATTAAATTACTTAAGAATCGGAGTGGATGTAAAATGCAAAATACTTTCTACGAAAAAATGTTGAGAACATATGATGCTAAATAGCTGTCAATTAAGCTGTTATTATTTTTGAAGAAACCTTATAAGGATGCCGATAAAAGAATTTAATAATCACCGTGACTTTCTAAGTATTTCCAGGATATCAGGCGTCCTATCTAAAAATGTTGGCACAAAGGTTGGTCCAAAAGGTGGATTTCTTCCAATGATTGTTAAGCTGGTATAAACAGAAGAGATTAAAATTTCACCCTCAAATATCGTGCTCGAGGTCGGCCACGCTTGATGCATTTGTTCGTCCTAGCCACCACGAGTAAGTAATTATTAGTGAAAGAATGTAATAAATGTGCAATTTTTAAAATATTTTGCTCAAAAAGCTTATTTTAAATAGTGTAGTGCAATAAAAACAACAAACTACCACGGTTAAGATGACCTTGGGCATTAGGCCAGCTATATTGTAGTAGTAATTGCAGACATAATAGGTTAAGTTCCCGATTTAACCATTCTTATCAAGAAGGACTACTAACTCCTTATTCTGAACAATTGCACATTTCGTGGTCGCATTTGCAAAAATAAGTAAGGAATCTTGAGTTGCGATGTTACGCCTTATCTTTGGTACTTGGCACCCTTCGCTGCCGGGTCAAGCGAAAGCCGAGTGAACTGTGCGATATCTAGCCTACACAGAGACATTCTGAAGGCAAAATTCATACATTCAAAGGGTGCATGGAAGCAATGAGCGGGAACACGAAGAGAGGTAACATCTGCTTCAAACTAGGGTACTTAAACTTCATGAATCACGATGGGAATTCGGATGTCAGTTGTTCAAATTATTTTATTCAGGCCTGCCAAAAGGTCCTCGAATCTCGTAATGTCGGCAGTGCGTATGTATGTGCATATCATGACTTACCTTGACTTATTTCCTTTAATGGCTGAGGTTCGGCATTCTTCCAAATCCTCGGCTTTCTCGTCCTGCCCGGGCAGAATGATCACTATCCGTCGGCATCTAGCCAAAAGTGACTTCATCGCAGGTAGACTCAAAAATGCTGTGTATTCTATCTCTAGAAATTGACGAACGATCCCAAGCCGTGAAATCGAGTTTATCGGAAAATGGCGTTAAATAGATGGTACTATAGCATAACGCATTTACGACATTGTAATTTAAATCTTTCTCTAAAGTAATCTTATCCTGCCTTTTTGCGCGAGTTCTACAAAAAGGATCGTATTTCAATAACCCTTTCCATGGGTCATTAACATCTTCAAATGACAAAAACTGATTAAGTAAACCAGCCGCAATTCTTGACTTATGAATTTAATTAGGGTTAGCACTGTCCCACGTGGTTTAACTAGTAATCACAAAGGGGTGTCAATATAGCTTAATGTAAAATGCAAGTGAAATGCAACCAATCGCTAATCGGTCAAGGATTCCTGTAAGTCATCTGCTAAGTAACGCATAATTCAAACTCCCTTTTTGTTCTTTATTTTAATAGATATTGGTATTTTGGACTAAGCTGTCAGACATTCAACTGAAAAAAAGGTTTTGCGTATGAGCAACATGCTTGTACTTTAATAAAACTGTCCCATTCCTACATCGCCTTTCGTCGGACTCACATATTGTGTACACTTGTCCGAAGTGGAAGCACAATGGTGAATTTAAATTTTAAGTAATTTGCACTTGCTCGTTTAAATTCACGTTAAGTCCTGTAACCGGCAGTCTATTTCATGCTCATCTGTTTGCACAAAGATGATGTAATTATTTTCGCAGAAAAAATCACCTTTTGACGAAATCGACTGACCATGAAAATACACTACTTACTGCTGCGATCCAACTCAGCAGGAGACACAACGGCTGGATGCTTGACGCATTCATTAGTCCAAATGCATTATGAAAGCGAACACAGATGGTTTGAAGTCTTGCTCTTGTTAGGTAGGTAAAAGTACTTACGAGCAAAGATAAATGCCTTCGAAACTAATCGGGTTGCTCATTAAACGCAAAGAGTGTAGCCGGATTGCAGGATGCCAGAGTCTCTGGCTGCCCCTTTCCTTGGTCCAGTTGTAACTGGTATATATTAAGCATAGATTACTGCAAGAGAAGAGCAGCTTCGTTCCTCAGTGATGTGAAAACCAAAATCAGGTTTATTTAGCCAATTGATTTTAACGCAATTGAATTTTGATTGAAAGCAAATGAGACTAGCTTGACAAATGTCACACAGCAAATATTTTGTATCAAGAAACAACCAAATTCTGCCGAAGAAGTTGATTATAAATTTATGCCCTAGTTTACCTGTATAAGGAGGGAACAAATACCAGGTTGCATAACGCAGTTGGTAAAATCAATTCTTTGACTTCAGTGTTTTCCTTCCTACTCTGACTATGAGAAACTGACAGTATTATGTGCATTTCGTGAACAAAAAGTGTACGTAAGGTAAGAACACAAGTCAAATTATAAATTGAACGAATTTGACCAGAGTTGGTTTGTGTTAAGTTTTACTGGTTCTTAGCAAATATGCATCTCATTGCCAAATGAGTTCATAAGCTGGAATAAGGATGTTAAAGCATATACTGAACAATGACCAAATTATTAGCACCTTCCTTAACAGAGTGTATGATGGACTATTCTGGCTCGTTAAGACTTTTTGCTAAAAAAAGCAAGTAGACATAAAAAATTTGTCCCTGAACTTATAATATTAAACTACGTTCCGAGAAGTAGGAAATTATGTGAAAAACATATCAGTCATCGAAATATCAAAAAGGGTGACATCAGTACCCGATACAATCAATCAATGAGAATCGGTGAACATCCATACCAGCGAACAGTTAGGTGATTTATGGAAAGTTGATGATTAAACTTTAACTATTTTTGAGCATTATTATTTTTAAAATGTTCTGAATAAACTTAGGATATTCCCAATTGTTTTGAGTCCAAATGAAGCAAAATGCATCTAACTGGCGATTCCCTTAAATTAAGTCATAATTAAACGAGTGCTTTTAATTTAAATACGTGCCTTTTAACCTTGTAACCCTATTTTCTGTGTGCTATTGTACAACGATGCCAGATTTTAGTGCATGAGAACGCAAAGCATTGCCAGTCATAGAGCATATTTGCTGAAAACGTCAAGTTTACTGTAAAAACATCTTTGAGCACCTGCAAAGTCATCTAATGAAATCCCAAATGCGCTGTGCTGTTAACATAAACATTTTACTAACATACAGCTAGAGTTTTAATCCAAAAATCAATAGCAAAATCTTTTTTTCTAGCTGCCCTAAGATTAGTCAGCTGCATGGCAATTAGGAAAACAATATCGTTGTACACGACCAAAAAATGAAAGGGAACGGAAGTTCATCTATGTTTTCACAGATTGCTTGCTTACTTTTGCAGTCTTTGCCGAGCCTTTTTACGAGATCTTACACTATTTGTCCATTTTTGTTTACGCAGAAATAGTAAACAAGGGCTGTGAGGCAAGATATTGGAACTGTTGCATGCCTATTAAATTTGACGCACACATAAATTACTCCATCAAGTATACCTGCTAAACTTCAAACAGCTGTGGGTCAAATTAGGGAAAAAATGCAAGTAAAGTGCATGCTGCCTCCATACTCTAAGTTTCCGTGTATTTTATAAGAGCAAGTGAATTTCGATGGCTTAAACAAAGACTACAATTAGTATGGGTGGTAATGTCCTTTAAATTGTGGTCTGAATTGGGAATCTATGTCGCTATTGTTACAATTACTTAGAATAAGGAGTGTAGTATTATCCAGTATTTTCAGTTCAGCCTTATGTAAAAGCTATGATAGGCAAAATCATGACTTTGTGCATTCTTTTCGGTAGATTTCAGGTAAAGTTCATATCTTTAATGAAACCGGTACTTACTGCTCTTGCATAAGAATAGACTACACTTATTGTTTAAATGAATCAAATACCCATGTCTACACATATCATGACATCCTGCGGTATTGCTACGCTTCTTCCGATTTATAATGCTAAATAAATTATTTCGGTTTGCTCTATCACAACTTCAGGCGCATTTTTCGTTGCATTTCAAACCTACCCTAAACCATTAAGGGGCTGTGGTAGCATTGCTGAAGAAAAAATGCTAGCATACAGGAGTAAGAAGCTACTGGCAAGACATTAATGCTAAGCAGCTGAGCCAAAGTGCAACCCACGCGGTTTAAAGTGCCCTGTATTCCCATTCAAAGTTTGGCGAGCTATCAGACCACCACATTTTTCCAATTACCTTACTTTAAGTTCTTTAAACAAAGTGTAAAGGAAATTTTAAATGGCAGCACCTTTCACAGTTATTGAAGCACCAAAAATAAGCAAAATCCACTACTTGGCAGCGTGTTTTGTTCATGGAATACGTTCGGTGTATACCTCTTCAACTTCGGCCTTCATTCCCTTGGAACGAGTGAACTGTTTAGACTGGGGCATTCTTTATTAGTAATAATATTAACGGGGGCAGTGACCTGGGATGTGCTTGTTGAGAGTACACTTCCTCCTCGGGGCCTAGATAACGGCCGTTTCGCCACGAGATTCGTGTCTACTGAACACTTCTCGTCCAAAATTTGTATTTAAACAAACTAACAAACATACAAACTACAACATCTAAAGCAATTTTCTCATCTACACTTAAGATGTTCATAGTTCCTCTTTTGTTTAAGTGAGGAGTCACGTGCCTTTAGCTTTAATGCGCTCTCTTTGTCATAAGGTCAAATGTTTGTGTTTGTGGCAGCTGTGTGATTTTGGGTAACTATTCTTCTGTAGTATAGTGTCGTGGCTGAAGAAAACAAATTTGTCCACCATTAAACAGGCTCAAAATTTTATCAATTCCCATATGTAGTCTGATTTTATAATCAATCATAATATACGAATGCAGGTAGTTGACCATCCGTCCGCAGGTCGATCCTTTGCTCGCGCCCGTCCATTTCGTAGAGTCGAATGTGATCACGCAGCAAAAGCGCTAATTTGCAGGAGAAGCATCTTAGTCTATTTCTAGGCCGTCCATGTGGACATCAAGCTATAAGATGTGACGCGATAATACGCTCTTTCTTTTAAAAATGGAGCGAAAACCCATTTTAACCATATGAACGGTTGCACACCCTGGTGCGATTTTTAAAGTGGGTACGCTTCAGTTTGTAAAAAAACCAAACTCTTAGACGGCTATTGATTAAACAAATGAAGTGACGCTGCTGTCTTGCGTGCACCAATGGTGACAACGGCCATTCCGTCTTTGCTCTCATTCCAGACGCGCATTCAGCTCCTGTCGATCGATAGACAGCGTAGTTTCCGTCGCTCTCCCACCGTGTACGCTGAAGAAGTACAGTGACGATTGTCGTACTCTGGTCACCGCATCCACGTCCCCTTCATGTAACTACCGCTTTAGTACGGGGCCTAATCTGCCTTTAGGTTCATGGAAATTTTGATCCATGTTATATTCTGGAGTCATTGATGCAGCCTGTGTGATCTTGTTAGTAAAATCTAAACAGAGGTTTTAGTGCTAATAGTACATCCAACATTTCATTGAGTACGTCGAACTTTTCAGTCATGAAGTGGATTAAAAGCCTTAATAGCTTTCAGTGTGACTGAATTCCTATCCTAATTGGCACAGAGTGCGAATCGCATCTATGAAAAGGCTGCTTTGGTGATGGACTTACGCAGTGATGCCACTAGCCAAAAACATTACAGCATCATCCTTGTCGGTCTAGGATAGTCATCAGCAGATGCATCAAGAGAGGGTATGAAAGGCCTCTAAGACAGCTTTCATTTCGAAGCGGTGAGTTGTGTTAACCTGTTTTTCGATCATGCCACACTTTTCAGTCATAACAAATTTGCAAACCACTTACATTTCTCAATGTGCTCAGCAGATACGGCTCCCACATTCAGTGGAAATTAGTGCTGATTTATATCGCTACATTGCGTGAAGCCTTTGTTTGATGATGGCACCAGCCAAGGGCAATCGACACAGGACATTGTAGAATCCAGACACGCATAAAAAATGCAGAAACAGAATGTCTTGAAATCCCTTCGTTATGTTAGCTACGTGTTGGCATTGATGCTTATACTATTTGTGAATATCTATCCCAACGACTCTGCTAATCTAAATCTGGTTAAAAGTAAGGGATGAAGGTGTATCTAGTAATGAGATCATACTGTATCATAGTGAAATTATAATTAATCATCCTGTTTTAAGCGTACAAGGTTAACGCCCACTTCACGATGCGGTGTGACCGCACCATTGTGGAAGCAGAAAGGTGAATAAACACCAAATCCCAAGTGTTATTATTCAAAAGTTAGCTGGAAGAGTTGAGACTTCGGGTTTCCAAAAATTGCATTCAAATCTTTTTTTCCAGCTCAGTAATGTAACAAACTCATGCGAAATCAACCCAATGTATGGCCCCACACCCCCCAAATGCTTTGACGACCTCGGCTGCCACAATGATGGGAGCTTAATCGCGGAGCCAATCGAAAGAAGCACAAGCTTTAGCAAAAGGCCCGGCGATGATGCATGCGGGAATCGCCACCAAACCAATGGTCAGGTCCCGTCTATTCATTGGGCAGTGGTAGGCTGCGTACAGCCCCAACCTACCAATTAGATGTACAAATTCACGATTAGCCAATCAAAGTTCCAACAGTGCGGTCAATCAAGACATGCGATGGTTGGCGTTTACATTTACTGACGCGCTGACATGGCCGCTGGTCGCAACGTGCTTTTTCCGATCGATGCTAGCGAGAACTGCGAAAGGGCATTCAAGTGGTATGAAGCGAACCTCCGAAAGCCAGGTGATGTCGTTTTCTTTGTTCATGTGATTGAACCTGTGTACACAACTCCAGCGATCGGCTTGGCCATGGAGTCACCTCCCCTCATGGTGGATGACATGACTCGGGTTATGGAGGAGAGCATAGCGGCCGGCAAGAAACTTGGACAGAAATATATGCAGATGGCTAAAGAGAGCAACTTAGATTGCAAGGCCTTCCTCCATGTGGACACGAAAGCTGGTGCGGCGATTGTTAAATCCGCCATCGACCACAAGGCAGACATCATCGTTATTGGCTCCCGTGGACTTGGTGCCATTAAACGCACCTTCTTGGGCAGCGTAAGCGACTATATTGTGCACAATGCTGCCATCCCAGTCGCAATCGTTCCTCCGGCTCTCTAAAGATGCAAAAATACCTTTTTGGTACTGATGCAGTATTCTTGCTGTCAAGTGTCCTTTTGTTATATCATTTGGTCGTTAGTAAATGGGCATGCAGGTCTTGCTCTTCTCATAGTTTTCATTCCAGCATTTCACGCAACATAGATGGATATGGTTTTATACGACTTGCTATATCATACTCTGCATTTTGGTAGTATTATTATAGGACGTTCATGGTATCGTCACTGTAATGGTAATTAAATGCGGTGAGTCAGTACTTGATCCTTACCGAAAGTGTTATATATCGACACAATCGCTTGGTTTTAGGTTATGTAGTTGAATTGTACTTGCGACGGACAGCTATAAATCACCACTTTTGTGCTTTCCCTGCAAGTAATCTAAATCGGTGAATAAGCGTGCCTCCTGCTGATTAATTCAACCCTCTCCCCCTCAATGTCAGCGTCTGGGTTGCTGTTCTATTAGGCCGTTCGTCGTCGCCCCCTCGATGGTGGCCGATGAACGCAGTCGGCGAAGCTCTTTGTGTGTGTGTGAAGAGGTGGCACATGGAAATCGCGTACGTGATTCTCCCTCCATAAAACTTAATTTTATTGCCAACCTCTACCTGTAACAAGCCGAATGCGCTTGTTACCTTCCATCAACTACACGTGCGCTGAAGGTGAACTTCGGGTACGCTAATGTTGTGCACCCGCGTTCTTTTACGCGGTTTACATTGTGATAGCACATTGATGAGTTTTTGTTCATTTCCAAAGCAAGTAGCTCAGTTCCTATTTACTGTGACTTGTTGAACTTTAACTTTACTTGATCGCCTACATAGTGCTCATGGACATTTCAATGGTTTTGTAATGCCGTTAGGGGTCCGGTTGGTGCCATCTGAATAACCTTCATTTTATGCAACACTTTTCAATGACTACACCTCAATATCATTGACACCGTAGCATTCGCCTACTTTCGACCGATGGAGGATGTTCAATCATTTGGCTAAAATTTTAATAAAGTCATATTTTGATCACTTGCTCGTGAAAATGTAATAAAACCGCGCCAGAATCGACTTTATTCATATTGTATCATAGGAGTCATCCGAAAAGTAGCAATTTTCATTTAAATGCATTCTTCGAACCAGCCTCTGGACCTGTTATTTAATTGATAGGGTACATTACTTAGTTCATTTTTTTCTTTTCGGGGACTTCAACGTGAGTATTTCATTCTTTAACCTTCAAGAATATGCAAGCCTGATGAAACGGCAAAGACTCAACCAGCATTCCGTCACTCCAAGCTGATTCGCCACGTCTAAAATTAAGGAAAGCCATAAGATTATCATCACCCTGTCACCTACATTTGGCTCTCCCATGCGACATCTTGCGCATCAGTCAGAGACTGTGGTATGTACCAAAAGCAGGGTTTAGTTGATCTTTTGTTGGTCATAGTATGCCTGAAGCTTGGGGCTGTTGAGATAAGTCACCACTAAAGTCGCTACAATGAATACTAAGGAGGCAACTGGTTCCCAAACTTTCGCATGAGGAAACCATTTCTGAAGTCCAAGGAGTTTGTGTGATCTGTCGTAGTTACTAAAAGGTAGCTTTTCCTTCTAAGCTATACCTTAACTGATTCGACAAAAAAAACTTCTTTAAATACGCGGGTAGGGTCAATAAGTGTGCTTGAGCGCTTTTTTGTGCGTTGTGTGGTCTGATTTATACGACTATTTTGTCGGTTTTTGTAATTAGGCTGTGACCCACCTACACTAAGGATAGTGGTCATGTCATGTGCACAGCAGACATCCCCTTTGAATTAAATGGGGTGATCGTGTGGCTGGTGATCCGTCAAGTATGCTGGTGATTGGCGCTCATTTAGTGGGGAGCGACGATATGGGAGATCGTCTATTTGATGATACCGGAAGGATAAACTACTAAAAAAATGTCGAATAGCATCAAAAACGCTGTTTAGATGACCGAGTTTCACTCCCATTTGCGTGGAATTCGCCCATTACTACTGAGTCCTGGAATGTAAAGCTGTTTCATCGGCTGTTTTCTCCCATCAACGGCATATCATTATTCACATTTTGTGTTGGAGTGATCTGTAAAGTATTTTCCTCAGCACGTTTTCACTTTTTTGGAATCCGTCACGTAGTCATCTTTCCTTCAGGGATGCGCAGTGTAGTTGCTCGTACAAATTCGTCAGTATTACATGACCTCGAGAGCTAAAAAGTAGGAAATGCTAATCTCATCGATAAAATTCAGCAACAGGCAAAGCGGTATACCGGGTTGGAGAACCTCGGTTATCGGTACATATTGTAAAAAAGAAGTAAGGGGGTGGATGGGCCCTCACACGACTTAACTCATTTTACTAAAAAAGATAACTGTGAGCTGGACCGGATTTAAATGCACAAAATACTCACACATTTGAGATTAGTCTGAACGCCTCATTGTTGAAATACTTTTGTTCATCTTAAGCACAAATATTTTTCGTTTTATACTAGCTGGACACGAAAATTAAGTGATTGAAAGACTCCATATTGAGCCTAGTCGGCTCCTGTAAGAGAATGAAGTGGGAAAGTTTTGCGTCGGACTCAAATGTAGCGCGAATTCGGCACACTTCACATAGATCAATTTGAATGCTGGTTTAGAAAAGTGGTTGTATTTATAGGCAGAGAACGTAGCGCTAGCAGCACATGACCTGCTGATTCACTTGCAGCATGAGGTCATGTGGCCAAGTCTGTTTACAAGGTCCTTTGTGGAGGTCAGCGATCTCTGGCTATCCTCACATATGCGAGCCAAAAGGCAGCAGTGCAGTCAACATTGGTAGGTATGTCGCATCAAAATACGTAGTAAAGTGCACAATACTGCAGAATTATGATTTCTGCATTGAAGATTATTAATCTGTACTAGCCCGAAATCAACATAGCCCTGCTCTTAAGACGTCATATGAGTAGTAGTGTTTGGATTATCACTTCACGCATTAATGAGTGAGAACGTTTGCATTACAAATAAACGCAGAACGTCTTGTTCTTTTCGCAAAGATGGTTTTGGATCTGAAGTTGTGGAGCCGCACGATAGCACAAAACTGGCACATTTTTAAGGAAACAGTAGGTTTGCCAATTTACTATTATCGAGACTTGCTGTAGGGGGTTGGATTTTGCATAAAGCTGCGTAACAGAATGTGCGTCCCAACCCATTAAACAACAAGTAAAATATTGGACCATACTGTGTTAAGAAGTGAAAAGGAAGAATTGGAGCATGTGCGATGGCTAAATTTCAACGCGTTTCTACGATAGGGCAAAGTGAAGTTAAAAAAAAGGAATAATTAATTTGGTGCATGGCGGAGCTTGTCGAGAAATAATGGTACCCACCAATCCAAAAACGGCAGTCTACAACACTAACCGCCAATCAAGTGTGGTAGAAACTCGATGCATAAAAGCGACCGCACTGAGCTGTGCAGCACAGACGAATCTCGATGGGACGCAAATACCTTTTGCCAATCGACACCAGCGAGAACTGCAAACGAGCCGCGAAGTTTTACTCCGAAAACCTTCATCGAGGTGATGATACAATAATTTTCCTCCATGTGATTGAACCGAACTTGAAGGCCAATTCGAAGAACATAGCGAGGAAGGAGGACTCCGAAATCCACGAAACGACCTCTCAATTGCAGAAGACAGTAGACATGGGGAAGGCGTTGGGCCACAAGTACCTCGCATGGGGTAGAGAGGCGGGATTCGATGCGAAGGCTTTTGTACGTTCGGACTCGAAGCCTGGGGTGGCCATCATAAAGGCGGCAAAGGAGCTCGAAGTGGACCATATCATCGTTGGCAGCCGCGGACTCAACGCCCTTGGCCGGACACTGCTGGGCAGCGTGAGCAGCTATGTGATTCACCATTCTCAAGTTCCTGTCACTGTCGTGCCCTGCCCCGATGAAGAAAAACCCACTGGTAGCATGCGACGGCTGTCGCTCTACTAAACCATCAACTTAAATTTCTTTCCTCTTCCATCTTCCCCTCTGCTGCATTACTGACAAGGCTGATTCATCTCATATAAAAAGACTAGCTTCCATTTTAGCCTTTTTCTGATCAAAGGAAAATTGTGGTATGCATCGTGAAACCAAGTCAATCAATTAATAATACGAAGAATTTCACTTGAGTTTTATTTGCAATCTACAATCAGCGAGCTCAAAGTAAGTGGTTTTTACAAGCTTACCAATTCCGCTCCTCAATGCAATTAACTGGTTGAGGATTGTCATGCCTGCTGTCAAAATAAAACTATCAAAAATAACTTTTCTCACCTTAGTGGGGTTACCTACTAACTGTAGCCTTTCAGTCCGAATAACAGCAAGAGTAAATGCACCACACATTGCGATGCATCAATCAGGGGTGCGAGCGTGTTACAAATTCGTGGAAGATGGTTGTTATCCTCTGTGCTTACGCTTGTGTTGCAATTACCTGGGTAACCAGCCTTTCCATCAACCGAGTTGCAATAAATGGCTCATTTCAACTGTAAAAATAGAAATATTGGAGATTACCGTATATTATTCCACTTCATGCAAGTTTTCACATTCAAGTCTTCACAGAATTTTGGGTATATTGCAGTGAAAACAACTACTTACTCTAAAGGATAATTTAAAAACACTTTGGTGTTTATCGTTGGCGTGTGAATTGACGATAATTCTTTATCAAGGAGGCACGAGACCCGCCATGGCAATTCCTTTAGCCAATAGTAGCGATCTGCGCCTTCTGCACACTCATTTCGCATTCACAGCCTGGTTTTGGTATTAGGCGATCAATTCAAAATAAATGCATTCCTCTATCTACTCTATGGCATGTTGAAATGCCCTGTGCTTGCACATGCCAGTGGTAAGCAGAACTAGATAAAACCTCTAGGGATGAAGAGCAAAAGCTCCAGTCACGTAATTTATACACACGTACACGCCAGCAAGCAGAAAATGGGATACAAGTAGAATTAACAGAATAGACCTGTGAATTCGCCTTCCTATCGACAGGGGGATTAACTGCGAATACGGCTTCCATTGCTACATGCGGTACTGCCACTGGGAGGACGATGAACCCATCTTGGCGAACGTGCCGGAGGCGTGACTTACTCAAGGCACGATCGCTACTGACGGAAATGGCTCATCGACAGGTCTGGTGGGGGAATCGCATGAAGATTGTGGTCAAAGTTCGAAAAAGTGCGTCAGATCGCTGAGCTGTACTTGTGGATCTGTGAGGAGTTGAGCGTAGGTTACTGCATGTCGGCTGTGGTCGATGAGACCACTGTGAGCGCCGCGAGTTAAAATCTGGTCGACTTTATGATTGTCGGCTCCCAGGCTATGGGCCGCACCTACAGGGCCACCCTTGGCAGCGCCCACAGCTACGTTCTCAAATAGGCCGGCGCACCTGTGCACGTCGTGCCACGTGCGAACATTCAATCAACTGGCCTCCTTCCCATCCATTCAGTATCTCTGCTTTTACCAACTTATTCTACTGATGCCCTGCAGTGCCAACTCTTGCATTATTAATAATATAATTGTAATAGGGTAGCAACGGTTTTTCGACTGCGACTTCAAACAAGGCTATTAATTTTACGTTTCAAATGAAACCGTTAACATTCCTCTATATTTCACTGACTTGAATGGCGCTTAATCTATCTTCACTTTCGGCACCTACTCCAAAGTACATTACTTCGATATCTTACTTTTGTGAGCCTTGACTTATCGGGCAACAGTGATCAGATGACTTTAGTCACGTCTCATTCACCCCATGCAGTGAACAAATGATACTGCACTAAGATTGTGCTTAATTCATATTTATGATTATTTAGTTCTGTCTGCCCACTCGCATTACTTACTGTAAGCAATTAATTTAAGCCACTTCTCATTGGGGTTAATTTAAACGGTTCCCTGCTTTTTTTATCCCCACTTCCTATGGCATCTCCCCGTCGCTATCATGTGATTACCACATGTTAATTCTCATCCTTATGCGAACTCATTACTGGGACGACTCCTTTTTTTCTTAACGGGGATACCACTTACCTATTTTGAGGTGCTTACTTTAGTTCTTAAGCCTCCAGTGCAATACATTTCCTTGAGCCAAGGACACCTCTTCGTCACTTTCAAAAAAAACAAGGGCAATCCATTAGTTCACAAAGCAATATTCTTTAGGTTTTTATGAAAATAAAAGAAATTTCATACTAAATATATTTTGCAGACTTTCGAACCCAGCATGGGATTGAAATTTTTCTTAACGTAGAGCTCGATATACTTGACAAATTCTCACAAAAGTGATAATTCTATGGGACCTTTTTAAAGGTGAGTTGTCGTAGTTTTCGAAAATGAATTACATATACCTCGGGTAAACTAGAACATGAAGGTGGTTAAACAAATGAGCCAAAGAGAGAACGTTAAAGATGTTAGTAGGAAGGTGCGATCATCAGGCTGCCTACCTTAAAAATATGTCACTGTGATACAAAGAAATGGGGATTGCTTTCCGAAGAGAAAACTTAAGTTCAACTTTAAAATATGCCAACATATTGAAACAATGCCATAAATTTACTAAGAATATAATTTACTTAAACATTGCCAAGTCATTTCGTATCACAGGTTATTCACAACCATCCCAAAGGGCGGCGCTCTGAAACATTTCCAGCTACTGCGCAATCCAAAATGTAAGCAATATTTGTTACTTAATTTATCAAGTAGCATTTAACGTTACAAAAATTTTACTCTAGATTTTGTCTTGTAGATTTGGGCGATCTAAGATAAAAATTTATTAAAAATAAAATGCGTGAATGTATACATGGCTTAGGCAACATTGTAACCAAGAAGTTAAAGGCTTTTAAGGAACATAATTCAAACATGCCCCCATATACATGTGTATCTCATTCCAAATTGCTTGAGTAAAAAGCGCCACATTTATGAAAACTAAAATACTTCAGTACTAAATATTTTGGCAGAGAATTGCCTTTTAACAAACGCATTTTTAAAGGGCAGGCATCAGTGACAAAGGATGTTACTGTTCGAAAAAAAATTTACGGCATCCACGCTACTCAGATATCGACGGGGTGTTCTAGTCCCGTATTATTGTGTAACAACCGAAGTATATGTAAATTTCATTTATTACTCCTTAACTATCACTATCATAAAAAATTTTTTTGAAACAATTAATTTTAGCTAAAAACCATACATATTAATGTATCAAAGCGGATGATGTTAATATGGCCATGAATATGATGGCAGTATCACTGCCATATCGATAAACATTAGCGCCAATTTTTAGAAATTTTCCTTATTCTCGACTAAGAGTAATAAAAATGTTAATGAAGCTTCGGTCAAGCTTATATAAACTTAAGAGGTTAAATTTAGACGTTATGTTTACGTATACCGCAAAAGTGCACAGCACCTCCAAAGCACGCCCGTAATTAAGGTTCGGTTAGGCGGGCAGCAACATTCGCATTTCCCATCACCTTCATATCGGCTCATGCAGTCGGATAAAACGGACGCAGACGGTGGAGGCAACGGAAGCAACGGAAGCGGAAGTCGAGTTCTCCTTTTTCCGGTCCAAGATGGTACGGCGAGTGAACGAGTGTTCCGTTGGTACTCCCAGTCCTTTCGTCGACCCGGGGACGAACTTCTCATCCTTGCCGTGGTAGAGCCTACATTGCGGCTGCGCGAGTTGCAGAAGGGAGGAGTCAGTTCAAATGACCCTCTGGTAGAGGCAGCGATGATGGGCGGCCGGAGCGTTGTGCGTCGGTTTCTGCAATGGGCGCACGGGCTCAGTCTGCCCTGCCGCGGCCTTGTGCAGTTGGACATCAGTCCGGGCCTCAGAATCGTGCGGACTGCACGTGAACGGGGCGTCCACGCCATTCTCATGGGTCCCCGTGTACGAGCTGCAGGCGACTTCGAGGGGCAGGAGTTTGACAGTGTGACTGAGTATGTGTTGCGCAATTGCCCAAACATCACTCTGACAGTCGTTCCTCCATCTACAGACGATAGGAGAATGCGTCGAGACAGTTTTTATAAACAATTTATTGAGAACTTCTTTTAAAATAGACATCAGTAGTTGCAATGAGTGCGCATTGGTCTACAAACTTAGGATCTGGCAGTATTTTGATTTTGAAGTCTCACTGTGATTACACATTTCTATGTGATTCGCCTTTTTCGTAATACACTTACCATTAAATGATAAGAAAACTTGTACTCAATGAGGTTTACATTGTAATGAACCCGTTCTTTAGCACATCAGAGTCTGCACTGTGTGCTTTTCACTAAGTCAACTGGTGAAAATATATAACCCAGATTACTAAGCTGTCGGCCCTTCTTTGCCAATTCCAGCGTACTTCATCATTACCGCCTTCTTCTTTAGGGTTTGACTCACCTCGTACATCTATGGGATTAACAATTAGGCGTTTTGAATAAGTTCATTTTAAGCTAATAACAACCGTTTTTTTGATAAATTTACAAATCCATCAAGAATCCCCTTAATAAACATTTATAAGTAATACTAAAATAAGGTAGAATAAAGGTGTGGCAGGGTTGAAGATTTGGCTCGCAAAACCCCAGGGGATTATTTCTCATTATTCATCATCAATCTAATAATTTGTCACGGTCATCAAAAAGTAAGGGTTTTCAGGGCAGCTGAAGATGGACGGACTGCATTGCTAAGGTGATAAATGGAATGAAGTGAAAATTCAGTAGCAGTACATTATCAATCACAACCCTAGTAATGGTAGTGAACTACCTTGGCTAAATACGCACTTCACCCAAAAGAACTTCTTTAACTTATTCAGCGAGTTACTCATTTATCTACCTGGAAGGGCTTGCTCCCCGTCTCCTTTTATACTCTATAGAATTTTAGCGTTTCTTGTATTCTACTTACTTTTTGTACTCAACAAGGTAGGTATCAAAGTGTCATTGCACTCGACTTTCAGGTTTCTAAACAGGAGTTTGGATGTGATAATGTGACTAGTTAATTCACGTATCCTAAATGTGCCATGAACTTCCCCTTATAGGAGGTGTACGAAACAGCCGGGATTCGGTTCCATTCCTCTAGTTTTATGCCAATTTTTAAGAACAATTTGCTATGCATTTAGCCATAATTTCCCTGTAGTTGCACCGTAATTACTTTTTTAGTAAAAAGGCAACTGTTTTTATCCCTTCAAACGGAAAGTACACACTTCTGTCAAAACACTGACCGATTTCATAGAACTTGAAGCTTGTGTTTACTTTGGGAACTTAATTGGAAGCTGGTCACCCGGGGCTTGATTTGACCTCATAATAGGTGGACCAATGACCTGCCAAGAATGCCAATTAGCCAATCCGATTAAAAAAAAATTTGCCTAATTAGCTTAACAATAATTTATACTGCCACAACCATGTCAATCGCTGGCGGTGAAGAAGGTCGAAGGAGTCGCAGAATCCTCTTCCCCATAGATGGCAGCGAAAGTTGCACTAACGCCTTTAAGTGGTACCTCAACTACATCAAGTTATCCGGCGATTTTATTATCTTCGTGCACATCGTGGAGCCGGTCTACACATCTTCTGAAGTGCGAATCGACATAGAAGGCCCAGAAGTGCGTTTTGAGGACGTTCCCAAAACTATCGATGATGTTATGAACAGAAGCAAAGCCCTCGGGTTGAGTTACATGAGCTTGGCGAAAGAGGCCGGTCTGGAGTCAAAGGCCTTCCTTCACATTGAAACGCAACCTGGTCGGGCTATTCTCACTTCTGCAAAGAACCACAACATCGACATGATCGTGATGGAGGCAGGAGGTCAGGGCATTTTGTCTGGAGCATCCCTCGGTCGTATATCCGATTATGTCGTGCACAACTCGACCGTTCCTGTTGTCATCGTGCACGAGTAAAAGGACCGAAATGTCTCTTAAAATCAAACACTTTTTCCAACATTTTAGACGATTTGCGATCCTTTGTAGCTTAATGAGTGTGCTAAAAAGGGAGTTATGCTCTTATTTTCATTCCCATAAAAATCGCCTCATGGTGTTTAACACGGGAAAGAGAAGAATAATTTTTAGAATGGGAAGTATGCCCAGTATGTTGCTTAAATTAATTGTAAAAGATGATTGCAGTTAAACTACAAGACATGTGAATCAGTGGCCTCCCGCATCACTATTCATACGCATGAGGAGCAGTAGAAGAACAGCAGCAACAGCACTACCAACTCCGACAGCACATTTGAGCACGAAGCAACAAATAATAGCTGAGAGTGAAACATCTTCAACTTTGCTAATGGCAGTTAAAGTGTGGGGGTAGAGTGTGGTCTGCTGACTGATGCAAATACAGCTGCGCAGTAGCTGTGCGACCTCAGGGCAGCCATCAGGTCATATTTGTTGGAAGTCACCAATTACCAATGGCAACGATACACTGATAGGAGAAGTACCAAATCACTTTTGCTTTTTTGTATGAATGCTTATTCGGAAGAGAGCCGTCCTGTCAAAACTGGGAAGAGAGTTTAAACGGAAAATAAATTCTTTAATTTGCAATAGTATCCACCGAATTTGTGCGTAAATAACCATCAAATGATTAAAAATACAAGGGTTAAAGCAGTTATTTTCCGGTACCATTGTAGATACATTATAATGAATGATGCATTTAATGTGCTTACAGAAATCAGGATTAACTGAGATACTCAGGATGTTGCGACCGCCTCGCTCGATTACGATGTTAGCTTCTCTTTGCAACGACTCCTTGGCGCATCTGCCGATAAAATCACCCCCACTTAATCCGATTTGCGTCTACTGTACCAGCCAGTGACCTCCCGAGAGAATTTTCAATTGCAGGTTTCGACCATCTTTGGAAGGAGTGGTTAACCACTTGCTTTACTTTGTAACGGTGAAGTCGTTTTGATAGAGCGTTTCCCAGCAACTTCATTGATTAATTAAAAGGAGAAATATAGTGAACCGGAACGCCTCCATGTTCGTCACTAAAATAGAAACCCACACCAAACAACTCAGCCATACTGATCTCATTTAAAAAGAAGGATTTAACGTGAACGTAAGATTGTCCCTTCCGGTTGTGAACCATAGAAAACATTCTTCCGCGTATCCTTTATTCAAATAGCACAGCGCGAACAGAATATCCTGCAGTTTGGATCTGCACAGAGTTCTTATTGTGGCGTGTACACTTCACAACAGCTTTTTTGGCTTACAGAGCCAAACGGCTGGGTGTCTGAATTTTGTCTGCTTGATTTACTCACCTTTGCACTTGGTGTTTTTAAACTCCACTCAGTGTGTCACAACAGAAAGATTTACATATTTAGTTTATTTCCGTGGCTTATGATTTCATTCAAAAGGTACCTAAGGGTGTGTGTGAACTTAACGGATTCCATCATTCGCCTACGAAACAACTGCCAACCTTTTTTGTAAATAATAACTATTATTGTGGTTTCCATAGCCCGAGCGAAGAAAACCGAAGCATATTTTATACCCACTTATAATATCACCTTTATATGCGCATGCACATGGGAATTACTAGTATTTGTAATTCTTCGACTTACTAGTCTCCTATAACAAATCAACCGAGGCAACTTCAACTTGGTTTGATCCATAATTGCCCTGTCTCTGCCTTGTGAGTTGAGCAGTCGACTTCAAATCCAAAACACACGCTCAAAAATCATGCAGCAACTTTGAATAAGACGAGACACGGTAGCAAAATTTCATCATTCTTTTCTTAGCTCAAAATTCTAACAGTCGAATTTCTTAAAATGAGAACATCCTTCTGCTTGGTACCTTGTATAGCTAGATTAAGTGATGGAATTACCGCTTATTGTTTCCACAACGAGCCTGGCAAAAGACAAATCTGCAATGCCTAATGCAAGTCCAGGAAAAGGTTGTGGAAGAAGAAACACTTCCAACCATTCAATGCTATTATGAAAAAAATGGAACTTGGTTTTTCTATCAAATAGGACAGTAAAACATTAATTGAGCAATGTTATTCACCTGCAACCCTTCCATCTAATGCTAGGAAACTAAGTAGTGAAATCACTCTTCCTAAAATTGATAAAAGAAAATGTATGCGAAAACTTTCCGATTGAGAATTAGAGGGTTTTCAAGCGGAGACAAATAGTGAAGAATCACATCCAGGCCCGGAATTCGGCTCCGCAGAAATTTGGCTCAACCGCTCAAGGATTGGAAATCACAGTTGTGTGAATAAACAATGTTATAAGTACTCCTTCAACAGCGTTGGGGTTTGCAGTTGTCAATGTTGCGCCTTTCAAAATATCATTTATTGTTCGTATAAGCACTTGAAAAGCCCCAAAGGAAATCCATTAAATCGTGTTCATCATCGTAAAGCTAATACAACTCTGCCTTTTCTTTAACTTTGTCCCAGAGAGGAAAGTATATGGACAAAACAGTCATAGTATTTATTCAGAGCCTCAAGTCTTCCCTGGAGTCTTAGTAAGCCTTTCTAGTTTGGGAGAAAATTTACAATTAACGCACAGAAGTGCCAGGAGAGTGTTATCCCAGCAGACAAAAGTACAAGTCAGGAAGACTAAGAAGCCCGCCTAGTTAGATTCACATTCAAACAAGTACAGAAGTATTACATCTGTATGAACGTATGTATGCTCACAAGTGCGTGAAATGAGTTTTCATTGCAGGACCCCATATATGCTTTATGGACGGAGACGCATCTGACATTTGGATTCCTCTTCGTGTAAGCAAATTTGTTCGAGAAAAGTAGGTCATTCCAATCAAAAGATCTACTTGAAGTCTTATGCTACTTAGATGTTATAGCAATGTACAAGTAAATGCAACGGATTTCCTCTAAAAGTAGCGAAATTATAAAAAACCGGATTTGTTGCTTTTGACTAAATTAATAGCTGTAAGTGAATTCTGCAAACTTGAAACTAACTTGAATGTAATACAGAAATCTTAATCAGGGAGGAGGTAGTTGAAATGATACATTTTGATGGTACAGTCAGCTCGAACTATAATGGACTTACCTTTCTAAGCGGGGAATGCAAATAAGAAAGTCCGACTTGCTTATGGCCAAGGAAGACGACTTGCCTCCATGCCTGCTCACTCCAGCTTTTGACGGCACATTCAAGTTTACATTAGAGTTCCTAGTTTGCGGAAGGCTGAACACTTTATAACAAATATCTGGACCGTCTCTGCGACTTCAATTCAGAAACGCTTCTCCATTCCTGTTTCTTTTAGCAAACGATTTTCCTAGATTAAACAGAGGGAATTGTTTACCACATGGAATAAAATTGTTTACTAATATGTCCATTCAAGGGAAGCTATGTTAGTTTACACATTCTATTTTCCTCTAAGAACATGCGATGTTGGTAAATTTTTACGGTGGTTACTTTTAAGATGGGGAACTAGTAAGGTCAGAAGAATTTATCGTAGCGTGCGAAACATTTTCACTCAACCAATCTTATGCATCATAATTCGCCTAATCAGTTCTATCCACCAGTGATAATCTAATCAGAACAAAATATTGGGAAAATATGCTTTATCCGAATAAAGAGACGTTCACTCCACAAATGACCGCGGATTTCCCTTCTAGGCCAATGGAAGTAAGACTATTCGAAGCCTTCGTCTAGAGAACAGACAATGCTATTATGCTTTATGTCATGGAGACTGTAGGCTATTTAATAAAAGACTAGAGCTTCTCACCATCCCCACCGGAGGTCAAGTGGTGGATCGTCGGGTGGAGAGGGTTTGAATAGTGTGTGCAATATAACTAGACTACATTCAATGATGCTACTTTCCTGGAGTGAGAGATTCATTGTCCACCATGAGAGGCCAAAACAGGCCGTTGTCAAATTGGCTGTCAATGAAGCCTCGGTGGTTTTAGTTGCCGCGCATGGTTTGAAACAGTGTAGGCAGTTCCAAACGGTAAGTGTTGGCCAATGTTGTGCAACGCTCAAACGAAAGCGAGAAATCATTTTTGGTTTTAAAAGGGCCCAGTTTCCAGAAAATAAGTTATTTGGAACCAGCTCTCGTGGTAAAAACTACTTATTTCTTGTTGATTCAATCTGTTTACTAACTTCGTACTAAAAATGAACTTTGTCAATCAATTAATTTGCTTTTGAAATTGACCTAAAGTGAAGTAATACTGAAGACTTTTGGGCGGTAAACTTCAATCCTATCAAGGCGACTGATGAAGTAATTTATTGCGCGTATCATGATTCAGCAAATGGATAAAATAGTCAGGACCTTCTCAAGTCATAGAGTTGTACATTTAAAGAATATAAACATGTAAAGGATATGGGTTTTAATTTTGAAGATAAGGTAAATAACGGGACATTCCAATGGTTAATATTATTATTCGCCTAGCAGACTATCCTTGGTTAAAGGAAGTGAAACCTGAAAAACCAGGGTCACTGCTTAACTCAGCGCTTCAGCTCAGCTTCAAATAGTAACTGCTTCGTTTGAAAGCTATCAATCCATTAATGGCGTCGAAGTATCCCAACCTGTTGTTCGGTCGTTAATACGAACGATCTATTAGATTATTGACTGCAATTGATTTATTGATTGTTTTAGAAAAATTAACGAATTCGTATAAAAAGATGGTGTAATGCAAAACCAACCACACGCATTCCATAATGGTGGGGAACTTTGTGTAAAAAAATTCCGGGTAAGAGAATTTATTACACTTCCAATATGAAGTGATGTAATTTGACCACACGAGAATTGAATGCCTTAAAGGCGCGCAATTTAAAGTGGTTAAAGGTTCGAATACGTGCGCGCTGAGTTACGCGTTGCATGGTAATGCTTAAACTGCTCTGAATAGGGCCTTTGAGGAATTCAACTTTACACCATAGTTGGTAAAAACACTTTCAGAGGTTATTACTGCTGTAGGACCAATCCAAAGCTAACATCAAAACATCCGAAAAAGTGGACGATGCATGCGAATACCAGGGAGGCTAATACCTTCATTTGCAAACTATCCTTTCTTCGAACAAATGAAGTCAATTGAGGAGGGGGCATTTTAAAATGCATTTAAAGATGTATCTTAGGTAACATTGTTTTCATTAAAACCCTGCCCCTGATATGTCGCATCTGTACCAAGATAAGGCTCCTAAAAGTGTTAAACTGCTGAGTTATGGAAGGAGCACAGCTGCCATCATAAGCAAGTCTGATGCGAGCATTTTCGAATTGAATTAATAAAAGTTGTGCAAACAAGCAGTAGATAGTTCGTAGGCCAGAATTTTTCTGTCATGGTATAGTGTTTCTACACTATGCAGAAAACTTAACTGCGAATTGAAGCTTGTGGTACTATCGAATGGTCTGTTTCCTTAAGCATAATAGGCTCACTTCAAAGAATTGAGTTAGGTGCCCTTAAAACTGACCGAATCCAATATTTCTCAACACTAAAATGCTATGCAATCTTCTTTTGAAGTTGATGGAGTCATTATAGCAGAGAGCAAAGTGAAGCTTGGAGACTTTCCGGTTAAAATTCAAACTCTTTGCTTAACTGTAATTTGAAGCCATGATGTTCAGTAATGATTTTAACAGGTGTTTTGCAGCATTTTATGTCCTAAGCTTTCGTAATATGAGCATTATTTCATTTTCTTTTGAATAATGCACAGTTGCTTAATTAGTTTCTCCTATGAAAACTACAGATGGTCTCGTGCGAAATGGCGAAACAGAGTCTCAAGAACTTATTCAGAGGTACTTACTTCCACTAGAAACTACACTTGATGGTTTACGTTAATTTAGCTTTAAGGGCATTGCAAAATAAGAAATATTTGGCCTCGTTGGGTCGACCATATTAAGGATGTCGAGGAAATTCTCATGCTGAGATACAGACTCTTGTTTAACGGTGATTTGCCCTCCTATATTGAGACTGCCATTTACGTCTTGCGCCGATGCTTTCACCACTCGAAATGGAGTTTGTGCTCGTCAAATCAATGGCTCACCTTTAAAGACTGTGAATTAAGATTTTTTTAAAACACTTTTGTGGATTCTTAGCACGTGACTACTTTAAACCAAGCGCTTCTTTGATCATTTTTGGCAAAGATTAAATTTGAAATCTTTTACAACTGGCAAAATTGCTGCAAATACTTCGAGAGTAACTTCTAAATTTCTGCTCCCTTTAAAAAGGAGCCAGAAATGGAGACGAAGTATGGAGACGAACTCGCCAGGCTATTTGACATTTTCTTCAAAGGACGCGCGTGGATAAGAGTTAAGGCTGAGCAGACAAAGTTTAACTGATGAAATGACAGTCGCTCCCGTCAGATTGATCCCATTGTAGAAAACACTGTTTTTATTCCTTTTTTCCACTAATGCAAATAAAAAACCTACCCAAGGAGCTCCACTGTAAAGTATCAACGTGAAAATGCCTAGTCCATTAAATGCATAATATTCATAGGGTTCATTAATTATACGAACACAACTATAGCCGAATACTTGTCTTGTAGTGTGCAGAAGGGTCACAGATGCTTCGAGAATAAGTAAGTATTATTTTGTAGTGAATATAATATCATCAACACCTCAAGCTTAAATTTACTCTCCTGCAACTGTTTACCGTTCAAAATAATTATTTTAAGATGATTTGCATTTAATTAATGCAGCATTAGATAGTGCTATAAGCTTAGGCGCGAAAAAAAGTTATACGATTATTTCTTTAATCAATTCATCACGAGATTTGCATTTCCCCCTTCGTGCTCGAATAAACATCGTTACTTATTTTAATTTTAGTCATGATTTATGTATTAGAATGACCAGCCTTTGTGATTGATGGCTATATATGCTTCGGAAAAAAGGTGGATTTAATGAACTTCGGGGAAAATTTAGCACCTCATTAAAGCTCACGAACCACTACTCCTCTTTTTAGGATCACTGGTAATGATTAACTGAATGGACAAGCGAGGATTCCATGCAGTCTTACAGATGTCTTTTGTTATTCGCAAAATAATGCTTTACCTATGTATTAATAACGAAGAATACCAGCCATCTTTTTCGCACTTATTATAAAATAAAGTGTACACAATATCAGTCCAATTCATCAAAGATCTCAGATGTCTCCAATGGCTTACAAATTTTGGTGCGGAAAGTCCATAGCATCGGGTCTTTTTAGTAATATTGGAGAAATACCACGTTTTTCCCGTCATTTGCCCTCAAAATTCACCACAATCTCGAAATAGTTTGGACATAAATGCCGGTTAAACTCCCGTTGCGTTAGAAATCGCACGCCACTTGAGAAATTATGTTAAAAAATAGTGTTTAATAACCTTGCGTGCACTTCATTCAGGTAATGTGGTTGTGAAATAGTTAAACTGTCCATTATGAGGCTAGTTTATCTGGTGGTCAGAAGGATTTTGCCAAGTAGCCTCAGGCGCAAAAATCCTTAAGGAAGTTTCTAACTCACTAAGGCACTTTGAATCTTATCAGACGCATAAAATTGGTCCATAAAAGGATAAGTTGAATTATTTGGGAAATTCGTTAGCCATAAATTATCATCACATTCTTCAATACTCACATCCAGTATCCATAAAAGGATTTATTTTTGAATAAAAGCGGATAATCACATTTTGTCAATTGCCAGAATAGTTGTGACCGCAATTTAACAGAAGTGTAATCGCCAAACAGGATTGGTTTAAGCTTTCGCCCCTCGGTTAATGAAAATCCGCACCTTCGGGCATTCAGCCACTCTGATGCCAGGCGAGCGCAAGGATTGAAATCGGGCCATTGCAGCCGGCACATTGCAACTTGGTCGCATTAGCGCTGGAGTTATGTCCTCTAGCGGTCCTGTGAATGTGGAACCACATCGAATTGTGTTAATTCCAATCGATGTGAAATAGCATTCTCCTGGTACTTAGAGCATTTGAAAACCGGCACCTATCGCGTTTCGTTCATCCACGGCATTGAACCTGCGCATTCCTCCCCGACAGTTGCATTGGCCATTGAGTCACCCCCAATCATGGTCGACGATATGATAAGCGTGATGGAGGAGAGCATAATTTTAGGCAGGAAGCTTGGCCAAGAATACATGAAACCGGCGAAGGTGGCGAAACTATCATACAAGGCTTTCTTGCACATCGATACCAAGCCTGGCTCAGCTATTGTCCGGTCTGCAGCTAAACATAAAGCACAGCTGATCGTGCATGGCTCTCGCGGTTTCGGAGTCATCAAGAGAGCATTACTGGACAATATTAGTGACTACGTTGTTCACAATTCCACTGTTCCTGTAGCCGTGGTACCACCGAAGCCCGCGCAAAGTCGGAAGTGATTACATGAATCCTTCCTTAGGTTGAATGTTCGCTCTCTAATTTCTCTTGATTACCCTATCTTCAATCCTGCTGACAACACCGTGTGCTCTTTAGTCCTTTTCCGTATTTACTGACCTGCAGTGTGCTTTGTCCAAAGTATTCTTAAAAGCACTTGGTAGATGGAAATGTGGTGATTTGACACTTTTTTTAACTGTGCGTTCATCTACGTGGGAGTTTCAGTCTTTGGAGATTGTACTTTCACTGTGCAACGGCCTTTGGCCCACACAAATAGCCTCCCACCCCTTAAGCTATTACTACATGTCCCTCGGTGCTACCTTAACTGTAGCAAAGACGCGAAATGCTGCACTGGTGGCTGCGGCATGCGAACTCGACCGAGAAGGAGCAGTCGTGATGCTCCTAGTGTCCGTGTCGATTTTCCTGTGACAGAAGCATACACTTCCCTACTAAACTACACCAGATAAATGTATGCGTCAGGCAGGACGAGATTTTTTATGTATTCACAAAGTAAGCTAATCTGTAATTACTGTTATTACTTATTTTTCATTTTGGGAAGGCTGCCAATCATGGAAATTTCTTCAAAACTTCGATTAATGGGTAAACAGTGACTACATGATAAATGAAACCTTGTGTTGCAAGGCATCATTCGTTTCCTGATAATATTAGTTAGCTTTAGTAAGTTCTACCTATTTTAACTAGCTCGTTAGTTGTCCTGTCTGCTACGCAACCCCTTTCTTAGAATGGTAGAAGCACTAGTCGCATTCGTTTTTCCCTGTACTTTGCATCTTTTTGCTATGTAAGTGGACAGTGACATTTCAAGCAATAACTATTAATTTTGCTAACTTCTCCAAAAACAATGGCTCCTTCAAAGCCAATTACGGTGACGTCTGGTTTGTTGGGGCAAACTAATGTGATTGGATGGATTAAAATACCGCATCGCAGAGTACGCTTTCGAAAGAAAGATGTGGTGGAGTGAATCGCAATTGTCTGACCCGTCTGCAGGGAGGCTGATACAAGAAGGAATTTTCTGAAACACGCTGCAAAGTAGCGTTTCCTCAATCGTATTATGCGGACTTTTATGAGCCATTAAAGTAAAAGCTCATACTAGATTAAGGACGATTTTCTTTCTAATTTCTTGCGTATACAATGGAATTGGGACTTTAATATTTTACCATAATTGAAATCATTTTGAAAACATTTTTTGGTAATTTTGAGGCAACTTAAAATCCCAGTTTTCTAATAGATCCTGCTTAATGCACAATTACCGCAATGGTACTTTGCATTAAGTCCACATTCTTCGGAAAGGTTGTTTGTTAAGCTAATTTCATTGCCTCAACAAACTTCTTACATGTTGTCCAAGCGACTTCAGGCTAATTTCAACATTCATTTCTCTTCCACTCCTTTTTCACTCTACCAGCTGCTAATCGGGAAGAACGAAGCAACAGTTTTTATAATGAATTCGACTTCTCAACTTTTACTCGATATTTAAATGGGTCGAAATTCATCCTACTCTTCATTTGGCACTCACAAATGCTCTGGCGACTATTTGGCAGGGATATTTACCATCGCGACATACCATTGATCCTGGTAAATATTTTACTACCCAACGCATTCCGATGATTGTGTCATAAGCTTTCAATATCAAACATAAGTGAGCAAGCACTTAATTGGTCCTGGTAAAACTATAATTTAGATTCAGTCAAAAATTATCCAAATAATTGATACACTTAACTAGCAAATCAGTCAGAGGGCGAAGCAAAACTTCCTAGTTTGAGCTTGAAGTTATCCTTGAGCTGATTTATGACGCCCCTTTGCATTCTCCTCCGGAGCCTATTTGTATACTCCTTCCCACGAATGCCTTCTTCTGACTCATTCTAAAACGCTCTAGGATCATATACTTGCATCCATTTATGAATAAAAGCCAATTTTCTGACCAACTCCAAGCTCTCTCATTTTTTAATGCAGTCCATTCTAAACTCTCCTGCCCCAGAAACTTAGGGTTCGCTTTGCTCGTTAGGGGCTTACTTAAAGGCAATATTTATAGAACTCAGGACAAAACACGGTCTTAGAGTAGTATATATAGCAAAACGCAGTCACCACTGAATGGCCTGTTAAAAAGTACTCCTTTGTTGGTTTTATGCATTTTCTGCACTTTCTCATTTCTAAATTTAATTATATTTCATCATATCTAGCCGGCACACTCGGTTTTACAAGCATACTTCTGCTATAATTAAGACTGAGACACCAAAAAACCAACTTCCTCTTTAATTATTTCGCAATCAAATTAGCCTTGCTGGCACAGTGGTCGCTTGGTTGGGAGACACATCTAATTCGTTCAGTCCTAGCTGTGAGCTCGAACCCCTATAAGCCGAATGCCACTTCATCTACAGTCAAAGAAGAAGTCCCTGTAGTCTAATTTCTATTAATCAACAATATTGGGAAAAACTTTTAACCTTGCTCTTTTGTCAGCAGATTATTTACCAGTTCGTGCACACGACAACATTCCGGATTAAAAAAGGCAATTTCATATTATGTGTTGAGAAGACTACAATCATGTTGCGATGCAAGGCGCATCAGTCGGGTTCGCATTTATGAAACCCAGTGTGGTCGATACGCCAGTTTGTGTTATCTGTTATTTTTACGGTGGGCTTCTTATCCGGGTACATTACTGCAAACTGGAAAAAAATGTCATATAATGATGTATGAATTCAGAAGTTGAACATCGGAGCCATCGTACATTATTTTAGATTATATAGTGCTATAAACATCATGTTTCATCATCAAAATATCATCAACAAAAGATGTAAAGCTATGATCCTGGCAAACACTGAAATTATTTCTATTTAATTAATCTGCTTTTCGTATTAAAAAAACATACTTTCGAGGTAATTAATCCCACTAGCACACTGAAATTGGGTGATTACATAAAAATATTAAATCAAGATACGCTTGCTCCTTAGTGGCTATGCTTAGAGTCAAAAAATTTACTCATTCGTAGCAGCTTTGAAGTTTATAGAAACGAAATTTTAGATTAATTCCTAGATGATATTTTAAATTTTTGCAATGGCAGGGTTAATAGCAGCAAGCTCGCCAAATCAAGTTAAATGATCATCCACTATTGATAACATCCACATTTTGTTCACGCTTTCATTTCTGAGACAAATGGTGGTCAAAAGCATCAAGCAACGCTTTTGAAACACGTGAATGCAGCTATCACACGAAGGAGTTGCACACCTTTGAATGCAAACCACAAGAATCATCAATGGGCAGTGTTTTCGATGTTCACATTTTTCGCTTGCTTCTTAGAGGTTGAAATACCGAATCTTCTTCCCAATTACTTGCACAAATCGCGACTGAATCATACGAAAGTTAATGGATTGCCTAAACTAGAGTGAATTAAAGGAATTAGTGTGTTTTAAGGTAGTTGTCATATAGCTTGTGGACTGACAGGATCGAATATGTCATAGCTATGTGAGCAATGAAATTCACAAGCAAGAAGTTTGCTTAACAGTATTTTATTAATTAAGTTCATTTCGATTCCATTGTGTATCAAAATGAAAAAAAATGTGCAATTGTGGCATCAATAAGAGAAATACCTGTCTTCTCAGCGAATACAGAAATCCTAAAATTTCCAAGTATTAAGGAAATTATCATTCAGATTAACTTGACTTTACAGGATGTTCCTTTTCATTCAAGATGATTTTTCAGTCTTACAAAACTGTTGAGCCGTTGCATATTCCAAGCTAAACCACTTAGGTAGCAGTTTTTAAAGCTAAACAACCGTGTTCCCTAAACAATGCGTTAACTTTGTGCTTGTTGGAGTTAACAACATCAGTCCTTAATCAGCAGTGACAAACTTAATTCTTTCCCAAAAAAATACAACAACCCACAGAGAAGTGTCCGGATACGGTATACTACTTGCCTTTCATTCGGTATCATTGGCACCAGCCGTCTCCGCTACAAATATGTTCCCATCTAGGGATGTGGCCAGGATTGATTCTGGAGCCAAAAGTTGTTATTCCGTTTGCTCATTTGTTATGTGGTTACACAGGTATCGAATTGTGTTGGTGCTGTTTTTGCTGCACGCAATCAGTGATGTTTGGCCAAACGCAGCCCGTGGCATTTCAGCAATTCGCTAATGAACAGTGGAGGATGGGTGAGTCGATTGCATTTTATCAATTCGCGTCAGTGTTCTGGGATGCATTTGAACTATTACGAGAGTACATTGGAGTTTCAGGCTTAAAACATCAAAACCTAACTCCACCTGGAACTAAGCCGTTCTGATCTATCGTGGTAGGCGTTGACGACAAGACTCTCTGGTAGTTTGCTTTACACTTACAGTCTCGTACTTTCAAAATAGGCTCTTGTATTTACGGTGATATGTGTCAGAGTGATACATGAGAATCTGCTCATGGAATTCAAAACCTGGTCTAACTTATTTGACAAACATTTTGGGACTGAAGTCATTCCCTGATAAAAAAGGACATGGGTAAAATAACGGCTGAAATGGTGCCAAATTTCCCCAAGAAAATCAATGTGAAAGTCTTATCTGGAAGCAAACAAGAATACTAAAACAGACCTCGTCATTACTTTCAAGAGAGTAATTGGAAGATTACTAGAATTTCCGCTTCATTTATAATTGGAGTGATCAAACAAATTCGTCGTGATGAACAAATCATATTTTGTGAGGTTTTGATTTAGACTTTACGTGATTTAAAAATATTAGTGCTAGAATGTTGTGGAATAAGTAATGGAAATAGTAACACGGAAAGTATCAAGGTCCATAAATGTCTTACATCTCCAAAATTTTAAATATTATGAACTCATGTACAAGATTACGAAAAGGTAATTCGGTCCAAACGACTTAAAAGGCTTGAGAACACCTTGCGGATGATTAGTCTTAAAATTGCTGCCAATGAAAAATGCTGATGATGCCTTGGCTGGAAGGATGCAGGCCACGCTATCGTATCTGGAAGGCGAATGATACTACTTCCGTGTTTTTAATAATGATGGTAAAGCTATTTTACTGCCACTTAGTGCAATTTCGTACGTCTTGTATTTACAGGAAAGTTAGTGAGCGAACCAAGATAACCACAGATTTTGTGTGGATACCTTTTCAAATTTTTATGCATTAAATCACCCGTCGTTGCATTTCGTGAAATGAAGTTAATATGCACTGAACGCAGTAATATTTACGGTAATTCAAAGTGAGAACCAGTTTTCCTAGTTTTCTTTCGTTCAAACCATTCTCATGTCATCCCATCGTTTCTAAACTATTGAAGTGAAACTTCCCACTAGCTGCACGAGTTTTGACTTTTGTCAGACCTGTAGAGGAGGCCAGTAAGAACGCAAAATTGTGTCTAAACATATTTAGGAGCTTGAGGTAACTTCATTGCCTCAATTAAAGAAGATTTAAAGTACTGAAAAACAAAATTTGGGCCAGCAAAATCCGGCCAAAGTTGATAGTATGGGTGGAGCTGGTGCACCTGATGTGGGATGAGTAGTATGGAAACGAGAAGAGGGAGTGGAGGAACCCAAGCTCAACGTCCAGCAACATAATTTTTCAAATTGTCATATGTCACTTCGCTGGTTACACCAACTGGAACCTACAACAAGAATATACTGCGATCATTTTAAAAAGTGAAAAAAAATAAATTGTAAATTCGCATCTAAAGGCATATTTAGGTATATTTTAAGATTGTTCGAAGCTGTACGGTAGCTTTTGTATGTGACTACTGAAATCATGATTACATAGTGCTTGCTGAAAAACCCCTCCAACTCAAAATAATCTATGTACAGTAATGTGCATATTTCAAGCCCCACTGTTTACAATGAATTTGTAAAAATGCTCTTACATATGTTAGCATAATTTCCCACCAAAATATTGTGCTTTTTTAATCTGCCGCCAGTGGGGTAAAAATGCTTTTTCTAGGTAAATGTCTGCCAATTCCCGACAGCAAGTTTAGCTCATCGCGACAGAAGGGTCGACCTCAAGTCCACTTATGCCGATTTAGCTTCCTAGTTAAAACGCATGATTAAGGTGAAAGCTTGCAGGCATGAAAAATTAATCTCAATTATTTTAAAAACCAAAGCGTGACTGAAGGAATTCTTAGATTAACTGTCTCTGTTTCAGAGCCAAAAAAACAATGCCGTTGCCGGCATTTACGGTGTAATATGCCGTAAGTTGACTTTCGAGGAAATTTTGGAAATTACATTTTGCCACCAGGAGCTTCCTAAATGAAATCATTGCATAGACCATATGAAAATAGAAATCTACGGTCAATGAAATGAATCAACAGACGATTGAAAACATCTTACTCTTTGTGTGATGTCATTGAAATAACCCATGGTGTAATCGAAAAAGAATGTTCTGAACTTGTTGAAATAAGATGGAAGAATGCAATCTTACGAGAAATTTAGTGCAGTTAAAACCGCATTTCATGGGTCCATCAAACCAATCTATAAAAGGGATTTGCCATACCTTGCGTACAATTTCTTTAAGCCGGTCATTTTGTAGCAGTAACTCAACAGATCTGTAGTAAGCAGCTAGCCTGTTCTTAGTGGCTTCTGGGTCTAGCGTGTACGCCTCAATACCAAGGGTTATTTTCGTTTTCTCCTTTGCCAAGCACTGCTTTTGCACAGCCTCCTTATCCTCACCCAGAACGAGAATGCGTACTTTTGAATTGGTCTATCAAAAAAGGAGTTAGACAGCGCGTCTACAAGCAGTATTCCACCTGACTTATTGTGAGTGCAAGAAACACTGAAAATAGGTATTCTCGGAAAAGTAGTTTCCGAAAGGTCCAAATTAAAAGGTAAACTGAAATTTACTGCAATGACCTCCTTTTTGAACTACCAAAGCTACATAGTAGTTGAATAAGAGAAAACTTCTACTTTTCTTATGGCGTGTGCTGCCAGAACCGCATTTCACGCATTCCTACACTTCAGTGTATAAATAGGGAAGAAGCGATGACAATTTTTCGTCCCGATGTTCAGGCATTATTTTTTCTACCACTTTTGTAAATTGTCTTTTATCCCCAACAGCATCTCATAATTAAAAGAGATCCATTCCCATTACACACTAACAATAAGCCCTTAATTTAATGAAGGCTAGACAAAGTGACCAAATAAATGCTTGCATTTTTTGTACAGAAATTAAACAACTTTGTAGAGACTCAAAGAATATTTTTGTCAAAACGGTCACCATTACACCATAATTCATAATTCTTCCCCAGCGAAACGCAAACTAGCTGCGAAATTCAACCTCATACGACAAAGTATAAACCTGGTGACGGTCAATTCAACTTCTTTCTCTAACGCTATTCTCGTGACGGCTATCCTATTTCACACGTAATTGTCCAATAACAGGAAAAGACGATAGTCACCAGTTGCAGAGCTATCAGGGAAATAAAGAGAATTTAAGTGGTACTGTTTCTCCGTTCTGTCCTAAAATGCAAATCTTCCCATAGTCGTTTTTTGAATTATAAGGTCTCACGTTGTCCTGGAAGAAAAGGACCTTCCATCCGCTGATTTTGGTTGCTTTCCGAGGCTACTTACGTACGCATATTTCATTTATATCGTGTCAGGTGGATCCCAGCAAGAAATTCATGGAGCACACTCCCCTTCCACACACCCCCACAAAGCATAGGCTTGATGGACTTGAATGCCTCAGAGGTATGGGATGGGAAGTATGTAGATCATTTTGCTCGTTCAACGAAAGTTTGAATACAAACGGCTTTTCTTATTAAAAGTCATTCAGAAAACAACACAACAACGGCGTTTTCATAGACGATATGAAACGAGTGAAGGACAAAATTGACAGTCTGAAAACTTGCCTCCGCCATCTAACGGTGCACGGCATGTTCTATTCATTTCCTTATTAGCTTTCATAAATTCGCCACTTGATGCAAGAATAAGCCATTTGTTTCACTACTCACTTTAAGCATCACTAGAGACTGTTTCTACCATCTTGATTTGTAATTACTTTAACCAAGCGGCGACAGATTATTCTTCGCTATCAGGAATACTGTGTCTTCCAGAACATAACGCACCAATGATGCATTGCCGGTATCACATTTAACACCATTTACGGTCGGTACAACCTGTCACTGCACCTTGTTCAGATGTTATGCTTGTTTTGCACGATTCTCGTAAGGCTTCGGAAACGGGTTTAGATTTGCAAAGTGGGCATTCTCTAATTGCATCAGGCCCAGTCACCATTTTGTGAGGTTTCAAAAAAAAAAAACAAGGAAATAGTTGAGCACACCAAAGAGTGCCGATGGATTGACGCGCATATCTATAGCTCATATAAACAATCGCGTGCATTTTACGGATTCCTCCAAGTTATAAGCCATTGCAACGAGCTACACAGAAAGCATTACAACACTTTTGGTCATCTAATATTTTAATTAGAACTATATGTTAAATTACTACTAAAAACAGATACAAACGAACCTTCATGGGGTTTTGAAGCAATTCAAGTACTTCATTAGGGCTTCCAACAATTACGAAGCCTGTGCTTTCTGCAATCCCACCAGTTAGTGATTTCTCAATCCGCCCAAATTCGTTCTCCTACAAGGCAAATAAGCTTTAACGCATTGAATCTGGTCAATTCCCCTCCATCAAATGTCTCCATATTTTAAGATTTTTATAAATTAATTGGCATTATCATATTTGGATTTCTATTAGCACGAAAAGAAGGGCAGCTCATTGGGCGAGAAAGGCAAGAGTGGAATTTCCAAATGGGCAAGTTATAAAATGCGCCTCTATGTGCGAAAATAATGCACCTTCTGAGGAAGATGAACTAACGGTTTCCAACTTTGGGACAGGCGGTGGTCACAAAACGTGGCGTCAGTTAAGTCAGGCTAGTGCTGACCCTACTGTCCAGAACAATACAACCGTCCAGAAACTGGCTGTTTTTACTACTTCGGTGTACCTACTGCAACCACAGGCTTACGTATCGCCTAACTACCTCTTCAAAAAAGAAAAGAAATGATCTGATCGTGGCATTGCCACTTGCATATCGTCAAGGTTTTGGCAGCCGGGTATCTGAAGCTGCAAGTCATGGAAGAATGGGTTGTTTCAGACGTTTGCATAATGCTATAACTTGAATGTTTTTGTTTTTAGAATGGGAAACGCATTCAGTTAAGCAAAATAATACTACTTCTCCTTTCATTGTGGCACTTTTCCCAACTTGCCTGCTCATAATCTTTCTCTTGTGCATTCCTTATAGAAGCAAAAGTAAAATTTGTTTCCGTTGCGAGCCTCCTAGCCAGATGTTCTGTTCCACATGTTGGAGGTCCTATCGGGTGAAGTGGTTGAAGTTACTGATTTTTTAACTTACCAATAATAAAATACGTCCAAAAATCAGGCCAACCCGAGTAGAGGGCTGCAGAAAAACAAAAATTTATTTAACGAATGCAGAACTTATTGGTTAAGCCGCGGAAAAGTTTTCTTACATGCGCTTAAATTTGAAGAGGATGATGGCTGAAAAAAAATTTGCAAATGAGATTACAGCACTTATTTTAGCTAACAGATATACGGTATGGGAAAATTTTGCATTACGGATTTTATGATCACTTCTCTTATACTGTCATGACGAATCTCATCCACATTTGAATCACTTTTATGCACATCCCCCTGAAACTTCAAACAAAGTAATATGCATAATGAGTGCGTAAAGATCTTAAGAAAAGCGCTGCCTTATAACTCAAACATCTTATATTCGTCGGCCATAAACCATTCGAATACACACTTAGATGTCATACGTGATAGCAAAATTAAATGGCTCGTAAAGTATAAGAAAATGGGTTTGAGAATAACCTTATTTGAAATAAACGAGGACAATTTTGTGGTTTAGTACTGTTCTTAAGAATGCACAACAAGGCGTTGTTCTCCAATCGGGCCAAAGCAACATATTTGCATAGCTTATGTACTCTAAATGTTCAAGCCTGCTCATTCATGCATCATGTAGACATAAAAAATTAGCATTTATAACCGTACGTTATCATTACTGCCGTTTCAGCGATGTACAATTATCCTGGTAATAGCATGAAAAACTCATTCAAATGTCCACTACTTAAGCAGTGAGGCTTAAATAGACTGGAAATTAATGTTAATAACTGTTTTGCATGGAGCAAGACGCCACTCTTTCGTATTCTTGAGCCTGATTACTCTTCCACCATGCGCAGTAGCTGTCCACGTAAATTCGTTTTTAAACAAACTCGATTAAATCAAATAGACAATTACTAATCAAATACCCGGACCGGCAAAACAACAACACTTAATTATTAGACCAAAATTTTCCCAAATTAATGGATAAGTCATCACTAGAACCTCCAAAATACCACCCACAATTTGAATATCCCTTCCTGCAGGGTCTTTTTGTTCTTCCTGAATTTCGGCCGTTGCTTTACTGTGACTGTTATTCGCCTAAATGAGTTCGGAAAGGAAACTGTTATGGAAAAACATTATGTGCAAATAAATACAGTAACAAAGTTGAAAATTCCTTACCAATTCAACAAACTGAAGGGCATTATTGTTTGCACCATTTGCAGATTGTCTCTTGGCGAGGAAATATTCCACGAAAGCGACTAAATCCCTGGTTATCAATTCGGCATCACGATCGGCCGGCATCTAAAGCAGAAATACAGTATGATGCATAAAAATTAAAGTGTTTCTTTAATTATCAATGGTAGAACCAGCAGATAATATTTTCAGTCAAAAGAAATACCCGCTGGAACTTGGATAAATGCGTCGATCTGATAAAAAGTGTTCTAAAATAGCATACTGAACTAAAATAATATTCAAATGAATTATTTTCCTTATTCAAGGCAACTCTGCCACTTCTGTGCTAATAGCTGCCGGATCTTTGGAATCAGACTTAGTAAGATCTTTGCAAATTTCACGGAAAATATAACAGTTGTGTCGAAGTTAAAATTAAAAGTATAGAAACTGGAAGGTAAGTGATACCAAACTGAGTGAACACGGTGTTCACTTAAAATTTTGCAAGAGTTAACAGCATTTCAAATTTGCTTCATCATGTAAATATAGACTACCCAATATAATTTGCAATTTACCTTATATAAAAATGCCAGAAGGCCAAATGATTTTATTCTTGACGCTTTAGAAAGTGAATGAATACTCTATGCATTTTATTACGAACATAAATGGAAACATTCATCAATAACTTCACTTTTCGATACCTAACAAGCAATTTGTCACTCGCCTCGATTTCAAAGCATTATTTGCTTGGTTGTCAAGCTGTTTTGTTATCAATCGAACGGCTTTGAGCGTTATTTCCATCTGAACTATTGCGTTTGGAAAAACCTTAATCGTTTAAGTCCATTGTCATTGGGAGGCAACTTGAGAAAGCACCTAGTTGGAATGGTTTCTCCAAATTGATATAAAACATACAGACAATTTTGAAAACTGTTTAGGAACGGTAGCACTGTTTGAACTTGATTTCCGAGTCTTAAATACGCTTAAAACTATTTTACACGTCTCAACAGTAGCGATTGCCTTGAAAATGCACTTTCATAGTCCATCCAAGGTTAATTTCATCAGGTATTTATACTTAGTCTTTCGCTTTACACATGCGCATGTTTTGAATAAAAACCAGACTTGACTTACGATGACCAGCTTTCCAAGCTCGTCGAAGTAGCGCACGACGGGAAGGGAGACCTGTTTGAAGAAACTGACGCGCTGATGCACGATGTGCGTCTCGTCCTCGATGCGCTTCAGGCGAGTGCAGCGCCTATTCAGCCGCGTAATCAGCGTCTCCTCCTCACAATCCAACAATACCACCATATCCGCCCCTCCGATCTGCCAGGCAGATTGTAACATAGTGTGACCCTAAATGTCTACACGTATTGAGTTATCTTTATACATCACTACTTCAATTATCAATCTCGTGGACGCTTTTAGAAGTCATGGATAAAATATTATTAAACCACCTTATCATCATACAGTTACCCGGCCACAGCGTCGTTAATTAAAACTCCTCAAAAGCTTTGTATCTGGAAAATTTCACTAGATTATAAACCTGAAGCTGCCAGGCATGTTCTGAGACCTGTCAAAAGACCCATTTCAGAATTCTCACAGAAAACTATGATATTTAAGCATTCGCATTTACGTCACTTTTGGAGTATATGACAGCCTTTTGCTCTATTCGAATACAATGCCTGAGAAGCAAATGAGCACCATTTCGAATTAACGCATTTATTTCTCATACAAAAAAGTCAAGACGGTGAAAGCAGTTTAAACCAAAACACTTTCCCAAATTATTAAAGTCTCATCAAGACTACCTGTTATTTTCTATTCATGTTATGAGTATAATAGGCAATAGTGATGGTGTTGCTTATTATGTGTGAATTCTTTTCCTTTTACAATAATTATATGATCTAAAATACCAAAACCAACTTGAAATTATTATTGACAAAAAAAACACTCTCCAAGAGTTACAGTAACCGCCGCACTGAATTAAGCGGTTTGGTTAAGTTTTGGCAGTGGGAATTAAAAGTTGGGTATTCAACTATAAATGAGCAGCAGTAGAGTCGTATTAATATATTTTTTAATGAATCGCAATGCTAAAGTAACAAATTTGTCCAAATTCACAAAAAGCAAATTTTTCTACAAGCAGGCTTTTCCACTAAGCAGGGTAACGATATTTGAACTGTGGGTGGAGCTAAGAAGAGGCATAAAAGTGGCACCAGTCGTCAACTGCCCCACCCACTGGGACACACCCAGGCATGGGGGAAATCGCAATGCATGTAGTAAAGACAATAAAATTGGTCAGGAGCAAAACATACCGTCTTATTAAATGTTGAAATTTGGCTCTCATCATTCATGTAGCCCTCAACAACAACCAGAGTGGCGTTATCCGCTAACTTGACAAACTCATCTCGAAGAATATCTATTTGTATGTCCTAAAACATTTAAAGACCATGCAGTTCATTCGGTGTCGTAAGTGTACAACTTACCCAGTACTCAGGAATCATACGATCCTAAAATGTATGAAAACGTTATTATTAAGCTTAGAATCACTTTAATAGCATCAGATTATTGAGACTTATCTAGGAGTTAATTTTAAGTGTGCAGTCATACATTAGTTATAAACTAGAAAATTAATCATTGCAAATGCATAAACTCTGTCCTACTCAGGCTTCAAACAGGGAGAGGACGCACGTAGCTGAGAGGCGGTTCGCTGCTGTGCACACGCTTAGCGACGACGTCCCAGTCCTTTTCGGCGCCGGTGGAGAGGGCGTTGAGGACGCGGGTGCGCAGAAGATCTGTGAGGTTGTAGTGCTTCGCGCCCTTTATCGATTGGCACAGCGACAACGCCTGCTTCGTGCGACCCGAACCCGGGCCACCTTTGCGTTGGGGTAACCAACATATGTCAATTAGTACCACCTTTCTACGCTTGCCTGCTTGCTTACCTTGTCCGATACCTTGACTCCACTCTGCGATTACCTTTACGTGCAGATTTACTTGTGCATTTGGATTAGTAAAATGTTGGATTTTTAAATTTTTAAGCATGCCTTAATTCACCTCACTCTTGAGGTATTGTGGTGAAAATAGAATAAACTCGTAATCAATAGCGAAGGACTCTTGGCTAGCCAAATATTCCTCTATGGTAAGCACTTGATGCAAGTGAATGACCTATAGAAACGAATTCTATACCGGTTGCAATTACTAGTTATTTTCTTATCTAGTAAATTTTATGAAACGTTTTCGATTCGGGAACATACAATGACTGTTTTTGGATGTTAATTCCTAGGTTAATCAACAAAGCAAATATCCTAAACAAACGCTGATCTAGAATAAGAAATTTGATGGCCTTGACAATCAACAAGCACTTATGCTGGCTCGATATTGGAAAAAGGCCTACTCTCTTACTGTTATTGTTTTATCCTGTCGAACTTTATTCCAAATTTCGCTGTTTTATTTATATTCAATAGCTACGTGAAAAAGGGATTTGACACTGCTTTCACAAGTTCATATTTATGTGATAAACTTTTATTTCATCTAAAGCCGTCACGCAAATTTAGATCCAAGAGATATATTTTGAACAATTAAAAAGGTTTTCGCATATATGGCGATAAAATATGAGTAACTTTAGCTATAAAAAAGATGAACCCACCCAGGAGAATCATGACTGGACAAGTAGGTAGCCCACCTTGGCGCCCAAGGTCCTTGTATTCTGGACGAATAATGGGGATGTTAAAAGTTGGTGGGTTACCCGGACAACCCACAATTCTTTGTAAGAACGGTCTGGCCTGAGTGTCTGTAATGCATTCCCTTTCCGGCTTTATCAGTGGAGCTACAGCACAGTGATTCCAATGTAAAAAACCGCGAAAATTAAAATAAAAAGAGACTACCTGTCACTCGTCTGGTGAGGAGAAAGTCAAATATCGCTAAAAGTTCACGCTCTATGTCCTCATCTTTTCGTTCGCCGTCAACCTGTAAAATAAATTATTTTTAACATCCAAATTTTTCATTCGCTTATCGTTTATTCCCTTGACTATCATATTGTACACAGCAGCTTATCACTTGCACAATAGAATATATGAATTTGACATTCCAATATTTCAGGAATTCATCAGGCATCATAGAGAATGCACTATGAATGGTTTGCATATAATAGCACTTTGCAACCATGACATTTCTGGCGTACAACAATTTGATTAATAAGCAAAATTACTGTGGGAAAAGTGGACTGTTTGAACACTTGAACGAATATTTGGACATTTTAAAATTCTAACACTATCGGCGAATCTCTTAATCTCTGGTGCGCGACCTATATAAACATGGTGTGACTCGTCACAAATGAGTCGAATTTAGTTCGTAAGGAAAGTTAGTTACATAAGGAGCAACACGTGGCTAGAAAAGTAATGCGCACCACTCGTAATTTGCTTTCATTGTCAATAACTTTGCATACGGGAAGTGTTACGTTCTTGAAAGTGCATATTTTCCTTCGAATCACATCATTCGGTAAAGGTTTGGCGGGTCCACAACTTGTCTGTCTTGCGTTTAGCAGCTGATGCAGGCATTTTTCCTCAGAAGCGTCAATGAGGATAACGCCGGATAGATTATCCTTACAGATCTAAATAGGAATTAGTATCAAATTGACATATTTCATTAAAATAATGTCTTATTTGCATATCAAAGAGATTTCTTGATAACACTTGCAGCACTTTGTGGAAATTCAAAAAGTACCATAAACCCATTTGTATTTTTGTTCCCAAAGCTAAATATGTTCATGGTGAAACAATGTAAAAGCTTCTTGACTAACACTTTCTGCTAAGTACTTCTTTCCGGTTGCTCAATTGACATTTTCTAATAGTGACTTTAATAATTAAGCTTGGTCAAAAGTGAAATCTACAGCTTTTCCAGAATCGCAGTCTGTAATAAGAAACATACATTAAACTTGAGATCTTCGTACTGTTTGAAAGTTCGGGGGTATCCATCAATGATAAATCCCTCACAGGTGGGATATTGATTAATATTCCACTTAAGAAGCTCTAAAACCATATCTTCGGGGGCCAAATCTCCTGATTTAATAAAGCGAAGAGCAGAACTCCAGCGGCTATGGGACTTTCTTTCTTCAATTTTCGCGCAATTAATTGCTAAATCTCCCATGCTAATATGCACGAAACTTGGATAGTAGTTAAGCATCTTTCCCGAAAATTCCCTTGCTCCAATGCCAGGTGCAGCGATAATACATATGACAGTGGCTTGTGGGCGCATCTTGAATTGGGAACATCCGGTGCCAACCATTGGTTGATATCTTGAAAAAGGCTCGCTATTTCGTCTCAACGCAAGAGGTGGCAAAGGACAGCGCTTTCCCTCAAGAAACAAATCCCATCTAACAGATTTATAATCTTTTCGCTTTATCTTCTCAAGGCATTCTTGTAAATACTGAATTGGATCGACTGGTCGGTGATACATCAAACCTGTCATGAGGCACTTATTTATCAATTATCCAAAGTATAGGGAGTACCTCAAATAATTGTGGAATTTCTTTACATGCAAGATATTCCTTAGTTTCTTTTGGTGGTATTACGGGTTTTCTCATTCCCATTGCAAGATTAGGAGTACAATCAAGAGATTGCACGCCTCTACGACCTTGGCATTCAATCCATAGCAACGAGATAAAGTAAAACTCAGACCTTAAAACCCATGTAGTTTATCGGTCACGACTTTACCTAAGCCATTTAGTCACCCTTATACACTTCACACGATTCTTTTAAATATTTATGATACGTTCTATAGTTTACTGTAATGCAATTGCTTCGTTGTGATGTACAGCAGTCAAATTAAAGTGGAAATGATTTTTGGGGTATCTTGGGAAACATTATTTGATTTACAACATTATGATTTGTTTAACTAGGACCATCATATACTATGGTGAATGTAGCGCCCCGATGCTTTCCTGAATACTAAAGAAGGCCTAAAACATGGGCAGAATATACAATGTCGGCATACAATGGCACATGGGATCTACTGGTACGGTCTGAAGGCCAGGTCATCCACTGAAGGCACAATGGCGGAGCCCTTGAGTGCCCCCTTGGGAAAACCGAGAGTTAAGCAAACAATCAAAATATTGCGGTGGGAATGTATACACCTGGCTCACTGTCTTAACTTATGAAGATCTGGCGTAAGTTAATTTTGAGACTGATCTCGTATTTGCTCTGCTATGCTATCTCTCCCTATGCCATCCTTGAAACACTAGTATGCCATTCTGCTACATAAAAGGTTTAGTTTTCTGTATTTTATTGAGGATTAGAGGGATCACTGGGCGCTATACCACTAGGACAAAGGTTCGATCTGGAGAGACCAAAGAGTGCGTGTAGTAAAGTTTGCTTTAAATCACATATTAAATACTGTAATGCGGTATGCTAGGTCACAAATTCGGCCTTGACAGTATCATGTAGAGAATAAGTGACAATGCTCTCAATCGTGAAAATATTTAGCTTCCGTGTAATCCGAAGAAATTACTTCGGTTGCTTATAATTATTCATACGCTGTATTAGTCCAGTGTTTAGTTAACCATATTTTCTACTGCACTGGGTTTCCGATTTCCAGCCTTCCCTCTTGACGCTCTAGTCTTCCAGTTATGCGTATAGGCCCCCATCCCTTCTATGCTTTAGTAATAAAACTCCTAAAGTTGCTTCCTACAAATTCGGTGTAAACATAGCATCCCATCGGTAGCTGTAAGGGGTTTCCTGTCGTTGATTAACTCCCGCGACTTTGCAGTCTCAACACCTAATTCAGATGGAGGCTGTTTTATGAAAAGGATTCCACGTAAATTAGTTTGAGTACCGTTGAGTACCACTATTTGAATTTGTTGAACATATTCCTTCTGATCTGTCATTAAAGAACGTACGCTTTGACTGCATGCCCAGCATAGAGTTTAGCATTATATAATCGAAGAAGCGGTTTATTTTGAAGTGTTGCAGATTGATTCAGGTAAGTGCAAAGATTTCTTCTGTGCTTCAGGTGGGAATGTTGCAGGTAGGTAATTGTAGGTACTTTCACGCCTAAACTGTGTTCGGGTCAGGGGACTAGCTTTTCCGACTGATGAACATATTCCCCAAATTTTAAGGAATATGTTAGAATTTGTTAAAATTTTGGCCCTTCTTTATTTGGACATTCCTGATTACCACTAGCTCTTGATGTTGTACATTAAAATTTGATAGGATGACTTTTGACATTTGTGTCCTAGGCCATGAATATGGCGAAATGTATGCTCCCCTTTGGCTGTTTGGTTCATCAAATATAACTTGTGAGCTATCTCCAACACACCTGATATACAACTTTTCTGTATTTTTCAAATAGTACGTCCCAAGTGAACATATGACTTTAAATTAGCAAGACTGCTGGAATAAATTAGCGATGACAAGAGTTGGAGCTAGCTAAAATGTAAGGGTGGTCATGGAGATCTGAATCCTAACGCACTGGCTTCAGCACTCACCAAATTTTGCGCTGGTATCCAGCCCATCATGTTCCCACTATCGAAGGTAGTGCAGGCGCGCTCTTCCCGCTTCGAAATTACAATTGCTGCTCTAGAGAACCAAAGTACACGCGGTGACACTAATCCTCGTGTTTGCTTTTGCGCTATTGACATTGACAATTCTTAAAAATTACTATTAAGCAGGTTTCACCTACTCTTTTTCCGGATAATGGAGCTGAAACCGCCTTCCCATGGTAGAAAAGGCTGAAAAATATAAGCATCTGTGGGCAAATCACACCTTTCGCACAATTACTACACCAAGTCGTAGACAACGCACGTGAAAGAAGGATAAAGCAAACGTCTTGTAAACTCTGACAGTTTTATCGCGTCAATTTAATGCTAACTTAGTTACCTCATTGTTAAAGCAATGTTGATAGAGTGCATATCTTTATTGGATCAAGAAACTCAGTGGCAGTCTCATATTAGGCACAAGATGCACATAAAAGCAGCTAGTTTGGGTGTTGGATGGTCGCAATTGCGACAAGTCATGTGGCCTTCGAGGTGTAACAGTACCGTGCACAATGGTGTGCATTCATTGTCATGATACAACTCTCATCAAGCGCATACTCCCCATTGATTCAGTTACTTCCACGTGATGATAGAAAGACCTGTCCTCACAGTGTGGGCGTTTCTTGGCTTCGCAGTTCGCTCCTTGCGTCCCATTGGCCTTTTAATCAAGGCAC